CAATGTCCGAGACAAAAAATCCTTCGGCCAAGTTTCTCCGATTCGTAATGTCCCGATCATGATTTGACGAGCATACAAACAGCGGGGGTCAGATTTGTCGATTTTGTCAGCATCAGGAGACACCAAAATGATCCCGTGACGAGGCAAAAAAAAAAAGGATTATACCCGTTATCCTTTTCTTGCTGCTCGTAAGAAACCGAGCCGCGAGCCTGGGCCACGGCCGATTTCATTCAAAACTCTGAACGGTCACGAGGCGGGTGGCGTTGGTGAAACAGGAACCCTCAACTAAGACAACTTTATGCGTGTGGATGTGCGGGTTGACATAATATGTGCTTGATGCATATGTACTATAAGCCACGAAGCTGAACTCGGGGAGGGGATATCCGTCTGCAAGGCAAGCAGCCTCGTTCGAGAGAGTGGTCGCTGCTGTCTCGGGAAGTTTCTCGTTCGGATCGTGGTCGTTGGGCTATCGGGCACGTCGGGGTACCGGTAAGAAGTGACGATGCGGGCGTTCTTAATGTTTGAGGGAGGTGGTCTCTGATGAATCACTTCGGTGTGTGAAGGCTTCGCGGGAGTCACTTCAACTTTGTAGGTAGAGAAATAACACTTACGGATATAGGCGTATGTCGCTCGAAGCACACCGCCCGGACAGGGATCTGGGACAGGTGCAGAGCAATGTGTAACCACTTTCTTTCTGCCGCGTTTGCAAGCCAATCACATCCTTCACCTGTATGTGACGTCCATCATTCATACCATGGTCACCTCGTTATTAAGACCTCATCAAGCCTTTACGTCTATTTTCCGGTATGGAGGTACTGAAATTCGACGACCAATATCGTCAACCACGCAATGCAAGTCGCATATATCCGAGCTGGCACGCTGCTCGCCAGTCGATATCCAAACGCGCTGTCGACACGTCTTGAGCCAGCCTGAGCAAGCGCCGGTGGCCTGGGCTGGCGTTTTCGGCTCCTTTGCGAGAAACATGCAGAGAGATGACAGCGACGTCGACATCCTGATTGGCTTTCGTGAAGACGCCACCAGCGATGACATTTGGTACATGGGCGACATCAGCCGGGAACTTGGCAACACGATGGGGCGACCGGTCGACTGCTTGTACCTGCGACATGGACGTGTGTTGAGTTTCGTCAAATGCGCGGCCGTTTTGAGTGCAAAGACGGTGTATGGGCCGGACCGGTGGCTGGCAGATGACCGAGTCAGAGCAAAGAGGCTCGTGATGGCCACTGGTGAGAAGATGAAGGCTGCGATAAGGCAAGCGAGATGGCTGCAATGCCACGTAAACAGCATGACAAGAGATGTAGGCACTGCCCAGCTACTGTGCACTATTTCTTTGCCGAGTTGACAGGGTCAAATAGGCGTTTCTCGGGCTGGCGGAGATGCCGACCGAACTTGCAGAGCCTATCAGTGAGCTGGCCAGGCTCATTTATAACCCCAGCGAGGAACAAGAAGCCATGGGATGGATAGTTTCTTGGTATCCTTGATTGGGCGTGTAGTATACGGAACATTGTCGAAAAAGAACTTCGTCACGGATTTCGAAACTTGACTGTGGAAGACAGGAATAAACTCTGAGCCACGTTGACAAGGGAAATGTCCGAGCCCATCGACCACTTACAGTTCATTTACCTACCTGTTCTTAATGCGGTCATTGAAGATGCAAAGCTGAATTAGGATGGGGAATCAGCTGAACTGAAGAGAGACAGATGGTATGGGCATTCCGTTTTAAACGGGGGACATGGTCGGCTGCATCCTCGTTGAAGAGTTCGGAGAGTGGCGGGCGCAATCGGGCGTCGCCGTTGCTGAACAGTGCCACCCCCGGGCTTACGGGGAATATGAAAATCAGGGTAGCAGAAGAAGGAGGGAAGCAGGGCTGTAAAGAGAATAATTTTTTTTTAAAAAAAATTAGAAAATCAGATATCAAATAAGAATAAGTCTTTTTAATTCGCGAGATGCCCCCTCCCCCTCATCTGTTCCCAGAAAATGCGGGGGACTGGAAATCGGCACTGCCGTTCGTACAGAAAGTACTCCGTAAAAGCAGCATTGACGGGGTCTTTACTCCGTCTGTCCCCCCACGGCGGCCAAGGTACACTGTCGCAATAAAGCACATACATAGTTGCCAGTCGATGCCGCCCTGATACTTGCACTCTGACACATTCACTCCATCATCTCGTTGTCCCGCAGCGCCGATGTTTCCCCAGCCCTTTATTTAACATACACAACATCACACCACTTTGTCAAAGCCCGTTGCAACAGAGGAGTGTGTGTGTCTCTTGCACTAGGAAACTATGCGTATGCGGGGGGAACGGCCCGGGGCCGCGGTGCGCCACTAGTTAAATGGATGGACGCTTTCTCTTCTCTTTTGACGAGGGAGCATTTTGTGCTTTGACACTTGCCTCAGAAACGCGATTCAGTCCAGTCTCGAAGCGAGCAAGGGACGGCGCGACGCATTGGCAGTTTGGCTGTACATTAGTTCATCCGTGCCATGTGGTTTTACCAGTAATAAGTGAGGTAGGGGAATATTTTTATCTCGACACTTTGTCCTTTTGCCACGACGCGCCTTGGCCGATGTTTCGCTCCGGGCTTGTGCGTTACAGTAGAACAAGTCCCGTTCGATGGGATCGTGCCATGTTCATTGAGGTTGGAACAGGGGGATGCAGCATCGCTCGTCCCAGGGCAAGTCGTCGTTATGTTCTCTCCCTTCCTTGTCCCTGATCAAACACGTCACTAAGAAAAAAAAAAGCCTGAGCGCTGGTTGGGTCCCCCATCATTGTGCCCGCGCTTGCCGAGAGCCTCGAGCCATTTCATCCAAGCGGCACTTACTCGAGTTTTCTTTTTTTTTTCTCGTCACCTTCTCGAAAGGGCCAACGTCTTGTCTTGGCTTTGCCACCGGTAGTTAAAATAGTTTGAATTATTTCGCCGAGGGTGGCTGATCAGGTGATCCAGGACGAGGGGGGACCCCGGACGAGGCCCGAAACACCGGCAGCAGCAGCCGGTCCCTCCGCAACCTGCCCGCACACACCCCAATCATGCAACTCCAGACGCTCCGATACACTCATGCATCATCTCTGATGCTGCAACTCGAACCCTTGGGTCCGGCTTTCGGCAAGATAACCACTGCTGGTAGACCAGGGACGCGAACCTTGTCGCGCGTCGGCTCAATGAACGGACCGCAGGGGAGATTTGATCTCCCCCCCTTACTATTACCTTGTTATTTAGTACCCTGATTGCCTGAATGCTACCCAAGCACGTCCCCCGGCACAGTCCCCGGCGGTTTGGTGCAGGGATTGCGGAACGCGTTGCTGAGACCCGTTGGGGCCTCTGAGACTTGATCAACAGCTGCCGAGCGACGTTCTAACCGGTGCTTAATTGATTTTGAATAAAATTTAATGGATTAAATAAAAGAAAAGAAAATCAATTGTATTATTTACTATTTTCTATTTTCTGTTTTCCGGTTTCCCATCTTCCTCATTAATTGAATTCGTCCGTAAAAAGCTGGATCCTCTGGCCCACAGCTAAGTGGCATGGATTTCGCATCCTTCTTGACTACTTCCACATCACCATCAATCAGTCATCGCTACTGCCTCCAAAACCCTTCCAAAACATAGACAAGCCGATACCACAGCTGGCCACGGCAATGCTGAAATGTGCAATCCAGTTCCAGGGAACTGTTGTCAGGCGCTGAGATCCGCAGCTCTAGTACACCCTGACAGGAACATCGGATAGTAAACACCGGGAAACCTCGAAACTTTGATCAGTTTCTTTCTTTATTTCTCTCCTCGCTGTCACAATTTTAGACTTGAACTCGTCATTTTTCATGTCTCATTCTTGTAGGGCTCGTTAGCTCCATCTGACGCCATATTGTGTTTACTACTTTGGATAGCAATCCTTGCCTTCTAGCAACTAGCGTCTTCTAACAGGACGACAATCCGTCTGAACCCCTTTACGATGCATGAAAAAACGCCGCCTTGCACATAAATATCGAATGCACTTTCCCATGGAGCGCAGACCTGAGCAGACCCTTGTTACGCTCATCGAATCCCGCTGCGCCGTAGTGATGCAACCGCACATGATTCCCGAGTAGCAGAATCACTGGCTTCTTTCCCGTGCCAGGGAGCAACATCGACGGCCAGACCAAGTCCAGGTGAAAGTTGCATCTCCGTTCGCGTCAGTCAGGGCTGGCGCCGGATTGCCCACCGGCTGTGCTCTCTCCCGTTCCGCCGCCGGGTAGGTTAGGCGTAGATTTGCGTTGCTGACGCATTCACCCGCTACGCTACTTGTCGTACCAAGCTTCGAAAGGTGTGGGTGGTCTAGTAGCTTGAAACCAGACCATCCGTACGGACTTCTCTGCATCTTCTAGCGCGGTTGGATCATTTCAAATCTCTCACGGGCTGCCAGTCCGACTACTTGTCATTCTGCAGCGCTGGTGTTGCATTGCTGGAAGTGCCTCACTAAACTAGTCAAAAGAGATCGCAGGCTTTTTATAAAAATAGAAAAGGGTTAATTCTTAATAAAAAGAATAATCGAGAAATTTTTTAATTCTAAAATTAAAGAAAAAAAAAAGTAATTCTCGCATATGATGCGAAGACCTTGGCCCCGGCTTATACCCCAACTTCCAGTTGTTCCCGATTTCTCTTGCTTTATCGTTCTGTACATGTAGAAAGCCTGATGCTCAATTTTTACATTGTCAAACTTGGTCTAACTAGTTATCGAGACTATTCCCCTAGTCCAAGGACGGCTATACGAACTGTGTTTGGCTTGAAGTCGCAGTGACTCACGACAGACAGAGCAAACAGCAAGATGATGCGAACTGGAGAGATTGCACATTAGTGTCTTTTATTAATATCAACACACTACATTGAGAAATAGTCCATTAATCAGATAGTCTTCCCCATCCCTTCATTATTCATGTATCCTCCGTCACTTCATTATTCATGCATCCTCCTCCGTAACCTCATCAGACCAGTTCTCCCATAACCAGAGGTCTATTAGTTGGTCTTCTCGACGTGGAACGCCTTGTCCGGGACGTTGCCCGCCGCGACCTCGCTGTCGGTGAACGCCGGGTAGCCAATCTCATTGCGCGCGTAGTCGTGCACCGCGAACGTGGTGAAGCCCGCGCCCTCTCCGAACTGGCCCGACCACCCGCTCGTCACCGTGTAGGGGCCGCACGTCACCGGGCCGCCGTTCGAGCGCGACGCTGGCTGGCCACCGGCGGCGTGGACCTCGTAGACGCACCCGGTCGGCTCGGACTGCTGGTCGTTGATGGAGAAGTTCCAGGTGCAGGAGGTGTCCTGGGCGTCGCAGGTGCGGGAGAGGCCCTGGATGATCCAGTCGGGCTCGCGCGCGGCGAGGGGGGCCGCGGAGGCGGTGGCGGCGAGGGCGAAGAGGATCTTGGAGAACTGCATGTTGATGGATGTTCTGTTGAGGGGTTTGTAGGTGGAAGTAGGAGAGTGCTTGCTTGCTTGTTTGTTGCGGTTGGAGATGAGAGTAAGAGATGAGTTGCTCGGATGAGTGTGTGATGCTGAATGATAACGGGACGATTTTGTCGGGAGATCAAGGCCTTCTTATACTTGGGAGAGAACTGCCAAGCTTGCCTCACCTCATGACCCGGACCTCCAAGCCAAGGCTAACAACTTCATCCTTTTCCTGTAAATGTCTCCGCGTTCTTCTTTCCTCACCCGAAAATAGCAACCATCGCCACCAACCCGGCCGAAGCTGGGCATCTCGGTGTTTCCTTGATCGACGTGCTGTGCTCGTATCCCGATCTCACGAGAACCCATCGGGGTGGGGGCTAGCCTGCAAGTTCGAACTACTATTACTACGCTGCCAGTCCAGGAAGAGGGAGAGAAGATACAGAAAAAAGGCGCGTCTGCCCAAGGCAGTTTTCTGCAGCCTGATGCTGTATTGACAATCCCGCCTCATTCTTCAACGTCCACCGGGCGGTTTGGCCCAAGACAAGTCCTGCCCGGTGTGCCTAGTTGTCTGCGATAATCTCTGAATTCAGCATGTAAATGTCTTGTCACTTCATGCAACCACCTATGTGGGAGGGCTTGGGCACCCGGCCGGGTAAGGCTGCGGCTGCGGGTTTAGCGGGAAACCTTTGGCCAAAACTAATAATAAGTCGCTGCACAAGGCCAGAAAAGGTCGCGGTATGACGTAGCCTGACGGTGAGGGTTGTCGGTAAGCAGCCTCGTATTCTAAAGATAGCAGTGTAGATCGGCGGGCTTACTGGGTAGCTTCCCCCATAATCATGCGATCAGTTGATGTATTTTTCTCTCCGCTGTCAACCAACGACTTACGGGTCTCCCCATCCGCTTGTTACCGGTCGGCGCATTATCGCATTGTACGACTTTTTGTGGATGGGCGACACGACCTTTTGCCACTTGACTGTACATCCGCTGCGATTCTTGGCTGACGGTTCGATGTTAGCCGACCTCCCACCGCCATCCTGCCAGAACGCAGCCGAGAGATTGCCTTTTGGACGCAGCCGTGCTTGGCGGACGGTTTGCAATGCATGATGACATTGGCAAACAACAACCCGTATTCGAGAAATCGGGAGCTATGCTCCGCTGCTACGAAGTAGGCGGCTGGACGTCCCGCAACTTTCCTCTTCACATATTGGCAGGTTGATTCATGTACACGGCCACAGGGTTGCATTCGGTAAGTAGTAACGACTTCACTCTGCTAGATGCGGGGGACAAGTGCATTCGGTAGTAAAGACTTTATTCTGCTAGATGCGGAAACAAACCCAACCTCACGACTTCTTGGCACCAGGCTGCGTGCCGATCCGCTTATACTTGCGCGGATCCTTCCTGCTCATCATCCGCTGGTCCCTCGTCCCCTTCCCGCCCTCCCAGAATCCCCGGCCCTTCTTGCCAATGACCCCGCGCCCGCAGAACCGGCACTCGTCGACCGCGTAGTTTTGCTCGCGGCTGCACCACCCGCAAATCATGCGGTTCGCCCACTCGTTGGGGTGGTCCTCGGCCTCCTCGTGGCAGCGGTCGCACGCGAAGACCTTGTTGCAGCACGAGAAGCGGAACCAGCGGTACGACTTGCGGTAGTGCACGCACGCGCCGCGGCCCGGCAGCGGCTCGCCGGCGTGCAAGCCGAGCTTCTCCGTCTTGCGCTTTGGCCCGGACGTCGGCGGTGGGCGCGTGCCGGGCGTGATGAAGAGGAACTTGACGTCGGGAATCTTGAAGGTGAACTTGGCGTGGCACTCGCGACACACGTTGGTCGTTGTCTCGCCGCGCACCGAGACGAGCCCGCCGCTCGGCGTGGAGCAGCGCGCGCAGGTGGGCACAAAGGTGCTCGGCAGCATGTCGGCGACCTTGCAGCCGGAGAGGTCGATGAAGCCGGCTCGGGAAGAGTGCTCGTGGACGTACTGGGGGTTGTACTTGGCCGAGAATGCGCTGGCACACTTCTTGCAGCTGCCGGCCTTTTCAAGCCCCGGCTTGATGCCAGTCAAGTCATTGAGCGTGCGACAGCGGTCGCACTTGATTGTCAGGCTGAGCAGCGAAACTTGCAGCAGCTCGAGGCCGTGCAGTTCGATAGCTGGAAAAGAAATCATGGTACCATGCTCGGGCGCGTCCGACATGGGAATTGACGTTTTCTCCTCACCCGTTTCTAGCTCCACACCACCGTCATCAGAACTGCTGGTCCCTTCTTCCTCGGAGCTTCCACTGTCGTTTCCGATGGTCCACTCGGGAGGTCTAGGGATATACTGAATATGACTCTTTTCTGTGTCAAGTTCACCAGTAGAGCTTTGGCCCTCCGCCGGCTCGGCATTAGTCTCCTGCGGCTGAGGCATCTCAGCTTTAGCCGCGTTCAACTGCGCCATCTTGGCCAGAAGGTGAAGGTTTTGTGCGAGGTAGTTGACGTGGCCCATCAGGTTCATCTGCTTTTGATCCGCTGCTCTCTGTACAAACAAGTCCTCAACGGGTTCGGCGTCCTTCGCGTCAGCCTCGTTGAGCTGCACTCGGATGTCTTGGAGCGGATAGAGGAGAGGAACAATGAGATGGAGGTTGTTGACGGAGCGTAGACCCTCGGGCAGGTCTGCCTTCTTTTTGGGTTCCAGGGGTAGAGTAAAAACAACGCCGTCTGCAGACCGACGATAGAGCGGCAGTCTCCCCATGCGGGCCTCGAGCTGGCGCACCTCCTGCGCTCTTCGTTCCTTGGCGACGGCAATTTCCTCCCTAGAGTGCTTCTTCTCTGGGACATACGGTCTTGGTGACGAAGGCTTGGATGCAGAAACTAGTGGCACCATGACCTTTTGCACGGCTGGCGCCTTTTCTGAATTCAAAGGCTCTTGCTGAAGATGCCTCGTATCCTTGAAGTGGACAAGTTTGACAGTCTCGACTTTTTGCTCAGACAAGAAAATTTCCAGATTCTTATCCAGGGCGTTGATCAAAGACAGCAGGGTGGAACCTTTCCTCTCCTCTGCGAGCTTGTCCCACCCCTTCTCGACGTTGATGCTGAAGCCTCTGGGGATATCCTTGTTGGTGACACGTAGAGCAGGCCGTTTCGCGGGGTAGGCCTTTGGCACGAGCAGATCGCAATGCAAATGGGCGAGCTCAAAGGGGAAGTCCGGATCCGAAGGCGTCATCTTGAAGACGAGAGATGTGCTTCCGTCTGCGTTGATGGTTTCTTTGGGCGAGTAGCGCCTCGCAACCTGGCCGAGCTGGTAGCCGCGAGGGTCCTGGAGCTGGGCCTTGGGCACCGGCTTGGCGACGACGCGGGAGCTCGAGGGCTCGGTGACGGCCTGTTGCCGGGTCGTCGGCGCGCCGTCGTCTTTTAGATGTAGGGGGAGCATGGCGGCTAGGTGCTGGTTAATGACGAGAGACGTGTTGTTGAACAGGGTTGCGGTAGCTTTGAACAAAAAGCTGGCTCGAAAACTCTAGGAAACCCAAACGCCGATGTAAATGCAACTGCTCAACAGAAGGAGAAATCTGGATGAAACTGGATGCTGATGAAAGCTGGAAGGGTCGAAAAGGGGGTGCCCTCCAAGATTATATCTTGAATGCAAGGCCTGCAGTGGCAATGAGGAGGCTTGCCTGCGGCATCACGTCGAGATGCGATGCGCCACAGTTGCCCCGCCACAGTGCCCGCTGCAGTTCCAAATAGGGCAGTGGTGAAGAACCGTCAATGAGTCACTCGCAGGGGCCCTAAAGATGCTTTGGGGTATCGTGCTAACAGAACTGTCCGGTTTTCTCGCATCCAAGTGTTAAAAATCTACTTCTCCCCTAGACCTCTCCCCTAGCAGGATTGCGCTGGGTCAAACACGATGACTCTACCTGGAGTCATCCGTATCATTTTTGTACAGCTCTGATAGGCTCGCGAGAGATGAATCATTTCAAAAGTGTTTTCTGGAATTGGCATGAGCGGGAGCCGATATTCCACACAGCGGCTTTATGTGACAAATTGGTCAGCTTTGCTTGGCCGCTGCACTGCTATTGAACTGAGCTGGAGAGTTCTCGTCAAACAATCTCCGAGGCAAGGATGCAGACATGGGTGAGTGCGATAATTGCATTAGCAATGCCAACGACTTACTCTGTAGTGCTTCTCGCAGACGTATACAGTTTAAAACGGTGCACCAAAAGAGATACGCGCCGCGTGCTCGCCAACGGTGGAGCCATTGGTGGTGATCTTAACGTCGCCACGATGGGGAGGCATGGAGACAGTAATACCGGACGAACATGCATGCCAAATATAATAAACTTTAAATGGAAAATATTCTTTTATGAATTTAAATAAATCGATTTTAAACAAAAAATGCGATCAGTTACCTCGAGGAGTAGTACAACGCAAATCAGCAACACCGCCACGGCTCAGGTGAGCCAGGACGTGTCGAATTTCTGATATGTGTTTGCTGCCCAATGCAATTTGATAGAAGATGGTCAGCGGCCTGCAGACTGCGCAGCTTGAGAGACCCGGCAGATGTGCCCTGTGCCTAGCTCTCTCCCTATTATGTATACGAACTCGTGCAGGGGACTTTCCTCGACCCCCAGTGACTTGTCGAACTGCCACGTCAAACGTCAGGCCGGCCGGGGGGGAGGGGGGTCCTGGTACGGGCGGCGATGATCACGGCCACCCGATATGGTGGCCACCGGGCCGGCCCTTGCATGGCCGTGGGCATCACGACACTGGGCGGCGTCTAGAACTGATCCCTCTTCCCCCTTCCCGAAACATTTCTTCCCCGCGTGGGCGCCCATCCGTATGATGGATGGGGGGGCGTGTGTGGGCGAGAAATCGACAAGTTCGTCGGGTCGCCAGCAGGCAAGCCCCAAGTATCCGCAAGGACAAGACCATTTTTAGCCTCGCAAGTGGCTTTGCTCAATGGAAGACGGCCCTAGTTATCAGTGCGCCTCGTTGGGAACAGGGAACGACCTGCATCATCGATTCAGAGGTTGTTGAACCAGTGTCTCCAATTGAGACCAAGGAAGACCCCTACTCCCAAGGTACCAGAGGACACCATCCTTCCCCTCGGCTCTGTGCCCATCCGATTGCTCCCTCCCCCTCACCAGGTCGATATCCAAGGTCGACCCGCGCTGGCTTCTTAAAACGGCGTGACCTGCAAAATGCCTGCACGATGCAAGCAGAACGCACAGTGAAGCGTCCCGAGGAGGCAAAGGGTGGTAATGCCAGCTCAGCAAATGTCGGGCAGATGACCTGCCACTATATGCAGGCTAAGGCTTGTCCGGCGCGTTTTTGCCCACACCGCCCCCCCCGCACTGCCGCTGCCGCCTTGCCTGCCTGCTCCCCTTTCCACTGCTGTTCGGGGCTGCATGTATTATGGGTTCAAAAGGAAAAAGTCATTAAAGTTTATTGATTTTCAATTCTTTAAATATTTCTTTAAACATTTTCATTTTAAATAAACTGTCTTCGTTGTTATTCCGACTCCCCATAACGTGTGATGGCCTCCGATGCTGTCTGAGACACCTCTCGCCGGGGAAGTAGCCCGGCACAAACTCGCCGACGAAGAAATTCTCCAAAAATATGACAATATCCTATTCTATCCTATCACGAATACTTCATCCCAAGAGAATAGATCCAAGAGCTGGGAATCTTCAATGAGATAGAGGCTATTTTTTGCTCAACTGTGACTCTTGCACAGAACGAACCATCTACTTGGTCAACACTTTGCATGTCATAGACTAAAGATACATGTCAACTCCAATAAGCGGTGAAAACCCTTTCTCAACACATGCCAACGCCATGGGATGGGGGCGCCGTCACCACCTCTCGTCCCACGCCACCCCGAGCCGTCCGTTTCCTGGCTCTGATCCCACGGGCCAGCTGAACGCTGCCAGTTTCTCTCGCCTTGATTACTTACCCCCGGCCAGATTTCGACCTCGCTCCTACCCAGCACAGCCAGCTGTACTTGGTCCACCTCTTGATGATTGGGCTGATGCCAGCCCGGGAGTCGACACCGCCACGTCGTCAACGATCGCCTGGCAAGCCTTGCGGGCATGTGAGTACGAATAAAGTGTGCCCAACAAGCCAGCACAGGCGAAAATTCAACAGAGTCACTTGTTTCCTTGCGTCGCACCGGCCGGAGACTGTCACTACCGCCCCCAGGCGCTGTCTTGCACAGCTTCGCTGCGGCAGGTTGGTTTTCGTCATTGGAAAGAATGTAGGCGACGGTCTGGGCTGACGGTGCAGCCTTGTCACCGTTAGCCTTGCGCGGCCCGGCATTTGTTCGTTGCGTGCTCTGGAGATGCGTTTGATCATCAATCGTTGGCGGTCGGGTTAATGCCCCTACTCATCCAAGGTATTTCTGCTTTCTTAGGGCTACAGCATGCAATACGGCGTAGGCAAACTGTTAAAGGGCTATGGTTTGGACGATGGTGCAGTAATCGGCTTTTATATTAGTTTCTAGACATTAAAAACACGGCGAGTAATACGGTGAGCCGTATGAAGTGACAAGAAATGGAGGGCGACACGAGGAAGCCACACTTGTTAATAGCATCGTTCGGGACGCTTGCTACGCCGACACTTATGCTTAAGAATCGCTTCATTTAATCTCCACCTAGTGAACCAAAAACCAGCAACTCTGCGCCAAACTCAACTCATGTTCCACTCCGTTGAGGCTGCCTATTGGCGATTTCGCGTCAGTCGGATTCCTTCCAGCCCTGTTAGCGCTAGACCCTAGTCGCTTTCCTAAAGAGGAAAACGACATCCCAGCCACGAGATGGCTGCCCTGCAGCGAAAATCTCGGATCGTAGCGGGGATTCGGGCATCTAATATAGAAACCTCTAACGCAATTCATATGCAAGCTGAGGTTTCGGTTTTGATATGGCGCGGCGTCTTGCGTCAGCTTGTAGCAGATCGCGTCCAGCTCTGAATCCGACTGGTACGAGTTGGTCTATCTATATAAGTGCTTGTCTTCAGCGGACTCTCTGCTTGGGAAATGCTCATCGCTTTAATTCAACCTCTTCCATCATATATCGCCTATTTCTTAGTGATATTTCCACTGCATCGATCGCTTATTATCAGTACAACGCCAACCATGGCCAACGACGATAGCTCCATCTGGGTCTACAGCCCTTCCTTTCCTCTGGCAATTGTCGGCTGCGTTGTCTACTGTCTTTTATTCATCGCCATCACCTACACCACCTGGATCAAGCACCGCGCCTGGTTCTTCTCCACCGTCGTCGTCGGTGCCGCCGTCGAAGTGGCCGGCTACGTCTTCCGCGTCTACTCAACCAAGCACCAAACCGTCCTTGTAAGTGAAGACCGGGCGATCCCCATCTCAGCACCAGTGACAAAACAACTTGGCGCTCTAACATGCATTCAAGGTCCCGTACATCTTGACACTTACGTTTACCGTCCTCGCCCCCGTCTTCGTCGCGGCCGGTAACTACCTGCTCATCAGCCGCCTCATCCTGAGCGTCCTGCCGCCGACCCGCCACCGCATCCTCGGCATCGCCGGCCGCCTCCTCACGCCCATCTTCGTCACCTTTGACGTTGTCTCCTTCCTCGTCCAGGGCAACGGGTCCGCCATCGCCAGCTCCGGAAACTGGACAGGCGACAAGGAGAAGATTGGGCGGTACACGCTGATCGGCGGCCTCGTGCTGCAGCTCGTCGCCTTTGGGCTCTTCCTCGCCGTGTTCGGACGCTTCCACTTCTTGGCCAATAAGTTCGCCGTTCCCGAAGCGCCGGTTGGCTGGCGCAAGGTCGCCCGCGCAGTCTACATTTCCAGCATCGCCATCATGGTGAGTCTAGTATCATCCACTTATCCCTGACACGTGAGCCTGACTTCTCTGCAGATCCGCTGTATTTATCGAGTCTGCGAGTTTGCGGAAGGTATGCAGGGCTACGCGTTTCGCACCGAGTGGCTGTTCTGGGCGTTTGAGAGCATCCCCATGGTGTTTGCCATCGGCGCCTTCTGCGTCTGGCATCCGTCGCAGTATCTGCCGCGCAGCGCGCTGCTCTCCAGCAAGGCCAGGGCCAAGAAGCAGAACTCCGTGGAGATGGCTACAAGCACGTCAACTTCGCACGAGGCAATTGTATAAAAGCATATGTCAAGGTGTTGCGTACAGGCGGTGAGCGCTGGTCTGTAATGTCTGACTTGTCTCACTGGCCTCTCTCTTCCGACTTTAGGGAATATGAATTCGAAATCGCTGAATAATACAATGTAATGCCATCTTACTTTTTCTTACTTCACTTGTCCAAGACCAACTCTCGCAACGTCTCCCCAACCAGTTTGACCGTCTCGCCACCGCTGTCAAGCAACTTCATCTCCCCATCGTCGATGCATTGTCGAGTAAACGTGACAGGCCACATCCCATATGGTTTGTATTCGTTTGGGAGTTTCTCCTGTATTCGCTGAGTCCATGTCAATAGCATCATCTTGATGTAATCGTAGACGTTCTGCGGCACCAACACCGGCGCCGCATGTCGTCGTTCTTGTAGGATGGTCGTACCCATCACGTAGTCGAGCACAATCATGTGCATGATGAGAAGGCGCCCCGTGTAGTTTGACTCGTCGATGAAGGCAGGAAATTGCTCGGCGTCAATGTCGCACAACACGTCGTATATGCGCGTATGCTCATAATATGCTAAATATCGAGTTAGAACTGGGTGCGGATTTCGGCGAGTTTGCAAGGGACAGTTACCGTTTACAGGGCTTTGCAGCGCTGAGGTGGCAATGCTCCGCATAATGGACAGATATTGGAGCTCCTCGATGCTGCGGCACAGCGGGCCGAGATTTTCCAGACTCCCCATGAACCCTCTGATTGCTTCCTCGTCAAAGTGCGGAATCGGTCTGTCGAGAGGTACCACTTCCGTCAGCTTCTGAAGATACAATTCCTTCTCGAATGTTCTGAATCGCGACAATGCGTATTGCCCCATGGCATGAGTTCCGATGAGGTTACCTAAACGACGGTCAGCAGGTGAGAATGCCAAGTCCCGATGGTATGATGAATCGTACAGCCGCGGATCATGGTTAAAAAGTCATTGAGGCCGTCTCTCATTTGAGTAGCCTGGAATGTCAAGACCAGAGCTGTCGCAAATGCGGCGTCGGCATGCTCCCTTGATTGGCCAGCGGTCCCTATGAACCTCTTGAATCCTTCCAGGGCCGTGATGCGGTGCCGTAGCGCCGCCTGGTTATACGAGCTTGGGCTGATGATCGAGAGGTGAGACGCGCCGAGGCCGAGCATCGCATGAAGTAAAAAGTCGTACTATATCCTTTCAATTAGACAAAAGCAATACGTGTCACTGTTTTCTTCTGCGCACCTGATGGGCCATCTGCGAGACCTCGCGCCAAATGTCCCAGCCGTCCAACGGCAGCGACGGGTACGCCGAGAAGATGAAGTGCTGGAAGAAGCGCATGTCGTCGAGCGTGAACCACGACGGGTCGCAGCTCAGCGTCTTGGCCGGCGTCGTCTGGTTGGCCACCACGATGGCCTTGATCTGCTGCTGCTGCTGCTGCTGCTGCTGCTGCTCCTCGCGCCGGGCTCGGACCTGCAGCCGGTTCTCAAAGTAGAGGCAGTCGTAGCCGAGGCGGCGGCATGCGCCGCATGCCGGCGTCACCTCGTCGCACTTGACCTTGCGCTTCTTGCAGTTGGCGCAGCCGCCGCGCGACTTGGTGTGGCCCTTGCGGGGGATGGGCCGCCGCTTCGTCCGCGTCGTGGTCACGACGTCGGAGCAGCCCGAGGACGACGACGGCGTCTCTGGCGAGCCTGAATCGGACATGTCGGGGTCGCGTGCGGCGAGCAAGAGGTTGATCAGGCGGCGGCGGCGGCGGCGGCGGGGAGGATGCGGAGACGTGTCAAGACGCTCGGCAGCATCTGTCGGTGTTGCTCCAATGGGGTTGGTAGAAGAATTGGGCGTGGATGCGTGGATGCCAAGGTTTGCTGTAGGTCGGGAGGGAGTGGCTTCTTCGAGCTAGAGATTCACGATGGGACTGGTGCAAGAAGAAATCAGATGGACATCATCACCATTTCTAGAAAACGAAAGTGAGCCCCTCCCCTCGTCGGCCTTAAAGTCAAAGTGGGCTTTGCGGTGGTGCGGCTGAGTCGTGTCCGGATTCCGCCCTCCCTCATTTGGAGGCGATGACGCAGCCTTATGAAACATAAACGCTGGACCGACTGCCCTATCGTGGCCAAGACGGCAACCAATTTCAGCCTGCTATCAAAAAAAGCAACAGCGTGGATCGATGCAGGGAATTTAGGACTTCCCACTCAGACGACATTCGTAATGGCTCAGGGCCGAATCGTTGTTTGCCCCACGAAATTGGCCGATGCATACCAAGTAGGGTCCCATCAACTTGCACTGCCTCACAGGAACCGGTCGGGTTCAGGGGACGACTTGTCATGATTATAATAATAGACAAGAATAGCTCTAATCCACTATTTACTTTTCCGTGGTATATTCCCGTCTAGCCTTTTATTTGTTTCATCTCCGGTCGTAACTCCATTTACCATTCGTTTTCGTCCGCGCCGGCAATAATGACGTTATTAACCTTGAGCACCATGCGGCACAGCTGTGTCGCCAGCTGCAGCTGCTGCTTCTTGCCGATCAAGGGGTCGATAACAAAGGCCTCCTTCATGTCGTTGCTCCCGCGGCCCATGCAGTCCACGCCGAGCTTGCCGCGGCTTCCAGGACCAGCCTTGACCTGCTGGCTCTTGATTTCTGCTAGTGTCGAGATAGGGTTGAGGCCGCTGTTCTCGGCCAGCGCCATGGGAACGGCATCGAGGGCCTCGGAGAATGCGCGCATCGCGTACTGCTCGAGACCAGCCGTCTTGGCAGCGGCATCCTCAACGGCGACAGAGCAAGCAATCTCGGCCGCACCACCGCCGTAAACGACGCGGTTGTCTCTGACCAGGTTGCGGACAACGCAAAGAGCATCGTGCAGCGACCGCTTGGCCTCGTCGATGAGCTTGAAATTTGTCAGCATCTCTGACTCGTGGATCATGCAAAGGCCTGCAAAATTCAACTTACCATCTTGTTGCTTCCACGCACAAAGGCAGTGACGGCTCGTGTGTTGGCGCACTCTTCGATGACCAGCATCTTCTCCCGCGTCGTGCCGAACGTCATCTGCCGAACAACACCCGCGTACCCCAGCTTCTCAGCCGTGAGGTCCTGGAATCGTGGGACGATGCGTCCGTTTGTGGCAATAGCGATGAGCTCCAACTCAGGGCCGCCGACCCAGCGAACAGCCGGCAGCTTGTTCTGTAGCAGCAAGTGGTTGGCCTCGTCGTCGAAACCCCACTGGCAGATGGCAAGATTGGCACCCGTATCTTTTATTTGCTGAATCATCTCGATAAATTTCTCCTTCTCGTAGTTCTGTAGCTTCTTGAATTCCTCAACGCTCGTGATGTCGAGATGGTGCTTGGTCTTGGGCTTGGGAGGCTCGAAAGCACAAGTAAGGATCGCAATTTTGGCGTCCTTGACCTCGTCGGGCATCTGTGGGTGCGAGAAGTCCTTGTCGACGATAACACCCTTGACAAGAAGCGAATCCTCCAGCGAGCCACCAACCTTGCCATCCACCTTGATCAGCTCAAAGTCAACGTCCTTGCGCTCCAGGTCGGCGACCGAGAGAACAGCGTCGACCGCCATGTTGGCAAATTGATCGTGAGCCTTGGACACGATCTTGCTAGCTAGACAAGTGCGCGCGACTTTAACCAGGTTAGCGGTCTCGTCTTTTGTGAACTCAATCTTGTCCGAGATTTTGTCGAGTTCAGCGACAGCAATGTCACAGGCCTGGTCGTAGCCATCAGCGATTCGGATAGGGTGGATGCCCTTGTCGATGAGGTCGGCAGCCTGTTCCAGCATTGCGCCGGCGAGAACAACTACACCGGTAGTGCCATCACCAATTTCATCATCCTGCGACTTGGAGAGCTCCACGAGTAACTTGGCAACGTGGTTGCTGATCTCCATTTGTTGCATAATCGTGGCGCCGTCGTTCGTGATGGTAATGTCGCCGTCGGGGGAAATGAGAATCTTATCGAGACCACGGGGGCCAAGGGAGGTCTTGACGATGTTGGCTACGGTTCGTGCGGCGAGAATGTGGGATTTGACAGCCTCGTTGCCATACTGGCGCTTCTTCCTCCCCTGGCTGCGGGCAAGTTAGCTATGAAGCGTCAATTTGGGGCCGGGAGTCGCATACTCTCTTACTACGATGAAAGGACGACCCTGCTCATCCTTCAACATCGTAGCTGTGGGTAATGTTAGCATCGTCCTCGGTCGCGCAAAAGGCGGTGGTGGCGCTCACCGTTGTTCATGTCCAGATCTTGTGCGGGTTAGCTTCAGGGCCGTGTTTGTGTTGGCTATGGGGGAACTCACTCAACGACATTTTGGCGGCGAAATCGTCTTTGCGACGACTGTTGCTGGTAGGGGGGAGTTAAAAAACCTTGGAACAGCCAAAATATGTACCAAGGGTGGCAGTTGAATATAGCTCCAAGCTGTTCCACGCGAATCCGTAATTTTCGAATCTTTGGGGGGGGCATGCTGTAGCCTGCCGTTAGCGGGACGCGGCGAAATTAAAATTCCGCTACAAATGCTCACAACCCCTCGCAAGGTTCCACGCTGGCGTGTGCCCCGCGCAAGTGGCGGGACTTTGACTCTGCCCCTCCAAGATAGCTCTGAATAAGGTGCAACCTTTGCCTCTGCCAGCATTATTCAATATCGATTGGTGCCACTACCAGCTGCCCGCCGCTTACTTTTTTTGTATTTATATCCCTGTTCGTGTCTCTATTTTTTTTCTCTGCACTTTCCTCTCCGAACTTCACACCTACACAGCTATTTTCTCCTACGGTCGATGCTCTGACATCATTGTCCTGCACCATGGCCCCATTCGAAGACGACGATTTTTATGATCCTCATGAGGATGACTACGAAGAGGAAGACGATGGTCTGAGTCCTGAGGACAAGGTCTCTATGGCCAGGGGTACTGAAGAGGTGCAAAAGGCGCTCGGGCAAGACGCCAGCAAGGTGTCCGTCGCTCAAATACAGGAAGCCCTCTGGCATTATTACTACGACGTGGAAAAGTCGGTGGGCTACCTCCAAAAGACTTTCATTTCTCCGACTCCAAAGCCTACCCCTAAGAAGGCGGCGCCTGAAGGTAAGTCTTGCTTGGAATTTTCTTCCTCGTCACCTGTGGCATGCGGTGGCACCACTGGAGCAGACCACAAAGGGCGCGAATACGGAGGATACTATGCCGGGCTAGGCACATTTCAGAACTCAGCATTTCCCGGCTTTGAAGTCCCAGCTCTTTCTATGGAAGCGTTCTTCTCAGATATGCCATGGCTCCAGACACCTACCAACCGACAAACCACCTTTATTGCTCCATTCACACTGCGTGGTGGGTTGCTAGGGGGAAGTGACGCTGCCCCCAAAGTGTCCAAGCTTCAAGCTCTAGCTGCGGCTAGAAAGAAGAAAACGGAACAGAAGAAGGAATTCGAAAAAGAAATTGAAGCAGAGAGAGGACTGCAAGATTTGTCAATATCCAGTCGAAAACCTACTGGGAAAATGCGCACACCGCCTACCGAAGCTTCATCTGCAACGATACCAATGAGAAAGGGAACTCGTGTTGAATCAGAGCCTTCATCCACGTCCCAGCCTCCTTTACACGGCACTTCGGAGGTACCAATGAATGACATGGAAGGCCAAGTCCATTCAACCAGGCAATGGCCAACTCCGTCCGCCTTTGCGCAAACTTTGATCGGGTCTGCTCCTGGTGGAGGTCACAAATACAAACAAGATGTCTTTGCTATGACATATGCGTCATCGCCGACATACCTCGCGTCTGCATTCTCCGAGCCCAGTCCAGATGACATTGTGCTCGCAGCCCAGGCGAAAGGTTCGAACTTTGCGAGGGCAAAATAAGAGGCTAATTCTAATGTCTTTTCAGCCGGGAAAAAGGTCACACCAGCTCCCAAGTCGGCACCGAAGAAGAAGGCCGATGGTGCGGCAAAGGCCGATGACAAGCCGGACGATGTTACGAAAAAGGTTGCTGGTCTGAAGGTCAGCGATGTGCCACCACCAAAAACAAAGGGCTTGGATGTAGTTAAAGAATACGAGAAAAGCGGTGCCAAGAAAAGCACCAGCTTTGTGGTCGTCGGTACGTCGAATTGTTAGGTATATCATAGGGCACCACTAACCTTGCGCATAGGTCATGTTGACGCCGGCAAGAGCACATTAATGGGCCGCCTGCTTGTCGATTTGAAGTACGTTGACCAAAGAACCGTCGAGAAATATAAGAAACAAGCCGAGAAGAGCGGCAAACAGTCGTTTGCTCTGGCCTGGGTCATGGACCAGCGAAGCGAAGAGCGTGAGCGCGGTGTCACTATCGATATTGCCACCAATTATTTCGAAACCGACAAGACCAAGTACACAATCCTCGATGCGCCTGGTCACCGCGACTTTGTGCCAAATATGATTGCGGGCGCGAGTCAGGCAGACTTTGCCATCTTGGTCATTGATGCCAATACCGGCGCTTATGAGAAGGGACTCAAGGGGCAAACTCGGGAGCATATCTTGCTTCTGCGGTCCCTTGGTTTGCAGCGGGTTATTGTCGCTGTCAACAAGTTGGACATGGTGGGGTGGTCAAAAGACCGCTTCGAAGAGATCACTCAAGAGGTCACGGGCTTCTTGACTGGCCTAGGCTTTCAAGACAAGAATGTCGATTTTGTCCCTATCTCTGGATTGGACGGCGAGAATATTGTAAAGAAAATAACTGCCCCTGCGGCCTCTTGGTATCAGGGTGGAACCCTGCTCGATGCTTTGGAGGGTTCCGAGCCGACGACAGTTCGAGCGTTGAAGAAGCCTTTCCGCATGACGATTGCTGAGATTTTCCGCTCCGCACAACAGGGTACGACAACCTTGGCTGGTCGTGTCGATGCGGGAACCATCCAGATCGGGGACTCCCTTGTGGTGCAGCCAAGCGGAGAGACAGCCTACATCAAGTCCATCGTGGTCGATAAGGATGCACAGGATTGGGCTGTTGCTGGACAAAACGTCAGCCTGGCTCTCACGGACATTGACCCTATCCACATCCGCGCTGGTGACATTCTATGCCTCGCGACCAGTCCCATTCCTTGCAGTGACACCTTTACGATGAAGGCCATGGCCTTTGAGCATCTGATGCCCATGCCTGTGGATCTCCATCGAGGCCGCTTGCATGCCCCTGGCCAGATCCAGAGCATCACCGCCACGCTGGACAAGGCCACGGGTGAGATCATCAAGAAGAAGCCTAAGGTGATTCAACCCGGCGGGGTGGCTAGGGTGGTGATCAAGCTCGGCGAAAAGGTTCCTTTGGAGGCGGGCCAAAGAGTGGTTGTCAGAGCTGGTGGCGAGACGATTGCTGCCGGCCTGCTAGAATAGACTTGACGAGACAATGAAGCATATTTAGACTACTCCTTGACCATCACAAAGTGATCATCCGCAGTCAGAAGAAAAGGGGACGTTTTCAGAAGGCAAACAAGAACCCTAATGCTCCTAAGGCCGCCTAACATGGGCGCATGAAGGCAGCAAAGGCTCACGGTCAATTGCAGCTGCTCAGAACAATGCTGTTTGGTAGCCGCCATGGTGTCCTCCGCGTTTATCTGGCATCTATCCTGGCAACACGCTAGGCATTTTAACGCCACGATTCTTGGCCCTGGGGAATGACTGGAGCGGCGATTTACTGGCCAATTATGAATCAACAACAGTGCAATTTGGTAGCCTCGGAGTCACAGCCGTCGTAGCCCTGCTAACGGTCGTTGTGCAACTCCGTCACGTGTGCCTGGCGGCGTTCCCCCAGTTGCGTTATTACCAGGTGGCTTTTGCGATTCGCGGCTCTTGTAGAACTTCCAAAACACCCCTCAGCCCTTGAACGGTTCAGGTTTAGCCGGCTGGGGTAGCGCCAAACTAGCTGAGCCCATTGTTCCCAAGGTGAAGGACTCGGCTTGCGATCTGGCCTCCTGTGGGAGGACAACCAGCTTCGTCGTGTTTAGCGAATGGCGATGGCTTCCACGTCATTGCAGCAAGCCGACGGGCAAAGCCTTTTTTGTACGGTGATTCATAGCATGAGTCAGAAATGAAGAGACAGAAGCCTATGGAAACAAGCCGGCTGGCCAAAGGCAGATTGCCACGATGCGCGGTGGCGGGCGATGAGGCAATTGGCTAGACGGTGGAGCCGCGACGAGGGGGCTGGTACTGTACGGGCACTGTACGGATGCTGTGCTGCGAAACATAGCAACATGGGACTGCGTTGGTTCACCTGCAGCGAGATTATGCTTTGTTGTCACATACACGCTTATTACGGCCGTTTTTGTGCAAGACTTGAAAATCTATCACAAAATCGCAAACACCTCGGCGGTTAACCCCCCCGATACCCAAGCATCCTTTGTAGTGAGCATCGGCCGCGGACGAGGCTCCTTGGAGCTCTCCAACACTAGGGCTAGCTATGCCTTTGAAAACGATTAAGAAAGAGGCCGCAGCCTTCATTATCAGATTGTAAGACGGACATATGCTGTCTCGTCCAGTTGAGGCATATATATTGATGTCTAGCCGTGTTTCATCCAACGGCAGCGCCGTTGGGCACCTCTGCTTTGAAGTTCGAATCTTTCACCCGGCAGCTCCGAGATAGGAGGATTCTTGTAGTTATTTTTATACGTCAAAATCTGATTTTTGACCGTCTTCTATGTGGAAATGAAGAGGGCGCAACCTGAGCTCGCCAGGCTGGTCATCGTGTCTCGGGTCAGTACGCAGGCGTTGAAAGACACCACGCACGCTGAAGTTGGAAGGATTAGAAGCACTAGAGCATGTCGCCGCGTTTCCAGATCCTAACCAGCATCCATGGCGTTGGTACATACAAAGCTTGCCCACGCAAACTGCTACCGTGACATACTTCGTCATTGTGAGCGCTGGGAGTGCAACAGTGACGGTTGCGGCACGACTAGAGACGAATAAGAACAAATAAATTCTCCTACAACTCCCAAGTACAAAAATGCCAGAATAATTGGAAAAGGTTGAAGGGCTTGCATCAAGTCTCGTGCTTTGCAGGAATGTCTCATCCCTCGCACATCGGATGAACGCCTTTTGGTGATCCGGATCCGACGGGTAGGCGGGTTTTAAGACTTTTGACCGTCTTTACCCATATAAGCCATGTGATACAGGAAGAGGATTTACGAGGCGTCATGTAGGATGAGACAGCGTTCGTCGGGCAGTTCTAGGCCTCGTGGGATTCCGAGAGCTTTCGATTTGACACTCGTTCCTACTATCGCGGTGCATGTGGCTGCCATGACAAATAAATGATTATAAAAAGGGCTTCCTCGGGTGATATAAAGCATCGTATTGGGGTCGCAGAAGCTTTCGCAGATAAAATTCCTTACTCTTTCTCTGCGCATCAAATTTGCTACAATGTTCACGAGTGCCGTTACCAAGACCGCAGTTTTGGCTCTGGTCGCAGTTGGCGCTGTGTCATCCGCGCCTCTTGAGACGCGCGACCGCGATGACTTCAAGAACAAGATGCTTGAGGGGACCAACTGGTACCGCTCCCAGCATGGCGCCAAGGCTCTGTCTTGGGACCAAGATCTGGAGGACTACGCCGCCAACTACGCACGGGCTTGCCTCAAGCAACACTCCGTATGTTGAACAACAGTCAACCATGCGCACTTACACCTGCATGCGTACGCTGTTAGTGTGTGTCTTCTTTCGAATTTGGGGCTAATAATGAGTGCTTCCAGCGCGGTCCCCATGGAGAGAACCTCGACTGGTACTCTTACTGGGGCTCGCCGGCCAGCTATGTCAACGATTTTGGTCGTGAGCGCATCAATTTTGACTTCAACAACGGCGGTTTCGACAAAAGCACGGGCCACTTTACGCAGCTCGTTTGGAAGGACACGAGCCGGATGGGCTGCGCCTGGGCTGATTGCAGCTCCTGGTACAATATTGTCTGCGAGTATGAGCGCGCTGGCAACATCCGCAGCATCGAGGGCGACAACCGCTTCTACCGCGAGAATGTTGGCCGTCAGGTCTGGGGCAACATTAAAGATGAGTTCCAGGGTTAAACTTGAAGCGCTTCGCGCTTGGTTGAAGAACTTTTGGCTGCTCCTCCTCATAGCTTGACTACACATAGCCATAGTATTGCAGACGCTGCACATCTGTGCTGAGAACATAAGTAGCGTTTATAACACAGGACTGAAGGACACAAGAAAAAAGAAATACAGGATATAAAGAATAAGGAGGAAAATAAGAAGAATAAAAATACTAGACACGACTTGTAAAGGCGACCTTCATATAAAGAAACCGTGTTCACGCAGAGATGGTAGGTGTCAAATTGCACAAGCGCCAGCACAGTGCAAACAAAGACTCCACCTACCCCACCAAAAGGCCCCTGTCACGTGGGGGCAACTCCCTGATGGCCACCGCTTAGCGCCTTTCCTGTACCTTACAGGTGAAATCTGGCCTTTTTGTACCATCTGGACACCTCGACAATTTTTTGGGTCCCAGACCTCATAAAGTCAGCCCGGCCCGGAGTCACCACCACTTCTTTCCACCTCCAACCTTCACTTCATCTCCATCATCTTTTTTTTATCCAATTCTTTTCTACACAAAGCGAAGATCACACACATTGCCTACAATGGCTCGCCACTCCCGCAGTTCGATGGCCCTGGGCCTCGGACTCTTGGCTTGGATCGCGCTCCTCTTTGCGCCCCTCGCCTTCGTTCAGACTGTCAACGCAGAGGTCGCCGACCAAGAAAACTACGGCACCGTCATTGGTATTGTGAGCAGCTCTCTCCCAAGCTTTCGCGCCCGACAGCTTCCCCTCCGACCCACGCGCTCTCGTGTCCTCCTCGACCTTGACAGCTAACAGCTCCCAGGATCTGGGTACTACCTACTCTTGCGTCGGTGTGATGCAGGGTGGCAAGGTCGATATTCTTGTCAACGATCAGGGTAACCGTATCACTCCGTCTTACGTCGCCTTCACCGATGAGGAGCGGCTGGTAGGTGATTCCGCCAAGAACCAGGCCGCCGCAAACCCCTTCAACACCATTTTCGATGTCAAGTAAGCGCTCCCCATGGAGCATTGTCTGCCCCAGCAATTCCTAACCGCTTCCAGGCGTCTCATCGGTCGCAAGTTCAACGAAAAGGATGTCCAGTCCGACATGAAGCACTTCCCCTACAAGGTTATCTCCAAGGATGGCAAGCCCAACGTTCAGGTCGAGGTCAACGGCCAGAAGAAGCAGTTCACTCCTGAGGAGGTCTCTGCGATGATTCTTGGCAAGATGAAGGAAGTCGCCGAGTCTTACCTCGGTAAGAAGGTCACCCACGCCGTCGTCACTGTCCCCGCTTATTTCAACGTAAGAGTCTCACCGCCAGTTCCCGTTGTCATTGCAGATTCCTAACCCTCCCCGCAGGACAACCAGCGCCAGGCTACCAAGGATGCTGGTGTTATCGCCGGTCTCAACGTTCTCCGGATTGTCAACGAGCCCACCGCTGCCGCTATCGCCTACGGTCTCGACAAGCAGGACGGTGAGCGCCAGATCATTGTTTACGATCTTGGTGGTGGTACTTTCGATGTCTCTCTCCTTTCCATTGATGATGGTGTCTTCGAGGTTCTTGCCACTGCTGGTGACACCCATCTTGGTGGTGAGGACTTTGATCAGCGCGTCATCAACCACTTCGCCAAATCCTACAACAAGAAGAACAGCGTTGACATCACCAAGGATGCCAAGGCCATGGGCAAGCTCAAGCGCGAGGCTGAAAAAGCCAAGCGTGCTCTGTCTTCGCAGATGACCACCCGCATCGAGATCGACGCTTTCTTCGAGGGCAACGACTTCTCCGAGACTCTTACCCGCGCCAAGTTCGAGGAGCTCAACATGGATCTCTTTAAGAAGACCATCAAGCCTGTTGAGCAGGTTCTCAAGGATGCCAACGTTAAGAAGTCTGAGATTGACGACATCGTCCTTGTCGGTGGTTCTACCCGTATCCCCAAGGTCCAGGCTCTTATTGAGGAGTACTTTGGCGGTAAGAAAGCCTCCAAGGGCATCAACCCCGACGAGGCCGTGGCTTTCGGCGCGGCGGTCCAAGCTGGCATTTTGTCTGGTGAGGATGGAACTGACGGCCTTGTCCTTATGGATGTCAACCCGTTGACGCTTGGTATTGAGACTACTGGTGGCGTTATGACCAAGCTGATTTCCCGCAACACTCCTATCCCTACTCGCAAGAGCCAGATTTTCTCGACTGCCGCTGATAACCAGCCTGTCGTTCTTATCCAAGTATTCGAGGGTGAGCGTTCCATGACTAAGGATAACAACATCCTTGGCAAGTTCGACCTCACCGGCATTCCTCCCGCTCCTCGTGGTGTCCCTCAGATTGAGGTTTCCTTTGAGCTGGATGCCAACGGTATCCTCAAGGTCTCTGCTCACGACAAGGGCACTGGCAAGCAGGAGTCCATTACTATTACCAATGATAAGGGCCGCCTCACTCCTGAGGAGATTGAGCGCATGGTTGCTGAGGCTGAGAAGTACGCCGAGGAGGACAAGGCTACCCGTGAGCGCATCGAGGCCCGTAACGGCCTCGAGAACTACGCCTTCAACCTTAAGAACCAGGTCAACGACGAGGAGGGTCTTGGCGGCAAGATTGACGACGAGGACAAGGAAACTATCATCGACGCCGTCAAGGAGACTCAGGAGTGGCTTGAGGAGAACGGCGCCGACGCTACCGCCGAGGACTTCGAGGAGCAGAAGGAGAAGCTGTCCAACGTCGCCTACCCCATCACTTCCAAGATGTACGAGGGTGGCGCTCCTGGCGGCGAGGAGGCTGACGCCGACTTCCACGACGAGCTGTAATCACATAGACGATTGGGATATGAGGTATTAGAGGGTGTTTTTGATTTAGGGCTACGGCGTGAAAGACAGCGCATGTATTTGTAAAACAGCCTGTGTCTTTTATTTTAAAAGTATACCCATACGAAGTTTGCGCCTTACAGTGAGTGCATGCTTGACGAGAAAGTGAGTGAATTGCCAATTTGTGTTTGTTGTGTTGGCTCGCAGCCGTTTGCACATGCAGGTGAGTTCACGTTTCGCTTCTCTCCCTCTCCCTCTCTTCTCTTTCATTGTCTCTCTTCTCTTCCTTATCACTCATCTTTTATCTCTCTTCCTTCCTCTATCCGTCTCCTTTTCTCTATCCCTCTGTTTGATATCTTCTCACAACCCCAGTCACCGTCCTCACATCGTCCCACACTTTCATCTCGCAGCATCAAAGGCATTGTCCTAATGGCACGCCCAGTGAAAAGAGCAGCCTCCGAGGAGCAGCATGCTCCCAAGAAGCGGTGCACGTCACGAGGCCCTCATACCCCGCCCGTGTCGCGCGATCACAATGTCAAGCCCTTCAACATCCAAGACGCCAGGGTGTCATCGGAGAAGCTCAGTCAGGCACTCCTGGGCAGCACATCGGGAGCAGGCCGAGAGCCTTCCCCCTCTGCGGAAGGAACACTCCAGCCCGCACCTAGGATGCTCAGTGCGCCGCCAGCCCTCAGCCCGCCAGAGAAGCTCTCAAGCATCGTGCGGAAGATCCCCGCCTCCTCAGGCTCGGCAGACATGGACCTGAGTGATGACAGCGCTCCGGCGTCAGACCCTGACAAGAACACGGCTACGGCAACGCGTAACTCCACGCCCGCTACAGAACATAAAGAGACACCCGAGGAGAATGTCACGGCCGACATGGATGAAGCCGAAACGGGATCAGAGCCGGGATCAGAGATGGACGAAGACGAGGTGGAGACGCCGGCCACCGAGACCGAGAGCGTGGCCGCAGAGACCGCGGAGCAGGATATGGATTCCAGCGATTCGGAGTCAGATGACGTTGAGATGAGCACTCTGCCAGACCAATTCATTGACATGACCGGCGGCGAAAGTGAACTTCACGCCTCCAGCTCCCCCGAATCCCTCGATGAGGAGCCCCTTCCCCCAGCCGTCTTCCAAATCTCTGACATCGACGACGCCGACGACGCTCGTCGGCGCCTCGGGGCGGTCGAGCGGCTCATCGGGCCCGCTGCGTTCGACAAGATCCCCCGGAACGCCTGGCGCTCGTACATGGCCCAGCTGGAGCGGCAGCGCACCAGGCTGCGCGCGATGAACCACGAGAACCGCCTGAACCACATCAAGCGGATCATTTACCTGGCCGAGGAGATGGAGCTGCTGTACTACGGCGACGCGGAGCGCATGACCTGCGCGATACACCTGTGCAGGGTCGTCACGGAGGTCCTGGGCTCCGACGACGAGGCCATCAACAGGGAGATGAGCGCGTGGGTCGATATGCACACCCGGGACATTGTGTGGAAGCTCAAGCTGACGGCGGCGGCTCGCGATTTATTGCCCATCTCGAGGGGCGCGGTGCGGGACGGAGGTGATGGACTACACATGGACGGGGCGTGAAGTTTGGGCTGGCGGCGCGTTGCTTCTGCTTTTGGGGGAGTCGGGGAATAGGGACTTTTGATTATCAATTTTGCTTTTTACACCAGTTGCCGAGCTCAGCGAAAATGTACGCGACCATGGGATTGGCGGCTACCTACCAATGGATTGAAATAGTGATAGGTTGCCTTGGGCGTTTGCACCGAACGAGTACCCAGGAAAAGGGGTATGAAATCGAGGGAATATGAAGCCAGATCTAAATCATATGCTCCAACTAGGTATTATTATATCCAATATCCAAATTCCACTCGAACAACCGTTGTGTTTCAATGAAGATCTTGCCCTGTAGGGTAAGTTCCTGTCACGTGCACACGCGCAACTGGCCGTCGCGTGCCGTCGCGACTTATTAGTCAGTCTTGCGCGTTCATCCTTGGACAAGTATGACGACATGAGCCCGCTTGACTTTTGAGCTTAACAACGGTTGTTTACACGAAACGGTGGAAAACGTTGAAAGACAGCTAGGGGCCTAATCTTCTTTCAACTTCTCGCTCTATTCCCCTCTGTTTCGCTACTCCTTTGATAAAAAAAAGAAAATGCCAGCCCGCAAGCGCGCGGCGGAGGAACCCGCAACAGCCCGTTCCGGGACGTCCTCACGGCGCCGGTCCGGCCGAATCTCTGACGCGCCCAAGAAGAGCTCATACTGGGAGGGCTCGGACGATGATGAGAGTGGCGCTTTCGAGAAGCCGATGAAGAAGAGGAAGTCTGGCGCTTCCAATGGCCTTCGTGCGAGTGCCGCCGCACGGAAGCAGGAGAGCGACGGGGACGAGTATACGGCGGAGGCGCAGACTGCAGAGGAGGAGGATGAAGGCGACGACGAGGGCTTTGGGGAGCAAGAGAATGAGAACAGGCCGATGAAGGTGACGGTCGTGCCGCTGGAGAAGCTGCGCGACGACGGCGGCGTGCCGTACGAGGACCACAAAGTGCACAAGAACACGCTGCTCTTTCTCAAGGAACTCAAAGCCAACAATCGACGACCGTGGCTCAAAGGTAACCCCCCTTTCCTTTTCTCCCACCACCCTTCTTCTTTGAAATGCCATGCTAAAAAGAACAGCTCACGACGGCGAGTACCGACGCGCGCTCCGCGACTGGCAGACCTTCGTCGAGGCCTCCTCGCTCACCGTCTCCGACGCCGACGCCACCGTTCCAGCCGAGCTGCCCGCCAAGGACGTCGCCTTCCGCATCTACCGCGACACGCGCTTCAGCCGGGACCCGACGCCGTACAAGCCGCACTTTGCGGCCGCGTGGTCGCGCACCGGCCGCAAGGGCCCCTACGCGTGCTACTACGTCCACTGCGAGCCTGGTAGTAGTAGTGGTAGTGGTAGTGGTGGTGGTGGTGCGGGCAGAGGTGCACGCGGCCGCTCGTTTATTGGCGGAGGGCTGTGGCATCCGGAGGCCGGCCACGTGCGGAAGCTGCGCCGCAGCGTGGATCGCCACCCAGAGCGCTGGAGGGCGGTGCTGGGGGAGGAGCGCCTCAGGAGGGTCTTCTTCCCGCAGGTCAAGGCCTCGACGAAGGGCGGCGGCGGTGGTGTGGAGGAGGCGGCGGTCAAGGCGTTTGTGGGCAAGAATCAGGAGAATGCGCTGAAGAAGAGGCCAATGGTGAGTCTTTTATATACGACCGCATGAAAATACTTTTCGGCTTGGACTACCATCCTCCACGGGCCGTTTGCTGACACGTGTGCGAAAAAAAAAAGGGATACGAGGCCACGCATCCCGATATCGAGCTGCTCAAGCTCAAAAACTACACCATTGGCGTTCCGATTGACGATGATATGCTGTGCGGGGACGACGCGCAGGAGAAATTTGCTGAGTATATCGGCGCAATGGAGGGATATGTAAGTCGAGAGAACCTGCGAAAGGTGGGCGGACGTGTGTGCCTAGAGAGAACTGACGTTGTCGTAGATTACGTTTCTGAATAGCATTGTCATGCCGGATCCTGGACTCGACCAAAGCGATAGCGAAGACGATTCCAACGAGGATGACGATCAAGATAATGACTAACTCCGAAGCTTCCGAACAGGCAGCATCAATTAAGCAAAAAAACGTCGGCGCTTCGTGTTTCAGCATGACTTTGTATCTCTATGCATGTACATATATGTATTGAATAAATTACGCAAAATGGCGTTAAATAATAAATTCATCATACAAACAATCTACGATTCCCACGCACCATCCGCTCTACGCGCAGCCGCAGACGTTGAACAGGGCCACGCTGGGATCGTGGTCGCTGACCTGACCGGCATTGTCCTGCCAGGTGTTGAGATGGAGGTGCTCAAACTTGGCGTTCTTGCGGAGGGCCTGGCTGGCGTACATGTGGTCGAGAGTTTGGCAATTCATGTCGAAGAGGTAGCTGTAGCGCTCCTCCGGCGGGGTGCTGACGATATCGTCCATGTTGGTCAGGCCGGACTTGGCGGCGAAAACTCGCATGGGCTGGACCTGGGAAAACTCGTTGAAGTCACCGGCAGCGATGACGCGCGCCTTGGGGTCCTTGGCAAGAATGTCGGCAATGAACGCCTGAGACTTGGTCAGCTTTGGCTTTGTCGGTACTTTATAGTTAGGAAGGACTTTAACATACGGCGGCAGCCTCGTTCTGGCTAGTGCGCTTATCAACACCGTTGTTCAAGGGAGGGCGCTGGTCACCGTGGAGAGTGGACGAGCCGCCTTTGCTGCCCATGTGCACGTTGACGGTGAAGAAAGGCTTGCCACCCTTGAGCGTCTTCCACTGCGCGGCGAGGGGCTTGCGGCTGTTGGCGTACGCCTGGTTGCTGGGATCGATGCGGCCGGGGTTGTACTTGAGCGCGGGGCCGTCGAGAACCTCGTTGGCGTCGGTGCTGCCGCCTTGGTTGGGGTTGTAAAGCTGGACAATGTCGGAGCGGTACAGGTACACCTGGCGGATGTTGCCGCCGACCTGGCCGCCGTCTTGGTTGTTGACCGGGTCGACTCCGGTGAAGTTGTAGCCCACGCCCGACTCCCTGAACAGTGCGTCGGTGAGGGTGGTGAGGGTGAGGCGGGCCGAGGTGACGCCATTGTTGGTGGGACCCGAGTCGTCCTGGACTTCCTGCAGGAAAATGAGGTCGGGGAGGCGGAGCTTGTGGACAATCTGGTCGACGACAAGAGGCAGATGGGCCGAGTCAGGGGCCAGGTTCTCGGCGTTGTATGAGGCGACGGTGATACCCCTGCAGTTGCCGGTGCTGCTGAAGGCAACAGGAGGGAACTCGGTGCTGGCCGGGGTGGCGACTGCGACGGCCGTAAGGGGCAGCAGACGGTAAAAGCCAAAGGCGTTGTAGACAACACCGGTCACATCACCGATGTAGTCGCCGAGCTTGGTGTTGTTGGGGTTCTTGGAGCCATCGAGGGGAGAGCCGATGATGATGGTCTCGGGGTTGGCGTCTAGTGTGTTTTAGTAAACGAAGCGAGAAACTTGAGTAACCAGAGCGCCCACCTCCTTCCAGCATGGTGATGCCGCCGTGCGAGTTGACACCTGTCGTGTTCCAGTCGCCGCGCACCCAGACGTCGCCAAAGTTGTTGGGACGGCTGGTCTGGTATGCGCCCTTGACGGTGACCAGTTCGCCGAGCAGACTCTGCCAAAAGTCAAGGCCATACTTGCTCGGGTCGAGGATAGGGTTGGACGTGGAGACGAGATTGACGGCATTGGGTACGCCAAAGATGCCACCGACATCAAGGCCGGAGTAGTCCTGCGTAGGAGGCGAGAGGGTGTCGAGGGCAATGACCAGAGGCTCGACACGGTTGCCGCTAGAGCGGACGACGACATTCGTGGGACGGCTGAGCTCGGTGAGCTGAATGTAGTTCTTGTTGGACCTAACCCCGTCTCGAGTTAACATGTGCGGACGCCGTTTTGGCGGATAGCCATGCTTACCTATACATCTCCACATGGCCGTTCAGCGAGATGATGTCGCCGACCTTGACGCTGCCGAGAATGGTCTTGCCAAAGACGTAGAGGCCCTCCGAGGTGCGGGTGTCATTGTCCGGCTGCAGTGCGCGGAGCCAGATGCCGTTCTCGTTGGACGCGGTGACAAGGCCGGTGACATTTGTGACGTCCTTGCCATTGAGCGGCGACACAAAGCGATTGCCGTTGATCTCGGCAATGGTGACGGCCACCGCCGAGGAGGCAGCAGTCAGGGCCGCGCCCAAGAAGCCACCCAGAGTCGCGTGCTTCATTGTTGAACGGGGGCGGCAAATTATCGTCGTATCTCTCAGTTGAATGTTGAGGAGGGAACGTTTTCCATCAAGGGCACTTGACGTCCCTCGTGAGATATTTGTATGCAGCGATGCTACCCTCCTCGCGCGCCATCCCCTCTCGTCACCGAAGGATCCAATATCCAGCAAGCCATAGTAGCACTTTTTTTTTCAGCTGCAGATTTGGACGAGGCCGTTTGGCGATGGACACAAAAGGCCCTCTTGGATTTCTTGGCTCGGACTTGATGGCGTTTTTGGCGCGAGACGGATAAGAAAACGTGGGCTTGGCCAGCTCTCTCAGGACGCGGGGAGGGACAAGTCTGGGTCTGAGCCCATCTGCATTGGCGAAGCTTAATGGCCTTTTGTGTAGCTGATCGATCTAACCATGCAGCTGGAGAGCCGCATATTTTGTCCGAGATGAAATTTTGAGAAATCGGGCTTCACATGGATAGCTTGTGTTTTATCTTGCCGATCACGTCCTGTTCGTTGACGTTTATCTTGGGGGTGTTGTCGATCGGTGGTCGCCGATGAGGGGAAATGAAGGAACCATGGAATGGGGGCCGTCAGTCTCAGAACATGCTTAAATTAACAGTTGCCGCGACTAGCCTATAGTAGGGGATAGGGACCTCGCCGCTGGAAAATCTCCGCTAGGAAGCGTCGGGACCCCACTAAAGGCTGCTAAAGGCCGCTAAAGGCCGCTAAATTCCACTAAAAACAGGCCTTAATAGGCAAGTCCAGTTCGCGGCTGGCAACTTGCACTGCTAATATGCTTGGATTGCTTCACGTGTTGCGATTTCTGACCAGGAACTCCTTGGATTTAATGGCAAACCGCTCGAGAATTTCAATATTGGATTGTTATTCGTCCATGGATCAGTTGACAGCTCATGCAGCTTGACAAGTCCACATCTCCATTGGCCGGAGCACATCCGGGCCCACATCTTCCACCCCTTTTGGCTGACCACCTTCACCTTCTCGTGTCCGAACCTTCTTTCCTGTCGCACCTCCCAAGATGGCCACAAGAAACTTTCTTGATAAATCAACGTTATGCATAGCCACCAGGTTTCTCGATATCATACGATTCAGAAACAACAGCGCGGTAGCGACACTTGTGACCTTTTCAGGAGTAGAGCCTCCCGTGCCAAGTGTCGAGTCGAACGGCCTACATGGGGAATTTGTCTGAACCAGGGATGATAACTCGGCAGGTGCCACACTACCAATAGACTGACCGCAATAGAAAAGCCAAGCAAAACGACCTGTTACATGCATCAGCGAAGGCGATGTAACTGCATCGTACCTTTGTTCCCGCCCCTTGCAGTCTTGACTGCGACGGAGAGCACACGCGAAGCAATACCCAATATAGATGGGACCTTGAGCAGCTGACCTTGCGTCTATTGTCAAAGTCGAGAACCGAGATTATGGTCGCCAAGCACAATTGATGGCAAACTATAGCGTGAAATCAGCCTGGGAGGCTACGCTGGACCGCTATAATACGCCTTTTGCTAAGTTGAATCGTCTTTGCGGGCTCCATATCTCGCCTCTTGTGGCCGCTTCCGTGGTATACGACGAGACCAAATCAATACAACGGCCCAATTCGCCGGGCCAACGCCGTATGAGCCACTTCAAAGACGGTACAATTCTCGGTCCACGATTAGTAAAAGAACGCGTTCAGATCCACCTTGAGCTATACCGGACCGCGGGTCATACCAATATCATCACCTATCCCGACCGCGGACCGCACGGGTACTCCCGTATGTGCAACTGAAAAACGAGGCTCAAAGATGAAAGACAGCAGGCTGAGCCATGGATAACGCCTGATTCTGTCGTGTTAAGGCATCAATCTTGCCGCGTCGGTGATTCTCGGTCTTGGCCAAGACATGGTCGGGGAGCGGTCAGGTTCAACCCAGGTTGTACCTATTCTGCCCCTTGCACCATGGCCTTACGTATACGGCCGTGACTTAGAACAACTATAAAGGGAAGGATTTCCAGTCCTGAAGTGTTCGATTTGTAACCAAAAGCAGCCCTAGACGCCGAAATCACCGACTCACCTCCACTATACTGTCAACTCTGTCCACCCTCAAAGATGAAGTTCCTCGCCACCCTTGTCCTGCCCTACCTCGCCGGTGCTGCGGCCATTAACGGCCGGGCCGACGCCACCGGCCCCTGTTCCTGCAAGGGCGCTACACCGGGAACCGATGCCGACGCCGCCGCCACCTACCTCTGCGCGGACGCCCGCCTGGGCCCCAAGCAGCTGCCGACCAAGCTACCCCTCGGCAGACTCGTCTCGGGCTATAACCGCCTCGGCCGCGACGACGTCACAGTTGAGCAGTTCCTTGCCAACTGGACCGGGCCCGACGGCAAATATAAGTACCCACCGCAGAATGGCTTCACGCTCGACGACAACGGCAACGCTATCAACGGGACGATGCAGCTCGAGGTCGGCACCCTCATTGACCGTTTCGGTAGCGAAAGGGGTAAATTCCTTCCTTTTCTTGCTTACCCCTTCCTATTATCAGGTCAATAGATGCTAACCAGCACGCCGATGAACAGGCCAGTACGTCACGGCCGCCAGCGCCCCCTACTCGCAGCGCTCGCTCCCGCCGTCCAGCCTGAAAACGGACCCCAGGAACCCCGACTTTCCCAACGGCTACCACCTGTACAAGGTCATCCGCCCGTTCACCGTCGTCGGCGGGCCCATAGCGCCCTGGTTCGGTCAGCCGGGCCTCGGCGCGCAGTTCTGGACCGGCAAGGTCGGCACCATCCTCCAGCTCATCACCGACGGCTACATTGAGCGCCAGGACCCGTCCATCTTGCTCAAGCAGTCTAGTGCCTGTACCGTGGGAACGGGTGCCTAATAGTGAAGCGAGGAGAGCGAGTAAACGGCGACACCATGGAAGTGGGAAGCAGAAGGTTGGAGATAGCAGGGATGGTTCCTGATGTATTACACTTGATGTATCGATTTAAACAGGAAACTCTTTCCTCTCAACACACAAGTGCCGATAACTCCCAGTACTCATGAGATCAGTACCCAAAATCTTCCCATACCACATTCTCCCGGTCAAGCCAATCCTGTAGTGACCGCAGAAGCCCCGGCCCCGTGCACAAGTAAAACTTGGTCTCCCGTCCGCCCAGCGACTTGACATCCCCCTCCGCGATCCTCCCGTACCGCAGCTCTTTTACGCCCTGCCGGCGAATCTCCCGTATCATCTGGTCGTCCGCCCCGTCCCCCGACACAAACAGCGTCGTCACCTCCGCCAGCCCCGCGATCCGCGCAAACGTGTCCGCCGCCAGCGGCAGGTCCTCCGCGCGCAGGCCCCAGAGCAGTCGTAACCGCACGCCCGCCTCCAGCACGTCGCGCGCCTGCGCCAGCAGCGGCGTGATGCCCACCCCGCCCGCCACGAACACCGGCTTCGCAGCGGCGGCGGCGGCGGCGGCGGCGGCGGTGGTGGTGGGTAGGCGGAAGGAGGCCTCTCCACCGAAACCGAGCACGGGCAGCTCGAGAGGGGCGCGCAGGTTCTGCCTCCAGAGCAGGTTCGTCGCCGGTCCGCGCCTGCGCGCCGTGATTTGCATCTCCACCACCTCGCCCTTGCTGTCTGTGGGCGGCTGGTTCGACACGGTAAAGGTGCGTATGAAGTCGTCGTTGAGGCTCTGCGGGTCGTCGTCTCGCATGTGCGCGTACCCGTGGTCCAGCTCCCCCGAAAAGTCGAGCGTGGCGTGCTGGCCCGGCCGCCAGCGGCCGGCGGAACCGGCCAGTGAAAACGTGAACCGGCTCACCGTCGGCGACAGCACCTCCCTGCCCTTCAACGTCGCCGTCACGCCCGACTGCTGCTGCCGCGGTTGCACAGATAAGGGGTCGCGCTCGGAGAGCAGGTGGCGCACGGGCGGGTTGTACGGGGACCGCTCGAGGGGCGCGCCGCGAAAGGGCAGGCCGCGACGGACGAAGCGCGCGGCGGCGACGCGCACTTGCACGGCGAGTGCGGTGCGCGCCATGACGGCCGAGGCGGCGTCGCCGACGAGGATGGACGCGGAGCCGGTGAGGTACAGCACGTCCGAGGTGTCAAAGTCGGGAACGACGATGCCGACCAGCGGATTGACGTTGAGGTTGCCCAGGGTCTGGTACAGACGGTTTCCGGAGTCTAAGTTTGTCAGTGAAAATCTTGGAACACGGAGAGAAAAAAAAAGAACTTACACTCTGGGTACACGAGCACGGCCTCGTCGGCTTCGTTCTTCAGCACCCGCACAAAGCCCGCCGGGCCTCCCCGGTGGTTCGTGTCCATGCTGTCGCCGTTGGTGCTCGATAGGAAGAACATGTCCGCCTTGTCTAGCAGCCGCGTCGCCTCCTCCGGTAGCATCATTCGCGCCCCTTCCACCACCTCCGTGTCCGCGCCGTACGCACGCGGCGTCACGCGCTTCTTGTTCAGGTACTTTGGGCAGTTGCCCAGGCTCTCCGCCACCAGCATCGCCACCTGGACCGTGCCTGCCGACGCGTCCGCCGACCCGGCCACCATGTGCCCCATGATCTTGACCCGGTCCCTCGTCTCCAGGTCCACCGCCAGCGTCGCCATCATCCTGCCACCGCCGTCGCCCGGCCGCACGGTGCCGCCGCGCGCCGCCGCCTCGTCGCCGCCCCAGAGCGCGCCGTACCGTACGACGGCGGTAGGCCCGCCGCGGTCGGGTTCCGGCCGGCCGGCACCTTGAGCATGGACCGCACCGCGGCCTCGCCCGTGTGAAAGGTCTCTAGTCGGGCCGGCATGATGATGCCGGTGTCGTGTCGGTAAGGGATATCGTCAGTGTTGAGCTGAAAGATGCGATCGGGTTGGAGGAGGTGCGGGATCGCGGCCAAGATGGATGCGTTGACGTGCATCTACGGAGGTGAGGAGGGGTGGGCTGGTGAGTGTTCAAGTACGATTTCATCGGGCTGATGATGTTTTTGTCTCAACGGTGCCCAAAGCTTATGCAATAGTTAGGCACGTATGCATATTCGGCTTGCAATGGCGACATTGCATCAGCTCATGGGATTAGCAATGTCAATGTTAGGGCGAGGTAGGGTTACAAATCAAAGCCGCGTTCGTTGATCGCCTTCCACATGCCCCGCCTGCGTCTGCCCAACTTGCCTAATCGGGCGGCCTCGAGTGGAATCATTTCATGGCTGCTTTTTGAAGTTTTCAAGCAATGATGTAGTACCAGTAGTAGAGAAATCAAATTGCGGTAATCCAACACGTAGTTGATGTTACAAGGGAGAAAGTTCATTCATGTCTTGGCAACGTCGATATTATTTAGTATGTTCATGTACTATCCTGTTCTGCAATTTCCAGCATCAGTAGCCGCCTTGTTGTGCGTGCGTTGGGTATCTTATCGTACTGTAAATGGGCTTTTTCTTTGCCACTCATAAATCTCGAAACTATGGAAATGAAGGATGAGCTTGATCGGCTTTGAACTTGCAATTGCTTCCTCTGTCCTTCCCCATACTGCCCCTCCACATCATATGACTCTGAATTGCTCCAGTGGCTGGGAGACTACCAGCGTCCATTTCCAGATCCAGGTCCTGCTCGATTGCGCTGGCTGGGAGGAACCCAGACACCATTTATAAACTCTTCACCGTCTCTTTTAGGAGAAAACGCTGTGTTTGGCGGTAGCGAACCCTGTTGGAAGTACGGATCCGTTGTTGCTGATCGGGTAGGGACCGGCGCAGTCACGGATCTTTGTGTTGGATACATCGGCCCGCCTGTTGTGGCGCTACGAACTGGCAGAGGCATTGGGTTTCCGTATTGATCGGCAGAATATGGGTTCCCTGAGGTGGGACTTTGCCGTCTCGCATTGGGATCAAATGGCTGATATTGATTCGGCGGCTGTGGTTGAGGTGTAGCATTGGCAGCTCCCCGGCGGAATCCGCGCTCGGAACCATCGTTTGAAGATCCAACGCTTCGTTGAGAGTTCGATGGCCCGAGTCCAGAATGGAGATTTGAGCCTGCGATGGTGAGCGGCGGCAAGTTCGGCTGTCCCAGACCGCGACTAGGCTCCTCTCCCAGCACAGGCATGGGTGTTGGGGCATTGCCGTACGGATATTGATTGCCCGCGCCGGACCATGAAGCTTGGCTGTGTTGTGACATGGCTGTTCCAGGCCGCTGTGACATCATGCCCGGAGCCATACTTCTCTGCGACGTGGCTGTTCCTGGTCGTTGTGGTGGCATCATACCAGACACTTGGCTTCTTTGTGACATAGCAGTGCCGGGACGCTGTGGCTGCACCATGGGTGGCTGAGCCGACACTGGCCCATACCCCATGTCCGCCGCAGCACTCATTAGAGGCACTGTGGGAGAGTAGCTAGAATCAGAGCCGTTGGTTCCACTGCGACCGAGAGCAGACCTGTTTATGCTGCTCAGTTCGATACCGCCTGGGGTATTTGGACGGGTTTGGTAGGCTGGGAGTGTTGTCCCAGTGTCGGAGCGGTTTAGCATTGGCATGCCCTGTAGTTTGTCGTCGGCGAGGGCTTCAATGTCGGGCAAAGTCGCAGCGCGTTCTGGCTGCAAGGTTTCGCCAGTCATCTTGGCAGCCTTCGCCTCTGCCTTCATCTTTTTGGCTTCATTTTTAGCAAGTGCTTTGTTGACCCTCTTTGTGACGATGGTCAACAGCGCTGCATTGACCTTGCGTTCACAGTAGCCAGTCAGGCCTCCGTCGGCTCGAGGGATCCAGTGAAACAAGAAGAAGACGTAAAAGAGGACAGAGAGAAGGAGAAAGATGAGAGAAAATGCCCAGACGACAAACGTAAAGGCCATGCCCGACAAGATGACGACTTGGCGAGAGTCTTCCTGAGCAAGAACCTTGACCTTGTCAAAGAAGCCAAGAAATGCGCCATCGACAGAAGTGGCCTGGGTGGCGAGCTTGGCTTCGTAGACAGACTTGAGAGTGAAGGCATTGATGACCTGGCGAGGCCCAGAGCAGACCAAGACGCGGATCCAAGCTGGAGCGAGCGTGTTAGCCAGCAGGTGGAGGATGGAATTAAACATAAAACTTACACTTGAAGCTGAAGTAAGTAAAGAGTGCAATGTAATGAGCTCCTTTTTTACTCTGGGTCAATGCAGCAAATACGAGGAATCGGCGCCATCCTTGGGCTTTGCCGACGCGGATCGACTCCCAACGGACAGCAAGAGGATCCATATAAGACTCGGCAATGTTGTTTCGCCTGATGACACGGGTAGCGCGGATGGCCTCGTAGCCAAGGTTGATAAAGGAGAGTATGATGCAAACGGTAAAAATCCATTTGGAGACATCAAAGGAAATGGCAGGTCGGATGGCGGAAGACCACCTGTTGAAGGCAATCAGCTGGACCGCGGTGAAGCTGTCAATGGAGTAGACGGCAATAGAGATGATGAGAGAGAACCAGAGATAGCCATAGGCAAAAGGGGTACCGCAGCCAGAGGCCTTGAAATCTTGAAGATTAATGTAGTCCCATTTCTGCTCGGCAAACTCGCGAGTCTGCTTCTTTCGGTTCCCGCAACAGCAACAAGCCATGATTACTGTCGGCCAGCCAGACAAGTGATGATGGGATGCGACGTGGCGGAAAAATCGGCAATTGGAAAATGGCTCTGGAGATACTGAACGGGCCTGCCGATGGCACAAGTCGCCTTCGCCTGCGAAGGATCGACTGTGGTGGTAAGGCGCGGTAGAGAACGGCGAGGGTGAATGACGGTGAGCGAATGTGATGGAGTGGTGGAGTATGAGTTAAAGAAGGTCGGGTATCGTTGTGTCACGTTTCGAGCGTCGAAGATTTGTGCTGCTTAAATTAAAGCTGAGAGATAAACATGTCGCACAGAAGCAACAAGTGAATCTGGCGGGCCGGGGGTCTTGCATCCGAAGCTCAGACGTCGGAGACGAGAGTTATGTTTAGGATCCCGTGTAAAGTATCGGAGGAAGCTGCAAACGGAGACAGGAAAGGGAAGAGGGAAAAAGAAAAGAAAGAGGCCGGCCAAGTTTTCTCAACTCGGGGAACAATGGGCCAAGTCGGGAAGCTGGGGAATGGGCGAATGGTGGCGCAATCGCGAGGCTGGTTGAAACCGGACGAGACGAGACAATGGGGTTGTTAGTGGACGAGCCCGAAAGAGGAGAGGGTGCTCCGTAATAGAGAGAGGGTGCTGGGTCAGCCGTAGGGGCTTGAAGCAAAGGAGAATGATGAAGAAAAAAGCGAGCGTGGCAAGTTGGGTATTTGTTTGGAATGCGATGGCGTGAACGTGGAACAAACGGGCTGGTGGGACGAGGAGGAGGACGAGGGTCTTTGGAGGGGGGGGGGTCTTCCAGGCAGTGTGGGTGGGTGGAGGTTGAAGGGCAACTTGGGCTGGACAGTTTGAGCTGGAGGGGCCTGGCCGATTAGCGGGATATGACTGGACCAGACGCGGTCCGGGGGCGCACTATAGCGCATGGGGGACCAGGTTTAGGGCTCTCCCTTCCTTCCGCAAGCAGCAAGTGAGCAGCGACGGAGGGCCGGTGAGGTAATTTGCAGGGGCTCACTTGACATCAAGTCAGGGGTTTCAGTTGCTGATTGGCCCTAAGATGGCTTAGCGCCGGGACGTGCAGCGGCTTTATCGCAGCTCAGGTACCTGGTCCTGGTAGCGCCGTCTCTGCAGCGGGCTTGCAGAGGGCTTGGAGAGGAGCCTGGAGGAATCGCTTGCGGGTTTCCGGTGCTGCCAATGACCTTCGCAGTGGCTCCAAGTCTTCATTCCCCCCATCTGCCGTTAACCGTTTATTACTGGGCGCCGATTCCAGGGTGAGGCTGGCCTCCCCACCCACAAAAGGCCCCCTCCATCCCCTCCCGCGGACAAAGTGAGTGTCTTGTTCCATTCCAATTTGTCACGACATGAGCAAACGGAAACGTGAAAGAAGGAAGAAAAAGTCAACAAAACGAGATGTCACTGCCATGGCTTTTCTCCAGAACAATATACGTATTTCCTTCGGAGACAGTAGACGCGTCCCGACAAAAGCAAAAAAATATGCAGGGTTGGTTTCGCACCGAGTCTCCCACAAGCCGTGTGTCACTCTGCGACGAAGCCACTCCCAGTTGGTACGCACATGTACACAATGCCAACATCACCACCAGAGCAATACTTATCGGAGGATTTCTACCGTAAAAGGCTGTGAGCCGAGGAAAAAGAAAAGCCGTAGCAGCAAACGCGCTTCCAAGACCTCACGGGCGGCCACGTCCACTTCCGACAACCAACCACTTCACCCTCACGGTCCTTCACCTCACACCAACTTCGCCCGGCCCCATCCTCTTGAAACCACTCGTCACTACGTAGGCAGATCGCTCTTGATCAACGCGCACACTGTCGCTCCCTCATGCGCCGCTGTTTTGCTCGTCCTTGCCAGCCCGTCGCCTCTGCCTGCATCCTCCTTCTGCACAATGCCGCGCGACGTCAAGCACATATGTATGTATGTATGCACAGACACGCTGGCTGGGCCTTCTTCTTCTTTTTTTGGTGGCGGCTAGCTGCATGAATGTTTACTTGCGGCATGCAGCATGCACCGCCCTTCCACGCCCATAATGCCTTTTTTATACAGCATGCAGACGGGCGGCCGTGAAACAAGGTGGCTCTCGGAGGAGCCACCACTGTCGTGCGCGTCGTCGGCCTGAGTACGGACGACAGCCTCGTTTATTAGCTACACGCATGGGCTTAATTTAGGCGCTTTATGCAAGTAAGATATACCAGCATGGTGTTATTTTCTAGGCCCTATGATGGCCGCTTGGCGGAATGCGAGCCGGCTGTCTTCCGCGCCGACGCCTTACTCGCTTGCATTGTCTTGCTGGCGACAGTCATAGTTAGTTAGTCAAGAACCATCGGGCATGATCATTCAGATCTCCCACGGGTATGGGCGTTTGGATATCTGTAGCCGGATGTGATGTCATTGAATCGCGATTACTGCCTTTTGGACTTGTAGGTTGCCTTACAGGTAGGATAAACAGCAATCAGGACTGATGCGTCATGTACAAACCATATGGCCTAGGACACCGTTCATATTGGAGCAATTGAAACAGAACGTTTATATCGTTGTCTTGTTATATTCTTCTACTTATCATAACCCACGAGAACCCTCTTTATCATAAGAGAAACTCCAAACGGACCCATCCGCCAAATAGCCACTTGTCTTAGCTGCGCGCTATTAAGTCTATCCGCTGGGCTCATTCCTGCTCTTCATCAAAGGCGTGACCATAGCCCTACTACATGTTAGCATTGATTAACAACTGCGACAGCTACCGGCCTGCACTCACACAGTAGCACAATCCGGGTCCGGAAACACAGCGGCCGCCATGCATTCTGCATCCCGTGTCACGGCACACTCCGCCGGTGCTGGCGCACTGCGCCGCCGCCATGCCGACAAGGCTGGCCAGGAAGAGGATGGAGAATCGCATCGTGAAGAAGAAGGGGAAGCAGAAGGAATAGAATTGTTGCTTTGATGATGGACAAAGGAGTGAGAGATCGTCCTGGTCTCTCACTGGCGACCCTAGCCCTTTTTATGTCTCTCTGGAGGCCGATCCAAGCTCCAGCGGGCTCTCAACGCGAGCTTGTTCTGCACGCAGTTTTTCTACTTTTCTTTTTCTCGCGGTGAATCCACCGCCAGTGCATCGTTCGACGAGTGGACGATGGAGCCTTCGCAGTAGCTGTCGGCGCGTGAGGAGTTCGCGAATTGCATGGATCGGGAAGGACATTCGCCCAACCCGCTCCACACCGCCGGGCGGGAGGCGCGTAAAAGCCGGGAAGTCGGTGCTAGAATGCGGCGCGATATGCCGATTTCCCGTGCGATTTGATCAAAGTCGAAAAAAATATCCACTTCAGGGCGCTTTCGCAGAACCTGGGGTATCTCCAGTCTGCCTCATTAGTACTTCTCTTGTTATGCTAAGTGCACTTCTCGGAGGGCTGCTTCTGCACGAGGTCTTTACTAATTCGATGACATACTCTACTCTGTTGTAGGCTTTAACTAGCTCAATCCTCGATGAGAAGCTGAATAGTTACAAAGCACCCTGAACTGCACGGTTGCCATAATGCGCATAATGCTGTGAAGTAAGATACAGAACCTGAATGCAGGAGAAAGAAAAGGACTAAGGCAGGGAATATTGTGCTGAAATATTGAGTAGAATTTTGAGAGCCATGCCAGAACGTCAGCTCTTGTAGCATGTCCCTTTCTTAAACATAAACATTCTCGCGTTTTCTGCGCTTGGTATATACTGAGGCGAACTAATAAGAGACACGCGCCGTGCCAATGAAATGTACTCCATTTAGCGCAAACTAATTACTATCCCGAGGTAGAAAGCGCACGCGTAGTGCTAACACCGAGTCTGCGCCACAACTTCTCCCCCGATCAACGGGAGGGAAGACCAGAAAATCAAAGAAAGCTGTTTGATGATATAACGTGATATGCCGCGTTCCATGCAATGCAGTACTAAAGGGGAAATCAAAGTAAAAATAAATAGACAAGTCGTAAGCCATTGGTGACCACTGAGCATGACCCCTATTCTGGAGTTCTGGCACGCCGATTTCTCTTCCTAATCCGCCCACTCCGTGTACCTAAAGGCCGTTGACGTCGACCTCTGTTTCCTGTGCGCCTTTCTTGCTGATGCAGAGTCCACTTTACTTCCTCTGCCTGATCAGCTTCCAGTTCTCTTTCCGGCGACACTATCCTGCCAGAAACCTCTCGGCGAGGTGTAAGCTGGCTAAGCGTTTGCGTTTCCACTGCCCGATCAGCTTCTGCCGCTCTTCTTGGTGCGGGCATGGTAGTGAACATATGGTAATGTTCTCTCCTTTGCTCTGCCTCCTGTTCTGCTCTCGGCAAAGGTGGCCTGCCAAATAAGCCCAGCTCCGGTGTCGGGTCGCCTTGTGTTTGCGTTGATTCCTCGCCAAAAAGGCCCCAACGGGGTGTCGACTGGGGTGGCGTCACCTCCTCGCGAGGATTCGAATGGGGTGGCGTCAATTCCTTGTCGAAAAGGCCCCCGCGGGAGGTCGACTGGTGTGTCGTTGGCGACGGCCACTCGGTGATAGAGCCCTCTATCCGATCAGCTTCCAGCACTACATCGCGTGGCAGTTCAAAACCGAAAACGTCCCGAATAGGTCCCCGCCTTCGTACTGTTGGTAAAAGATCCTCCCAGCGGTGAACTTTTTGAGACAGCAGTTTCGATGCCGGCAACGGGAGGTTGGGATAGAGATGTGGCAAGTCTTCACGAAAGAGAACGCTTGGTTGTTGGATTTTGGCGGTGGAAAATCCCCACTCTTCCCAGTGACTGCGAACATTGGACAATGCCGTCCTAGCCAGACGATCGCATGGCCAGGAGGTATCCGGCAAGCCCATCCCTCTCGGGTTGTCGCCACTGATGGCAGGGATGAATATCGGTCTCGATGTGTACATTTGGTGTTCGATTTCCCAGCTCAGTTCCATAGAGAGCAGGCAGGCGGGAACGCCATAGCTTCTCCAACGTGCATTCTCGTCCGGCCCATGCTCCAGCCATCCAGGGTTCCACAGATCCCTGAACTTCCATTGCTTCCTAACCCAGGTGCGGGCGGTCTCTCTTTGTACTGCCTCTCCAAAGAGCTCCGGGGTAACATGCATCGCTTCCCATTCGAGGATTTGCTGGCGCTGTCGGAGTTCCACATGGTAATCGAACCGGTTGCGGGGTGTATCTTCTTGCACGAACGATGGCGCCGCCGCGACATCATCATCCCACCAGTCGGGCTCATTAGTGTCATCGCTTGCCAGCGAGGGCTCTATATCTATAGGGATATCGTTGGTCTGGTATGGTGGTGGCGGATCAGACGGTGGCGGATCAGATGGTGGCGGATCAGAGTCTGCAGGTCGAAAATAGGATAAAAAGGTTCGAAACATAACGAGTATTTCGATATGTACGTAGTTGGCTGTCGAGTGGGTTGTAGAAGCTGAGTTCGAACATTCGCGACTTGGCCTTGTTGCTGTGCCTGCCTATCGGGGGACGTTGGACAGTGGCTACGTTAGGCTCCGCACATTCCATGATGCAGTGTCGCACAGTATGACCCTCTCGCCACCTCCCCCCGTGTAAGTTGGCTGGCGGCTAGCAAAACAATTGATGATACAATACCACAGCCTCAATACTTTCCCAAGTGGCCATATCCAATTAAATTTGCTTGTACTTGCAATCGTACCACCCTCATGAAACATTATTGCCATCGTCCATGACCACGATTACCGAGGGTACCAAGCACAACCGCTCGCGACATCAACAGGCCAGCCATGGCTCGATTGACTCGTCTCCGTGTATGTGGTGCTCTTCACTTCGTGGAACGTGACATGGAAAGATCTAACTTGTCGAACGATCTATATCAAAATCGCTGCTCCTTTGTCTATCCTTGTATTTTCTCCCTCGTTATCTTTGTTTCACTACCTTTGCCAGCGTCTTGAAAATGGACCAAGCACCGACACTATTCTCCTTGGTGCCAACGAATAATGCTGCACTGCAGATCACTCAGTCTGATCTGAATCAACACCTTAGTTCTTTCATTTCTTGCCCTAACCCGACCTAAGTCCTCAATGTTGGTCGTTTCAGGTCTAAATCTAAGGAGGTTGACGCATACTACATTGCGAGCTTGGGTCGCGACGGGGATATCATGATCCCACCGCATTGGAGATCTGTCTCTCTCCGTCATTGCGCATTCCTTGCCACACGGGACTGTTCTATCAAGTTTATCGACCTCTCAAGAGATGCCTCATGCCAAGCGTATGGTGGCCAAGACGGCACCCAGAGGCTACTGTCCCGCGGAAACCAGGAGGCAGACATAAGCCTAGGTCTCTGCAATTTCAAGATTAAACTTGACGACTCGACCACAGCCAAGTTTCGTGTTCATTGGAATCATCAGCCAGGCAACCTACGTCCCGTCCTCGAAGCCTGGGAAAATGCTAAGCTGCTGATGCATCCTATGACGGCCGAGACTCAAGTGTTGCCAAATGGAGGCCAACAACTAGAACGACGACTGCCGCCAGCCGATGTGACCAACACCCACACTGGTTCTCTCAACGATGTCGAGCAATTTGAGGCGACCTCGACCGAATTAGGAAGTGGTGCATTCGGTACCGTTTTCACAGCTGTTAATCGAAAGACTGGGTGCGTCGCTGCGGTCAAAAAGCAGCAGCTTCTCGGCGGGCTCCAGCGGACCTACTTGAAGCGTGAAATCAACACAATGAGACAACTAAAACATGTAAGTTGCTTGGTACTAGTGGGATGCCTTCCGCTAACGAATGGAAGCCAAACATTGTTGAATACATCGGAAGCAAAGTCGATGACAACTAGAACGAGGTATACATCTTCATGAGCCTCATGGATTGCGCTTTAGACCATCTAGTCGAAGGGCGTAAATCACAGCTCACGGACATGGGGCTGGCTTTCGCCGCGTATCATGATGTCCTGCAGGGTCTTGATTACCTCCACGAGCGCGTGACTTGAAGCCCGCCAACATCCTCTGTTCTCAAAGGAACGGCAAGTGGTCTTTTCTTATTGCAGACTTTAGGCTATACAACGTCGAAAGCAAGGCAGAGACAATTTGCGGCACCAACGAGTTCGCTACACCCGAAGTACAGTACAGAGGCAAGCAGACCACCGCCGCGGATATGTGGTCTCTGTTCATGACGATTGCTTGGACAATGAATCTGGGAAACTTTAGAAGCCAGGAATGGCGCAATTACGCTCATCTTTTGCGATGGATTGCCGATGTTGCCACCTTTGAGTGGTCTCGCTTGATTCCGTTGCAGGACTTGATCGTGTTCCGTCACAAGGATCGCGCGACGGCGGCCCAAATGCTTGTCAAGATGTTCAATGGTGTCGGGCTGACGACACCTCTTGAAAATATCCCGGCGCTACAGGCAGTAGAGCCGCCAAAGAAGTCCGATATACCCGATCGGGCAGGCGCTCTGGAAGAGCTCCGAGCTGGCCGCCATGAGATCTCGCAAAAGGACCTATCGATGCCAGACGCAAGCGCCTTGCCCGCTAGCAACCCAGATCAGCCGATCCACGGAGAGAGGGCGCTGGTATTGCACAATGCAGCCCAGCCAGCCCGCGAGGAGAAGCCTCTACCAGCGAACCATGCAGTTCAGCTAGCTCGCAAGGGTCTACCATCGAAATTTTTGAATCCTTTGGGCAAATGGAACATCAACCAAGCTGGGTGGAATCCTCGAGGACCCCTGGGAAGACAAGCTAGGGACCCGTTTGTATGGAACGAGGGGAACGTTAAAAAACTGGTCATAGGACCAGCACGGAAGTCCTTGGGATTGAGATTTAGGCGAGCTGGTGGAGGGAATGCAGTGCAAGCTGCCGATGAATTCGTGGAAAAGCCTACCATGCAGCAGGCTACCCCCTCGTTACAAACCGACGAAGATGAGGAAGGCAAGGCTGTCGAGAGAAGCGCTGGAGACCGTGGCTCGACCAGAACTGCCGCCAGACACACCCGGGTCACGAGGCGGACTACAGCAGCAAAGAATCGCCCCGTCATTGATTATGAGGCTCTCACTCTCGAGGACAAGAACCAGAAGAAACGCTCGCTGATTGCCGATGCTTGGTTCGATCGGTTGAAGAACATGCCTGGCGCATTCCCCGTTAGTCTGACGTAGACGGCTGCTTGGATGATGCTACCCCCTTTTTTTTTTTCAGATGGACTTCAGATTGTCTACAGTTTTTGTATCTATTGTTTTACAGATTTGTACTTTTACTGTTGCTAGTTTCTTGTTAGTGAATTTACTGATTTTCTTCTTGCCCTCGTCAGCATCTGTGACTACTATGTAGTGCTTGTCTGCGCTTGTATCCTGACTTTGAAGTTACGCTTGCTGAAAGCTTGCATAAACTATGCATGTTTTGCACGCGCCGAGCCCAGATATCGGGCGATACTACCCGGCTGAAAGGCAGGGTGTAAGTGCACAACGTCCAGATTGTGGCACTGCACCGACAGACATCTTGCGTCGTAGCATCGCTCAACAGGACGATTGATTCGCACGCAGCATCTTGGACTACGACAGCTCATGGTGGGACAGTTTCGGGTAATGAGGAGTTATTTTGGTACTCCTTGCTGCAATTGCGGGGTAATTTTCGGACACTGTGATGTAAATTTAGGAATTGGAGGCGCACCGGCGCTTAGAGCGGCCCCAGCAAACACAAAGCGGCCCACGGAGTGTGGACAACTTGGGAACACAATACTTGGGCACACAATTGACAACCAAGATTGAACATTCTTGAAACTCTTTACTCTTCAGATCAAAATAAATTTTAATCTCTATATTGCATGTGTAGCCGGCGATGCTCCTTGTGCTGCACGGCTGCCCGAATCCAGACGTCGTCGCCAGCAAAGTGGTCCCGCTCCCGCTCACCAGCAGCCTCATTCCCCCAACCCTCTTCTTTTCTTGTCCCCCAAACCGCCCAATCATCATCACCAGCGACGCGCGCTCCCTCTCCCGACGTCATCTTGCCTCTGCGCGCGCCGTAAGCTTCAACTGTCGCCAGCCGCCCGTCAAATCAAACCCCCTATCGACGAACAAGCCTATCTGCAGACGACGACGACCATCAGCCAATCGCTGTTGCAGCGGCCCCCGGCCACCCCTCGAGACCCTGAAACCAAAAACACGCACACCATCCCACCCGCTCCATATCGGCGAAGCCTACAAGGCAGACGCGACGCGACGAAAATAGCAGAATGGCCGTCCCACCACAGGCCACACCGCTGCTGCTCACCAAGCGGCTCAACGCCTTCCTCCGCGCGCACGCGACGCCGCAGCTGCCCACGCTGCTCCTCACCACCCACCACGGCAAGCTCCTCGCCCACGCCTCGCTGTCCACCGGCGCCGGCGCCGCGCAGCCGCCCGTCGCCGTCCTGCGCACCCACGCCACCGTCGCCGCCTCCCTGCTGGCCATCCACACCGCCTCCTCGGCCGCCCTGCCCGGCGCCCTCGACTCCTCCACCTCCCCCCCCGGTGAAGACGACGATGGCGAGAGCAGCAGCTCGCTGCCCGAAGACGACGACGACGACGACGACGAGACGGCCCGCGGCACCGACGACGACGAGGTGGAGGCTGGGCGCCGCCGCCACACGCACGCGGCGTCGACGACGACGACGACGACGATGGGAACGGCGGTGAAGCCGGTTACCATCACGGTGCAGCTCAGCGGCGGCACGGTCATCATCCGCCGCTTGCGGTGCGGCCTGCTGCTCGTCTGTGTCGGGCCGTCGCCCTCCGCGCACGATGGCGCCGCTGCCGCCACCGCCGCGTCCGCGTCATCCTCCTCTGCGCCGCTTCCGGGGTCGTCGGCCGGCGTCGCGGAGCTTACGCAGGCGCTAGAGAGCGCCGACCTGGTGAGCGCCGAGACGGAGAGCCTGACCAGCGTCGGCGGCCAGGCGTCCGCTACGAGCGGCGACAGCGCTGCCGCTGCCGGCGCGGCGGCCGCGGCCACCGCTCCCTCGGCCTCGGGGTCGTCAACATCCTCGGGGTCGTCATCGTCGGTGGTGGCCATGCGCAGACACGCCGCCGAGTTGGCTCGCTGGCTGGATGAGAAGCTCGGAACACTGACCGTGCCTGAGGACAGAACAGGCGCCGAGTAGGAAGGCCAAATCCACAAGTCGTCCATTCTATCATCCCTTATTTGCGAGCAAAAGTTTTCTCGACTCGGCCTTCTCTTTTTTCTTCCTTATCACTTCTCTTCTTTTCTTCCACTTCTTCAGCATTTAGTACGGCGTTGGCTTTTTAATCCAGAGGAAAAAGTAACATCCGGGGTTCTATTACACTTCTTCTCTTCCTTCTTATTCTTTCTTCTCTCAATTCCCTGCCGTCTAGACAACTAGAGCGCAGCAGACCTTTTCCTGTACATTTCATTAGTTACCCGATGGTGTCCTACACGCCCGAATATACTCCATCTTCACCCAGAAGAGAAAGAAACAAATCACCATGTGCGAATTCGTATGTATGTATTCAAATTTTTGAATCGTAGACTGCTACAGCAAACAGACCCCTAAAACAGAACGCCTTACTTGATGGTATGCCCTGTAACAAAAGATTACAGGAAATAAGAAAGAAAATTATCGTAATAAAACAACGCCATATTATGCAACCAGCAATTGATTTTTTGTGGTCCCCAAGCACAAGAAAAAACGAAACTTAACAAAATGATGCTCTCTACTCAATGCTCATGCGCATAATCGCGTCGTTGGCGTCGACCATGCCCTGGAAGCCCACTCTGCCTTTGTTGTTATTTAAGCGGCCGTTTCCGCTCGTCGTTCCGGACGTCGTGCCGCCCATGCTGCCCGAGTCGCTCTGCGCACTGCTGCCGCCCTTATCGCCGCCGGTGCTGCCCGGCCGGGAGCCCCATTGGACATTGTCCCGTTGCAGGGGGCTCTGCACGACCGGCGAGTTGTGCACGCTCATACCGGGGCTGACGGCCCGGCGCTTGAAGCTCACGGGGTCAAGGTCGTCGTCGCGCCGGCGCTTGTTGTTGATGCGGCGCGTAATCTCGGCAGCAGAAGGGGGCTGAGGGCCGATGGCGGTTGCTTGCGACTGTCGGGTCTCTATTAGTGACTCTGCGTGTCTCATTATACCCAAGGGGAACCCACGAACCGGGTAGTTTTGGAAAAGCGGAAAGGAGGGCGAGTCCATGGCAGCATCCTCACTCATGCCCGAAGATGATTCTCGAGGGATGAACGGCTGGGGGGGTGGAGAGGCACGGCCAGCGCCTCCAGTACTGCTGCATTCAGAATACGTGTCCCAGAATGACTTCGACTTTATCTTTAGTAACTGCTGCTTGAAAGTGCTGGATGCGCCGGTCGACAAATCTCGCATAAAGTCTTCTTCGGGCTCCTCGATGGTATCCTGGTTGACCATATTGGGCGAGGACAGTGCGCTGACTGCTTGCGATAAGTCAAAGGCATTTGTCGAAGGACGGGTCTCATGATCAACATCGCTTTCGCGAACCTGCTTAACGACTTCCGCTTCGCGGCGGAACTCTGCCTCGGCCGGGGCACCTTCTTCCAGCAACGCAGCTCGAATGCGGGCAAAGGTCTTGGTTTTTGGCTATAATCGGGTTAAAAAAATGTGTGAAAATTGCCAGTGCAAATGTTTCATACCAAGAGGTTTCCACGACGGGTGACTGCTCTTCGCGTTACGTTGGGCTGGGTATCGCCCGATGGACCATCAACATCGCTCAGCGACCTGCCACTATCCTCTCCATCTACACTCGATATGTGCAGCTGGTTTGCCTGCCAGCTGATGCTCTCGCGGCGGGCACGCGCCGAGTTTCCCGGCGGCGACCGGGATAGCGCCGACGCATTCATGTTGAAGCCAAGTCCTAGCGGTCCCCGTACCTTCCTCTTGGGATGTTTCCTCGGACGCGGACGGTTCTGAAAGTTGGAGAGGGCATTCATGGCTGGCGAGCCAAGCGGTCTGGGGCCTCCGGCGGGACCCATCCTTGAAACCTGAGGGGTGGTGACATACGCCTCGTCCGTGTCCTCGTCCATGAGGTCGTCGTCATCGGATGAGCTCGACGTGTCGGAGCCAATGGCCTGGGTGCTACCCAGCGAGCTGCTGATGTTCATCCGTTCCTGGTTGCCGATCGCGGCGGGCCAGAGAGACGCCGAGGCCTGCAAGCCGTGCTCGGCGCCCGAGCCAAACTCCCTCCGCCTCACGGGGATGTTCATTCCGCGACCGCCGACGGTGGGCGACGACTCGGGCGACGACTCGGCGAGGGTGGAGTGGTGCAGGCTCGTGGCGGCGCGAGAGAAGTCGAGGCCACGTGATCGTCGGGGGAGGATGTTGGTCGGAGAGGCGTAGATGTGGGAGTGGTCGAGCTTGGGGGAGAGAGGAACCGGCTTGCCATACGCGCTAGTACCGGCGGCCGCATCAGGAGGTGTAAAGTCGCGAGAGGTTCGTGGCGGTGGCTGCTGCTGCTGTTGTTGGTAGTGTTGCTGCATATGCAGCGATGGCCAGCCACGAACCTCTGACCGCTTCGGCGTGGAAGGAAGCGCGGCCAGCGTGGCAGCCGGCGCCGCGGCGGCGGCGGTGACGGCGCGTGGGCTGGAGAAGGTATCAATGTCGTGGTCGTCCTTGGAGGTGCGGCGGGATGTCGTGGCGATGTGAGGCGACGGGGAAAGCTTGGGCGTTGTCCCTCCGCCGTCGGAGAGGGATCGTGACTTGGGTAAGGATGGAGGGCGGCCGAGGAGATGCTGTTGGACCCTGGAAGTCTCGGCGCCTGCAGGTGCCTGGTGTGGCTCTGGGTCGGTGTCCATGGCCGCCGCCAATAGTGGAGGCAGCTCAAGACTGGGTTTCAGAGCGCGTTCGCAGGAGGCACAAGTATGGGCGGCGTGAATTCCGTGGCGGGTACACGAGAGCGTGAGCTCGGGATCACGAGATGGCGGTTCCTGCGCGAGTATCGCTTGGTAGGTAGCAGGGCCTTTGTGCGGGGGACTGTCGGATGGCAAACAGACAGCCTTGCCTTCATAAGGATAACGGGGTAGAGCGTGCCATGGGGAATATGTAGTGAGTCGTGGTCCGTTGTTGCTGGGCTCGAGATATAAGTTGAGAGTAAAACGGCGAAGAAAATGGCGAGATGGAAAGGACGCGACAAGTATGGGAAAGCAATAATAATAAGATGCATGCAATCATATCGTTGCAGCTTGGCACATCTTTGGGCGCCATGACAGCTGCCACACCCACTAAACTTGCCCACCGCCAAAAAGGTTATAGCGCCTGGTAGGCATGAGCCACGGCTTGAAGCAACATCATGCTTTCCGACTTGCCGGTATGGCCAAATTTGACTCCAAATTTGATAAAATTGGTGCTTCTATACTTTAAGTTTCATTAAATATTTCTCTATTTTCTAAATATTGCAGCAGCAGGAAAGCAAGCTCGGCTTTAAGACGCTGGCCAGCAGCTTTCCTTGAACCTCTGGCTCGTTTTTGAGACTTTTTGTCAAATATTGGGCACAATACAGTAGGTCATTGGCTTATTTGCTCTACCAGTGGACTATAGCCTCAGACTAATCCCAGACTAATACTGGCGGCGATTTATTATTGCCGATTGGTACTCCGTAACTATAGTTTGAGAGGAGCATGCTCGCCCAATTGCCGCGTCCAGTTGCCACGCTTCGGAGCTGCAGCTGCTGTGGAGGGGCTCGTCAAGCTAGCTAGAGCTCTGCTGCGGGGATTGACATCACCAGCTACGTCGACATTACAAAGCAACAAAAAGCATAAACTCATGGGCGTTTGCAGAGCAGTTCAGCGACTACGACTTATCCAAAACTCACTGTCAAGCTCTGCTAATTCCATCACCAAGTCTCCCGGACCAGGTTGGCGCCCAGTCTCACTCTGCATTAACAACAGCTCATACTCACCCCATCTGTAGCTGCTTCACATTCATTCGCAATAATGGCCGCCGCTACAGATACCAACAAATACAAGTTTAACCACTCCATGTAGGTCATAAAATTGTTGCTTCTTTGCTGGATAAGTGTCGGTCCGCTAACGCGTCACCAGGATCCGGGTCAAGGACCCCAAGGAGTCGGGTAGGTGATACCGAAGCTGCCGCAGTCCGTTGCCAGCAAAACCTGACTGACCACTGTAGTCAAATTCTACGAGTTCCTCGGCATGAGCGTCGTCAAAAAGATCGAGGAACCCGCCGCCAAGTTTGACCTGTACTTTCTCGCGTACAACGGCCCCAAGGCCGTCTCCCACGGCAACTCCTTCATCAACCGCGAGGGCATCATCGAGCTGACGCACAACTACGGCACCGAGAACGACCCCGACTACAAGGTCGTCAACGGCAACACAGAGCCGCACCGCGGGTTCGGCCACACCTGCATCAGCGTCGATAACCTGCAGGCCGCCTGCAAGCGCATTGAGGATGCCGGGTACAAGTTCCAGAAGAAGCTGACCGACGGCCGCATGAAGCACATTGCGTTCGTCCTGGACCCTGACGGCTACTGGGTCGAGGTCATTGGCCAGAAGCCCATCGAGGAGACGGAGAACGTCACCGAGACCGACCCGGGTACCTACCGCATGGTAAGCGAAAGTTTGTGCGATTATGGAATTCGGATAGGCCTAACCTAGTATGCTGTTTTGCATGTGCAGAACCATACCATGCTTCGCGTCAAGGACATTGAAAAGTCGCTCAAGTTCTATCAAGAAATTCTCGGCATGTCGCTGATCCGCAAGCACGAGGCCGCCGCGGCCGGCTTCAACTTGTACTTCCTCGCCTATCCCGCCGACCAGGGCCTGCCGAGCGACGAGAAGACGAGCCACCGCGAGGGCCTGCTCGAGCTCACCTGGAACTACGGCACCGAAAAGGACGAGGGGTTCAAGTACCACAACGGCAACGACCAGCCTCAGGGCTTCGGCCACATTTGTAAGTTTGCGCTGCGAGGAGAGAAGGCGACCGTGGACAATAAAACTGGCCTGCTGACGCAAATAAATAAGGCATCTCGGTGGACGACCTGGCCGCCGCTTGCCAACGTTTCGAAGAAAAAGGATGTAACTGGAAGAAGAGGCTGACGGACGGCCGCATGAAGAACATTGCGTTCCTGCTCGACCCTGATGGTTACTGGATCGAGGTGGTCCAGAACGACAAGTATGGATCCAAGTACACCGTCGAAGCCTAAACAGGCAGCTCGGTCAGATTATCTCTGTAGAATGTATTGGAGGAGAAGAAAAAGATTCCTTGGCAGGTACAATTTGAGTGGAATCGGAACGATTTTCTTTACCTAAAAAGCTTGTCACGGCAGTTGCGGCGCCCAGTTTTTGAACTGACCTTTGTCGCCTGTGCTGAAGAGTAAGCTTCATGTTATGCTTGCCAACGCCGCTAGGATGTCGCGCGTTGTGGAGGCGAAAATGGCCAGCAAGGTGGTTGCGATGGATTCAAGTGCCGAAATTAAGATGAAGGGATTTTCTGTGCTTTTCTTACGTGACATCGGGAATGGAAATACGAAGATCTTTACTGGCAAGAGGGAGGCTGAGAAGAAGAGAGGCTAATTGCGCTGGTTTGCGGCGAGCATCGTAACTTGGCGGGTTTTGTTAGCGAGTATCTGCGCCGCATCTTGGCCTATCCCTTCCCTGGTGGGCATGAACGGTATTGACGTACAGGGTTTGAAGATGGCGTCAGTCTAATCTACTAGTTCCGTGCTGCATGAGACTGCATCCCATCTTGGCCTCTCGCAGGAAGCCTTGTCCGTGCCCGACGGTTGTGTCGGGTAGGGCTTCTCCATGCGGAGAGAAACTGGCAGAAGCCTTGGTTACATCCGACGCTGATTTTCGATAGGGTGACGTTGTAAAAGGACAGCCACTCTGCCCTCTTGATAAGTCGACCGATATACTTCTGTGTGGCCCGATTTGGCCCTCAAGGGCACCCTTGTCTACAGATTGCAGTGGCTGGCCAACGACATCTCGTGTAAGCAGTAAAAATCCATCCAACTAACATCACACCATCTCTCCCGCAAAGCATCGCAATCTACGCTCTTCGGACCGTCGTGCGATGGACATGGCTGCCTTGTTGTGGCTAGAATGCAGAGCTCTGATTTGCCCCAGATTATGCCGTGCAAGCCGCCGCCGCCGCCGCCCAAACAAGTTGAGACAATTAGAGAAGAAAGCCACCACCAGCCTGACATGCTGTACGACAAATGAAGTGAGGAGGCAACGGCACGCGATGGGGTCAGAGCACTGCCCGCTGATCACTGGACATGTATCCTTCCGTCGCCAGTCCAGCGCAAAAGCTTCCTAGCGCCGGGCCAAGGAAGCAAGAAGAGCGGAATGGTGTCATTGTCTTTTGGCCTGACGGGCGGCTCCATCGTGGCAAAGAGAGGCAGCGTGGATGCAGTTCCTCTGCGCGGCAAATGCCCAGCTGCCGTCCATCAAGGTGTGGTAGGTGGATTGTGCGCTGTGCGATGTGATTGATGTGCGCCGGCTTAGATGAATTCAGCCAAGTTGATTAACTTTTTGTTTAAAGGCCTGCCTCCCCCCCCCCCCCCCCCCTCTCTCCCTCCCTTGGACGTAGACTAGTTTTCTTTTTCCGACCTCTGTTGCTCTTCTCATTCTAAACGCCATAAAATACTGATTTCCAGTATTCTTTCATTTTTTCCAATCTCCTTCTCCCCATTTCTTTCTACTTACTTCACCACCCCTACCCCCCGTCCCCTCCGATGACCTCCATCCCCGTCAACCCCGCCGGAGAGGGGGGCCCCTCATCGGCCGCCGGTTCTCGGCCCCGCATCCTCGTCCCCGAGAAGGTCTCGCCCGACGGCCTCGCCCTGCTCACCCCGCACTTTGACGTCGACGTCCGGCAGGGCATCACCCCCGAGGAGCTCCTCACCGTCATCCCCACCTACCAGGGCCTCATCGTGCGCTCCGAGACCAAGGTGACCGCCGACGTGCTGCGTGCCGGCGCCGCCCTCAAGGTGGTCGCGCGCGCCGGTGTCGGCGTCGACAACATTGACGTGCCCGCCGCGACCGCCCGCGGCGTCATCGTCATCAACTCGCCGGCCGGCAACATCGTCGCCGCCGCGGAGCACACCGTGGCGCTGCTGCTGGCCACCGCGCGGCACGTCGGGCGCGCCGACCGCGGCGTCAAGGACGGCCGGTGGGAGCGCTCGCAGCTGGTCGGCGTCGAGGTCGGCCGCAAGACGCTCGGCGTGGTCGGCCTCGGCAAGGTCGGCCTGCACGTCGCGCGCATGGCCAAGGGGCTCGGCATGACGGTCGTCGCGGTCGACCCCTACGCGAACCCGGACATGGCCCGCCAGGCGGGCGTGGAGCTGCTGCCGGGCCTGCGCGAGATGCTGCCCGCGGTGGACTTTTTGACCATCCACACGCCGCTGCTGGCGACGACGGCGGACCTGGTGGGCGAGCCGGAGCTGAAGATGATGAGGAAGACGGCGCGCGTGCTCAACGTGGCGCGCGGCGGCGTGTAAAGCGCAGGAGAACGTCTCCATGGACGTGTGCACGCAGGTGCTCGAGATCCTGCGCGGCGGCCTCCCGACTAGCGCGGTCAACGCGCCCATCATCCTCCCCGAGCAGTACCGCAAGCTGCAGCCGTCCGTGGCGCTGGTCGAGAAGATGGGCCGGCTGTACTCGCAGCACTTTGCCGGCGGCAGCGGCAGCAGCGCGGTGGTCGGCGGGCGCACCTTCGAGCTCGTCTACCACGGTGAGCTGGCCGGCATGCCCAACACGAAGCCGCTGCTGGCCGCGCTCGTCAAGGGCCTGGTCGCGTCGTTTAGCGACTCCAACGTCAACATCGTCAACGCGACGCAGATCGCCAAGGAGAAGGGCATCACGGTCAGCGAGACGCACGCGCACGACTCGGCCCGGAACCAGACGTACGTCAACCTGGTCAGCCTGCGATCGTACCCGGACGGCAGCAGCTCGCGCGGGGCCGGGGCCGCGCAGGTCATCGAGGGCTACGCCTCGAACAAGCGGCTGTACATTTCGCGGCTGGGACGCTTTAACGCGGCGTTCAGCCCGGAGGGCACGCTCATCATCCTGCACAACTACGACCAGCCGGGCAAGATTGGCGGCGTCGGCACGGTGCTCGGCTCGCACGGCATCAACATCCGCTTCATGCAGGTGGCGGCGCTCAGCTCGGAGTTCAGGGCCGGCGAGTGGACGCCGCCGACCGACGACGGGCTGCAGCCGAGCCGCTCGCAGGATTCCCTGGCGGACGTGGCGACGCAGCAGCAGCGGCCGGGCGACGAGGCGCTGATGATCCTGGGCATCGCGGGTAATGTGGACAAGAAGGTCATGGATGATCTGCAGCAGGCAGAGGGCGTGTTGGATGTCAGCGTGGTGAATCTGTAGAGGCAGATGTTTAGAAGAAAAAGTGTCAATTGAGAAAAACAAATACATGCACAAGACGACGCGCATCTAGTTTGGCGTGGCTAAGGTATGGAGAGAGAGGAAAGTCAGACGAATCCAACAACCTGCCATGGCGCCGAGAAACAAGATTCGCATTCCCAAACGTCGAAAAGATCCAAATCAACCAGGCGTAATTTGCTTCATGACCTACTGCGACTCATGCTTAGATATCCTCATAACCACCATCGAATCTAGCATGGCATCGGATTGCGCGTTGTTGAGCTTCCAGAGGATTCCCTCAAACCTAGCGCACGACCTGTTCAAATCGGCGAGGAACTCGTCATTCTCCATCGGATATGCCATAACCCGTTCTATAAGTGACTTGAGTCTCTGAATCCCCTCCGGAAGGCCATCCACAGGAAATTCCTTCATAAACTCGAGTATTCTTCCCAGCTCGGCCGAGCACTCTTGGCCAAAGGCCAAGTCTTCCGGAGTACGATAGCGGGAAGCTCCAAGATCTTTTTTCTCTTCAGGCATGGCGAGAGAATTTTGATGATGCTCTGCTGGTGTGTTGTCGATGGCGGCTTGGTTGTGTAATTCCGCGAGCAGAGCCTTAGTTCGTGTTGGCGCAAAACTTGTCGATGACTTTGCGGAGCTTCCCTTTGCCCTTTATCTCTTTGAGCTTCTCGTCGCAGCGTTTGATCTGCTCCTCCGCGTATTTTCGCAGGCCTTCTTTGTCCGGTACTTGATACTGGTTGATAAAGTAAAGGATCTCTCTCATATGACTCTTGGCTTGATGGTAGCCGTGCTCGGTGTGTTCCCGTTGCTGGGATTCGCTCAGGTCTTTATGGTACTCGATTATTGCCAAGATTTGTTTGATGGTAGGCATGATGATAAATTGTTGATAGTGCTCCGCGGGAAAGTTGTCGATGGCCACTTCGCTGCTCTAAGATGTTGACGAGAATTCAAGGGACGCAATACGGCGCCAAGCCACCAGGTTTAAATAGTTTTCCAGCTTGAGCCATTACTCCTATGTAACGTATAGAAAGGTGCATTCATGACGTATGAGGACTATGAGGACTATGAGGAGGTTCTGGCTACAGATTCGTAGCAGGTCGTACCCGGGTCTAGTATCAATGCGAGACCCAAGAACCTAGGAATCATTTCATTCGCACGAAAGCCTAGTATCAATACTGGATAAAAAGGAAAACATGGGAATAGCCCGCCTTTGGGGTGAAGATCATGGCATTCTTTCTTTGTTCCTCTCCATGCAGCAAGTTGGGCGCAAAAGACAAGGACTTCCGACTCACAAAGAGTAAACATGCCTCGTAGAAGCTCGGCCTACGTGCTTGTGCGCAGGGCGGCAAATGTAGGGCGTTACAAGGCCTTTGACATGAAACGTTCGACGTTTTAACCACAGTACAATGGCTCGTTCACACTCACTATCAACGGTTTTTAACACAAGTAGGACGACACGGGAACAGTTAAGCCCTGGCAGTACGTGGGTGCCCTGCTGCCTAGGTGTGCTGGCCGATTAAAATCAGCACACTGAATAATATAAATTTTAAATAAAGAAAATCGTAAACAATGTAATTACTAAATATTAAACAATGTAAACAATGTAAACAAGAGTAATACAAGAAAGTACATGTCTAACTCGACGCAGCCGAGTGTCAGTGAATACGGTTAGCACGAAGAAGGTGAGAGGAAGTCTGCACGGGAATAGTGGCAGGGAAGCTATAGAACGGTATACAATTCTTGAATCATGACTATATCGATGACTGAGCCAAAGCAGCCTTCCCTCAGTGGCCCCTCGCCGCGATCCCGTAGCTTTATAGCTGCCTCCTCGCATAGTCATGCCACCATGTTATAAAATGCTCCTGTCCAACTTGCCCCCCTAGCATGAGGTCAACTCGATTCGATTTCTGATGGATTCTGCCTGGTTAGTACTTTTCTTCTGAATTAAAGTCTTGGGGTCTAACTTGCTATCGTGAATGCCTCTCACTATCGTAGGCCAGACTCACGCGAGAGACAAGACGATCAAAACATAAACATTTCATCTTTCGGAGCAAGCCCGGGCCTGGAGATCTCACTGAGACGAACCATACGGCGCTCGTTAATTAGCTCGTCTCGCTGTCTGGTCAGGGCATCCACTCGGGGGTCATCCTTCTCGATCTTCTGGATAGCTAAATCGAGGATACGAATCTCTGCGTTGAGGATACAAATAATCTCCTCATAGTCAGGCTCGGCCTTTTTGTCTGCCTCATTATCGGCATTATCCGCTCTGTCTGTGATCACCTGGCGGGTGTCGGAAGAAGCAGTTGCTGTTTCGGACATGGTGATGGGTTGTTGGTGAAGGTTAATCGGTCCCTGGTTGCTTAAAGATGTTGATAACTTTGGAAGATATGCATAACGTACAGTGGGAAGCCACTAGGTTTAAATATTTTTCTTCTTGCTCATTGGGTTTTAGGAAGACCCTTTGGCAACGCAAGGGGACGTTTGGCCAGCGGTGACTCGCAGCAGAGAGCGCCCGAGTAACAGCAATAGTACGTGGGCGCGTGAGGCATAAGGCGCTTTATTGTCACACTTGGTGGAAATGCGTTGGAATCAATACATCAGCTCACCATTCAAAAGAGAAACATGCGTCATACAAGGCCAGTCTGTGCGCCTAGTCTGACGAAAAGTAGGCGGCGTTACGCGCTCAGCATGGACACTTTATGGTTTAGCTGCGGCGTACCGGCGCTCTCTCCCTCTCTCCCTCACTTAGACGCTTGTATCTACGAAGAGTTACATACCATCTCCTTGTCACTCACTTTAGACGCTTGTCTCTACGAAGAGCAACGTGCTGGCGCACTCACTGTTTCCGCTCCGACCCGACTAACAGAGAGGACGCGCAGGAATGTTCAAGTACTAGCAGTGCACAGAAGCTGCCCACTGTCTGGATGTGCAGACTGATGGTAAAATTGGGAATCGAATCATCAAACGAGAGTAATGAAAGAAGATGGTTCTGCGCATCCAACTAATCTGGCGCGGCTAGGCGAGGCACATACAAGGCTGTCTGTCGCCCGCCAACTCGTCCCCCAGCTTCAACTCGGCTCAACTTTCAGAGGACGCTCTGGATTTCCATCGCTAATTATTCTTATTCGTCTCATTTCCACAGCCGTCACTATCATCGCCCCGTTCCATCAGCCTGTAACCTCGCCGTTAAAAGTCATTTAACTATGGAAAGGATGCGACATCTCCTTTCTTTGGCCTTGGAGGATTGCCACACCTCCTGCTTTGTCTGAGATTCCACTAAATTAACTAGGTATGTCTTACTATTGACGTATACTGCGATTGCTGTTGGCTCAGAAAACGGAAGCGAGACAAGCGGCCCAGCCCGTGCTCTCGTACGACACTCCGAGTTTCCAAGATTCGAGTAGAACTTCTTACTTGACTTCTTTTTAAATTAGTCTAGTTTCATCTAAATAATGCACGACTCAGTTGTCAGGTTGTACGTACTTCCATAACAGAAAGGCAGCAAAGAGCCACGGCGAGAAACTCTTGTCAGGCGACGTCAACCCCCCAGCGACGCGCAGAGTTGACGCTCACCTACAAAGACGGAGCTTTTCTTGTACAATAGTTTTGCAGTGCATCACGCCAAAAACAAGGCCAGTTTCTAAAACGGCTCCTCAGGAAGCACAGTGACACCTTGGCGCCGACCCCGTGTGTAGCTCTGACAAAGTACATAAAGTCCCGCCCCCTACCAGCGTGTGATGAAGGAAGCCCAACGTAACACGCACAAACACACACCTATTTCCGACAAGAAAATCCTTTCAAAAATAAACCCCCATGTCTGAGAGCGAACCACAACAGCAGGTTGCCGCTGAGCTTGACGCCGAGATCCTGGCCAACACGGCGTGGGTGACGCAGCACATCGAGCGGGTCGAAGCGACCTGGCGGGCCGGCGCGCAGGAGTCGGCACTGAGCCTCATCGACGAGGGTCTGGTGAGAGTCCGTAGATGGCGCGACGTGCGGCTCTGGGAGATGCTGCTGCTGCGGCAGCGGTACAGGGTGCTCATGATGATGCGCCGCCGGGAGGAGGCCGAGGAGGCCCTGGGCGAGGCGGATCGCATCAGTGAGAGCCTGCGCAAGCTGTCGGATTGAAACAGAGTCCAAGATTGTACAACGGCGGCAATAAAACTGCACAACAGGTAAGTGTTGGAGTTGCGGAATCCGTGACGACGGTGCTGTGTAGTTGAGCTGACTGTGGGTAGACAGGGTCCTTTCCGGTTCATCATTCACATCCCGCTTCGGGATAACCATGTCGTGGTCGAATGGTCACAAAGCATTTTAGTTCACTGCCAAGCTTTGGAGTTTCCACGGTTGATACCTTCCTCCGGCATTGCAAGCCAACTGTCCCACTTGCGCTGAAAAGGACGGCAAGAGACCGACAGCGCAGACTGTCCATTTCATACAAAGACGTCAGTACCAATTTCTAACGCTTTTTACATGTGACACTGCACACAATCCATGCCAACTTCCCATGGTGCAAAAGTCCCGCTAGCATTCTTCTTTCCGATGATGTATCTGTATGGACCGTCTCCGTGTCCTCGCGCAGCATATCCCCAACACTGACGTGGGCGACGTCGAACCTCGCGCTGATACACTCACATTGTGTAGCCCTGCGCGCCTCGCGGACACCGATTACTCCAATGCCTTTATTTTAGGCTTGACGCATCAAGGTATCAAGGAGTGTTTAGAGTGTTTGCGTGGGACGTGGGATATGGGACGAGGGGACAGACCTGTAGAGAGGGTGCGACAGTCATTTCACGTCAAAGGGAAAAGCAATACCCATCTATTTTTATTTGCGGAGGGTAAGACATTGTGTAGCAGAGGGAAGGGATAGATGGGCCGTTACTGTAACAAAAGGCCAAAGTAATGTCTATTAATGTCCTTTTACAAATAGCAATTACTCATCTAACCATCGGGAACGGCAACATTGCTAATCATATCCCTACCAATCATCATGCTACCTTACCATGAAAGGCCTGTAGGAGAGAGATAATACCTGTGCTACTCTCAGGTCGAGAATGGCCATGATCTGTCCCAGCAAAGCACGACGTTCAGACTGCAGTAAGTCAGGCGTACACAGCATCGTAAAACATTCAAAAAAGGACCTCAAATCCCCCAAGTTTTGCCAATATTTCTTCCCAAAAACCACATCCTCACCAAGAACCACATCCTCACCAAGAACCACATCCTCACCAAGAACCACATCCTCACCGAAAACGACAAGACTCCCAAGAAACCGCCAAAGCTCTGCCAGAATCCAAGACGCCCAATTTAGACTCAGAATCCAAGATGCCCAATTTAAACTCATTGCCCGAGCTGAAATAGCAGCTACAGTTCCGCATGGGCCTAGCCAATGGGCAGCAGGAGCTTGCTTAATGCGGCGTATCTTGTGGGCGATTTGGCAAAAGAAAAAGAGGCTTCCCACATGCTCGCGTGCATCACCGGGGACATCGAAAAAAACAGTGACAGAGGCCGCGGGGCTCTGAAAGACCCTGAGCTCTCTGAATTTGAGAAACTGGTCACGGATGCCCTGAAAATTGGAGTCCAAGGAGGAGGTCCCTCCGCTCGCAACAATCCCGGAATAGGAAGGCCTAGCTCCAGAGCCTCCGGGAGCAGGTGGAAGCGCAAGAGAATAAGAGGGCCGTCAAAGGCAAGGCGGCAGAGGCCAACTTAGTTGCGGATTGATGCGTCCACATGGTTGTTAGTTGGTGTCCTGAGTGTAGTTCGCAGGTCAAGGGGGGTTGTTGGCAGACGTCACTGACGCCCGTGCTACCCCCCGTATCTAAAAATATTATTATCTCTTGTTTTCAAAAACGCTGCTTCATTCAGACCCTCGCCGGTGATACATGGCTCACGGGGCAGCGAAGGAGCTCTATAAAGAGACGCAGAACCCTCGCGCCTGCTTGCGCAAAAGTGCACTCATACCTGCTCCAAGTACATACACAGCTCCAAGACGACAAAGGCACCCGTGAACGACGCCGCTGACAACCCAAAACGAAGACGCGACACCTTCACAGGAAGAGACCGCCCGGCAATCCCATACCCCCCCCCCCCCCCCGTGATGTCCCGCTGGGATTTTTTGGGCTGGTTCAGGGCTGCTCGAGAGGACTTTCGCGAGCACCGTCGCGCTATGGACCGTTATTTCCGCCAACCGGAGCCGGGGGACCCTCGGGTTGAGCTGAGGAGGGTGCCTCAGCACAAGAGCCCAGAGAGGGGGAGGGATACGCCCCCTCGGAACGATACGAGGAACCACGACCCAAGAGGCGATAGGGGAGAGTCTTCAGCACGTCAGCGCGAGAGCTCAAGGGAGCCTACGGCCTCTCGGAACGATGCCTCGCGGGGAGATGCGCACGCCCGGGGAGCCTCGAATAGGGGACATTCTGCAGAGCATCATCGCGACACGTCTATGGACAGGTATGAAGTCCCTCGGTACGATGCAAGGCGGAAAGTTTCGTCCCCCCCGATAGCCTCAAATAGGGGATACTCTGCAGCACATCGTCACCAGGGGTCAAGGGGCGGGCCTGCAGCCCCCCGGGGTGATTCAGAGCGAAGAGCCGCATCCGCCTCAAGAGAGGCACATTGGAGAGAGTTTACAGCACGTTGTCGCGACAGGTCAAATGACAGGCATCAAGCCCCTCGAGACGATGCAAGGTGGAAAGGCGAGGATCCCGTCCCGGCGGACTCGAGCAGAGGCGTGCATGCAGCGGGACGGCGCGAGAGGTCAGACGATGGGGCTGTGGTCCCTCGCGACGAGACGAGAGGAAGAGGCAAGCAAGATGATACAGAGAATTTGGTGGCGGGGGCGACGGCGTGGATGGACTTTAGCAGGGGAAGTTACACCGCATCTCTGACCGCGACTTGGAAGTCCACGACAGATCACTTCCGCTCAGCCAAGCTAAGGCAGAGGGAGCAGAAGCCCCGGCGTACGAGCAGGAATGGTCGCTATTGAGTCAAGAGTACGCGTGCGGCCGTTTAGGTAGGTGCGAACTGGATTCGGGCTTGCTCATACAGCTGGAGATGGCTTTCGATGAGGAATGAGTGATTCAAGGTGGACATTGAGACGAGTTTGAAGATGCGGATTCTTCTTAGTTTCTTTTTGATTTATTTTGAACGGTGGTTTTCCTTCGATAGATCGATATGTTTATACAATTATATAGATTGATGGGTTCATATGATCGTCTTGCGTTCGGACTGCTCGAGCCATGCACGCCATAAGTATGAATCAACCGCATATAGGCCAAGAATCACAAATGTCATGGATCTTAGGGTCATATAGCAAACATCAGGGATTCTCGGCCTTGCGAGCTGCTATTGCTCGATCTTTCTGGGGTCGCTGTAGCTGCGTAGTTGATCTGCAGCGAAGTGGTTCACGTAGTGCCCGCCATGGCAGTAACCAACGTCCCATTACGCTTCTGACAGACAATACTATTCATTGCTATAATAGAGTAGCACTGTTAGATCCCTGGTGAGAAAGTAGTTTTACATGCAAAACTACTCCTTGTTTCAACAAACCACGACAATCAGACCACCGGTGCTAAAGGCGTACAGAGCATCATAGAAGCTCTAGAAGAGGTCTATAAAGAGACATCAAAGCACACGTCCGCTTAGTCAAGGATGCACTCTCACCCTTCTCCAAGTGCACTCACTTCCCGGATATCGAAAAGCGGTTGCCGGCTCGTGCTGCAGCCGAGGGAGGTCCAGTTGAGCTTTTACGTGGCTGAGATTTTGCGCATGCGGGGCAAGAAAGAGGTGGCCGATGAGGGCGATGAATCTAGCCGCCCATGTCATCGGATGCGTCAACAAGGCCGAGAAGAAGCGTGTCGGCCCTCTTGGCCAGGAAGAAGGAGGCGGAGAAGAGGAAGGCGGAAGAGATCAGGAATTTTTGTGGCCCTTGGGATCGAGCATAGGGATGCGGGGCGCCGGTTCCGCAACGAGGAATGGCGTGCGGCGCATCGGTTCACGAAGAAGATAGGAAATCGAAAGAGTGATGCGACTCGTCAGTTCACGAAGAAGACAGGAGGTCGGAGGAATGGCACGACTCGCCAGTTCACGAAGAAGTCGGTATATTGCAGGACTGAGAAAAGTTCGCGCCAGGCCAAGCGTCAGAGGAGAGATATAGAGATGCGTGCGGCACAGGAGGCGGACGACTTCCTTGCGCAGTTGAAGAACATGCTGCCTCCGCGTGAGGACAAGAGTCAGGGCCTTCAGGTCAAAGATGTATCTGCGCTCGTTGTGGTAGCGCCCCAGAACGGAATTGAGGCTCGTTTTCATCACCAGCTCGACGTGGTTCTCAGTCAGGGGCGAGCTATTCAACGTGGTTGTTCCGGGGACATTGAAGTTTGGTTTCCTCGAGTTGCTTTACATTTTCACAACGTCTTTCCTTGGTTAGATTATAGATTAAATAGGCTTCATAAGTTTGGTTCTTCCTATACGCCAAATTATGAATATTTCTAATTAATTTCTTGAGTTCTCGAGCAAAGTAAATCGTAAAGTCGAGGCAAGCTTCCGGGTAAGTATAGATGCGAGGCTCGACTCTCGGCAGTAGCCGAGAAGCCAGCCGGGATGTAACGCAGCAAGCACTATAACAAGCAATGTCACGTTCCCGTCTTGTCGATACCTTTTTTGATCCTTTTGGACTTTCGTTCCCCTTTCATTTCCTCTTTTGGCTGAGAAGTGGCTGAATGGGGGCCAAGCCAGCCCAAAAACGACATTCAATGTTTAGTATTCGGCTGAATTGCCCGATTGAGGATCAATTCCCAAAGAAGCACTCTATTGACGCCAGCTGAGGGAAACTGATATCGCAGCAAGTCACATCCCGTTGGTGCATTGCATATGGCGGGCGGCAGCTGTCGCTCGGCGATGAATCGGCGATGGTGATGGTTCGACCGAGGTTTTGCAGGGGGGGTGGACGTGTGGGTGGTTCCTGGGGTTCACCACGACGAGAAGCTGAGTCTGGATGGAGGACAAGGGGCTTAGGAGGAGGCTGCGAGATTTTCTAGATGCTTCGCGTCGAGGGCAAACTTTAAAAGCTGGGGGAAACGTTTATGACGGGTGGACATGGCCCGAGTACCCGACGAGGACCGAGGGGAGATGCTGGGGATGGGAATGATCCTTGGGGTTTTTGGGGAGGGGAGGAGGTCGCATGCTCAAGGCCAAATGAATGCGATAAGGGAATAGCTAGGCCGAGGCTGTTGATGTGATGTGAGTTGATACGGCTTCGCAATCAGCATGAGATGGGGGTGAGTGAGTGCAGGGGCGGGGCGGTGGATTGGACGGGATCGACAGGGTAAAGCTATGTATGTATGCCGGCCGCGGGGAGCTTGCGTCTGAGAGCTGGCGCTCGGTATTGACAAACTGACAGTTGAGTCGGGGCCGAGACATGATGCACAAATACCGTTTTTTATATCACCAGCTCACTGGCTCTAAACCCTTGTGCAACGGTTTCAGCTGTGGCACACAGTGGCGGGCTGCGATACAGTCATGCAGTGCTACATGACGGTGCACATGTGTGGGATGATTGGTACCTAGATAGGGAGAATGAGATCTAAGTCTCGGAACAGCTGTGAATACTGTGCAATGGAGTGATATTGTCTCTTTGTCTACAGGGAAATAAAAATGCAGTGAACTGGGATGATGCATCAATATCAGCCCTGTTCGGCGCTGATTACAGGGTCCCGTCCACTGAAAGTCCACTGTAGCCTTGCTGTGGCGGTGCCGTGTAAGCGCTCGGTGTACCTGCCTGGTGCCTGCAGCTGCTCCTGCCCACAAAAAACTCGAGTAGTACGAATCCTTTTGTTTGCCGCCCTTATCAGGATCAACCTGGATGTCCAATATGCATGTACATATTAATTGCTTCGTATGACCAAAAATAACACAAAAGTTGAGGAAAAAAAATAAAAGAAAAAACCCTGAACCCCTAGGCATATATCTTTCGGTGGACCTTGGCCCCCTCGTCGCGCCAATCGAGCGTGCTCTGTGGCGTCGCAGCGGGCCATGACGACAAGTTCTCGACTCCCACTTCACTGTATCCGTATTAGCTGCTGTTCGCGTAGTCATCTAAAATGCAATCTAACCAGTGAGTTTCCAACCGCCTACCGAGTGAGTTACTCACTAAATACCATGTACATACATCCATAGCTAGCATCAAGGCCCGCCGGGTCCTTGGCCCTTGGTGTGGCTGACTGCATAGCACCATTGAACCCGATAGAGCCTCAACTTTGCACCGCTTCCGGCCCATTCTTTTTTTTTTAAACTCCCTCGACTGAACGACCCTGCCCACCCACCAGTGCCGACCTACCAACTTATTACGAACTTTCTTGCCTCGACTACTTGAGCGTTAAAGAAAAGGCAGAAAAAAAAAATCACCGTCCTTTTTTTTTTATCCCATCTCATTGTTCTTCTTCCCATCCTTTTTGTACCATCACACTCCATCACGGCCTTGGCCCAAGCTCCTACTGCCCCATCCGTCCAGACTCGAGAGGCACGTCATTCCCAAGCCATCCGCAGTCATCCTTGTCAGCGTAGCAACGAGACAAGACAAGCCACCAACAGCGGCCAACCACAACCACCCCCGGCTGCTGCTCCCCTTCCCACACACAACTTGGATAAAGTCGCACGGGCTGCCCGCCACCGATTCGCTCTTTTCTTTCTCCCGCCCGCCCGCCTTCTCTTCGATCTTCCCCCAGTACTGGACCTGACTGCTCGCCACACCTCACCATGCGCAGTACTGCTTCGGCTGGCGGTATAGCTAGCCTTCGCCCTGCCGTTCTCGGCATGGCCCGGGTCGTCGGTCTCGGACTCTCCTCCGTCGCCGCCGCGCCTCTCTCTGTCCAGAAGTCCAATCACGGCGAGGATGAAGCTCCCGCCACACCTCTCTGGGTGCTCTGTGTCGCCTCAATGGCCCTGGTCCTCCTCGGCGGTGCCTTTGCTGGTCTAACCATCGCGTAAGCTACCTACCTATTTGGCCGCCCGCAATTCTCAATCCCATCCCGAAACAAAGAAGTAATTCTAACACACCATCTACAGCTTGATGGGCCAGGATAGCATCTATCTCCAGGTCCTCTCAGGCGACCCTGAAGAACCCCAACACAAGAATGCCAAGCGCGTCCTCGACCTCCTCAACAGGGGCAAGCATTGGGTCCTCGTCACCCTGCTCCTCGCCAATGTCATCGTCAACGAGTCGCTTCCCGTCGTCCTCGATCGTACCCTCGGTGGTGGCGTCGCCGCAGTCGTCGGCAGTACCGTTCTCATCGGTAACACCTCCGGCATCTATCCCAAATACCCGTCGCTCTAGCTAATTCGTCCGCGTCGCAGTAATTTTCGGCGAAATTGTCCCCCAATCCATCTGCGTCCGATACGGCCTGCCCATTGGCGGTTACATGTCCAAACCCGTCATCGCCCTCATGTACTTTCTCAGCCCCGTCGCCTGGCCCACGGCCAAACTCCTCGACTGGATCCTTGGCGAGCACCACGGCACCGTCTACAAGAAGAGCGGCCTCAAGACCCTCGTCACCCTCCACAAGTCTCTCGGCGACCTCTCTGAGCGCCTCAACCAGGACGAGGTCACCATCATCACCGCCGTCCTCGACCTCAAGGACAAGCCCGTCTCCGAAGTTATGACCCCCATGGAGGACGTTTACACCCTCTCCGAAGACCACATTCTCGACGAAAAGACCATGGACAACATCCTGTCCTCTGGTTACTCGCGAATTCCGATTTACCGCTCTGGCCAACCCACCGATTTCGTCGGCATGCTCCTCGTCAAGACCCTCATTACCTACGACCCAGAAGACAGAATACCCGTCCGCGAAGTGCCTCTTGGTGCCATTGTCGAAACTCGCCCCGAAACGAGCTGTCTCGACATTATCAACTTCTTCCAAGAAGGCAAATCTCATCTTGTCCTGGTCTCCAACAATCCCGGCTCTGACCACGGCGCCCTCGGTGTTGTCACGCTTGAGGATGTAATTGAAGAGCTTATTGGAGAGTAAGCGTCCCTGGACTACTACATCTTTAGTATTGCGATACTAACAGTACTAGGGAAATCGTCGACGAATCCGACGTCTACATCGACGTTCACAAGGCTATCCGACGCCTCACACCCGCCCCCCGCGCTCGCTGCAGCCACGTCGACGCTGCCGCTGCCGCCGGACACGCCGGGACCGCCATCGCCGCTAAGAAGACGTCCGAAAATACGAGGCTAGTGGGGTCCGAGGAGACGGGCGACGGCTCCCGGCTCAAGGTTGGCTCACTGGGCGCCCTCAGCGACGGCGGCGACGACCGATACAGCCCCAAGGTCGCCGTGCTGATGAAGCGCCGCGGCTCCGCCGGCCCGGACGGCCGTTTCGAGGCGCCCATCGCCGTCAAGACGTCCCTCAAGGAGATGAAGTCGTCGCAACTGCGCCTCGGCCCCGCCAACCGCGCCGCCCACCCGCGCAGCAACACGCGCAACGTTTTCAAGATCAAGCAGGGGCTCACCCCACAGCGCATCACCACACTCAAGGCGGACGCCGGCGCCATAGCGGCCGTCAACGGCGACAGGTCTCCCTCGACGCACAGCATCGTAACGGCGCTGCACGCAGACCTAGATCACCACTACGAGCCCCTCCCGGCCGCCGCCGTCGCCGCCGATGCCGAGCAGCAGCTGCAACAGCCCGACGACGAGACGACGCCGCTGCTAAACTCGGACACCAACGGCGCGGAGACGATAAAACCGTACGGGGCGAACGGCAACTCGAAAAACAAAAAGAGCAAGAAGGGCAAGAAGAAATGAAAGGACGCGTCGAAGTTGTATTGACTAATCAGAGTGGGAAAACTGCTACCATCTACTTTTCTGGGTCCATTTTTGCTTTTTGTTTATACTGCAAGCTGGAATAAGTTTTCAGCTTGCGCTGTCGTGTAAGTCGTGCAGCTGGCGTTGCACCGCAGACAGCTTGACCATCGAGTCGGGCCACGGCTCCTTCAAGCCGGCTCATTGTAATTGGCGTTTGTTTTCCATACCGTTATTTTCATAGCATTACCAAGTTGCAATGGCATATCTATTTCCCATTCTCATACGCATTTCTATACCATACTTCATAACAACATACAACCACAGCGTCTCATTATTCGTAACCAAATCAGGGGCCGGTTTTAGTCGTACCAGATGGCGTTCATGCCGAACCCGGGCTCCGGCACGCGCACCCTCGCCACGCGCGCCAGGAACTCGTCCTGCCAACGATACACCTCCAACCACCCCTGCTCATCATCCGTCAGCGCCAGCCACTCGTCCGTCCAGTCCGCCGGCGCCACCGCATTGCTGTGCCCGCCGCTCGTCGGCGTCGGGTTCAGCAGGATCTGCCTCTCAATGCGGCCATCGTCCGCCAGCTTAAACGCCGCCACGTAGCCGGTCAACTCCGCGCTGTTGGCGCGGCTGCTCGCGAACAGGTACCGCCCGGAGTGCGACACGGCGCACACGTCCGCGCGGTACATGGTCCACCGGTCCGGCACGCCCGGCGGGATGAGCGGGAAGTGGCGGCCCGTGTACGCGGGGACCTTGGTGGCCGGGTCCAGGGCGTACTCGCAGATGCGGTTGCCCTTCTCCATCAGCAGGTAGAGGTGCGCGCCGGAGGGGTGCAGGGCGACCCAGCGGGGGTGGTCGCGCGCGTCGGGGGCGTCGATGGCGGCGACGAGGTTCGGGGCGGCGGCCGGGTCGGGGAGGTGGTGCACCCAGAGCTTGTTGGCGGGGAGGTCGGCGGAGTAGAGGAAGCGCTCGTCGGAGGGGTGCAGGGCCATGCCGTGGACGCCGCTGTCGGGCTGGTAGGGGTAGTGCCGGGCGGGAGGGGAGGAGAGGAGCGCGCCGGTGGAGGCGGAGGTGGAGAAGACGGTGCCGTGGCCGGCGTGTCGGTAGAAGGGGTTGCAGTAGACGGAGTACGGGGGCTGGCGCGCGGCGAGGAGGAAGATGGCGCGCGTGTTGGCGTCGGGGGAGGCAGCAGCGGCTATACCCGAAGGCAAAGTGGTCAAGACTAGGAGCTTTTTGGGGCGGGGGCGGCGCGAGGGGGGGCATGTCTGGGGGAGAAGAAGCACTTACGGTCGTGAAGCATTGGGTGCGAGGCTTGATGCTCAATGGTCGTGGCATCATGAACGGCAAACGACGACCACTTCTTCATGGCCGCGCCGTAAATTGCCGTTTTGTCATGCTAGACATAACCATCCAGTCAGCGAGATGGAAGGAGGAGGGGGGTAGCAGCGCGCACGTTAAAGGTCATCCAGGAGATGGGCTCGTCCTCGGGGATGGCGGTGCGCTTGACGAGCTTCAGCGTGAGAGCCTCATCGTCAAAGGCAAAGGTGAAGATGGCACCAGGCGGCGTCCAGGTGCCGACCATGAGGTGGTGGACGGGCATGACTGCGGGATGGTGATGTACGAGCTGGGACGGGTTTATGTTGTCACAAGAGATTGGGAATAATGCTTGATGGTAATGAAAGGAAGAGAAATAACCATCTATGGCCAATTGACAAGATCTTGATCGTTGTATTCCTCCACCTTCTTTCGCAATCGGACCCCGAGAACTTGGTGATAAAGTGGGGTTGCCCGTCCGGTCGCCGGCGGGCGGGGGCGGCTTTCCGTCTCGGGAGATGCCAACGGTAAATGGCGGAATTGAACAAGAGGCTACGACTAAGCAGGAGCCCAAGCGTTGAAGAACGGCGTTCCTTTACCCGTCCCCTCCATCGCCATAAGAAGCGTTTATCCCCCCCCCCTCATCCACATTTTCATGCCTTGTCCATGTCCGCCTTACAGCCCCGCGTCATTTTCTTTTCTGAAATTTTCCTTCATTTTAAATCTCTTGACTTGCCCACCCAATTCAATAGTCCATCTCATTTTGTTCTGGAAGCCCGCTTGCTGGCCACGGAAATTACTTTGCCCCGCCGTTCTCCTACCCTCTCATAGTAGACAGCCGTCGTTCCCGGCAGCGCCGAAGTCGAGTGCGCGCAAGTACTCACCAGTGCCGACACAAGAAGAGCCTGAGATGCGCAGCTGCCGCCTTTCTCTGTGGATTCCGGTATGCAAGACTTCCATGCAATCTCTCAGATTCCTCTGCCTTGTTTGCATTCTCAGTCCTGCGCATCTCGTCCCTTGCCGTCTGACAGCTGTCGGAACTCCGCCGGGAAATGACGTCGAAACCCCGTCAAGGCCAAGATTGCTATTATAGTACAGATTTCATAATGATAGAACTTAGAAAATGGACCCTGAAAACCCAAATCTAACATCCCCGAAATTGAGGACCGGTTTGCATACTGCGCTTACTCTAGGCAAACCAGCATGCCGGTACTGCAATAGATTGACTCACCGGCACCACCGCGCATCACCAGCGAAATAGCACAAAATTTTCCAAAACGCCTAGGTAGTCCCAGATTAATCACCAATCGCCCCCAAAAAGCCCCAACTCCTTTTATTATTCATTTACTCAACGCTGGGCCAACCCCCCGCACGTCTCTCCTGCAGGCATGTCACTCAGCCAAGTTGGAGTTCCCGCGAATAAGGTGGGGGTTGTCACGGCAACGCCCCTCCATAAACAACGGCTCACCATCGCCTTGCATTGCCTGATGCGCCATCCACGCTGAATGGCTGTGTTCTTCTCAGCGGTCAAGCAAAACTTCTTTTTTTACTCTTGCTCTCTCTTCCCCTTTTCTTTTCTTGTCTTCTTCTTCTTCTTTTTCTTTTTTTATGTATCATTCTTCCCGCTGTTCGCGGTATTCCGTATTCTTTATACTCATGGGCCTCCATCCTTGAGCACCTCTTCAGTGGTTTGCTCAGCACCTGGGTCGGGAGGTAGACGATTCTTGATCGACATTCTAGCTGGTTTCTCGTGTCATCTATTCTACCAGCTGATGAAGGCCATTGCGTCCAACTCCCTCACTACTTGGCCTGCCGCCTAACCCCGACGTTGTCCATCAACAACAACAAACACGGTAGCTACAGAACAGCAAACAGCGGGGACCGTCTAGTCTCTCATCCGAAAGAAAGATGCCCATCGGAAATCTAGGAAAGCCCACGGCTCTCGCGCTCGGCGAAATTCAAGGCAACCAGCAGCATCATGGCTCCCGCTCGCCGGTCAAACCCCAAGACAATGGTGACCCTGGCCGCTCCAAATCTCCGACCAAGTCCGCCTTCACAGGACTCAAATCCATGGGCGACAGATGGGGCGTTGGAAGGGCTGCCGCTCCCTCGCGCGAGCCTTCTCCCACAAAGCCTCCAAAGGCGAAGAAGTCCTCCACAAACCTCGCCGGTCTGCTATCGCGACCAAGGTCCTTTATCAACCTACAAAGAGCCAGTGGCGAGATTAGTCGGCAGTCCTCGACAAGCGATAAAGAGAATCGAACCCCAGAGCCAACGATGACGGATGCCCCACCCATCTACGCCCAATTCACATCCACTAGCGACGGCAAGACGAAAAAGGCGAGACCCCAATCGTGCCACCCTTCACTGCAGAGCTCGGCTCTACAGTTTCCCGGCAAGGGCACGCCCCGGACCTCCCAGGAAGAATCTGACAGCAGCCCAGCTGGCACAGCTGCCTTCAGAGGCCATGTGCGTGGCCGGTCCGTCGCTACCGCCGAGCCGACTATGAACTCGGACGAAATCGCGGTGCACCTCGAGGCGCTGCTCGATCGCCGCAACATTCCGCAGAATCAGCGCTACAAGATGCGCAATCTCAACGACACCATCAAGATGGAGTTTATCCGGCAAGACTGGGCCGAGATGAGGGCCGGTCAGACCGGAAGCCTGCCCCGGAGCGACGGCGGTAGCGTTGACGCGTCGACGACCGCCGTCGAGTCAGAGGCCGAGGACGATAGCAGCAGCAGTAAGCGCGGGGACCGCGGTAGAAGCCGCGGCCGCAGCTTCACGTTCTCGCGCAGCAAGCGGAATCGGTCCTCGTCCAAGAAGCCAAAGGCGGAAGGGTCCATCGGGCGTCGCTGGCGCAGCAAATCCACAGAGAGCATCGGGCGCGACCACCCGGAGGCTGCCTCAAGTGGCGGTGGCACTACGGGCTCCAGCGTACTGTCCAAGATAAAGTTCCAGCAAGGGCCTGGCGACTACGTTGCGTATCTCCGCAAGGTGCAGAAGCCGGAGGCGGTCGAGGTGGGCAAGCTTCACAAGCTTCGGCTGTTGCTTCGCAACGAGACGGTGGCCTGGACGGAAGAGTTCATCCGCCGTGGTGGCCTGGAACAGATTGTCGGTCTATTGAACCGCATCATGGAGGTCGAATGGAGGTAACGTACAACGGAAACACTTTCTTTACTTGCAGGAAGATTCTGACAAACTCAAAACAGAGAGGAGCACGAAGACGCCCTGCTCCACGAAAACCTGCTATGCCTCAAGGCGCTGTCTACGACGGCGCTTGGCATGGAGTACCTGCACACCGTGCAGGCTGACCTCCTTCCCAAGCTGCTGCACCTCATCTTCGACCCGGAGAAGAAGGGACCCAGCGAGTTCACCACGCGCAACATCATCACCTCGGTGCTGCTCATGTACATGGCCTCAGCGCCGCCCGCAGAGCGCGTGATTCGTGCCAAGAACGTCCTCGGCCACCTGCGTGACCCGCAGCCGCGGGAGGAGGACCGCCCGCCGCCGTTCCTGCTCGGCATTCACCAGGAGCGGCCGTACCGCGTGTGGTGCAAGGAGGTTGTCTCGGTCACCAAGGAGGTCTTCTGGATCTTCCTGCACCACGTCAATGCCATTGCCCTCCCCAAGGACGCGGCCGGAGCTGCACAGCCCGACGACCCAACGACGACCACCTCGTTCTTCAACCCCGGCGCAGAGCAGCCGTACGCTTACATGCATCGCCACTTCGCCGCCGAGCGCCCTCCCGTCGCCGCCGCGCCGTACGTCGGCGGCGTCGAGTGGGACGCCACCAACTACCTCGCCTCGCACCTCGACCTCGTCAACGCCATCGTCGCGTGCGCCGCCACCCGCGACGCCCGCAACGCGCTCCGCTCGCAGCTCCGCGTCTCCGGCTGGGAGCGCTGCATGGGCGGCAGCCTGCGCCTGTGCAAGGAGAAGTTTTACGGGAGCGTCCACGCGGCGCTGCGGACGTGGGTCGCCGCCGCCGCCGAGGACGGCTGGGACGTGAGGGATGTAAGGTTCGGCCCGGAGCAGCAGCCCAGCAGGGCCGCGTCGCCGCGCAAGGTACCCGCGGGTGGCAAGGTGGAGGAGCCGCCCAAGCTGGACATGCCCCGGTTTGACCTGGGCCTTTGATTGCTGGAGATTGTCGTTGAGTATATATATATGTCTAGCAGTCGGGAGAGGGTGCAGGAGTTGACCGTTTCAAATCATTGGGGCTGCTCTGGATGGACTATGCCTTGTCTGTATATTTTTTCTCATACTTTTTTTTTCTTCTTCTCTTTTTCGCTTCTATCGTTTCATTCCTCGGGGCACAATCCAACGAGGACCACCACTTTCCTTTCTCAGCACATGGGCATTTTCAGGAAATGGCTTCTACTATAGCATGTTAATGAATTGACGAATATGAATCTCCCATTTTTGGAAGGTTGCCTCTATACTGTGTGTGTTCATGTTGAAATTCAAACTGCGTCTATCCGCGGTGGCGCTGAAACGCTTCCTTGACGGACACGCCGAGGGCCACGTCGGCCTTGGCCTTCTCGTCAGCCGAGGTCAGCCTCGGCAGCAGTTCGAGCACCTGTCCCACCTTGTCTCGCGGGATGACGACGACGCCGTTGACGGGGTCGTTGACGGCCAGGTCGCCCGGCGAGACGAGCACGCCATTGATCGTGAGCGGCACCTCGCGCGCCCAAGGCACACTACTGCCGCCCGACCCGACGGTCGACGTGCCAAGAGCCCAAATCTAGTCGAGCTGTTAGCTTCGATGCGTGTTTGAGTTGAGGGACGGACGAGCGCGTGTGAGGGACGGACGTACAGGCAGCTCCGTGCTTCGCAGTTCCACCAGGTCTCGCACGCGACCCGCCACTATGATACCCTTGACGCCAAGGACCCTCATCCTCAGGGCCATGATGCCTCCGCAGATGGCGTTGGTCTGGCCGGGGGCCTGTTGCATGACGGCGAACGTGCCGGGAACGGCGTTGTCGACCCAATGCGTGTCTTTGGGGAAGTTGGGCGCAGGTCGCTCGCTAGCGGTAGCGGGATCCTCGTTCTTGGCCGTGAAAAGGACCGTTGACACAGGAGCTACCGTGACCTTTTCATGCTTACTGCTCCCAACAGAAGCATCGCCGGAGCTATACTGGGTGAGGTCGGCTATGAACCCCGCACCTGGCACCTTGAGCTTGAGGAGCGCATCGGAGACGTCGCACGCTGTGTACTTTTCTAGCTCATTGAGAGTCTGTTGGGGGATGGCGGCGGAAGACATGGCGCGTTGGTGTGCACAATTAATTGATTTAGCCGATGGTGCCGCCGTTCGGTTGCTGGATATGTGTGTTCGTGGCCGAATGGAGTGTGTGGAATATACTCGTAGCCTAGCAGCCAGAGGCGCCGCCCGGGAAGTTCCCGGAAGTGCGGCCCACACAAGCTTGCGACACGCCGGGTGGCCAAAGGAGCTCGGAGAGCACATTTCGCTCGGAGCTATGTGGACGGCTGTGGTACGCCGAGCTCTGTCGGATGACACTGCCGATGACGGTAGCAAAGCGACTTTACAAGGGACGGAGGAGCCTCGGGTTTGCTGGCCCAGCGATGGCTCGCTATTTGCTCAATGCAGTGATGCGTGGTACAACGCTGGGGCGTGGTATGCAGATGACAAGGCAGAAAAAGGGACCAAGGTCGATCCTTACGTGACGGGTGGCCGTGATACGTTCGAATGCGAAGCAAAGGGACGAGTTGGTTGCGCGGCGTAAAGAGCGGTGATGGCAGCAAGTGAAACTTTGGCCTGTGAAGATGCAGAAAAGGAGACAAGAGTCAACAACGCCTGCCCAGCGGATTAGCCTGGATCTTGCCGCGATCAGTGGAGTGACCCGCCAATGTATGTGCGATGCTGGTAGAAGAAATGTTCAGAGTCAGTCAGCTCTTGCGTAATGCGTGACGCACGCGGAGACTATGCAGACACCATGATGCTACTGCTCGATACATAGAACAACAAGTCGGCCATTGCAAGAATTTGCAAAGAGCTGCAGTAGCCCGCAGCAAGTCGTCTTCTACGAAACTCGGCCGCGGCCTGGAATCCACTGATGAGAGCTTCGGTTATGCTTTAGCCAGCCACTAGAGAACAGCTCGAGCAAGCTAGAGCTCCAGAGGTGCAACCGTTCAACTCCTGGAGAAGCGGCAAGGTGGATATGGTGAATATGATAAGTGTTGGATGGCCGCTATCGTTGCGCGACCGCTGGGGCTCAAGCCATGATGGAGTTGGTGCGTCTGCATAGCAGCCAGACTTAATTCGTATGTACTGCAGGTCGTCGATAGCCGGCTATCTTGTAGGTCTTTGACACGTAGAATTGTCTTGGCGAGAGTGTTGTGTGGGAGAGAAGTTGAGTGTGGATGAGGAGAAGGTCTTCTCGCAACTTGACGGTTGGCCGACAGCTGGCAACTCGCAACTCGCAGCCGCCCACAGAAAATGCGACGCAGGCTGAATGGTCAGTAATAAACGGCCAGCATCGCATCGACATCTGCCGTCAGCCTCCGACCAACTTCGGGCATGAGTACTATTTTTTCTCCAATCGAGACCCTTGCAGCGACAGAGGCTTCGGTAGCCCGCGGCAGAGAAAAATCCAGAACATAGATAGATACATACCAGCATGCAGTCCTAGGCACACCCCAGCGCTGCTTCAGAACGCGGAAGCATACGCAAGATGTTCCGCCATGAATATGCGGACCAAAGCATGCTTTTCTCCTAGCTGCATCTCTCAAGAAGTCTCCTGGTCTAACCTCTTTTTACTAATTACTAGCATTGCTAGAGCGAGAGAGGCCGACCATCTCCACCGCCACTGGCGCTTTTGTAAGTTGTGCGGCACCAACATCTGCATGCAATGCGGAGGGCTGGGGCTTAACAGACTTTAGGCTTGTCACTTTCCTCTCGAGGGATGGCCATCTTATTATCGGGCAGGCTGGGATCGTCGAGGCTTGGTTGCGCCACTAGCCGTAACACATATGTTCGTCGAAGCTTGTCATCTGCCGACTCGTTATTTGGATTACCAACAAGGTGCCATAATGGTGAAGTGAGGTTCTTTCGACCTCCTCACGCTAGTGGTAGGTAGTTACGCGAAAAAGGTTGTCAGACTTTCAACTAACATGAGCGGTGCTGGTCTGCTAATAAATGAGAGCACGCAACAGTTGCGTCAGATGCGATGCAAGTTTCCCTACAGGGGCATGGCTGATGCACTACGGTTGCTGCAGCACATATATCTCGTGCAACGCGATTCCCGTGGAAACGCCATACCGCGACATTCCCGAGTGTCAGATTGTATGTTTGACGACGGTAACCCCAAACAGGCAGCTGTCGCCCACGATCATCCTCACTGAGGTCGACCGGATGGTGGCCGAGCTGGGCGTGCTGGTAAAGTTGCTCTGGGGGTTATTTTTGGTCCCTTGGTCCACGTTTGAGATGGTAGGTACATACATAGCTATGGGCAATGGCAATCTGGTGGCAATCGGTGTCCACTGAAAGCCTCCGGCGGCTATGCCAACAAATGGTGCTAAAAACAAGTGAGCCCAGACCAGTCGTGCGAGTAGTGGTCTCTTAGCCTGTTTCCAGTTGATCATACCTGTCAAAGGGCAACGAGTGGATGACAAGCTGGCGAGTCGAGACGAGAAGGAAGGAAGAACAGATGGGACTGGTGTCGCCATGTCACCAGGCTCGGCCAGACTTGACAAAGAGAAATGGCACAAAGTCCCCACAAGGCGTCCCGGAGAAACGACGAGTATTATTCTTCTCATGTACGGATACCAGACACGCAGCCAGGACAGGCGAGCGATTGTGGTGCTTTCTGCAAGCCTCGAGCAAGCCACAGACAAAGTCAAGGTGGTTCGCATCTGAGGTGTCAAGAAATCCGTGTTGAGACAATCTTCGGTGTCTCCAGACCGGAGGGTTGGGTGAATTACCCGGACACAGTACAGCCACATACGGGTAGTAATAAGTAATCACCGTTCACATACTGTACAACTTGAACCCGAGTCGTCCGGCGAGTTTGGCCGCCCACCCGGCAGGCATGTCGATGAGACCTCGAACCCGTTTATTTGTTGGTGGATGGAACGAATTATTGTCTAGGACTTGCGCAATGCATTTGGAAGGGCCGCAGGAATGACTTATTTGCATTCTTGGAACCAATGTATTCCAGTTTTGAATCAGTTCAGCTTGAGGTACTGCAGTAATAATAAGGGTGGGCGTATGCCCAGCCCCAGATAGCTACCTGACCTCACTACTAACCTCTAATAATGCTGTCCCCTCTCTCGTCACTGTCGGGTCCATCCGCTCCCACATCCCACATCATGCCTAACTAATTCAACCATCCCCTCTTCATCATCCGCCATCTATCCATCTATCCATCCACCCCCCTCCTCACCTCCTACCAGCTGCCTATTTGCCTGCCTGCCTGACTTCGTGCCTCGTCAGCCTTGTTCAAGCCATCACCTCCTCCGGCCACTCTGTAACAACAAACAACCCACCCGTGCTTGTCAGCTCCTCCTCTCGCGCCCGACTCTTCCACTCGCAGCCACCAGGGACGAGTATCACCACTTGCGTCTCGGGACGCTGTCACTACTACCACTAACTATCTCGCCCCACCCCCCACCAGCGCAGAGTCACAGACGCCCAGACGCCCTTGAGCCTCGCCAGATCTCGGGGCGACACCTGCACGCCGCTGCACCGCACCGCACCGGCCGGTACAAGGTCCCAAGGTGTTCCATATTACAACCTAGCCCAAAGCATCCTTCTTTACGGAGCCAGGATCCTCGCCGACCCTTGCTGTCAACATGTCCATAAAGTAAGCTCTCTGTCCCCGTTTCCTTCGTTCTTCATCTCTTCCCTGCCCACCACAACCTGCTCTGCTTCGGACGCCTCCCAGCTACTTCTACGTCGCTGGTTCTCTCGCTGCGTCGGTGCAAAGCATTTCCTAATCCCCATCACCAACTACAATCCACCTCTACTGCACCCTTGCTCGCGCTCTAGCGACCGCTTCCTCGACGTCCCGACACATCCTCATGGAGCCATGGGCTCCGGTCCTGGCCTGTGATGGACAATCCTCATGACTACCTCATCTCCTCTCCCGCTCCGCCTCGGCAAACAAACCCTGACAATTCGCATAGTTGGGTCATGCTCAACGAGGGCGGCTTCGTCAAGCTAGGAAACGAACGCATTCTCCTCAAACTCGACTCCAGAATTTCATGCGACCTCTCTGTGCCGCAGGAGCTGCGGGCAACCGGCGCACAGTTCCATCGCAAAAGCGACAAGGGTTCCTTGTTTCTCACAAATAAAAGGGTATGTATAATTATGCTCTACCAATGTAGCTGCAGAGTAATATCGACTAACAGTTTGTTCTTCTAGATCGTCTACCTACCCGCGAAAGCGATCCAAGAGCCAAAATTCGAGTCTTTCAGCGCTCCGATCCTTAAATTTCAAGATTCATCGACATCCTCGTCAATGTGGTGGGGCTGGGTATGGAAGTCAGATTGTGTTCCTGTGTCGGGCGGCGGAATACCACCAGACATACCGCGAATCGAAGTCAAGTTTACTTTTTCTGACGGTGGCATGATGGAGTTCAACGACGCTTACATTCGGCTCCGCGAGAGACTATTCCAATATCAAGAAATGCGACGAGAAATGGGGCCCGGCGCAGACATCCCCGATGAGCCCTTGCCCGCATACGAAGCTGCGGGATCTGCTCAGCAACCTGCTACTGGCACTTTAGATGTGCCTACTGCCAGCCACGCTCGGTCTGAAAGCTCATCGAGCCGGCGTGCGCCCAATGAACCGCCGCCAAATTACGACGAGGCTCAAGCTCAGCAATTGAGCAATCGACTGGAAGACCACATCCGAGATGGCGTCAATCGAGGAGAGAACGACCCGTAATTTCATCCAACGGCTGGTATTGACATGACAATGTACGAACCTAGATTTGATGACCTGAGCCACCAACGTGGCGTAATGAGGAACGTTCAGTATCTTTGGCAATAAATGGCGTTATGCGTTATAGAGTGCAGTAGCGCGAGAATAATTCTTTCCGTCTCTTCAATTCCATCCCAACGGCCAAGAGAGCCAGGACTTGGAACGGTTTCGTTCCCCGTCCCTCGCAACCACGACATAGTGAGGACACTACACCCAGCGACACAAGCAAGAAAACTATCCGATCAGAACTAAGAAGTAAATTACTTGAAATAATTGATAATTTTGCGAGAAGGTTGAGACTCTTTCATGAAAGCGAAGCCAACGCAGTCGCGTCATGTGATTTTTCACGTGCACCCGCCTGGAGCAGTGGGACCAATCAAAATGCCTCAATTCCTGACCAGTTTTCGCTCCGCGATTTTGGCCGAGAGCTCCCGACCACTTTTGCTTCAACGCAGACCACTCCAATCACAACACAAGACCAATTGGCCATTGTTGGTTCTCCAGTTCATACACCATGGGTATCTGGGACGCATTTTCCGATATTGTCGAGGCCGTGACGCCCTGGAGCGTCGTCGAGGCCGAGGCTCCTGCCGCGGCTTCTCAGGTAAGCAGATCCCGGGGGGGTCCCCTTGTGACTGGGCCGCAGAGCTGTCTCCGCAGCCGTTGTCCCGACAGAGGGCTCGCACACTGTCCGGCGCAACGGCTGAAGCTGTGCTTGGCGCCTGCGTTCAATAAAATTTACTAACTGGATCATGCAGGAGGAGGAACCCGTCGAGGAGGCCAAGGAGGAGACCAACGAAGAGGGCAACGAGGAAGCCCAGGCCGAGGACGCCGAGAAGGAGGAGGAAGAGGGTGAAGAAGACGAGGAAGAGGAGGAGGAGGAAGAGGAAGATGAGGATGAGATTGTCGACCCCAAGGACACCATTGAAGAAGGTCCGTGAATTCTGCCCATTATTGTCGCAACGTCACATTGGCCGGATATGCGAACCATCCGCACCATTGCGAACGCAATCGACGATCTATTTCTAGCGACGATATGGCATACCTGATCCAAGGCGACTTACATGCTGACTCGGCGTATAGAGTGCAAGCAGTCCAAGCAGTGCTCCGGCCCCAAGCACCACTTCGACGACTGCGTCGAGCGCGTTCAGCAACAGGAGAGCGAAGGCGAGGCCAAGGAGGACTGCGTTGAGGAGTGTACGTTGAACCGATCCGACCAATGATGGCGACAAGTTGCGTGCCACAAGCGCGCAACGTCCAACGCTCGGTCGTGAACCAAGAACCATTTATGCTAAATTGTTTGGCGTCTAGTCTTCCACCTCGCCCACTGCGCCACCGCCTGCGCCGCCCCCAAGCTGTGGTCGAAGCTGAAATAAGCTGTCCCGCGCGACGAAACTACAATATACAGGGTATTACGTCTGGCCGAAATAAGGTTTCAACGGCGGGAGTTGTCCCAACTCTGATGATGTACAAAAACGGAACGAAAACGAAAGATTTTGGGGGATGCGTCGGGAGCGCGCGGATAGGAAGAAGCATGAGGAGGATGGGGCGAGGCGATAGAGCATGTTTTGGCCTGCCTCGCCTGTGTGTGGTTGGCCGCACTTCCATGGCTATTGTAGCATGTGGGTTGAGTCTCTTGGGATGCCTACCCGGGCTGCTGTCCTTGGCGTGCGGTTGGGGACTTATTTTGTATCATACGCTTCAGCGCCTAAAATAGAATTTTCTCTGGTAATATGGTTTTCCGATTACGGCGTTTTCGTGTGAGTGGGAGGCAAGCTCTTGGAACTCGTAGGGAGTTGGCGCGGAGAATGAAGTGCTCAGGAAGACTGCTACTATGTATGTAGGTATGGACCTTCTTTCCACGGCCGAGACAACTGCGGGCAGCTCGGAAGCAAATGGGTCTATGCCCTCGTAGGACTGCGTGATGACGCTCGGCCAGTCTACCCGATTTTATCGCAATGACAAGTCCTCGGATCTCCCGTAGACGATGGCACCCTGCCAATCCTCAGCCGTCGGGATACTCCAAGCTACACCACTGAGCTGCATCGAAGCACTCACCAGATCGGATACGACACCGCCTTTGCTGCTCTAGGGTCACACACCTTGTCATTCTTGCAAAAGTGCGTCACACGAGGTCCAATTCCTCATTGTGAAAGAACACAAGAAACACAAGAGAAACACCTTCGGGTTTCCCGGAGCTGGTATGCGTGGCCATGGAACTACAGACTACCAATCGCGGAATGGTGGTGCGGCCTACCCTGGAGATGACATCTAGACTCGGCGGAGGTTTCTGTGCAACGCATCGGGATAATAACCAAGAGTGCGATTTGCACCCAAGCGGCAGCGAAGTGACACTAGCACTCCTAGAGAGATGATACTCTGTATCTTTAATTCATCGTCCCCGCCGAGTGTTCTGCGGGGGGGAACCTGGGCCGGCGCATCGGGGGTTGTGCTAGGGAAAGAGCCCTAGGGTAGCGTATCAAATTCGCGGCGCCCCGTTTGCTGAGCTCTATTTGGATATTGCCGAAGAAAAGAAAGACTTGACAACTACGGAGGAATAAGTTCATTTTCCTCTCCCGATTCCTCCCATTGAAGTGTTACACACAAGAGATATTTCTCGGAAGAGAAGGGTACGATTAGGCCTGCCTGTGTCGTCGGCCAAGGCGGGTTCAAAAAGCCTTTGAAGATAGAGTCGACGTCTGAGACAGCGCGGCGTGTCTCGGAAAACGGGCATGGTATGGCGATCAAGGAGCGAGCCGTGAACTTCGCAAAGACAAAGGGCTTGAAACGGCGCCGATGATGCAGGGCATGCGGCTCAAATAAGCGGCTCACCGAGGGGGAACGGCTGGCGGCGTCGGTGGGAAAGTAGAAAAGGACGAAGGAAAGCAAAAGCGGGTTTCGGGCGGAGCCGACATCATGCAGGGCACGTTTCAGCGGCCTGCAGCATTTTGATTTTCTGGTCAGGTAGAAGGAGCAGGAGGCAAATCATTTAAATTATTTTGCGAGTCAAGAAGCTGCGTGGCCGAGTCAAGGTAACGCAGAGGGCAAAGAGGTGCGAGCATGATTACGCATAATAGGGCAGCAGACGACTACCTGCATGTTGTAGCCCTGTCTCCCAAGGAGATTATACAATCATGAAAGGAAAGATAAGAGAGCGGAAAAGGTCCGGGGCGTCGATGAGGTAACGCGGAGAAAGACGAAGGTGCAGAGTGAAGAGATTGGGTATGATGATGGGATGGGTAGACGTGGACAAGGCGTCAAGCTGCCGAAGTCGAGACACATCGAGGCATGAATGATCCCTGGAGGATCCACGTGTTTGAGGCTTTGAAGACATTTGCATTGGATGACAATGGGTTTGCCAGGGTTCTTACTAGTACGTGCGAGCACATTTACAAAGGGGAGCCGGCTGTACCTTGATTGCTCAATGCAATATGTTGTCGCGCTATTGGAGAATAGACAACGAAACCCATGGCAGCTATCCATATCAGTAACTTGTTACCAGAAAAAAATGTCATCCGCAATAAGAAAGCTGAGGTTTGTGTTAATGAGGAGGCGTTTTTACAGTGGACTTGGTTGCCGCGGCCGTCTTTCCTGTTGCGGGCTGGTGGCGTCGAGAGGAAGGGAAATTAGAAGAAGAAGAGGGAACTAGTTGGGACGGTGGCGCGGAAGAAAATCAAAGTCGGATGGGATGATGGAGAAGGAGAGAGAGTGAAGAGCGGGTTTGGGGGCTTTTGGCTGTTGTTTTGTCCCGGGCTGATGGTTTTGGGGGCGTTGTCTGTGCGGCCAACAGGTCGATGGATGGATCAAGTTACAAGTGATGATCTTAGCTTACAAGTGATGATCTTAGCTTACAAGTGATGATCTTAGCTGTCAAGTCAGAGGCCGCTGAGGCAACATGGCAATAGAAAAGATGACGCAAGATTCTGGTTTGGCTAAAGAGAAAAAGGAAACCAGATACGAGCGCGCACGTCCTCTGTCGGGAGTTGATCTTGAATTAATTGGCGATGAGCGGTGGTGATACCCAGGTATGTTGAAATTCTCCGAGGTCCGTTCCGCAATTGGGACGCCGACGGTAACTAGAGAGAAGATTCCTACTAGGACTCTAGTTAGCGAGAACCTTGTTTAAAATGATGGCAGATGAAAGCGCTGCCACCGCGACCACCGCACAGTCCCTTGCCTACTGAGGGACCGAGAGTCGATCGATGGAAGGGTAGCGCGGCAAAAGGCGAAAGAGGCAAGGCCATACGAAGGGGTCCCGAAAGGACAGAAAAAGGGAAACAAGAGGCTTGCACTAGCTTATTTCCCAGCGAATCAAGGGTTGGCATGTCGTTAACTGGCTTTCTTCATGCCTGGCCTTCAAAACGCTTGATAGTTTGACAGGCTAGATGGCCTCGTACGGCTGCAAGCCGTCGTGGCTTTTCTGGGGCCGGTCCATGTGGCTGCTAAAGATGTACTAGGGAGGGAGAGGGGTTGAAGAGGACCCTATAACTCGCCTCAGACAGGAATGATATAGGCCCTCAAGAGCGAATTACACAGGGACTTTTGGTACGCGAGAGCTCGGCGGGTGCTACCTTGGGGCTTCTCGGCGGGGTTACAGTGGTCGGTGGCCATTACGGGGCCGCAGGGGGGGGGCACTATTGATGCAGTGTGTGTTGCGGGCAGTTCAGTTGACAGAAGTATCTCCAGGGAATAGCTAAAAAAGAGTTGAAAGCTTTCTATTGGAATGAGTGCAACGACTCAGCCCAACTCGTGTTCTTGAATAAAGCCCTTGCTTGTTTATTAATGACCAAATAGGCAGGCTGCTGCTCGACATACATCTGTCATCTGCCATCTGCACTGACCCCGGCTCCCCGTTAAAACGGGGGCCATCTAACTACAGTGGATTGCAGTGGAGATGCATCCTCCAGACTGATGCTCCTCCAGACCAGACTCAACTTCCTGGCTTTCCGAATGCACCGGCTCGCTCAGACAGGAAAAAAAAAAAAACAGACCAAATAATAATGTAAGGCAACCCAAAATCTAAATTATCCGCTCCTCCACATGTCAGCCAACCAAATCGTCGTGTCCATCCACTGATATGTAAACCCACCCGGCCCTGGCCCGTCTGATGAGCCCGTCCCTTCCCTCTTTGCCCATGCTGCGTCTACACATGTGCACCTGAAGTTAAGGCAGGTGGTGGTCTCGTGCTTGCTAGGTACAAAACACAAACGCCCTCCCTCCTCCATCGCACAGCTCCGTCTCGGTCCTTTTCTTTTTCTTTTCCGGTCTTGGATTCGAAGCATCGTCATCAACAGAAATCCCTGCGTCGACTTGCCCATTGCTCTCCTCTCGACAATCTCGATCCTGATCCTGAAGCCGATCGGTAGCCTCAAGACTTGTCTCGGCCGCCGCCGCCGCCGCCTGTTTACATCTCTCATCAACATCGACATTCAGCATCTTATGGCGAAATACTTGATATCCTTTACCCCACGTCTTTGAATAGAGCCCTAGCGAGGTGTCAACTCACTTAAAATAAGCTGCGCCAAACTACCAAAACGACGAACCCTGGCTAGCCTCTCCTGCAAGCCTCACAAAAGTCAGCTGCGAATCCCAGCATAGGCGTTGGCCACGCTCGAGTCAAGGTTTCGAAGCCTGCAAACTGCAAACCTTTTAATCTCTCCCTTGCCCCGGCTGAACTTATCCTCCATTTATCTGTCGAAAACTCTCTCTTCGCGCAACCTCAACCGAGCCGAGGCCAAGGCATTCACCACAGACAAACTTCGCCTCCTTTGGTTAGCACCAGGTCTCACCAACCACCCACACCAACCTGACGAACTGGGACAAACGCCCGTCGCTGGACACTGCCAAAAGTACGAGTCTCACCTGCTCGTGCCTCTTTTATTTTTTAGGCGCGTGAGACAGTAGATTTCCTCACGCCATCTCATCTCCGTCGACTCTCTTTTTCGTGGACTCTTCCTCAAAGCGGCCTCCCAGGGTCGCCGACTCAGCCTCCGGGCATATCCACCGCCGACAGACGGTATTCTCTCACCTCCGCCACACACTTCCAACTACCACACGCCATGGATCAAGATACTCAAAGGCCCGAGGGCAAGCCCGAATCGCCCGTCTACAGCCTGAGCGTGCAGCCCGCTGACAGACGCCTGACCAACTCGTCCACCGTGACGCCCGCCACACAATACCGCACCTACAAACGCCGCTGGTTCGGCCTCGTCCAGCTAGTGCTGATGAACATTGTTGTTTCCTGGTGTGTAAGTACAATATTTCCTGATTCACCCCCAAAGACGTGTACCTTCTCCATCTTATCCAGATATTAACGCAAATCAGTGGCTCTCATACGCTCCTGTAGCAGACAAGTCCGCCACCTACTATGGAGTTTCCAACAACGACATCAACTGGATCAGCATTGCCTTCTTCTTCGCATTTGTCGTCGCCACCGTTCCTGCAATCATCGCGCTGCACCGCTCCCCACGCATCGCCATCCTTGCCTCCGCCGTGCTCATGCTGGTCGGCAACTGGATCCGCTACGCCGGCTCGAAAGACCGCTCGGGTGGCCACTACAGCTACGCGATGGCCGGCACCATAGTCATCGGCCTCGCCCAACCCTTTGTTCTTGGCGCGCCCTCGGCCTACTCGGACCTGTGGTTCACGACTCGTGGCCGTCTGGCTGCTACTGCCGTCACCTCCCTCGCGAACCCGTTTGGCTCCGCCCTTGGCCAGCTCATCAACCCGCTCTGGGTGTCGTCCGTCGGCGATATCTCCAACATGGTGCTCTATGTTGCCATCATCGCCTCAGTCGCCTGTGTACCTGCCCTCGCGATCCCCTCGCGTCCGCCTACGCCTCCTGGCCCGACTGGCGAGACGCCGAAGATTGAGCTCCGCGCATCGGCCCGGGCTGTGCTCTCCTCCCTCGAGCTTTGGCTCATGCTCATCCCATTCTTCGTCTTTGTCGGCTTCTTTAACTCGTTTAACTCGCTTCTAAACCAGATCCTTGTCCCCTACGGCTTCACCGATGACGAAGCCGGCATTGGTGGCGCCGTCTCTATCGCCGTTGGTATTGTCTGCGCTGCCATCACCTCCCCCGTCATCGCCCGTACCAACAGCCTCATTCTCTCTATCAAGATACTCATCCCTATCCTCGGCCTGTCGTACCTCGTCCTCCTTTGGATGCCTGAGACCCATGACGCCGCCGGTGTCGCGGGCCCTTATGTCATTATGGCCGTCCTCGGCGCCTCCAGCTTCTCCCTCGTCCCTGTGGCCCTTGAGTTTCTCACAGAAGTCAGCCACCCGCTAGGCCCCGAGGTTACCTCCACCGTCGCCTGGGCCGGCGGCCAGATCTTTGGTGCCGTCTTCCTCATCATCGGCAACCACCTCGTCGACGGCGACGCCGCCGACCCCCCGCGCAACATGAAGCGCTACCTCATCTTCCAGGCTGTTGTCAGCATGGCCGTCGTCCCCGTCCCGCTCATGCTCGGGCTCTTTGGGCGCAAGGAAAAGGTCGTCCTACGCCGCTTCCAGGGAGACACGGCAGGCCGCGAGTCGCTTCACAGCCGTGCCTAACAATTTTCTTTGCATTTAAATCGTCTTTTTTGTTGTCAAATGTTGCTTGAATATCCACTGCTGTTTATATATATACATACCTTGAATGATGCGTGAGACACGCCATCCTTTCTATATAAGACATCATGGCGTCTTGTATGTATGTACTCTTTGAACTCTTAAAAAGCGGACGTATATACCACTTTCTTTCTCTCCTAATGATATACAATGTATACATGATGCCAAAATAACCAGAAACGACCGACGCGAGACATTGTTATACCCACGAGATATTGTTGATATCATAGCTTCTATTGGTTGTATTAGGTTGTATGCTATAATAATGATATATATATATGCCAGTTCCTGCTGCCCCCTTTTGTATCCGACTTTACCACACTAAAAGCCCTGCCGGTTTCCTACTCCAACTCAAGGATGTCCTCCCACTGCCGTCGCAAGCGCTCCATTTCGCGCCAGCACTCCGCCCCCAGCGCCTCGAACTCGGCAATGTCCTCCTGCGTCGCCGCCACCGCGCCCCTCCTCCTCCCGCAGCTGTTCCTCATCGCCGCCGGGCTGCCGTCATACTCCTCCTGCTCCTCGGCATCCGGGTCCTCCACCTCGCCGCGCCATCCCCAGCCCTCGACCTCGGTCGGCTTGACGAAGGACTGGCCGCCGCGGTCGCGGGCGCTGCCCCACTTGACGCGCTCGGCGGCGAGCTCGTCGAGGGCGGGCTGCGGGCGGGTGGCGAGCCAGACGGGGGCGAGGGCGCCGCGGTAGCCGTTGCCGGTGTGCCAGGGGGAGCCGCACCAGCGGCACAGGACGAGGGCGAACTGGTACAGCCAGAAGAGGAAGGCGGGGAGCGGGAAGAGCGTGCTGGCGACGATGCCGGGGTGCGAGAGGTACATCCTGGGCCCGACGAGGTCGTCCGGGGAGTCGGAAGAATCGACGTCGGTGTCGGAGTCGGAGGAATGGGTGGACGAGCGGGGGCCGGCCCGGGAGGCGCCGACGAGGGCTCGGGTGTGCGGCCGCACGTGGGGCAGGGTGCTGGTGAGGCAGAGGATGTCGGTCAGCCGCTTGGCGGACTCGTACGCGGCGGCGCGCGTGAAGCACTGCAGGTCGTCGACGGAGAAGGTGTTGCAGTGCGCTTCGATGCTGCTCGACCAGATGACGCGGCCGGGCGCCAGGGACGAGTCACGCGGCCGGGAAAGCAGCGGCCGCAGCTTGTGCGTGAGGCAGTAGTGCCCAAAGGTGCACGCGGCGAAGACTTCGCCGAGCAGCGGCTTTTCGGGCTGTAAGAGAGGGGGTGCTGGTTAGTAAGGCTGCCTGAGGAGGGGGAGGGGGTCGTCGGCCAGCAAAGCCGGCTCGACGCCAAGACCCCAGATCGGCCCCCAAAAGGGGGGGGGTAGCTCTCTCGCTCATTGAGTATGCACGTTGGTAGCGCATTCTTGAAATCCGGGTAGGTGGCCGTCTCGATGAGGCCCTTGCCGAAGAAGGACTTGACCGCGCCGACCCAGTTGACGCCCTCCCAGCCGCCGTACGCCGCGTTGTACACGACGCTGTCAAGCCGCGGCACGCGCACGTCGGTCAGGTACTCGCCCTCGAGGCCCGGCGGGTTGCTGACCGTCCCGTCGCACAGCGCATCGGCGAAGGCGTACAGCCCGCGGAGGTCGCAGAGGTCCAGCGCGAGCGAGAGGACGTGTATGCGCGCCACGATGTCTTGCCAGCGGTGCTCGGCGGGGATGGGGACGCCGGGCCCGCGGCGGCGGCGTAGGACGGATTCGAGGGCGCGAGCGGCCGCCTCGGCGTAGGCGCGCAGCGTGCGGATCGTCTCGAGCGACTTGCGGGCGCTGCGGGTCGTGGGGATGAGGACGAGGTGCGCCGTCGGGGGGCGCGTGGCCAGGAACTCGTCGATGAGGCGCTGCGCGATACCTAGACCGATCCCGCTGGGTCGTTGGAAGCACGACGTGTTAGCTCGGCAAAGAAACGTTGGAATGCAATAGAGCTCTGGGGCTGCGTAGCGGGAAAGCGTCAAGGGAACATTTTGGTGGCCACGATCAACATTGAGAACCAGAAGGGCGTTTTTGTGAACCTCTGCCGTAATTGGTACATCCTCGACAATCTACTGTAGAATTTCTTCGTCCTCGTGGTATCACAATCCGCCCAGAGTCCTATCCCAGGGTACATACCTGTTTGCGCCAGTGATCAGGATGAAGAGTTGGTCGTGATCAGGAACCTTTTCCCACGGCGCTGGCCGCGTGACGGGCACGGCAGAGACCATTGCGGCGGTATTCGGAGCCTCTTTGTGTGACGGATTGGAGTATATTCCTGTCTTCCTGCTTGCGCTAGGCCTCGGTGATCGAAGAGACGATCCGCAACGTAAATTGTTGTGTCTGAGGGACGTGGTCTGTGAAGGTCCCGTGCTACCCCCGTTTTGTCGGCATCTTCCTTGCCGCTAATTCGAAAAAGCAGGCCACCTCGAGGTCAAGTGGGGCGCACCACATGCATATATGGCCAACTGATACAGCATTATTAACTTGATTCCTTTGCATCGTTAGTCAACTACTAAACATCAGTCATCATAGACCAATTAGTTTGAATTAATTCATCTCTTAAATTGCAGAGTTAATAGCTATTGTAAATCTTTTCGCGTTCTTCCTGCAAACGCTGACACATGTATACACTTTTAATATAGATAGATGACTAGAGCCAGCCGGCGCTGATGGCTCGTTCATACAGTTCCCAGCTCTCGTACACGGGCCGCCTAGTCTCTGTTGCTCTGGCCCTCCTTAATGGCAGCGAGGATCAGCTCCTTGGCCTTCTCAACACCTTCCTCAGTTCCAATAATCTCAATGGCCTCGTCCTTGGCCTGGTCGCGGGGCACCTGAATCTTGCAGTTGCTTTGCTGGCGGATCGAGTTGACCTTGGAACCGCCCTGGCCAATGACAAATCGGTACGTCTTGGGGTCAGGGAGCACCAGGTAGCCGGTGGCATCCTGCTTCTTAGCTTGGGCCAGTGCCTTCTCAATCAGCTCCTTGGCCTTGGCAATGTTTTCGGTTTTGCCACGGAGCACCCAAGGGATGTCACCAGCTTCGCCGCTGGAAGTCTTAACGATGCGCCAGGAGTGGGCGTCCGTCGTAGAATTGGCGTCGTCAGTGATCAAAGGTAGAGTTCCGCCAGTCACGCGGGCTCCCGATTCAGGCTTGCTGGGCAGCTTCTCACCAGCATGGTCAACAGTGACCTGGTGGTTGTTGCGAAGCTGACGGAAAAACTGGCCACTGTTGGAGATGGTGTGGTGCACGTTGCGGGGGACCTGGATGGTCTCGCCTTCTTGCGACTTGAGGAGGCTAGCAATGTGTTCCTTGGCCTTGGACACGTTCTCGGCAAGTCCTGAGATCTTGACGCCAGTCTTGCCGTCGCCTTGCCGAGGGACATCGATGCTGACGCCGAGCTTTGTCTCCAGCTGGCGCTTGGCTTCACCACCACGGCCAATCAGAGTTCGGTGCTGATCGATGGGCACATCAATAACATCGGTGACCTGGCTTTCACGCTCGGCCACGATTTCTTGGATGCGCTTGATGATCTTGTCGACGACATCAGTGCGGCCTTCAACCTTGATAGTGTTACCATCAGCCTCCTGCTTTGGGAACTGGATGGCTCGGGCTAGAGAACGGCGATCGTCAGATCCACCGGCGCCAACGACAATCTCGCGCAGAGCAGAGCCTGTAATATGTTAGTACGCATTTGATAAAGTAACGGAGCAAAACTTACCACTAGCTCCGATTAGAGCGCGATGATGCTTCTTCTCAACATCGATTGTCTTGACAACGGTGTCGTCGAAAACGGCCCGCTTCTCCTCGAGTGCCTTCTTGGCTTTCGCGACCTGTGAGGCAGTACCCTTGATCGAAATTTCAACCGTGTCGGTATCACGGTCGGCAGGAACATCGATGCGGGCACCGGTCAGCTGGCGCAGCTCGTCGAGAGCGGCACCGCCCTGTCCGATCAAGGAGCCAACCTGCTTTTGCTGAACAGCGACAGTAGCCGTCACAGAGTGCTCTTCCAGGTACTTGTGAAGAGAAAAGATCTCATCACGGGCCTCGTCAGCACCCTTCTTGGGGCCGCGGATGATAACCTCGTCAGGAGCCTGCTGGCGACGGCCCTTGCCGGCGTCGCTGGCGGCGTCAGGGTTGGACTGGTCATCGGAGGCATTCTTGGCGGAGCGAGGGAAAAAGATGAGAACCTTGTACCGTGTCTGAAGGCGGCTGATCTGAGTACCCGCATTACCAATAAGTTCACGGTGGTACTTGGGATCAATCTTGAGAGTGTGGGTAGTCTCATCAGCTAGAGTGCGGCCCAGATTCAAGATATGGGATTTGGCAGTCTCAGCCTTGGCCTTGGGCCCTTTGAGCTCAACTTTGCCGTCTTGTACCTGAATTTCGACATCAAAGCGGTCACGGAGCTCTTTGATGTTGCTACCACCCTTGCCGATAAGATGGTTGGCAAACTTCTGAGGAAAGTCAAACGACAAGGTGAAACCACGTTCCTTGTCGTCCTGCTTCTCCTGTTCGACGAATGCAGCAGCCTTGGCGGCAAGGGCTTTGACCGCACTACTAGGACCGCGCAGGGTGACAGTAGTGCCAACCTTTGTCACACGAATGGGGATCTTGTCGGCAGCACGGTTCTCCTGCTCCTTCTTAATGAAGCGGCGAAGCCTCTCGTGGAACTTGGCGGGAACGTCAAGAGCAACACTGTCAATACTCTCCTGCTGGTTGATCAGGTCGAGAATATACCTCTGTGCGTCAGCGAGGCCCCTCTGGAAATCAGCAATCTCAGCGTCGGTGGGCTTTACGCGAGGAGGCTGGTAGCCGCTCTCAACTCCGCTGGGTCCTTCGAAGACGAGGAGCACGGAGCCGCTAGGGTCATTAGCTTCTGGAACGACCAGCTGCACGCCATGCTCCTGCTTCAGGCGGGGAGAAACATCGACTCGCAGATGCTGGTGAAAGAAGGGATCAACAGTGACGTTTTGCATTCTAGAAGGTGGGTGGCCGTTGATGATGCCAGTGATCTCGGACTGCGCACGGATGGCGTTCTTTCCATCTCGCGAGTAGAGCTCCCAAGGCAGAGCGCCGTCCTGAGAGAATGGCGTGTTGATGTGGGCACTGTACATTTTTTCAAGTCGGGCGATCTCTTGGCACTGGCGAAGGTAGCGCGTGATGTTGGTGGCATGGGCAGCGGCACCACCGGGAGCAGTGCGGTGGAATCTGGAGAGATCAATGTTGGACATTTGCATTCCCATGGCAAGATCCATGGCCTTGTCAGCGCCGACTTGGACCTGGTCACGTGGCCCGACAATAGTGATGAGATCGTCCTCATCATCATCAGCGGGAAGGAGGATGGCGCAGCCAGTATCGGCGAAGAAATCCTCCATAGGGATACCACGGTTACCAATAATGAACTGCTGGCGACCTCTCTGGATAGACAGCTGTTCAATTTCCAGCTGCTTGTGAAGCTCAGCCACCTGTCTCTCGAGTTCGGCGCGAACGTTCTGAACGGCGGCGCGATCACCGGCGAGCTGGATGTGCTCGTCATCGGAGCCAGCGGGGTGGAAGATGGGACGCTGGCCAGGGGCAGCTGGGACGGGCGCAGGTCCGCGGCTCAGATGCTGGTGGGGAGGGACTCGGATTTGAACACCGTGTGCCTCCTCGAGAGCTTGGGCGCGCGAGTTGCCAGGACCAGCGAGGAAGGGGTAGAAAGCGGCGGGGATACCACGGACTTTGGTCTGGGCAGCGGCGGAGCGCTCGTTGGCAATCTTGAGGATCTCGTTGCGAGCGGAAGCAGCAGAGAGCGCATTGCCCTCAACCGAAACGTTGATGGTGGCGTCCTCGTCGTCGTCGGGCTGCTGGTTTTCGTCTGCCTTGGGGAGCTGAATCTTGGCGCCAGTCTTCTCTTGCAGAGCCTTAATGACGGAGCCACCCTTGCCAATGATGTGAGCACGAGCGGCATATGGAATCGGGACTTCAATGACGGTCTACACTATATGTCAGCAGTGTCGCGGAGCAGAATGATATTGGAAGACTTACTCGTCGGCCAATGAGAGCCACCAGATCCTTGAGTGCCTGTTGAGCTACATCCTGAGGACCAGTGGCGTCAAACCTGACACGACCGTTGCTAACACTAGACATGGTAATGTTGGCACGCGACTTGCGGTTCAAGTCGCGAAGAATTTCAGGGATGGGTCTCTTTAGCTTGCTCCGTTCCATGATGAACTGAGGCTCAAGCGTAACGGACTCGACCTTGCGTCCGGGAATGGACATGACAGGGGGCGGGACTTGGCTGGCAGAGGTAGGAGCGGCAGCAGGAGCGGCAGCAGCGGCGCTATGAGAAGCACCGTTGGCACCGTTCTGCTTGGGAGCACCGTTCTTGGCACTCCAGATAGGGGCGACGTTGGCAGCCTTGCCCTTGGGGGCACCAAGCTCGGGGAAGAGCTCGTGCGATTGGGTGTCGAGCGAGGGTTGATTCTCTTTCTGCCTACTGGCAGTGTTCGAAGTCATGGGGGCGGCCCAGGAACCAGAAGCGTCGTTGACAGGCTTGGGGAGGTCGACATCGGGGACGTCCTCAACGGTAACGGGGTGGGGGACGTGTTCGGCGTGCTTCTGCATGAGCTTCTGGGCGGCAGAGAGCTCACCAGAGTTCGCGGGCTCGACAGAAGCCATGGTGAGGGAATCGGGTTACGGGATGTCAGGATCCGGGGGAGGGGCTGGCCAAAGAGAAGCGAGCGAGGCACACTGTCTGAGGCAGGGATTAGTCTCCAACCATGATCAATTGGGGCGGTTCGGAGCGGCTCGCGGCAGCATGCAGGGCTAGGAGGGACGGGTCGCGGCAGGAGAGACTTACCGCTATCTAAGCGATGGCTTGATGCAGAAAATACGACCGACCAACGAGGACGGAGGTGGTGTCTCGAGGGTGAGGGGGAGCTGTAGCAGATGCGGGCTGTTCGAAGTAATTTTGGGTGTAGAGTCGTGTGGGCGTCTAGAACATTGTGCAGACGCTAACAGACAGCGTTAACCGGTGACCAGAGGAATAAACCAAGAGGCAAGGCAAGGGCCAAGGGAATTGACGATGAAGCCAGATGATGGCAAAGGGGGCAGCAGGAAAGCAGATGGTTGAAGAGGGTGATGTGGAAGTTTCTCCAGCTTTCTCCACGTTGCGCCAGTCAGTCGAGTCGTCTAGAGTTCTGGCCTGCTGCTGCTGAGTGGGCGGGCAGAGCAGACAGGGATTGGGGTTGCCTGAGAAGTTGCCTACCTGGGACCACGAACGAGTTTGGGGCCTACGAGTTTGCTCTCGATGAGAGCAAATAGACGTGGGTGCTTTGGAAATTGGGGGAGGCGGCCCTGTCACAATTTTATAACTTCTCGGGTAGCACCTGGACTGAATATTATTTTTTAAAAATATTCTTGTAGCCATCAAGTTGGGGTGATTGCCCATTGCCTTAGCACGGAGTCTAAGGTACCTGGGGCTACTTAATCAGACTCTGGAACTCACCAACGCCAAGGTGGTTTGCCAAGTACCATTAGGTACACGCGATCTCACGATCCCACATGGCCTTGGAGCGCCACGATAGTAAGGTCCTGAAGGTTCGTGTATAAACCGAGAACGCGTGGGGAACTATTTTTAATTTCTCTGGATAGATTCGCCACCGCATGTATCTCAGAGCAGCGTCCATGTACAAATTCTAAAAAAGGTTTACCCTTGGACCAAAAGGCCGTATCACGAGTCGCACAGGCACTGGCACAAGCAAGATATTGGAGATATCGTCTCAAGGACCCAGACACTCGGGTATCTACCAGTCGATAGTGAGTGTTCTAAAGCTTCAGCTATCGGACAATCCATTCATCTCGTGCCCAACTCCGCGGGGAGCTGCGATTCTTGGGCTCCCGCTGTAGTATCTGTTCCACGAAGCAAAGCAAATCCGCCTAAACCTTGCCGTCGCTGGGTGTCTTCTGCCTGCTCTCGACGTCTTGGTCACCGAACAAAAAGCCTCATTTAAAGATATTCCATATCCTCTAAGGTAGGTCTATGCCGAAAATTAGCTACTCGACGTCTGCGGGAGGTTTTGCTCACTACGTAGCTTCAGTTCCCAATGTCGATGCCCTTCCAGGGTACCTCCAAGATGACCTCTTGGTGCTTAGAGGTCCCCCTTGCTTGTAGTCGACTAGAGCCGACCGTTGAGATAACTTGATCTGACCGTTTTATCCATTAGGACCTAAATATAGAGCCAATTGGTTGGCGACAGTCGGGGTGGACTAGGTCATGCGGTGTACCAGTATGTATGATCCGATATTGAGTGTGTAGACATTTCAAGGAGACGGCGGGTGAATATGAGTATTGACTCCGGAAATCTCCTGATCTGTTTTAGGCAAAGACATAAAAAAGCATTCTCAAATGGCGGATTTTGGACAAAGAAGTGGTTTTCCGCCCCGCTGATCCTGAAGTTGCCCAGGAGCGACCCTTCCACCGAGTGAGCCAGTGGTCTTGTAGTTGTATGACTTTGTAGGATTCGTAACTCGTCCAACAAAGCTTGTCTCGTTGAAGCAAACGTAGTGCAAACTTGAGAGACTTTTAACGGCAACATCTTTCTCCTAGGGCAGTGTACGTTCTACAAAGACTGCGGCAAAGAAACAGTACTAACTGTATGTCTCGCGCCGGCCAGATCGTATCCATAGCGTTCTGCAATCTGGGCCCATCTTGAAAATATTTCTACTATTTGGGATGGACGAGATTGATTAGCGACAGAGCCTGGAATGCCTTCTTCCTCAATGTTTTGAAAAGCAGTTTTGTGAGTTGGCGACACAAGCGGCCTCCATAGTCAACGGAGCCAACGAGTAGGCCTCAGTCCCGACAGCACGGTTCTCAACCAATAACAGCGGCGAAACTGAGGAGAATATGTTGACTTGTGCTCACTTCATGCATCCTGGTGGAAAAATGAGGGATAGGGAAACACAGGGCTGGAGGGGCCCCTGCACCAAACGGCTGTGACTGGGCAGGTGTAACGAGGAGCTCATGGTCTCACTGCAAACGCACAGCAATACTTTCCAGTCATCAATTTGGTGTTTGAGATTTATCTGTAATTAGAAAGTGGGTGTGCTCCCATTGATGTGTTCTGACTTTCTCAAGATGATTGCACTAGGTAGGGTTCTAGCATCGAAGTTTTGCGAACGGAGGTGTGTGGCGCCTGCATTACAACCAGCGACGGTTGATACTGATGAGAGAACCACTGGCGTGTGTACTTGCCCCCGTCGCGGCGGTGCTGACCTTGCCGTCCGACTGCGCGGTCGACACGCACGCAAACAAGCTGCAGAACACCGCCGTCGAGCTGCTGGCGCCTCCGCTGCCGAGACGGCCGTTGGTCACGGACACAGCGTCGTTGCCGACGTCGGTCTCACTGCCCGAGTCATTGTAGCCCTAAAGAAGCTCCCTAGGGATGGAATCCTCGTCGTCGTCGTCGTCGTCGCTGGGGTCATCAGGATCATCGTCGTCGAGGTCGGGATCTCCCTGCGCGTCCTTGGTCACGGCGTGGCCAGCAGTACCGCTTTTCCCAGCAATGACATTGATAGCTGCAATTTGGGTGTAGCTTTTTCTTGGGATCTTGTGTTATCAAGCCGCTGTATGAGGGTAAAGGCGCGGGGCTGCCGCAGTGCCGGTTGCCCAATAGGTAGTAGGCAGGTAGGTCAGTTGCCCGGCAAGATTCATTGGCGACAGATGAGTGCCTTCCTTCGCTCCTTTCGGTAGATGATAACTTGCCGGCCGTGTGTGTGTTGAGGAGTTGTCAGTGCGGGTATGCCGATTGTGTCTGATTTCAGGGCATGAACTGGTTGATGCTTGCCCGTCTCGTCCGCCACGTAAACACGGACACACTCAAGAGCTTGGAGGCATTTTGTCTTTGTAGATGACTGCGCTTTAGACTACGAGTCTCGTGCATCATGGTAGAATTTCAGTGCCTGTAAGTAATAGTGTTGAACTTGTGAGAAGGCCTGCTCAATGCGGGCCTCCCATTGGTCAGAATCGAGTTAGAACCCACTCTTCGATCTCTTGCCCACAAACACAGAGATAGAGGCACAGGGAGTTGACCTAGATATACACAACAATCAGTCAATACAAATACCTTCATCTATGACCCTTATAACACCCTTTATTTAACCCTTTTCCAGCAAATAGTATATTGAGGTGCTGTGGCACGTACCTGCGTTTGTCCATCCGGCCCTGCCAGCGGCAGCCATGGCATTCGGTAGCGAATACCGCTCGTCGTAAGAAGGAACAGCGTTGTGTGGCATAAACTCGTCTCCCGCCCTCCGTTTCGAAGTTCTCTTTTCTTATTCCTCCGTAGTTAATGACCTTGGTGAAAGGCTTCGCCAAAGCCGTCCAATGAAGTATCGACGCTCAAGAGGTCGACATGGTTAGATGGACCGGCTGGGAGGACGTCGAGCCACGATAAAGGAGTCTATGAAAACGTCTTTGGGAGGCTGAATTGTGCCTTTTTATATTTGTACGAGGGAATCGGAATTTTTGTAATGAGTGTTCGTGGCTGTATCGTGGGAATAATAAGACAAAACGTGACAGATGGTGCCGCACCATGCGATAATTTGGTGACCAGCATGGCCCTGAATTTACTTTAGAAGGCCTGGACCACGGTGAGTGGCTTTTCTATCAGCGCTGATAACTAATGGTCCCTGGGCGGCTGTTGGTCTAAAACTTGTTCTACTTACTACCTATGTACATAGGTAGTTACTAGGTAAGTAGATAGCCTTTATATTGCCTTCTGTCTGATCATAAGCATTATCTATGGTGAAATACTATCCGCAACGTAGCCACTTAGTCGTAAAGGATGTTCGGTACCCTCGAATTATAGCCAAGGCTTACTTGCTGTGCTGCATTTTAGCACCGGCATAACTCCGCAGCGCATGGGCGAACACGATTGTCGTTGTCGCGCAGCGTGTCTCTATCTGCTGTAGATGCCAAGGTGGGTAGCCCGACAGCTTCAGATCTGGCCTGAACATGACAACGAGATCCGAAGTAGGCATGACCAGCGAATGTAGCTGCCAACCAGGCTAAGCGATTAAGTTGTCTGAGCTCTAGTTAGTTCTTCGTCGGTGCAGATATTTTTTGCAGGTACATACATACGGACCTGAAAAATCCTCATCTCGTCGCGTACTAAAAAATCTTATGGCGCGAACAATAACTTTAGTGCGCCACGTTCCGCCACTGTCCAGGTACACCCGAGAAACAAGAAGAAACTGCTGCCTCCCAACTACAATACCCGCTCCTCGCCCTGTCTAATAAAAGCTCGCTGCAGGGATTTAAAAGGGCCTCCAACAGGCATACACTGCATCAAATGTGAGTGGGCTTGGCCGTTTCACCCCCCACGGCCCCAAAAAAGTTTGAACAGCCTTTTGGAGTACATTCTGGAGTAAATTCTGGAGCAATGGAGTAACCAGTATCCAGCAACCAAGTGCGCGATTGTTATCCATAACTTGCCTTTGGTGTGGTGTTGGTGGATCATGGCTTGCGGCTTACTCACAGTAATCGACCGTCTTGTCAAGCCCTTTTTCCTCGTCACGGCAGGTATTGGCGCAAAAATCATCATTGATGGCTCCTCGCAAGTAATGCTATCTCCTCGGCCACCGTCGTTTGATCCACAAACCTCGACCATGTTGCCAGGCATTGGCTCACAATGTCTGTTGCCCGAGACTCGTCTCAAAAGCGACCCAGCAAGCCAAGGCTGGGGAATCGCGAAGAAAAAAAGCGAAACACGGACGGGACTTTTAGCCTAGTCCTGCGACAGGCCCATGGCAGATGAAGCCCCGCCAATTTGCAGATGCATGCTGTTGATGTGTTGATGTGGTACTGGTTGGCGCCTGTAATTCGTACCGGGTCTGCAATGCGTCTTTGTGCGGTCGTATTGCCATGTACAATATATTAACGCACGCCTGGCCGCCACATTTGGCTTTTGTCCACCGAGAAGAGACATTGCTTCAGGTGACAGCGCCTCACGCAACAGCTACATTTATGCGCAACTTTGGCTGCTTGCATCTACCACTTGCCTGGGTTTCAATGCTCAATCGAGGCTTGGTTAGGCGCCACCTCGGTTGCAACCAGGATAATATCGCAAATAGCCCTGTACTGGGCTGTTTTGCGTTTTTCATTCGGCAGCTTAATGATAAATCTCCATACCGGTGCTGCGCTTTACATGTTATGGCTGGGTCTCACCAAAAATGTCGTCGCAATCACTCAAGTATGTCAACAGAAGACTGCATGAAGTTGAGGCTACTTTGGACGCATCAACCACGACGGTATATGGAACCGCTTCCGGTCCTGAGTCTGAGAATCGGTCAGGGTGTCCCATGCTCATACTATATTGGCATAGTTTCGTCATTTCCCTTGCATCGCAATTTACGTTTAACCATCCGGGCGCACGCGGACCCGGGACCAGAAAAACATGTAAGAGCAAATTATTGGCTACAACCGTGGGTCTATATCAACCAGAGAAACGCACTCGCTCGTCGTCGGCTCTTGATACGCATATTGGCAAGACTCTTTCATCGAGTGGTTACACAAGACGCATGTAAAAGAAGTTTGTAAAACTGTTGCTTGATGCCTTTCGGGTGGCGTGTCGTTCACGCTCGGACACTCAAGAGTCCGAGTATCACGATTTTCAGGCTAGTATGCGGATAAGCTATGTAATAATCATCTACATCCAAAGCCGCAAGAATCCTACAAGCGGTCAGGCCTCAGGAACAAAAAGTGGTTGAGGGCCGGAAGTCAGAGATGGTGCTCAGTCAAGTGGAGAAAGGCACGTCTTGTCAAACGACAAGAGCAAAATGTCAGCAGGCAATTTATTCTACAGAAATAGATTTTTTTTTGTCAGCCGATGTCTAACCTGCAGAGCGTCTACAACCATTTCAGAAGCCAATGCCCACAGCCTGATCATTACATGAAGCATCTTAGTGGCGCCAGTTTGCTCCTGCGGGAAGGTAAAATGCCTGGGCGAAAGAAAAAGGTTGTAAAGACAAAGGGAGGGGGGTAATATGAAAGAAGCAAGTATAGAACTCAACTCACATAGTTTAAAAATGTGTTCTATGGTTTCCCTCTTTTAACTAGGGTATTGTCAAACGCTGGACGTTGATCATCAACCTACTTGGTGGTTGTTGGCCAGAAAGAGCCCAAAGCTACGATAAAAGCTGAGGGCAACGGTTAAAAGCGCAACGAGCATATATAGTTGTGAAGTGCGATGCAGCGCCGAGTTCGAGTCCGCGGCAAATCTCCATCGTCAGATCGCGGCCATCATGGGATTCCGCCGTGTCGACCTGCAAGTTGTTTGGCCAAGTCAGCCACACGCTCGTGTTGGAAGCCAGCAGGGGCCAGTCGATATCGGCGCACCAATTTAGCATGCAGCGGTGGAACAGGATCTTGGAACTCCAGTGGTAGAGCATCGTAAAGGCCGTCAGCTCGTTGTGAAAGGCGGCCGCATTCTCACCGGCTTGGAAGCTCTGTTTAGACATCAGGCGGCTCTAAAAAAGCGCCTCGGCCTTGTACCGACGCTCGACCTACAGTACATACATACTTAGTGTTTGGGCAATCAGGCTTTAAGATTGGTGGTAGCCACAGTATGGATGCTGAATAGGGAATCAAGAGACGACTTCCGGTGGTTCTTCCACGGTAATGAAGTCCAGCCTGGCGCGGTTTAGCAGTACCAGCCATACACTGATTATGGGATAGACGCGGACGAAAAACTGGTGGTTTGGAAAGGAAGCAAAGTCCGCTTGATTATCGACTCTGATGCGATCCCCAGCTTGCGAGGCCTGCTAGGTGTGTACGTACATACATCTCTAGGTACCTGTCTTGCTTAGGTACTTGGCAGTGCTTGGGGTACCTTTAAAGCCCCGCGCACTGGCACCTAAACTGAAACTAACCTCTCGGAGGGGTACCTCGTCCGTACCCAAGCCATGTTGGTACTTAACTGAGCAGCCAAACAATCACAAAGACACGTCCACTCAAATCACCACTAATAACACTAACTAAATAATATACTCCCATTCTGAGTGACTAAAAAACTCGTGAGAACAACTGTCCACCGCTGTCCTGTACAAAACACACTGGTATCACCACACCACTCCCACACCTTACTCACCCATCAAAGTCACAACTTCCCCTCCTTCTTGTACCCCATCGCCGTGGCCTCGCAGAAAGCTGCGAGAAAGGAGCCGCCCACTAGGCAAACAGCCTACATACAGGTACTAATTTGACGGGTCAGGTCTGTTCTGTCTGAGACCTTCCCTACTAACCTTGCTGATACAGACAGACCGACCTGGCAAGCCACCAGGTGCCGCTCTTTTGTTTCTCCTTCTCATCCTGTCTCGTCCTGTCCTTCCCTCTCCCAACATGGACAGCAAGAATCCGTCCCACCTCAACACCAGTACATCGCAGCGTCGCCGTCTTGTCAAAAAGTCGTCCCATCATTACTCGCGCTCCTCCTCCGGCCTAGATAGCGCCCACGACGCACACTCTATCCACAGCAAACGCAGCTCTACGAATAGTCTTCGTCGCACGCCCAGCGCGCCCCCGCCCGTGCGACCAAGCAACACCATCACAGGCGCCTTTGCTACCTCGACCTCGACCTCGCTCCGCCATCCTACACCGGCCCAGTCGTCGAATGCGTCGCCGCTGCAGCAGCAGGGTCACTTTGCCGCCGCCATCGGCCCTTCGTCGTCGCCTTATTCCGCACGCCTTCCCTACCGCAACAGCCCGTCCTTGCAACCTGAACCGCACTTTCGCCAGCCTGCACCAGCGTCCACGCCCACGCCCGCAAACCCCGTCGCAGACGATCTAATCGGCGCACCCTTTGACGGCGCTGCCATCCTCAGCAGCATCGACTCGACCTCGTACAGTCCCGAGCCAAGTCTCACCCCGTCGCCTGCTAGCTCGACTCCCGGTACCACCAACACCACTGTCGCTGCCGCAGCCATTGCTACTCCACGCACATCCATCCCCGCCCATCCGCAAAAGTCGTCGTCTACAACCACCGTCGTTGCTCGAGCAGCTGCGCCAATTATCCGCGCCGTCAGCACCAAGAAGCCTAAGCCCGCTCTCCGCTCTTCGAAAAGCGTCACGAATATGGACTCAAGTACGACCCTCGTCGACAAGTCGGGCACCCCCCGAACCGAGGCGCAGGCCGCCGCCACCCCCAACAGGTATTCAGATGAATCCGGCGGCGTCCCTTCCAAACCACCCAACGTCCGCAAAAAGTCGGGCTTCTCTGGTTTTGTCAACAGCTTAGTCGGATCTCAAAAGAAACCCATGATCTCAGCACCAGAAAATCCCATTCACGTTACCCATGTTGGCTACGACAGCTCTACTGGCCAGTTCACGGTATGGCAATGGACCCCGCCACCGACCGTAGTGATGGCGACACTTGCTAACTTGACACGAAGGGTCTGCCCAAAGAATGGCAACGATTAATCAACGAAAGTGGTATTCCCGAAAAAGAGCGCCGCGAGAACCCCCAGACCATGGTCGACATTCTGCAGTTCTACAAAGAAACCACCGAGAAGGCCCCCGAGGATCAGGTGCTTGAAAAGTTCGGCTATGCTGCCGCCGACCGATCACAATATGCCAGTCCTAATCCTTCGAATCCCGCTTCGCCAACCATGTATCCTACCAGTTATATAGGTAAGGCCCGCTCGTTTTCACCGAGTCGACAGCTACTAACATTCCCGTGAAGGAAGCTTCGAAAACCCACGAGCGCCACCCCCAGTACCACCAACGAAGGGCCTCGGCCTGCCAGCATCAAAAGACATGGTGCCCAGCCGACCTGCCCCCCGTCCTCCTGTCAGCATGGGTAACCGTGCCGGCCCTTCAAATGCCTATAGCACACCAAAAGACTCTGGTATTGGAATCATGAATAATGAAGCAGACAACGGGCCGATGCTTCCTGAGGAGCACAGATCTCGCTCAAATTCCAGGGTCACTGGTACTTCGCCTTTCTCGCCTCAACACACCGGCTCGCCGATTTCTGTGCAGCAACCCACCCTTCTCCAGCAACAGCAGATGATTCAGCAGCAGCACGAACAAGCCATGGCCCAGGCCCAAGGAGCCATGGCTGGCCAGGTCGGACGAGCTCCTAGCAAGAGGCTACCTACCCAGACACCTTCGCCCATTGTTGCCGGGTACGTACCGAGAGAGGCCAATGGAGCTCGCCACCAACCTGGCATGACTCCAAACCCCCAGGCACGACCCCGGCACCGCTCCAGACAGAGCAACGGCATCGACATCGTCGCGGCTCTCAGGCGCATATGTAGCGATGGAGATCCCCGCGAGATATTCAGAGGCCTGACTAAGATTGGCCAAGGTGCATCTGGCGGTGTCTTCACGGGCTACGAGCGGCACACCAATCGATTGGTTGCCATTAAGCAAATGAACCTCGAACAACAACCCAAGAAGGATCTCATCATCAACGAAATCATTGTTATGAAGGAGAGCTCGCACCCTAATATTGTCAATTATATCGACAGTTTTCTTACCGGCGGTGAGCTCTGGGTGATAATGGAATTCATGGAAGGTGGAAGTTTAACGGATGTTGTGACCTTCAACATTATGACTGAGGGGCAAATTGCTTCCGTATGTCGCGAAACGCTTAAGGGCCTGCAACATTTGCACTCCAAGGGAGTCATTCACCGCGATATCAAGTCGGACAACATCTTACTTTCCAGTGAGGGTAGCATCAAGCTGAGTAAGTCCAGAATGCTGACACCCTCCGTTACTATAACTGACCCGAAGCAGCTGATTTCGGATTTTGTGCTACCATCAACGAAGCGCAAAACAAGCGCACCACCATGGTTGGAACTCCATACTGGATGGCACCCGAAGTTGTCACTCGCAAAGAGTACGGCCGTAAGGTTGATATTTGGTCACTTGGCATCATGGCCATTGAGATGATTGAGGGCGAGCCGCCATACCTTACCGAGTCACCTCTTCGTGCGTTGTGGCTCATTGCAACGAACGGCACTCCGCAAATCAAGAATGAGAGTGAACTGTCGGATGTCTTCAGAGATTTCCTATACTTCGCCCTCAAGGTCGACCCCGAGAAGCGAGCTAGCGCTCACGATTTACTAAGAGTGAGTCATCCCAACAAGCCATCTGCTATTTGTAGCCTCTAACCGTCTTGGTAGCACGAATTCATGAAGTCGTGTGTAGATCTTGGACAACTATCGCCTCTGGTTCGGTCTGCGCGAGAACAGCGAGCCCAAGAAAGGGCCCGAAAGGTCTAAAATGAGCCTGATGTCTTGGATAAGTTAATCATATATATATTCTCGGCTGGTTTCCGAATGCGCGGGGTGTTGGGCATGGAGCATTTGGGACACTTGGGCCACGGGCCTCAATCACAGCCAACTGTTTGGATATAAACCGTAAAAAGCGTTGCTTTTGCTCATCGCTAGCGGCTGACCTTTTTGTTTGTTTATACTTCGCAAATACCTTGCCCTCCTCCCACCCATGCCTAGGAGAGAGCATGGAAATAAGACGTCTTGGTGGGATTTATTTATCTTATTGGTGGGGGCATTGAGCGACAACAAAAACTGCCTTTTATTTGTTTAGAGTATCGATCTCGACTGGAAGGGAGGCTCATCTTTGCACGCAAGCACAAAAAGCTGAAGGCGAGAGAGGGGCCGATCAAACTGCCAACAGTACAAACTGAGATTTACTGTAGAATGAGAGCTAAATGAAATATGAGAGCTTCGAGAGTTCTTAAAATCTTAGTTACTTGCAATGCTTGACAGAAGTGCCTTGCTCATACGTCCACAATAGATAGCTCTCCTGGCACCCGTGGGCACGCTATCGACGTTAATCATATGTGTTTTACTTTGCAAATACGTATAAACTAACGTTCAATTAATTTTAGAAATCAGGTATTCAGCCTCGGCTTTCATCACAGCCTTCCGACGGGATTCTTTCCTACCACAACGCCTCGCTTCGTCATCGCTCAACCATTCACTTTACATCATTGTACATCTAATCCCGCATGCATTCGCCAAAGTCCCACGCTACGCCTTGCTCTCTTTGGCCTTGCCTTCATCCTCGGTAAAGCTGAGGCTGATGCTGTTGACACAGTGGCGCTCGTCCGTCGGGGTCGCGTAGCCCTCCCCCTTGAATACGTGGCCGAGGTGGCCGCCGCAGTTGGAGCAGACAATTTCGGTGCGTAGCATGCCGAGGGTGCGGTCCTCGTGGCGCGTCACGGCGCCGGGGATGCTGTCGTAGTAGGCCGGCCAGCCACAGCCGGACTGGAACTTGTGGTTGGCGCGGTACAGCGGCGCGTCGCAGCCGGCGCACGTGTAGATGCCAGAGTCCGGGCTGTGCTTGTCGTATTTGCCGGTGCCGGGGCGCTCGGTGCCCTTTTCGCGCAGGATGCGGAACTGCTCTGGAGAAGAGGTCAGTATCTGCTGGAGGTGAGTGAAACCGGAGCGAGAGGTGGATAGCTGATGGAGGCGAGTGAGACCGGGGCGAGGGGGATGTTACGTACCTTTGTTCAACACAGCTCGCCACTCGTCATTGGTGCGCTTGTCGGGGTACGACATGTCGGAGGACTTGGAGGCTGATGATCCGAATAAGGCTCCAAAGAAGGGGATACCGGACATGGAGCGCAACGGGTTTGGTTGATGAAATGCACTCAAGCCGGGTCGTGGCGGGGTACGGAGTCTAAAGTGAGAGAGCGTTTGGACAAATGTCGCCAAGAACGGTCTAAATCTCATGAGGGGATAGATTGATGATGGAGGACGTTGGGAGAAGGGAGGTGGAAGATGGAGATGCAGCACTGTCTTATACCCTGTCTTATACACTGAAGTGACAAATCACGGCTTAGACAGGTTGAGGAATCAATTGTCTCCAAGTCCGAGTCTCTTCAGCCACGGCTCCGGATATACCCACTGTGATGTCGCCACTGTGAGAATAAGCCCCGAACGGGTCAATGACCTCACCACAATTCAAGTAACCGGAGGGGCTCGGAAAAAGATACGGTGGAATCATATCAATTCATTCATACGACATTAATAATACAAATACTTCATTGTCTCTCCTTTATTCTTCTTTCAAAATCTAAGCACAAGCCCTGTAAAGCAATTAAATTGTGGAGCATCGGGTTGAGCCACTCACGCGCCACAGGCTCAAGGTGGCTACCTAATTACTGGCGGTGGGATGTGTCCCAAGGCCAGGCAGTCAACATAATTCAAGGGGCAGCAGACCAGACACTTGCAGCATACGTCCCCAGGCAACAGTTTATTAGCGAAAACCTGACACCGTCTACGATACATTTGTACACCTCCCTCACACTTCGACCAAGATACATCGTGCACCCATTGCCACCACAACACTCGGTTACCAAAGATGTCGAGACGTGCGCCCAACCCCGCCGCCGAGCGGGCGGCGCAGAACCAGGCGACGATCAAGAACCTGCTGAAGCTCGAGGCCAACAAGATTTGCTCCGACTGCAAGAAGAATAAACGTAGGTCAACCGTTCATGCACATACCTTGTCCATTGAACTGGCACACAAACATCCCGAAGTCAGACCAAAAAAAGCCTATTCTAACCTTGCTTGTGCGCGCCTTTACAGACCCTCGATGGGCGAGCTGGAACCTCGGCGTCTTCATTTGCATTCGGTGCTCGGGCATCCACCGCGGCATGGGCACGCACATCTCCCGCGTCAAGTCGGTCGACCTCGACTCGTGGACGGACGAGCAGCTGCAGAGCGTGCTGCGTTGGGGCAACGCGCGCGCCAACCGGTATTGGGAAGCCAAGCTGGCCGCCGGCCACGCGCCGTCCGAGGCCAAGATCGAAAACTTTATCCGCACCAAGTACGAACTCAAGCGCTGGGTCATGGATGGGCCGATGCCCGACCCGGCCACGCTCGACGGCGACGACGACGACGTCCCGCTGAGCCTGGTCCGCGAGAAGCAGGTCATCGAGAAGAAGGAGACGGCGCGCAAGGCCTCAATCGGCCAGGCGGCGCGGCCATCGGCCGTTGGGGACTTGATTGGTGGTGGCGCCGACTCCGGCCCTGCTGCTCCTCGGACGGCGGCGTCGCCGGCAGGAGGCATCAAGGGCGCGCCCGCACCGCCGAAAACGACGACGACGAAGGATTCCCTGCTGGGACTCGACTTTCTAGGGGAGAGCTCGGCGCCCCCGCGGCCGGCTAGCACGCCGGCTGCCCAGGCGCAGTCGCGGCCCGACCTGAAGCAGTCCATCCTGTCACTCTACGCCACGGCGCCGAAGCCGCCCCCGCAGCAGCAGCAGACACAGCAACAACCGCAGAACGGCGGCGGATGGGGCTCGCCGCAGATGGGTAACCACCGCCAGCAGCCGTCCCAGGGTGGTGGCTTCGCCGACGCCTTTGGCGGCCTGAGCCTGTCCAACCCGACGAGCCCCAAGCCTCCCGCTGCCGACCCCTTTGCCGGCCTGGGCAGCGGCATGGGCAGCCGTGCACCGCAGCACGCCTCTAACAACAGCAGCAGCGCCTTTGGCGGCCTGGGTGGCGGTAGCTTCTTCGACAGCAAGCCTGCGCCGCAACCTATCGCCAGCCAAGGCTTCGGCGGCATCAGCAACAACCAGTTCGCATCCACCTCGAGCGGCGGCTTTGGCGACTTTGCCAGCCCCGTCGCTTCTGCCCCCGCCCCGTCGAAGCCTGCGCAACCTGCCGCGCCCTCCTCCGCTATGGGAGACCTCTTTGACCTGTCGGCGCCCGTGTCGCAGTCCTCGCCGCCCCCTGTATCTCCTCCCGCGACCGCACCCGCACACTCCGTCTTCAACCTCTCGGCGCCGCAGAGCAAGCCCGCCACCAGCCCGGCCGCCACGGCCCCCATCGCCAACACCGGCAGTCTTGGTGGCTTCGGCGGCGCTGCGGGGCTGTCCGGCGTCGACGCCTGGGGCGGTAACGAGTGGGCGACGCCCGCGCCGGCACCGGTGCAAGCCACGAGCCCTCCTATCGCCGCTGCCGCGCAGCCTGCGGCCAGCAAGCCCGTCGTGAGCAACGACATGGGCTGGGGCGCCTCGAGCAGCGCCTTTGCCAACACGCCGATCATACCCGGCGCCGGGGGCGGCTTCAGCCCGGCGCCCAAGGTGACGGCGGACGAGGAGTTTGGCGGTTGGGCAAGCAGCACCGGCATGGGCGGCCAGTCGGCGACGACGTCGGGGGCGCCCAAGTCTGGCGGCGGCTTTGGGGGTGACGACGATCTCTTCTCCAACGTTTGGCAGTAGAGCCAGCAAAAGACGCTGATGAGGGGTACTTTTTTCTGATGGCGGGCGATATGGGGGGTGTTGCTTCGGATGGAGGTTCGGATGGGTGGTTTGCATAATCCGTTTACAGAGATCTGAAAACTAAGGGGGTCATTCGGGGGTGGGCAAAGCATGTACACGGGGCGTTTTTTTTGCATGCTTTTCTGTCCTTCTTTTGAACAAGACATTTTCAAAGTATAGGTTATAGCTACGAGAGCAAAAGGAACAAGTCGAAGAAACCGCAATGTTGGAGATGCTGAAACGGGACGAGCTAGAATGATATTGGCAGGTTTATAAAAAATCGAAAAAAATCGAAGCTTTGAAAAGACTTCTGCTCTGCTATATACTCAACTGATGATTTCAAACAGTAAAAAGGTTTAACGCCATACCGATGCCCTTGGATATATAACTACGCTCTCTGTCCCAACCTGGTTGTCGGCGACACTTTCAAGAGTTGACTATAGGTAGACTCCAGTTTGAGTCCCTTGCGTCGAGACGGATTGTCCACTGACCACCTCCGCTCAACATCCATGCATGTTCCGCCCGCCATCTTGTTCGCAAACGTGCCGCCAGGTCTTCCGCCTCTATACTCGGGGTTTTCTCGTTTAAAATTGACTATTAGAAGAACATGCGCGCCGCGTAGTATAAAAAGATGAAGACGCCAATCAAGATGCCGGACAGCTTCAGGATGGCCACCTTGTTGCCGGAGGCCGCCATGCGCGTCAGCCGGCCGGCGGAGCCTCGCATCTGGGTGGTCATGGAGGAGAACGTCTCCGACTGTCGTCGCGCGCGTTAGCACTGGCAACCTCAATAATGTCTGGGAGGCGTTGATGGAGTCTAAGGCATACCGTGTTGTCAATGACGTCCTGCGCGCGCGCATTGTCGTAAATGTCAATGGTGACGCCGCGCAGGGCGGACACCTTGGCCGACAGCTCGTCTAGGCGGGAGTTGTTTTGGCGCTCGCGTTCGTAGGCCTCGGACATGTTGTGTGCGCTCTTCAAGACTATATATAGTTTTCGTTGTTCGTGATGCTGAGAGCAAGGTGCGAATGTCGGCGCTGGTCTCGTGCCGAGGTTGAAGTGTGGTCGTTCGTAGGTAGGGGGTGGCGGTGGTGGGTGGGATTGGCAGGCCTGGTCCGCGTTTGCCTCTGGCGGTATCGCAGGGGATGTTAGTAAGGGTAGGTCGCGTGAATAGGTATCGAATGCGCTTGTTAACCAGGTTGGCGTCCGGGTCGTTAAGGATGATGTTGCTCGGTGATTTGGTATATCTAGTGTGAAGTTAGGAAGGACGCATGAGGCGGCGCCGAAACGTAAAGCCACTTGGATGCAACCCTGGGATGTCGGAGGTAGTCAAGCCACAGCAAGGTCGCTGGTTTTGGTTGGGCCAGTTGAGGTATGAGCCACAGCAAAGCCACCAAGCTACAGCGGCGATAACGTCACTACTAAGACATGCTTGTCTGGTTACCGGACGGTGACCAAGGCACATTGCTCAACACAGCGTGAATTTCTAGTGAGTATTATTCTTATGTACTTCGGAAAGTACGGACATCAGCTGATACCACCATCAATTTGAGCTTACCAGAACGGTGTATCTTAAACGCCGCCCGTTCTGTCGCACCGCCACAATCCACGCGGCCCCAGCCCAGCGGTGGCGGGGCTTGGCTGGGCACCATGCCAATGGATGACATCTGGTTTGGCACCCATTCTACAAGCTCGATTCACTTCCTTACTTCCTTCCTGCCTATGTCTGGAAAAAGTCTTCATTGTGAACCCTGCTTTCCATAGCGGTACTCTTGTCGACAAACTTTGCGTCTCGCGATCTCTTTTCTGTGCTCCGTCGTACACTCCCAGCCGATTCGCCGGGCAGGCTTATTGTCCACCAATACCCGCCGCGCACCCCGCCTTCGCAAGCAATTTGGACGAGAACAGCTTCGAGCGGCCTTTTCAACGGCGACAACGTCTCGAGCAGCCCAACCTCGACCGACTTCCCTACCTCCTCCGACCGCCTCTCTGTCCTCTAGACAGAAACCTGCAAAGATGGGCATCAACAACCCCCTTCCGTCCTCCATGCAATGTGAGCAGTCTTGCCTATTTGCGCGCGTGCGGCCTCCCGGTGCGACCGGGTTGCCCACGCCAAGGCCGCGCGCGCCCTCAAAATCCCACTGCTCTTCTGTCCAATACTAACTTTTTTTTAGCGGAGTGTAAAAAGTGCGGCAAGATCCTCGCCTCCTTCATTAACCCGCGGCAAGCTTTCGGTCCCGAAAAGGTCATCCCGCCCTCTATCCTCGCCAACGCCAAGGGCCTCGCTATTATCACCGTCCTCAAGGCCGGCTTCCTCGGCAGCGGGCGCTTTGGCAGCGGCCTTGTCGTTGCGCGTCTGCCTGACGGTTCCTGGAGCGCGCCCAGCGCCATCGCTACCGCCGGCGCCGGCTTCGGCGGCCAGATCGGCTTCGAGCTCACCGACTTTGTCTTCATCCTCAACGACTCCAGCGCCGTCAAAACGTTTGCGCAAGCCGGCTCCCTCACCCTCGGCGGGAACGTCTCGCTGGCTGCGGGGCCGGTCGGTCGCAACGCCGAGGCCGCGGGCGCCGCCTCCCTCAAGAGCGTCGCGGGCATCTTCAGCTACTCTAAGACGAAGGGCCTCTTTGCCGGCGTCTCGCTAGAAGGCTCCGCAATCATCGAGCGCCGTGACGCCAATGAAAAGCTCTACGGCACGAGGTATACCGCGCAGCAGCTGCTTACGGGTGCTGTGCCGCCGCCTCCGCAGGCCGGACCCCTCATGAACGTCCTGAACTCGCGCGTCTTTAGCGGAATGCGCGCCGGCACGAGCATGAGTGACGAGTCCATGTACAACGATGTCCCGACGTACGGCGACAGCCGCGACGACTTTGATCGCTTCAACAACGGCACCGGTGGTGGCAACGCGCCAAGACGAACGAGCACATGGCAGGACGACGTCTACGACCGACCCGCCGGCTACAACGCGCCTGCAAGGGCCGGAACCTTTGCCTCAAACCATGGCGCTGATAGCAGCAACACCAACAGCAATGGCTACTACGACAATCCCCCCTCGGACCGCAAGCAGGCCCCCGGCCGCCCGTCGGCACCCAAGCCGACCTTCAACACGGCCGCGTCCCTCAACAAGAACGAGGCCATCGCCCTATACAACTTTGATGCGGACCAGCCCGGCGACTTGGGCTTCAAAAAGGGCGACGTCATTACGGTTCTGAAGAAGACAGACAGCGATAACGACTGGTGGTATGTCTACGGTGCCCCTCTCCCCGTCCTGTCAACTCTCACCACAGGGCCAACACATACGCAGCCTTGAAAAACAATACGATACTAACAGGTTAAAAATAGGACCGGCATGATTGGCACGAGACATGGTATATTCCCCAGCAATTACGTCAAGATGAGGGCTTAGCTTGAGCGGGTTCAGTAAATGAATTGATGTGAACATGCCTTATCTGTTTGCATGGTTCCTGGCGGTTTTTTTTTTCCTTTTCTATTCTGGGCGAGAAAAATGTTTTCTTCATCATTGTACTATGTTTCTTGTTTTCGATTTTCCTCTGCCTGTTATTCTCCCCGAACGAGTCTGCTAGCAAGAATGATACCATTTTTCCTCAATCAAAGCACATCGAAAAATTGATGGTTTTGAGAGCCTGCTACTTGGGTGACTAGCTTTTCCACTGGCTTTCGACTGCCTGGCCACTGATAAACGTCGCAGGATGACTACTTGGATGGTCACTGGTTGACCCGCTGGGTAAGATACTTGGCTGTTCTGTTGCAGCCCACCTTAGACTGTACCTACATAGCATAGATAATTCTCTAAAATATCTAGGAGTTTCAATGTAATTTACGGCAGGCACGTGGTGCTCGCTGGCGAGAAGGTGGTTTGGGAAGGCGCAAACGCCGACCAAACACAGAGGAGTTGTCTACCAACTCTCCATCCCTCTTCGCCAACCATACAGGCTAACAAGGCATCAAGTTTCCATCTTCCTTTCGAATACAAATTTTATCATTCTTTCTTGCATCGCTATCAATAATCATGGCTGCGCCGACTCTCTCATCTCTCTTTCTAACGCCACAGCTGGCTTCCGCCGCTGCCTCCTTCCCCTGGAGCTCCCTCATGCCCTCTCCAAACCTGGATTACTCGGAATGCTACAACGGGTTTCAATGTGCACGCCTTTTGCTTCCAATGGACTGGAATAACTCACAAGGAGCCAACGTTTCGATTGCCATCATCAAGCTGCCTGCTGTGGTTCCGGAAGACGATCCAACCTTTGGCGGTGCTATATTTAGCAATCCAGGCGGGCCGGGAGGCTCTGGTACGGAGTTTCTGCTCGAAGCTGGCAGATTTCTTCAAAAGGTTATCGATATTCCGGGGAGCAAACATTACGAATACATCTCTTTTGATCCACGAGGCGTCGGGCGGAGTGAACCGTCTGTCGATTGCTATCCGGGCAACGACCTTGCTCGTCATGCCACGAACCTGGAAGAAATAGCCAGCGGCGGGTTCGCCTTGAACCCTGCCTCTCTGGTATATGCACACTACAAGTCCAAGGCATACGGTCGACGCTGCCTGCGGGAAAACACTCTCCATTTGCCGTTTATAAGTACGACGAGCGTGGCAAGAGATATGTTGGCCATGGTCGACGAGGTCGCCCAGCTGCGTCAGCAGCAAGTGGGAGAGAACAATCAGAAGGAACTTCCGAGACTACAATATTATGGCATTTCTTACGGCACTATCCTTGGCAATTACTTTGCCTCGATGTTCCCGGAACGTGTCGGTCGTATCCTGTTGGATTCTGTTGCTGATGCCGACGACTATTCAAACGGCCCTGTAAGTCCCGAAACGATCACCGATCAGTCGTTTGACTGCTAATATGACGGATGAATAGGGTTGGTTGACCAACACTCAAGATGCTGACGAAATGATCAACATCTTCTTCAAAAGTTGCTTCAAGGCCGGCCCCCAGGTTTGCCCGTTGTGCCGGCGAGGCGACAAAGGGGAAAACCACATTCGCCGACGCACCTTGTCTTGGATTAAGGCCCGTGATGAAGACCCCATTATTGCTGTCAGATCTGGCGACTCTACTGACGTCTTGATACGATCCAAAGATATTCGCACGCTTCTCCTCTTTCTTCTGCGTGTCGCCCATAGCTCATTCCCCGTGGCCGCTAGGCTTTTGGACACAGCCATGCAGGGTAATCCCAGGCCTCTAGTAGATGCCCTCGTTACAGCATACGATCTATCAGATCTGAGGAAAGAATGCTCCATCGCCAACGGTACCACGGTCACACCAAGTTTAGATGCCTACCACGCCGTGATGTGTGCCGACGGCGACGACGTCACACTTAAGGACTCTACTTTCTGGAAAGACTACATGAAACTCCAAATGTCTATTTCACCTTTGTTTGGCGAGTTCTGGGCCGAAGCCCGCCTTGGCTGCGCTGGTTGGGCAGCACGCCCTAAATGGTCCTACAAAGGACCTTTCCGAACACCAACTGCTTCCAAAGACCCTTCAGCACCAGAGCCCGATCGTCCAGCTGCGCCACTCTTGTTTCTCTCCAACGAGTGGGATCCAGTGACCCCTCTACGTAACGCACGCTCCATGGCGAGTCAGCATCCTGGGGCCGGCGTTGTAGTAGCAAGATCCATGGGACACACGGCGTTTGACGTTGGCAACCAATGTCTCAAGAACGCCATATCAGTTTATTTTAAGAAAGGTGTGGTTCCAAAGGAGGAAGTCTATTGCAATAGCACCAAGGATCTTTGGTCGAATACCGTTGCAGATGATCGGCAGCTGCAAAAATGGATGCAAACGAGAACCAGATAGAACCATCTCCGCATCTAGTATCTAGTCCAACTTCTTGTACGATAAGGAAGATCCCTACTTAAAAAGTATATATTTGTCCCCAGAACCTCTGATCCAGACTAGACCGTAAGCCAATTCACCCAACGACAGCCAGCCAGCCAACAGGGCAACCAGCCAGCCGGCGAGAGCACTGAAGAGAAGTCACTTGTGAGCTCATTTACTGGCAGTTAGATGGCGGCACTGTTTACAGGATGCTGGTCGGCCGGTTGCTGATGGTTTACCTCTTTCCGCAGTGATTGTACTAGGGCAGCGAGGCGTGAGGAGCACAGAATGTGTCAACTATGTGAGACAATTCTGGCCTATGCAAAATGATAATATTTACAAGACTTTGAACTCATGTACCTGGAGAGACAAAGGTTAATAACTTCGATGATCCTTGATAGCCTCGAACGGTGCTGTCCGCGACCGCAGCGCCCTCCAACGTGGGCAATTTATGGGCTTGTTGATGAAGAACGAGAGAACTGCCAGCCGTATCTCTGGCTGTCAGTTTCTAGCTATTATACTACTCCATCCTCCTTCTCTGGCTGATTCAGGTTGTTGACTAGATGAATTTGTGCCGGCGCGTCAGGGCTACGAGCCGACTTCAAAGCCTCGCGAAAATTCCGCCCTTTTCTAGAGCCTCCAAACTGCTCCAGATTAGTAGCTGGTATCTTAGAAAGCTATTGTGATTCACATCTTGCGAAGCTGGGATTATGATACAGGCCGCTTCCATGAATAAAGGGGGGGGGGGGGGGTCAGCATGGCAAGACAGATGGTTAAGAACAGCATCTTTACAAAAGTAATTACATATTAATCTTTTCCAGGATTTGGGTCAAAAGTATTTATTAATGTTGCAAAGCGGCTATGTACAAAATAGGCGAGTGAAAACAGTCGCTGTAAGGTATAACAATACAATCCAAACGAATCACCGCTGGCCGATATTACGGCTTGCTTTACAATCCAAAACAAATCCAAAACAAAAGCCCACGCTTCACCACCGAGACAAATTATCGGAGATCAATTTTCAAGTCTTGTAGCACCTTTACTTAGTCAGTAAGGAATCCGTATTAGTAGAGTTTGCCTCGGGGCGAACACTTACTAGTCCTTAAAGTTATCTTGCGAATGTTACGCACCGGTGGGAGAATAAACCAACGGAACTCCTGAGTCCCATCACTCTGGGCTGTGATGCTAGTGTAGCCCAGCGCCTGGAATCTTCCAGACTCCCTCGCGCAAGCTGCCTGCAACATGTTGAAGTAGCGAGCACTCAGGCCACCGTCGATGTTGGCCTGGCCGGGCAGAGCAGGGCAGGCGGAGACGAAGACACCGACGTCCTTTTTCTCACACCAGCGCAGGATGTGGTCCGCCTGGCCGCCTGGCCGACGCTGCACGGCCTGGAAAACGCGGTCCTCAGGCGTCACCTGGACGACCTGGATCTGGGAGGGGTCCATGTCGGCGAAGAGTTCGCAGCGGCCATCGGGACCACAGGCCCAGCCGTCATCCTCGCCATCTGGGGTACAGTGATCCTGGAAAGGGATGGCAGGATTCTGGTTGGAGGAGCCCTGGCAGGAACCCTCCGAAGTGGTGTCGCCTTCCTGGCGGGCAGCCCTGTTGGGGGAGCCGCGGAGTTTGAGAATGCGACCCATTTCGGTTGCTGAAAAGGGATGCCGAACGAGAAGTGGGCAATGAAGACGAATTTGTCTTGTTACTGTGGAAATTGGTACTTGTGTACCAGTGCTGGTCTAGTCAAGACGCGGGAAGGCAGACAGGATTGGGTGATACAAGCCCAAGCCTGGATTCAAGTGAGTAGCGAGAGAGAGTATTCGATGGCTGCTGAACACAGAAATGCCCAAGAACAAAAGCTGTTGATTTGAGTAACTCTTTTATAGCTGCAAAGAGGATAGAAGTTTGTAGTTCAGCGGGTGACTGAGGTTGTCGAGAGTTTGCAAGTTTGTGGGAGCAGAAGAGAATGTGTGAGGGAAGGGGACTGGCGGAGGGAGGGCGGGAAGTCATTGCATTTAAATGCTTTCAGTGAGTTCTGTTTGTCGGTGCATCTCTTGGGGCAAATGCCCTTGAGTTCGAAAATAAGAATCCCAAAGGATAACGAGGGTGAAGCCAGAGTGTGACTAGTGAGAATCCCAAAGTATAACGAGGCCCAAGTCGTCACTAAGCCCTACTGACGGGGTCCTTTCCTTAGTGAGCCGCTGAGGGCAACTGTCTTTAAGCTCAGAAATATTAGAATTAGAAAGTATAACGAGAAGCCAGAGTGTAACGAGTGAGAATCCCAAAGTATAACGAGTCGCAAGTCTCGTCACTAAGCCCTACCGACGGTCACGCTACCAGGCACATCGCGCCTACGGCAATTAGAGGAGCATTTAAGGATAGAAAATTTTAATAGTCAAGCTTATAGCGTCTACCGAAGCCTTTGCCGAAGTTTATAATATTACGTTGTACATGTTTCATTGCCACATCTACGATGTAAGCACTCTTACAGGAGGAGGAGCCGCAGTACCCAACTTTGCCAATTGGTCATGCCAATATTCAAATCGAGCTTTGTTCAGAACTTCCACGTAGAATTGAGCAATTTCGAATCTGTTGTATCCATAAGCAAGGTCTGCTCCGTACTGGTCTACTATTTTCGAGGTCACTTCGTTTAGCTCGTCAAGAACTGCCGTTTCCGTGATGAGGAGGGTCCAATTCGTGTCCGCTTGAACCAGTCCCGATAGGTCGTTGGAAAGTATAAGGTCCGAATCAAGATTTTCCTTTTTCCCCGTCAAATGCCTCCACCTCCCTTGTGAGTGTGAGTGTGTGTGCTGCCCTGATCCTTTCGCAGCGCTGTTGCCGTTCTTCTCCGCCTGCGAGGTCTTCCGCGTTTCGGCACGAACCGTGGCGCTCGTTGGTGCAGTCTTGTTCATTTTCATTGAATCTAGTTGTTTTTGTGCTTTTGCAGGCTTGGGGACTTCCTTTTTAACTTGTCTCGGTCTTATAGAGCACTCGCTTGCAGAGACCTCACGCGCTGGAAGTACCTTGCTATTTTGTTTCCCGCGGACAGTGGTCTTCGGTGGTATTTTCTTGGTCGCCGGCTTAGCTGCTTGGAGTGCTGTCGACTTTTTCTGCGCTATACTATTGGCTACTGTAGCCTCTTTTCCATTCTCGACATTTCGCCTGCTTGCTGACTGGCGTGTGGAACGTGAGGATTCTGGTGCCTGGCCTTTTCCAGCTGTCTGCGCTGCTGTTGGTTTTCGGTTCTCCCGTTGCCTCTTGGATGGCGGGCTAGTCCGCGCGCTTTTTTCGAAGTCGGTTTCTGACTCGGGATCGGCTGCAGCTTTTCGCTTTTTGTTCTTCGCCGTGCCAGTGCTGGCCTCTCTTGATTTCTGCTTAGTCTGCGGGAAAGGCAAATTGCGCGCCTGGGGCATCAGATGTCGAAAGTCTGAAGCTTTAGACAAGGCCTCGGCATCCAATTGTTCAACAGCAAAACTGCTCCTTGGGGTTGTATTGCTGCTGCATGTTGTAAGACGTGGGCCTGGCGTTAGATGTTGCTTTTCTGACACTGTTCCTTGCGCAAAGCCCCAAGATGAGTTAGTGTTGCTATTCTTCGCATCGTGGAGGCCCCACGGGGATATATTCCGTGAGTATTGGTCATGGAGTGCCGACACCATGCTGGCTTTGTCGGTAGCAAAGTGATTATAAGGATTCAGATCAATGGGAATCTGCGATGTCGCAGGTGGCAAAAATGAATTGCTGGAATTTGCAGGCGGAACCGATTCTGTTCTTCGAATTGAATAACTGTTAAATGAATCTGGGGCGGCTAAGCTGACGGGCCCTGATGACTGGTTCTGGGGAAGAAGTTCGGGCTGGCTCATTGATGGGAAAGCCATCACTGATGATAATCTCATTGGAGCAATGCTGTTTGAGTTTGTACGGAGGACCGGGTCGACGATATTGAAAGAGCAAGATCGGAGATCGCTGCTGCTGATCGTGAATCCGGCCGTTTCAAGCACGTAGACGCAGACGTGAAAGTCCCTGGCGTTTTGGAAGTGTGCAAGCAGCATACAGTCGGGGCTAGGTATTTTTACGCATATGGTAGAAGATGACATATCAGTTGAGACAACATTGGACGCGATGCTTGGATTGCGCAGAACATCAGTCAAGCGGATAGAAATCTACCAGGTGTTAGTGGGAGGGTCTCGTGGGGTCATGACTACTTACGAGGGGCTTTTTATCATTGTGGATAACTAGCATCAGAACATCGTGAGAAATTGCACTGGTCTGTTGTCGCTGTAATGAAAATGACAATTGCTTTGCGTTTTGATTCGGTATGAACAGTTTGTTAGAAGAGCCCGTTCGCAGCTCCAACCTTGTGAGGGCCGCGTGGGAGACTGGTTGCGCTTGATGTGACATGGCACAGGGCTAATTCAGTCGCGACGATGCATTGAAGGTGGGATCAAGTCTTGCCGAAGGATATTCAATAGTCTGCGAGGGGATCTCATGTTGTCCGCCAATGCAAACGGCTGCAAGCTGCATCGCGAGTTCCAAAAGGGCGGAAACGCTGCCGATTGGCTGCGGGTCACGTGTAACTAGCTGCAACCTGGTCCGCCCAATTTTTGTCGCGGTCGCGCAACACGTCTCCCTGCCAATTTCGAGCTACCAGGTACCTACCTTATGCGCCAGACAAGTACGGGACAGCGTGCAACATCTGCATCTTAGCATTGCTCAATCGCGATTGGAGCACGAAGACGGTGCAACATTACGATTAGCAAGAGCGATTCGTTGCGACTGTGAGTGCGCCAACCATCCCGGCGCTCTGGATCCTCGACCAACCGGCTGTGGTTTCCTGGAAGCTCGCTTCCAGCCGAAACGGTTGTAACGATGACAACCTCGAGCGAAGAGGTGGCGCCTCATTCCATCGACCGCACGCCAGAATACGAGGAGTTTATGGAGAAGCTGAAGGAATTCCACAACAATCGCGGCACAGTCTTGGACCCCGAGCCGAAAGTTGGCCTTATTCATCTCGATCTCTTCAAAGTCTTCAACCATATCGTAGCCAGCGGTGGCTATGACAAGGTATCGGAAGAAAAGCTGGCCTGGCGTCGCATGGCTGCTGAACTCGGTCTCTTCTCCAACAACGAAGCGTCCACAGCCTTTGCGCTCAAGGAAAAGTTCTACAAGAACTTGGCGGCCTACGAAATCAAGACGGTCTATGGCAAAGAGCCACCACCGAAGGATATTCTCGAAGATGTTACTGCCAAAGGCGCCGGACTTTTAACAAGAACTCGCGAAAATTTCAGAGGCAAAAGAGACAGCAATGTGGCCGGCAACGACTCGGCTGCCTCCGGGGACGATGGAACCCCCGTTCGCGAACGACCCGCCCCCGATGCCGTCTCGAGCGCCAGAGCTTCTCGTGGCTTAAGAGAAGCGCCTGCCCAACGCGTCATATTCCAGCCGGATACTGGCCCTAGCAGAATCACGCGGCAAACCACCAGTCAACATGCCGCAGCCTCATCCCCCCAAGTCCAAGGGCACGCAGGCATGCAGGGACCGCCGGGCATGCATGCTCGGGGCCCCTCGATCGCACATCATCCACCGAAACCTGAAAATACCTCGACTTCAGTAACAGCGTACCAGCCCCGACACGTAAAGCCCCTGCAGCTGCGACCCGTCGCAACGCCTAGCAATGCGCCGAGCGAGTTTCCCAGGACACGGTTGTCATATCGCCCAGCGCCGGATCCCCGTCAGCCTATGCTCCCCGGAACTGGCTTCGATGGTCCTAATATCTACACCCGCTGTCTTAACGCTCTTAGATCTCAAATTCCTACTGAGCAGGCATTTGCGCTGAATCATCTTGTCAAGATTTCGTTCGAGCGAGGCGATAAGTACAAATTTGATTCATTCCCTGGCCTGGCCGAGGGCCTTGTCAACAAGGCTCTCGAGGTTGGTGAGCTTTTTTATCACATCCAGTGGAAAGTCTCTTGGGACTCCGAGGAAGACTCTACAGAGCTCGGTGTTCTGGATGGCAATTATGGAACCCCGGACATCCTGGAGAGAATTGGGAACTTGATCGAAAAGAATACGCCGGATATTCTTCAGACTGGGGAATACTTCGACCAAATGGTTCTAATCACTGAGGCAATTTTGACAATACGCAACATGGTCACACTGCCCGAGAACGCGCACAACATGTCTGAGTTTCCTCCAGTGAAGGACCTTCTCTGTATTGTTTTGCATCTTCCCGAGAAGGACTCGTTGGTGGAAATAAAACACATGGCTCTCGACATCTGCGAGCAGATTACTTCGTTCATGATTATGGATTCTGATGATCCCTTGTACAGAACGCTACTTGGGCAAATGACATCGGATGACCGTGGTACTATTCTCAGCGCCCTGCGAGCGCTAGGACGCATCTCCATGAATCTGGAAGCCACGAATCAGCTCAATGAAGTGCCTGGAGATATTCTGCAGCGCATTACGAGCTGGCTATTGCTGAATGATGATGAGCTTATTGACGCCTGCCTCGACTTTCTCTACCAGTACACCGCTGTCGTTTCTAACCTGGACAATTTGATGCGCTCCACACATCCGGAAGGCCTTGTCGACCAACTTGTGCGTCTTTTAGCCCACGGTGCCCGTAAGGTCCAGTACGACCTTATCTTGACGCCAGAGCAGCGATTGCCGTCCCGCGACGAGGTGGCGCCTATGCCAGAGGACCTTTTGCATGAGATGCTGAAATTGGAGGAGCCCGATAGGGTTCATCAATGGGTCAAGTCATTCTTTGACGAGGACGGCACTTCATTTGTCACTCAGCTCGCTGCCTGGCAAGCTTACCAAGCTGCCTTCTCTGCTCCTCTCAAGGACATGCAACAGCAGATGATTACACCGGCCGACTTCATTAGAAATAGTACGGCGGTATACAAGGGCTCCAATGCACAGGTGCTGCGCGAAAACGGCGATGGCCAACAGAAGTTTATTATTCATGGCATTCGTGCCCGGCCCAACCCGGTGACACTTGACGGCAAAGAATATGGACGCTGCCTCTGGGCGAGTGATCCGAGCCGTCGTAACGCAAAATGTGGCCATTTCTTCCTCAAGGCAGAACAGATGTGGCGCCACATAATGACGGTGCACCTCGGGGCTACCATGGATGAAGAAGAGAAGTTTGAGAATACTGAAAAGACATTCGTCTGTACTTGGGGGGAATGCAACAAACACAGCACGCCGACAAAGATGCACTTGCGCGACTTTGCCCGCCACGTCACAACACACATCTCGGGCGTCATTCCCAGCTCCGTTGGTGCCGCCAGTGACGGCGCCGCCGCGGCACCTCCGAAGAGATGGATCGTGCCCGCCAAGACGCTGCCCGTCACATTTGAGGAAACGGTCACGGTGCGGGACGAGCGCAACCCGCAGGCGCCCCCGCAGGCCGCCGGCATCCCCCTCAGCGCGGTGCTGGTGCTGCGCAACATTGCGCGCAACATTGTCAAGACGGAGGCGGAGGAGGAGCTAGTCAAGTCGCAGCGCGGCACGGAGGAGAAGGGCGGGTGGAATGAACGCCTGTTCCGCGCGTCGACTCCGCGTCTGTACGAGCTCTTGGCCGAGAACAGACCAATGGTGAGTACATCTCCAGGAAAAAAACGGTCGTCATTTCCGAGTACATGCTAACGAATTGGTGGGAAATAGAGCCCGTACATCTCGTCACTGCTCGACCTGATCCAGGTTGAAATTGAGATCCGCCACGATTCTGATGACGATGAATGAGTCAGATCATGATCGCTTCTCAGGTCAGCGTTATCGAAGCTACACTGGGATGAACATGGGGAAAATGGAAATGGCGTATTTGGGGAGACAGGCGACTACTTGATTTTTATGGATAGTTATATCAGTTCCAGGCTTTGTAATTTTGACGCGCGCGCCGGCTCGCACCTTGCGCGGATAGTTGGAACGCGACTAGGCGAGGACGCAACGTTGGGATTTGTACGAGTATACCAATGGCTTTCTTCTTCTTCCTCACAGAATACGTCTTTCAATAGCCATGTAAATTTTTATGTGGTATATTAAGCATTGATGTCCGTGGTATATACGACTGTCAATGTACGATGTCTATCGTCTGCGTAGCAGACACGAGCGGCCTCATCCGCCATGATCCCATCCTCATCAAAAATCTGAGTCTCTATGACCCTCGCTCTTCCCCTCTCATTTTGGTAGATAATAAAAAACAGGTCAACAAGAAACAAAAAAGCAAGGCCAGTGTGGTTGGTCTTTTTCCCCAAAACTCCAGCACTCAGCAAGAGGGCAAAATGGAACTGAACAAAACAAGAAAAAGATCGCAGAAATGCAGGCATGTGCGCAAGACCTGATCGCGGGTCATGCTGTGTATGTGTGTATATCACTCCATTAAAAGTAGTAAGTCAAGTGAAGCGTGGGTGCCTTCACTTTGAAGTGAAGGAATCGGAGAAGCGCGTAAAAACAAGCTCGGTATGTGTTTACCACAGCGAGTATCCACCGTCGATGATGCAGTCGGCACCTAATTACAGTCACTGTTAGCAACAAGCTATGTTTTGATGTTTGGGTCGAGATATGGGCTTACCAGTCATGAAGCTCGAGGAGTCGGAGGCGAGGAAGACGCAGAGGCCGTTGAGCTCGTCGACGTTGCCCAGACGGTTCTGGGGAGTGAGCCCGCGCCAGATCTTCTTCTGGGCCTCGAGAGCGGGCACGCGGTTAAGGGCGGTGTCCATGTAGCCGGGGGAGATGGTGTTGACACGAATGCCGTGCTTGGCCCACTCGGCGGCGAGCGACTTAGAAAACTGGATGACACCAGCCTTGGAGGCGTTGTAGCAGGACTGCTCCTGGGGGTAGTTGACGATGGAGCCGGACATGGAGGCGACGAGGATAAGGGAGCCCGACTTTCCGGCGGCCATCATGGCGCGGCCGACGGCCTGAGACATGAGGAAGGTGCCGGTAAGGTTGATGTCGATAAGGCGGCGGAACATGGCCGGGTCGTAGGTCTCGGCCTTGATGTTGGAGTCGGCGATACCGGCCGAGTTGACGAGGACGTCGGGGGCACCGTAGAGGTCAACGACGGAGTCGACAGCAGCGTTGATGGCGGCGCCGTCACGAACGTCGACCTTGAAGAAGGAGACGGGGACACCCGACTTGTCGTGGAGCTCAGCCGCGGCGGCGTCACCCAACTCCTGATTGGCGTCAAAGATGACGATGTTCTTGGCACCAGCCTCGGCGCAGGCCCGGGCCATGTGGTTGCCCAGGCCACGGGCGCCGCCCGTAATGATAATGGTCTTGCCAAAGACGGTCATGTTGCGAACGGTGCGGGGGAGGGCCTCGTAGGCTTTGCGGGAGAGCGGCTCGACGGCCTCGTGGGCATCGTCGGCGGGAGGCTGGGGGCTCTCAAAGGGCACGCGGGCGGCGCCGTCAGGGACCTGTACGGTGCGCTTGTCGCCAGCGCCAGGGCCATCATAGATGGTGGCGGGCACCTCCTTCTCGCGGACAACGCTGTTCTTCTTGGTCGTGTCGGAGACGCGGGAAACGGCGGTGGCGGAGAAGCCGCGGACAGAGGGGGAGGCGAGTCGCGAGACGGGGGCGGCAGCGCGGGTGAGCCGCAGAGCGTGGCGAGCAGCGAAAGACATGGTGTCTGCTGTGTGTGTAGATTGGAGTGGTAGAGGAGAGAAGGGAGGAGGGAGGAGGAGGATTGTGTACAAGTCGTGCGAGAGGTTGACGGACGAGCGAAGGGGATTCGTCACAGAGAGGTTGTGTAGACAGAAATGAAGATGGTCAAGGAGCAAAGGAAAACTTGGGGGGAAGAGCTCGAGGAGGGCAAATATATATCTGGTCGAGGCTCTGCGCTGTGCGTGGTGTGTCTGGAGTGGCCCGGGAACGGAGGTGTACGTAGCGTTTGTTGGTGGTTTGAATTGAGTGAACGAGACAATGGGGTACGGATAGAAGGAATGGGGTGTGAATTGAATTTGGAAGGGGGGCGTGTGCATGCTGCTGGTTTTGGGCTGCAGCTGCGCACAGCTGGGACAAAGGCCATTTGCCTCTGGGCTTGTACAGTGAGTCCGCTGTACAGTAACTGCCTGACAGTGCATTGGAGACAACAGAGAGAAAAAAAAGAACTGGGGACGCTAAAATCTGGCACTGGAGCGCTGCCGGAGGGGCGATTAGTGGACGCGTGGGGACGTCCCTGGGCCGCTACTGGGTGTTGAGGCGCAAGACATTTTTAGTGCTTGCGGCAATGCCGGGCAGCCATGTCGGTTGCTATCTATTTTTTCTTCCTCTGGCCGCCTGCTGGTTCCTCAAATGCTGCGAGGACTTCGTGGTAGGCTTGTCGATTTTTTTCTGTCTTGTCAGACCTGTAAATCCGACTCTTTCTGGGCCATTGTTGCCGACTGCGCCGAGCAAGGTTGTGACCCTGAGTTTTGGTCCTGGCAAGCGCCGAGCGGGAGTGCGGGATGTGCCAGGATGGGAAAATGCTAGCTAACGTTAATAGAAGGAGCAAAAAAACAGTGATGCAATAAGAAAGCGGTAAACCACTTTTGCCGCGAACAGTTCAAAATTTCACGTCGTCCTTTTCCTCCAGCCATGCGATTGTCGGCGCAGGAATGCAGAGTCCCGGATGCAGCCCCAGACCATCCGCCATAGCGCTATATCAAAGACAAGTGGCCGTACGACCAAGCACCAGCACAGCCCTCCAAAAAGTGATAATTTAGGAACACAGGAGCCGGATAGCTCGTAACCCAGCCTAGCTGACAGGGGAGAGGGGGCGAAGACGAACCAGTTGGGTGCCAGATCTGGCCACACCCCAGTGGCCTTTGCTGCTGGAAGCACCTTGCTTGCCTTGCCTTGCAGCGCGAAATTGTATGGGCGCAGCCAAGACACTGCTCATGGTGTTTCACTCTGCATCTCCATCTTGCAGCACCGGCAAAAGGAAAGTAAAAATCGATGAAAGAAACAAAGCGACGCGTTTTGACGTCGCTTAAAAAAGCATTCAACTTTTTTCCTTTTTGCATTCAAGTACAGAGCGAGTCACCAAACCACCACCAGCAGCACCAAGTCCCAAGTGGCGTCGGTTCCAGGGCGCCCACCCCAAAAGCTTGATTTTGGTGAAGAGCACATCTTTTTCTCCTCGCTGCAGTTCAGCTTTTCGGCCTCACCCCTTTTGGGAGGGTATAATTGAACAGGGGGCCGCGTATTACGAGTTCGACACACTTGTCATGTCGAGATAGGTCAGCTGGCCTCTTTTTGCTGATGTTCTGCACACACAGGTTGACAGGCACCAGGGGCGACATTACTGGCACGCGGGAAAGCAAAGCACTAGCAAGGGACGCCAGTAATTTCGCAGTGGACAAAGGGCAAATAGAACGATGCCATGTGCACATTGGCCAGGATATGAACGAGCAAGCTTGGGGTACAGAAAAGGGGCTTACTTGCGGGCGTTTGAGGAGCCAGGCGGGCAGGGCAAGTCGGCTCTTTCAATTCTGAGTCTGAGAATCCCCAAACCGTCAAATCCTTACGACTTATTCGTATGTACAAATGTCTGCATGCCACCCTCCTTCGCAAGCAGTACCCGCGTTGGTCTCGCAATCGATGGACGGTCGGTAAGCAACAATCTTTTTTCCTTGCCTGCCGATATCGCTGTTTGGTGGTGTGAAGAGTAAGTTGCTAGCGCCAGTGGCTTGAAAAGGGGGGGCGTGTGCGCTGGAGTAAGAACGACAGCCTCCAACTCCCTCCTCCAACTTCGCCTTAGAAAGCCCCCAAAGGAAACCCGGCTCTGGCGCACGCGGGGGAAAGAGCGGCATTGCACATGCATGACCTGTGCTCTGCCCTCCTCTACCACACCTGACTTTTTTATGAGAACAAATGTACGGGGTACGCCATTTCTCTTTTCACCATAACAACCTATTCAATCCACCACGCACACTCTGGAGTTACCGTTTGGGTCCAGTTGTGACGCTGCACTGCGGGCGAGATGTGGCGTTGCCCTAGCGTATTCCAGCGCAGCGGGAAGCGCCTGCAGGGCACCCCATTCGCCCTTCCCACAGTGGCCTTCTGCCCAGCCTTGGGTCCCTGGAAACGGTCAGCTTTTTTCCTTCCACGGAGCGTTCTGGAAACGGTGAGACAAGGCACCGCCGCCCACTCTCTGCCCGTGAAACCCGCTTTCCCTTTCCCATCCCCCTCGACCTCCACCACCACACATTCCCGTGCCCCATCGTGATGTGCCATCCGTCGTGCGCATCGTGGGGTCAAAGGTGGGAGAAAGGCAGGGCCGTTTTTAGGTACGCTTCACCTTGCCGAGATCTAGGATCGTGCTTTATGCTACTCTGTCCCTACTTCGCCACCGCTAGCTGCACGCGTTTCCTTCAAGAAGCAAGTCATCGCCGCCAAACCAGGAACCTGTTTCGCAAACGATCAAGATTGGGCCAACGGGCCGTCTTCCCTCTTTTTTGTTCACGATACTCTCAGGAACTAACTGTACTAAGCCCGCCCGGTCATCGTTACCCCTCAAAGTAAAGGCCAGCATGCAAGCTACCCCGCCGCCTTTCTCCAAACAATGCCGCCGCCGCCTTGCGCCTTTCATAAAAACACCAAACACCGCGGTAAAATTGACACCGTTATGGACAAGTGTTGATCGGCTTGTCGCAGCCCAATGCTGCGTCGTACAAGAACCTCACCTCATTTGAAAATTGGAACTGCTGTGGTAGCTGCCCGAGTTGCAGCGCTGCTCACCCACGACTCACACGCAGTCGGATATCTGCCTCGACTGCGCAACACAGAAGCACCACTCCGTACCTGTCTATTAGCTCTGCAGGCAAGCAGGGAGATGCCGGATCAGTATCGCCACCATGAATAGGGACCACGTCGAAAGAAGAGCGATACCCTGTCGAGTCACAGCTGCAAATGAGTTTTGCCACCGAGGTTCCTAAAGCCGGCGGCAGACAAGGAACCAGCTGGACGGCCGTCCCGCCGCCGTCTTCAAGCAGCTTCTCCCGGCTCGTTAGAACAGCCACAGCTTGGGTTGAACGTGTGACAGAACGCAACTTGGGTCCTACCGACTCGAAACGAATACTGGTAGTCCGTACAGGTCATTGACTCGGTCTTTTCGTTTCCAAGAATCCCTCTCTCAGCCTTCACGCCATCAGTGTCGACAGAAACACACCCTACCCAAGTCATCTACCTGCAACTAGCCGCTAGCTCGCACGCTTCGCCGCAATCCTACCAAGTAAACACTGGTCCAGCCATGCTTCGGATGCATGGCCATCCCATCCGCGCAGCGTCAATCAATCAACACATGAGCCGGACAAGATGAGTTACCCGTCCGAGCTCCGGGGGTGCATCTACGAATGCTAGTTTGGAGCCTCTGGAGGAGCCTCTGGAGCCGTCCCCCACAAATTACGGTCTTGCTCTTCCAGAAAATTTCTCCTTTCAAGCCGAGCCCCAGATAGATCCTCTCGCTGGCGCCGTTCCCCCTTGGCTCCCGCCTGCTAAAAAGTCGCGAAGAAAGCAGTGACCTGCTGCTCCTCCCCAAAGCAGCTGGAAAACTTTTCCTCGCCTGTTCCCAGGTGGGCGTCAGTGGCTCTCATCTGGGTCTCGCTAGTGAATGGCGTGAATGGCTCCCAGGCAGCCATATTTCTCGTCTTGTGTATGGACGGCATCTTGGAGATCTTGTGTCCACACCGCAATTGCTTCCACTTTGGCGTCGAAAGCAACCGTTGTCGCACTCAACATTTGCCGGCTTAGAAACGATGCAAAGTGAGCGGCATGATGATGCCCACCGCCAAGTCGCTCCCTCCTCTCCTCGCTCGCTCGGACAGCTGCCGCCGCAAGTAGGCTTCATAAGCTTCCTCACTCTGCTCACCGATCAACTTACTCGGGACAAGCTATCCACGCAAGCTCAGACTTTACTCATGCACGCCATGAAACAGACACCAAAAAAAAAGCATCCGGGGTTTGCATCATTTCAGGTCAACCGACCCATGCCATTCGTAATATTTTTGCAGCCCGCGTGACATGTTATCCATGCTCAACACCAGACAGAGCCAGGTTCCTCGCTGATGAGCTTATTTCGGGGACCCCCTCTGATGCCACCAATGTCTCCGTTCCGTTACCGAAGCCGCGAAGGCCAGCACCGCGACCAGGGCAGCAAGCATTATTTGGGAGCTTGGACGGACCAGGAATCAAGCTCTCAACAAGACAGGTCCCGACTAGCCGGGCTCGCAGGGGGCCGGCCGCCCACACAGAGATTCGCCTGCGCCGCCGGGGAGCTAGTTCCGGCACTACTTGCTTGTTGAAGACGCCTCAAAAGGGAGACAACAAGGCGCACCCCCATCAAGGGCAATTATTGCAAACTGCGACTAGCTTGCTGCCCAATGCCCAATCGCGGAGACAACGTGGGCAGGCCTGTGTGCTCTGAGGGGAATCATGGCTACCAACACAGTGGTCCCTTTCCAAGTCCAAGATTTCTCAAATTCCTTGAGGCGCAAATCATGCCAGTACATATCAAGAACCCAGCATACCCCTACCCTGCTGTGCGTGCTGTCACAGCGTGCATCAGACAGCTCACATATTTATGCTTATCCTTCACGATCTTATCAGCATGATTCAAACTTGGGACATAGTAGCTAGTTAGATGATGAGCTGGACATTCTACTAAGTAGTGTTTGCGATCCTGGTGGCAGTCTCTCGCTAGCACATGATAACTAGATTGAGGAAGGGTCTGTCACATCAACAAGGACAAGGGATGCAGGTGGAGGAACAAACGAGGGCACAGAAGAGCATGGCAACTGGACGCGATGGGCTCCTCATATTCCTACTGGGGCGTCCAGTGGATTTTGCCAGTGCAAGACTGCCAGGAGTCAAGGACGTGACTTGGCAACTTGGCTGGTCTCAAATCTCAAGTGGTGCTAGTCATTGACAAGCGGATTGCCTGATCCAGACGTCCCGAGCAGGGACATACAGTATTGTGGTTTTGATCCCTCTTGCTGGCCGGCAAGGTAACAACTCACCAGCACTCCTATTCAACCTACGGCTCAAACATGATTCCTCGCCCGCCTAGTAAGAACTAAGAAGGGACCAAAGCAAGCTCCAGTGTTTTCTCCTGCCGAGCTGCAACAATCAGCGCGGATCTGGCTTCCTGTTTGCCCACAATGCCATGCTTCTCCAGTTTTTCGACTCCTCCTATTGCGTCAAGCGCGTTTCTGGGACTTTCGCTCTCGATATATCGCTTGGCAACTTGGAATCTGAGGGAAAGGATCATCTTATCGCGCGCGGCCCTGAATGGTCCCTGGGAATGGGAATTATGCAAAAAGAGGCCTTCCAAAACGCCAACGACGTCAGGACCACAAACGTGTCCATCTTTTTAAAACTTATTGCTGACCGTCTTTATTGCCCCTCTGTCAATCTCACCACCAACCGTGGTGAGTGGCGTCAATTGGTCAAGTCGATACTCTTGAATCTTGAACTGAATGGAACTTTTCAGAAAAGTGGTCGTCACATGCTGAGCTGATGAACGTTGCATGTTGCGACCCCTCTGATTATTCAGGGTCCTATGTTGCTGGCGTGCATCTATTGATGCGAGGCTTCGACATGCTTCTGCCGGACCGACACACAGGCGAATCCAGCAGGCGTTCTGTGCACGGACAGTTGTAGTTGTTTCTGGAAGTGATCATGCACTTCTGGGCGACACACAGATACAGCCATACCCTACAGGGTAGTTCGCCAGAAGGCGAGTGACGATCTGAGAGCTTCGGCGTTGATGGGCCGCTGAGCCTGGCGAAGGTCCTTGACTGCGATGGAAAAAAATGTCAAGTTGGCGAGTAAGTGGAGGAAAACAACAACAATGTACTGAATCTTCAAACAGGCTCTCACCGGAATTCCGTTTGTGTACCGGTCATGCGATTCACTTCTGCACACTCACACAGACTTTCACGGCCCAGTCGGCCAGTAGAGCAAACGGCAAGGTTCACGCACTCTGAGTACGCGTGACTTTCTTTCCCTTGACTCTTCCTATTTCTTTTCACTCTTCGTATTCCCTGGTCGCTTTGCTTCCCCAAGCCTTGTTCTCTCGGACTAAGCTGGTCATAAAAATGTGGAAGAGTCGCCCAATGTAACTGGCCACCGTTTTCTCATCATCAATTCTCTGGAACGGCTCCCTTCGCGGGTTTATGATGATGCCTACGGCTTTAGAAGCTTCTGGTATGCTTCTGCAAATGAGATTGCTGCTCTGGACAAGGCAGTCTCCCGCGCCGTCGCAGCGTTTTAAGAAGGAGGCTACTACACCGCAGAGGGAATCAGAAAACTCTGGTGCGCTGGCCTTCCCATGCACCGTGACATCTTAGCTGCCCTGTTTTCGTCCCCCACTGGGACTCTGCCTCAGAGCCTGATAAAGAACTTCGAAACGCTCGGCCAAAGCAGCGACTTGCGCTTTGAGGCAAAAGTCCTACCTACTTGCAAACATTCCATCGCCTCGGAGACCTCTGAGCTGACAATCACTTGTAACAGACCCTTGGCGAGCCCATCTACAGTGAAGGAGATCGCGCAGAGGTCGTTGACACCGCAGATGCCTATGTCACCCGAATGACCAATGCTGCTCTCCGCAAACGAATGGAGCTCAAGAGCAGCATCGTGCAAGCACTTCTCGACAGGATAATAAGCGAAAGGCTCCAAGACCTCCGCGACTCCGCAACAGCAGAGATAAAGCAAAAGCTCAACGACAGCGAACTCGAGGATCGCGTCAAGGCCGCTTTGAAGACGAAGCTCGCTCCCTACGAAGCGTTAATGGATGATTACGAGCGGCTCGCGAGTCGCCTCATCTATCACTGCGACACCGCCGATCAGCTCAGAGTGCGGCGTACGAAGCTCATGGACGCAGGCGTCATGCCGCCCACTGCTGCTTCCTGGGTCTCAGAAGATATCGGGCTCATTCAAGGACGTTGCGTTATCTTGGATGGCGATGAGTTCTGAAAACTTTTGCCATTAGACGTTTTGAGCAGGTTGGCCATTCTAATGAGCTGGTCGCGAAGTGCGGAGTGTTCATCATTGTAATATTTGCTTTCAGTTACGGAAAGCTCTGGTTTGCTTCACTTTTTTCTTCATGCAGTCAAGAGGGTCGAGGATCACAGAAGAGAATAGTGTAACAGGATATGCTTGAATAGAAAGTCGTGGGTGACTAGCAAGTTCGAGCAACAGTTTACCGCAACAAGTCAGGTCGCAATCGGAATTCACTTTGCCGAGGGCACGGAGAGCTTCCAGTGACAGACATGTACTGAAATGATTCGATCCTTTTATTTATTCTTCTCATAACAAAAAAGTGCTAAACAAAAAAAGTCTCTCTACCCAATATCCAAACTTTCACCATCCACCCTCCCCATCTATACCTTGAAGATATCCGTCACGCCCGTCCAGGCACCCTTGGCCCTCTCCTCCCAGTACCCGTCCTTGCCCGTCCTGATGCGCCAGCACTCCTCCCCGCCGCCCTCGCCATCTCCGCAATCATCCACCTTGACGAACCAGCGCGGGGCGTACGCCTCGCCGCTGTCCTCGAGCTGGCGCCTCCGTACGCGCTGCTCCTCCTCCAGCCGCTGCTTACACGTCTCCGCGTCGTCGAGCGCACCCTCCTCGGCCATGCGCTGGTCCGGCCGCAACCGGCTGTCCGTCGGCGCCATGCGGTCGCGCTCCACCTCGGTGACCTCGTTGAGCGTCGCCGCGAACCGTGTCAGCCCGTAGGTCTGCGCGGCGTTGTCCACCAGCCCGCCGACGCGCCACACCGCCTCGCCGCCGTGGTGCTTCCCTCCCTTGCCGGCCTTGTGCAGGCCGGTTGTCCAGGTGCCGGCCATGCCGGTGCCTGCGTCGCTGCCGTCCGGGTTCAGCACCTCCACGTGCACGTCCTCGGAGCGCCCGCCAAACATGCCCTTGCTGCGAAACTCGATGCTCGCCCGGTGGCTCGTCGAGTCGTTGGTCACGGTCATGGTGCCGACTGGCTCCACGTACTTTTCGCCCATGACGACGTTTCGTAGGAACATGTTGGCAATGTTCCACGAGTAGAGCTCGTCCTTGCCGTCGGGAAGGTGCAGAACCACGCGCACCCGGCCGTCCGTCGTGATTTCCGCGCTCTTGCCCCAAAACTTTTGCCCGGGCGCGGCGCTTTGCGCCAGCGACCAGTGGGCGGACTCGGCGTGGATGGCGAGCTTGACGGGGCGGTGCTGCACCTTTTCGACTAGCAGCCGAAAGCCACCGGGCGTCTCAGCGTCGCCACGGACAAGCTCAAAGGTCTCGCCGAGAAGCGGGTTGAACGGTTTCCGGATGGCACGCTCCTTGGCTCGACCACTGCTGAATTGAGAAATGGCAAAGGCAGTGACGTAAACCAGACGCTCGGTAGGAGTGGCCAGTTTGGAGGCCTTATCTAGGAGCTCCGCGTACTCGAGCTGTTCTGATAGCTTCTGTAGCAGTGATAGGGGCTCATTCGCGGACACCGGCATACTTATTGTGCTGAGATCCTTGCCAACGTTTTTCCTGACAAAGGCGATGAGGCTTGGCGGCAGTACAGTCGCGGGCGGAATTGTCTGTCGACGATTCACTTTTCCGCTCATTGGCAGCGGCGTGAGAGTCTTGGACTTGATCGGATATAGGTGATTTGTGCCGTCAGGGCCGATTGCATCTTCGGCTTCCATTGATGAGACGGAGGAGCCGTCATCTTCGTCCTCTTCGTCCTCTTCAGCCGACTCGTCGTCGCTTTCATTGATTTTAAGAACTCTCGATCCAGCATCCTCGGCGTCAAAGAATTCGTCCACGGTAGAGGCAGTGCTTTCCATGCTCAATCGAGACGCAACCGGGGCGGGCGGAGCAGTGAGCATGCGCCGCCTCTTGCTGGTGCTAATTAAGCTGCTAAATTCCGCAACGACCGAGTCCAAGTCTGCGAGAAGAGATTCACAATGACCTTGCAGACTCTTTTCCTCCTGAACAGCGCTCTTTGATCTTCTCTTGGCCGCCTTGGATCCGTTGGTATCGAGAGCGGTGGCGCTGCCTGGCGTGGGAACAGCCAGTGCGGAAGCGGTAGCTTGTTGTAGAGCCGGCGACATTCCAGGTGCGCTAGACTTGCGGCGCCAAAACGACTTCTTCTCGGCCGCAGGAAAGTAGCTCTCGCCGTCCTCGCCTGTCACGGCGTTATTTGGTGAGAGTGCGGAGGGGCTTGCTCCAGGCTTAGGCAGCGCGGCAACCTCCTTAGTGAGGCGGCGCAGCGCATCTCTGGTTCCCACGACGCGGCTGACGAGAGTCTCGACCTCGTGCCACTCAGCCTCCTCTTCTTGGCCAGGAGCTTGCTGTCGGCCCGAGACAGTGCGTGCTCTTGGGACGCTGGCCTTGGCAGACGTCTGCGAAGTTTCGCTTTCAAGACCCCGGGCAGCACGGCTAGCCTTTTCCAGTGCCCGCGCCCAGTCCTGAAATTCTTTGGCATTGGGGGCTCTCAGGTGCCAGACCTCGGCGCCAGAGTCAATGCTAATCTCTCGGCGTCTCTCGTCGGCGGCAATGGCTGCGAGGCTCAGCGGGATGGCACCTCGGAGGGCAGAGGAGTTGCGGTTATAGTAGTATGAGAGCGTGTAGGTCGAGTAATCGAGAGAAAAGAAGCGGCGCGCATATCCCTGGCCCTTCTTTCTCCGTCGCTTAGAGAGCGTGCCGACGTGGTAGGACGCACCGTTGCCGTCGGTTCTGTTGGAAGCGGATCTGGCGCGGCCGGTCACATCGGGGCTATGAATACTGTCGGTAGATGCACTGGGATCGACGTCTTGCGAAAAGGCACCGGCTTTGGGGAGACTGGACTGGCTATCTCTGGACTTGGGGAGCTGCAAGTTCGGGATGGTCGTGGTGCCTTGGGGAGGCGCGCCGGTTGGATATGTGAGGACGACAAAGGTGGCAGTCTTGGAGGTTTGCTTGGAAAATGTGTTGTCAAAGACGAGGCCGTACATGCCTCCCTGGCCATCTAGGACATCATATGTGCCTATGGAGACCTTGTCGGCCTCGCACTTGCCGACCCATTTTACGGGTATGAAGCCCTTGCTGGCGAGAATCTCTTGAGCCGTGTCTTTTTTGTTGCTCTTGTTGGCTTTACCCTCGTCGATGTCGGGGGAGAGGGAGCCGTCGTCGGCGGAGGATGAGACAAGTGTGGTGGCTCCGGAGCCGGGATGTCTGAAGATGCCAAAGTAGCTGCATGACGATTAGCCTCGGCAGGCGACGGGAGGGCATTATGCCAGGGAAGGAGGAGGGTTTTCTGGGACGGCATACATGGACTTTTTATGCGGCTGAACGCTCCATGAGAGAGTAGATCCGGCGTCGGCGCGCACCCAGCGCACGATGTACGACTGCGACAATTAGCCAATGGGTTCATGGGGCTGGCGCGTACAGCGCGCGGCGCACCTTGCTGTGGACTTCGAGCCTCTCGATGCCGGCCATTGTGGGCAGATGTTTCGCAAAGTACTGTCCGTCAATGGCAATGGCTCGGTGCAGCTTGCGGTGTCGTGGCGATGAACAGTATTTGGTTGAGAGGCGTCGAGGGAGAATCGCTTCGCATGTGGTGGCGCGGGGGTTGGGGTTGCGAATGAGGGAGGAGTCTCTGCAAGTCCAGCAGGGGTGTATGCGCTGCGGCCAGACGCTGTCGACTGTTGGTTGTGCTGCCGGTAAGCGCAGAAGTTGCGTGATGGGTGTCGGTACAGATATGCAAATATGTCGTGCGTGAGAGCTGCAGATGTTCAGCCCGGTTGGAACGAACAGCTCGGGGAAATGGGCTCAGCCGCTAGATATTATGACGAGGAGGCTACGGAGGTACAAGGCACGAAGCGGGTGAGCGCCGAGTGCCACGTTGTGTGGGGACCAAGGACCTCGGGCAGTTTGGGGCAGCCTCTGGCAGGTGCTTGATACAATTTCTTTCATTGAATATAAATTCTTAGCGATTGTATCGGTTGGAAAACAAAGAAATCCACTTGCATTTTGTCGGTAGGACGGCTCAAAATCGAGTATACCATCATCACAGGTTGCACATATGTGTTGCCGTCTGCTTGCGCTCTCTTGGACTTGTTGGCTCGTTGGCGGATGTTTTAGTGGTTACATGCTCTGTGGTGTCTTTCGGTTAGCAGACACCACCGCTATAATCGACGAAGCTTCTAGTGCACTTTCAGCGCGTCAGAGCGCTCCGGGATCGTCCATCGAAACCCGTCCAGCCCCATTCCCAGCCCCGTTGACCAGCCGGACGTGGCGGCCTATTTATCTCATGACAGCCTACTAAACGGATACTGGGAGGATCCTTGGTTTCCTTGGCGTCTTCCCCGCGCCAATCGACCGGAGCCTCGGGCGGTCTCAAAGGCTATTCATCACGTCAGTACGGAGTATGGTTGATCGTTACACTATGCCCCGGGTGTGGAAGCCAGACAGCCGCGGCTGGCTTCGGTCGCAGCAGCGAGGCTGGCCACACACATGACGAATCCTGCTCGTATTTTTTAGCATTTTACGAGCTGCCTGTACATCGTGTCTCACATGTCGCTGGATGTGCGCCTCGATTTACCGCGATACTCACATCAGAGACAACCGCGCTATGTAGCTACATACTACCCAAAACGGCTGGATGGTCAGCATGCTCGGCGCGCCGAACTCGGCAACCTGGCGAACCATATGGAATAACTCTGAAATACTACTACGTCACGCTAAAAAAGGGTAAGTGCTAAGACAGCAGATGGTTTCCAGGGGCGTTGTTGGGCCAAGTAGGCGCTGTGACAAGTCTACCAAGTTGGCGACCTCTATGTAAATCATGCCACGAGATTCATCCAATTACTCAATATTAACCTTAATTTTAACTGGCTAATTAACAACATCTTATCGTGTCCAGTAAATCAATCACTAGCATACGTTCAAAGAATGTGTGTAAGCGCCTGTGTACTGCGCCAACTAACGAGTTGAAGTGATGAAAGGAAGATGTCCATGAAGGAATTCCTCTATCTAGCTAATGGGAAAGGTCACTTCTATTGGACTCCGTCCAGAGTTACTCTTATGGTCAGTGCTTTCCAATCACTCATGGAAACACTCAGTGACTGCATCCATCATCAGGCAGCAGCCCCGTGTATGGCTCTAGGGTAGCGACAGGTCCCTTGGCCCACCCCATGAGTCAAAGGAGAGTTACAAGCAGGGCATTTCGACACCAGAGAACAAACTCGCAAAACTGAATCCAGAGATTTTCAATTCAAGGGTACAAAATTGCAAAAAGGAAAAAGAATCATTAAGAAAAAATGACAAACTACGCTCCATCGTAACCCGGAGGCTTCCGGATTTCCTCTTCTAGCCTCTCCTTGCATCCCGTTTGTCTTCCTGCTCTAAACACCGTCCATTTCCTTCATCACCCTGTCTTTGTCCATAAACATGAACCACAGAGTCATGCTCGGCGTAACGGGTCACAACCTATCAAGGTCACGATTCCGTACTCCGACTCGGCATTAGCGTCGCCGTGCGCCCGGCGCCGGCCTCGGGCCTTGACCAGCAGCTTTCGCGCGGGGTGGAGAAGGCTTGGCTTCGCGCCACCAGCAATCTGACTCCAGTCTGACGAAACCACCAATGCAATTGATCTGGAGCTTACGTCTTTTTCCCAATGTCGCATCCGGAAGCGCGTCGTCATACATCACGATCAAAAGGTTGAGCTTCCTATTTTGCGCATAAGCAACGCTCACTATCGACCAAACCCCCGGACTCGGAATTGCCCCTCCCTCACTACTACCCCTCCGACCGACCCCGCGATTCGACAAAACCCCAACGCCGCGCATTGTGCATTTGCCAGTATGACGCTCACGGTGCTGTCCGATGACCAGGTCAACTCCATCTTTGAGAGCCTCGACCTCGAAGAGCTCGAGGAGTTCCGGCATGTCCTGGCCTCGGCGCTGCACGAGTTCTCGACCGGCTCGCAAGTCGACGGCGCCGACGCTTTTCAACAGCCGCACCGCATCACCACGCAGCACCCCGAGACCAAGGCGACGACCCTGTACATGCCATCATGCGGTCCCGAGGGGATGGGATGCAAAGGTGCGTCCCCCAGATCACCCCCGTGGCCTTACTACTGCTAACTCCCGGGACAAAAGTTGTCTCCCTGACGACGTCCGCCGCTATGCAGGACCCCTCGGTCAAGCCCATCAGCCCGACCGGCGTCGTCAACCTCTTCTCCCCCGGCGGAGAGCTCACCGGCGTCGTCCACGCCAGCAGCCTGACCGCCTTCCGCACCGCCCTCGCCTCCGCGTGCCTCGTCGCGCGCCGCAACCATGTGCGCGACATCGTCGTCTTCGGCAGCGGCGCCCAAGCCTACTGGCACGTCCGCCTGGCCCTCATGATGCGTGGCGCCACCGTTCGCCACGTGCACTTCATCAACCACCGCTTCTCCGCCAGCGCCGGGCTCATCCTCAAGAAGTTCTCCGTCATCCCGCAAGACGTCAAGGCGCGCGAGGGCTGGGCCGAGGCCAAGTTCTCGCTGCTGACGCCGTCGTTCCACGAGTTTGACCGTCTACAGAAGGAGCACCTACGCGCGGCGGACGTCGTGTATTGCTGCACGCCGTCGCGCGCGGACCTGTTCGACGCGCACATCCTGACGAGCCACGAGGGCCGCAGGAAGGGCCGGCTGATCGTGGCGGTGGGCAGCTTCACGCCGGAGATGCGCGAGCTGCCGGAGGCGCTGCTGCACCAGGTCACGAAGCAGCACGACAGGCACCACGACAAGCCGCACCGCCACTTCCACAAGCATGCCGAGGAGGGCGGCGTCATCGTCGTGGACACCTTGGAGGGCGTGCTGAAGGAGGCGGGCGAGATCATTGCCGCCAAGATCCCCGCGACGCACCTTGTTGAGTACGAAAAAAAAAACCCCACGCTCCTTGACCCATGGACCGCAAGCTGACAGGATGACAGGCTCGGCGAACTCGTCATGCTTCACAGATTACGAGTCGAGGAATCCGAAGCGGAAGCCTCCGCATCCGACGCGGCCAGCGACTTCGAACGCACCGACACGGCCGACTCCGGCTCGGCCATGTCCGGTGTCTACGGCAGCCAGGCTGCTCCTCCCCCGCGGCCGGCGAGTCCCGCCAGCTCGACCTCGTCCGCACACAAGTCGACCTTCCACCTGCCGTTCCGCACCAAGTCCGGCTCGTCCTCGTCGGACCAGGGCGAGAAGAAGAAGAAGGAGGACCACATGGTGCGCTGGCTGCGCGATGGCACCGTCGTGTACAAGAGTGTCGGCCTCGGCCTAATGGATCTCGTGGTTGGCACGCATCTCATCAACGTGGCGACAAAGAAGAACATCGGAACCCGTATAGAGGGTTTCTAGGGGTCAGGGGCGCAAGCATGGGTGTATTTAAGCACATTGGATAAAAGTAGTACGCATTACGCATAGTTGGAACTTGTGTAAATAAGTCCTTACATCTCGTCGTCGTCAGCTCTCGGCAGGAACCACCCGCCCAGACACTACCTAAGGAGCAAGCCATTAGGCACTGCCAACACACGTTTGACAGCGAGACATTCAACTCTTTTTACTATATTAAGGCAGCATGATCGATACTTGCACGCTTTTCCTCAGCGGGAGACGCTCGAGAGAGCCGTTGGTTCTGCTTGCTGGGTAGCAGTCACTTGCATGCGCGGCATAGGAACGTCGGTAGTGTGCCGAGGGGGGCGAGACGATGGCCGGTAGCTAATTTTTCGTAAAGCTAGGGAGTTAAGCAAGAGACTTTGGATGTCTTACCTGCCGGATCCAGTCCTTTCACCAAAACGCGGTTGTGTTGTGTTGCTTTGCTGATGCTAGTGAGCTGTCGTATGTATGTCGCGTGTCAGCGATCGTAATACAACTCTTGGGGAACCTCTCGGTGCAGCTGAAAGACGTGTACTATTATCTCCCCTCTGATACTAATCACTCGAGCCCATCATATCCAGGCGGTCCGCCTGGTCCACCATAGAAGTCACCCGGCCCCCGGGTCTAGGTACGTCGAGCAGTTTTGACGCCCTTTGCTTGGCGTACGTGACCTGGCGGTCAGGCCGGTCCTGAATATGTCGAGTCGGTGCGCACGAGTTACGTTTATTCTATGTTGAAGTGACCTGTGGAGTGAAGTGAGCCCATTGACAGAGTCGCCGGGAGTCAAACTGGCCAAGGATGGCGCACTGGTTGTTGAGCGCCTGGCGGCGGCGGGGAGCGAACGGCAGTTGCTGTTCGGCTCGGTGATAATAGTGGCACTGAAGACTATTTGAATGCAAACTTTTCGCAGAATCCGTGGCATTAGTAGCCACTTGAGCTGGAAGTGATGGGTTTGACGGCATTGTCGGTCAGTCTGGCAGCAACCGCGGCGCGCCATATGCTGATGTCTCGCTCGCGGGAGGCCCGGCTGGAGTCCCTCGCATGCATTTACTGACGGAGAGCAATAGCACACAGGTCAATTCTTCATCGGCATTGATCATGTTGCCTCTGGAGGTCGCCCTGATCACTCACAGTGCTGCTGGTGCGATCAGGTAAATAGATTGGGTACCTTGCCATACTCGACAATCACAACACGAACACTAAATATGGGATCATAAGCAAACATGATTTACGTTATGCTTTAGCTTCTTCCGCTTCTCAGTTCCAGCCATAATGCACCCTTGAACACGACAGCCACGACAACCAGGAGGTAGTCTTGTCGGTGGCGTCCGCAAAAGCCAGCCTGTGATGACTCTACCCACGCAAGTGGAAACAGCGCTCAGATGCGTCGTAACCCTTGTCCTTCCCTTCAAAGCTGTATGTAATAGTGTGAGAAATCTTCTTTGACGGAGTAGTAGCTTCCACAGCGGGATCAGGTGTGGCGCTTCTGGAGTCTTCTACTACTTGGCTTGGATAACAGTCGAGATGGTATGCCATGAAGTACTTTGCCAGAATGATTCCGACACCATGACGAAGAAAACAAAAGACCGTCTTGTCAGTCTTTATCTTGACTGTGAGAGTACAATTGGTGAATACTTGTGAACAATGGCAAGCGCGCCGGACAACGGCCCTGCTTCGACCGGCGAATCAGCGATTCGTACTCCGTATGGTGCTTAGAGATGACGTACTCTCTCTTCTTCCAAATGTGAAGCGAGAGGCTCCTCATGTTGTCCTTCAATTTAACATTCTACAACTGTCTATTTCCGAGGATATGATCCTGTACGGCTAAGCTTGGACTGGTCGATGGAGTTGGTTCCTCATCGTCCTGGGGGAGGAATTTTTCTGATGACGTATACTTGCATTATATTACAGCAATATCGACCGACGCGTATGCGCGATTGAGATGAGCTGCTGCAGTTTATCGACGGGGCATACAGGGTTCGTCCAGGATATGGTCATGGGACACGCAGAATTGTATCTACAGGCGCACATTTTGTGAACTAGACAGTACCTAACAAGGCAGGAGACGAAGCGACACTGTCAAGAAAGGAAACACGGGATTACCATCATGGATAAGCGAGACCGGAAACGTGATAGATCAGGGAGACGTGATGGAATTGGGTGTCTTAACGGAACAATGTGATGAGTGGCGGGACGAGGCTAGGGCGGGTCAAGAGGGTAACACTGTGCGAAGTGCTGTGAGGTTACGTGTGATTAGAGAACTGCGCACTGTGCTATTCAGGTACTCCATACTGTGGGAGAAGGCCACGCAATGCAAACTCGTATCGGGAGAAATATAACTCAACCGCCGAACTAACAGGAATAGAATTGTTTCGCTTGGCAACGGTGACTCGTATTCCCAAGGGCGCCAGGCGACTAATTCACTGTAAACACGAGTTATAGCTTGCGCCGTTGAAGTAGTCGCTATGCTGAGGGCAGAAGAGCATATAGCATAATTGGCCGCTTGCGCTTGACTCTGGGCCTGGCGTGCATTGTGGCGTTTTGCCTAGGAGGGCTGCGACTGAGTTAATACGAAGGTTGAAAAACAAGAAACCTAGGCCGATGATTTCTGGGCCAGTCAAGCCAAAGCCAAGTGAAAAAGTCAAATTGGCTGGTAGTTGAAGAACGCCGCTGGACGATGGAGGGGAAGGAGAGGAGGGGGGGGGGCAGGCCAAAACGCCAGCGCGGTGGCCGAGAAGAGGGGAGAGCCATCTGAGATGAAACACATGTGCTGGGCCATTGAAAGGACGTCAGCATTTTTTTTCTGGGGAGGGTGGTTCTCTTTTTGTCTCCCTGAGATTGCGACCAGCGCCGCGTGCTGTCGAGGGATCCCTGTGGTGGTCCATTGTACCAAAGAGGTTTTTTGAGATGTAGATGGCCGCGAAGAGTGGAGATGGAACCGGAAAGAAGGGAAGGAGAAGCAGCAGAGAGAAAGAAAAGGAGATGGAAATGGAACAGAAAAATCGAACCGAGAGAGGGTAAACAGTCTGATAGGAGGAAGTCAAGATGGAAAAGACGGAAATGGCATTTGAAAGGTGCAAGGACCCTGCCACAGCAAGATCGGCTCGCATGACGGCGCGGCGTCACCCCTTGCCCTTGCCCCTGAAACGATGGGGGGTGGCAGAAGCTGACGATGTTGCTGTACTGTTAGCCAAGCAGTACTGGGTAGACTGGCGGGAGAGTACCTGAATGATGCTCTGTGATGTGCGCAGTGATTGACACCCAGCAGGGAGATAGCCCGGTACAAGAGTGCATGGTGTTCATCACAGCGTTGTGCAAGGTATTTTCGCAACATGTCCAAGCAGGTGGGACCCTGGGTGGAACTGGATGGCCATCGGTTCTGGTACCTGGCAGGGGCGGGGCCAATCATGGCTCCTCCCTGGACACCAGTCAGGCACCACCAAAAGGGCCTATCGGACCCATGTACTCTAAATAGCCCGTCGCCACTGAACCTGGCTGCTCGCCAAGTTCTGCCACTGGTCCTTTTTTTCAGCAGCGAGTTCTGGCCTGCAAACCTGGTAGCTTCAGCAGCTGTGCGAATTTTATTAAAATATGTAATAATCATGTACGTATGCGCTTAGATTTTCTGACCAGCGTCAAATCTGCCCACTACGGATGTACTAGAACAGGGCATGGTGGCTGTGTCGCTTCTCCTGCCCATTCATTCCTCTAGGCCAGTTCCTCCTCTTCGCCTGCTGCCATCACTTCCCCAGTTGGCCAAGCCCGTCCCTCTTAGCGTCCTCCGTGCCTCCAGCCTCCACCACACACGCCCCCTGCCTTGCTTGCTAGGTATTTCACTTCTCAACTCCCTCCCTCCTTCAATCGTCCGACTCTCTTCTTTCCTCTCAATTCTAATCCCGTCGTGCCGGCAGCTTCTTTTTTTACAGCCAGTCACTTTTTCTTTCCCTTTCACTTCTTCTCCATACACTTTTGGTAACTGCACCAACCCGCTCTTTGTTGGTAGCTCTTTTATCTTCGGATTACTCGACGACTTACTCATCTTACGCTCTCTCCCGACCTCTGCCGCTCATACCCCCAAACGCCAAAATCGGTCACAGCCCACCTGACTGTTTTCGACGACAACCCATCTGCTCTTTGTGCACATCTTTACATTGCCAAGCATTCTATACGGTAATCACCATGAAGGGTTTCACTCTCCTCTCGGCACTCGCTGCCGCCGGCATCGTGTCCGCCTCTCCCACCAAGCGCGCCGACCCCACCCCGGTCACCATCAAGGGCAACGGTAAGCCATCAATTGCACCGATTATCGCGCCAAGCCATGCCCAGCCCCTTGGCTAACAGATTTTCCCCAGCCTTCTACAAGGGCAACGACCGCTTCTACATCCGCGGTATCGACTACCAGCCTGGTGGTGACTCTGCCCGTGTCGACCCCCTCGCCGACAAGTCGATCTGCTCCCGCGATATTGAGTGGTTCAAGGACCTCGGTGTGAACACCATCCGTGTCTACACCGTCGACAACTCGGCCGATCACACCGAATGCATGGGCCTTCTCGCCGACGCCGGTATCTACCTCGTCCTCGATGTCAACAACGGCCTCTACTCTCTCAACCGTGCCGACCCGGCTCCGTCGTACAATGCCGCTTACCTCCAGAGCATCTTTGCTACCGTTGCCGAGTTTGCCAAGTACAAGAACACCCTCGCCTTCTTCTCGGGTAACGAGGTCATCAACGCCAAGGGCAACGAGTTCAACGCCCCCTACATCAAGGCCGTTACCCGTGATCTGCGTGCTTTCATCAAGGCCCAGAACCTTCGTGCTATCCCCGTTGGCTACTCTGCTGCTGATGTCTCTGAGAGCCGCTCCCAGACTGCCCTATACATGAACTGCGGTCCCGACGAGGTCCGCTCCGATTTCTTCGCCTTCAACGACTACTCGTGGTGCAACAGTGACTTTACCACCTCAGGCTGGGACGCGAAAGTCAAGAACTTCACCGACTATGGCCTTCCCCTCTTCCTCTCCGAGTACGGCTGCAACAAGAACACCCCTCGCAAGTTCGACGAGGTTAAAGCTATGATGAGCAAAGAGATGACTGGTGTCTACTCCGGCGGTATAATGTACGAGTACTCGTATGAGGAATCTAAGTACGGCATTGTCGATCTTGACGGCTCCAAGGGCCAGGGCAAAGTCACCAAGCACGGTGATGGTGCCGAGTATGACAACTTCAAGAAGTCCCTCCAGGCCAACACTGCTCCTAGCGGCGACGGCGGTGCCTCGCTGACCTCTCACGACAAGCCATGCCCTGCCAAGAGCGCCGACTGGAACGTCGACCCCAAACTTCTCCCTGAGATGCCCACGCAGGCTCAGAAGTACATGAAGGAGGGTGCTGGTAAGGGCCCTGGTCTGACTGGCTCTGGCTCCCAGACTGCTGGCGACTCTGGTCTTTCCACCAAGAACGTCACGGTTGACGGCAGTGGCTCCACCACTACCGGTAGCAAGGACAACGCTGGTGCCATTTCCGGCTCCTCCATGGTTGCCACATTGGCTTCTGTCGCTGTCGCTGTTGCCGGCAGTCTGCTCCTGTAAGCAGATGTAGAGTGACAGCTGGACGAGCTTGTGTGGGTTTTCTTTTTCAAATTCTTCTTTCATGGTTGTTGTAATATCTTGTACAGAATGGGCGCGTGTTTGGACTCTGCGCAGCTGGCAAATGCTGTGAGCGGACGTGTGTATCAGTCTAGATAGCAATGAATATGCTGTGATTTCTTTCTAGCCTCGTTGACAAGTTGCGCTAATGTATGTGGATTGAATCTGTCTACTGATGCTAAGAAGGATTTACAGAGGAGAGGTTACGGCGTGGAGACATAATGGCAGGGAAGCTATCACAATCGGACTCGCTTATCGGCAAGTTGATGTGATGTCATAGGTCGGTGCCATGTTGGAACGTGCACTACAGACCGTGTATGGATGGCTCTTGGAGGCGAGGCGATCGAGATAGTAGGTTGTGTAAGTAGTACGACTATACGGCTACGCAATAGCTTCGAGATCGGACAGGATTTATGATGCAGAGCAGTTAGACCCTCTATACGCCCGCCCTGGTGTGGGAGAAAGTTCTGCCGAGTGAAGGCACATACAATGAGGCAACTGATGAAAAGTTGCGTGATGCACCTGATGCGCCGGATTTTGGGAAATTGGCGACCCGCCGGCTTCCATAGAGCCGGATCGCTTTTTTGGCAGGATGTCGACCCAAAATTAGCAGAAAGATGAGCGCCAAAGATGTGAATAGAAAGCAGAGTGGGGTGACATTTTTGGCCTATCATGTTTCTTTTTTAAATTATAATGTACTGTCCCCTTTTCTGCGTCGCGTAGGTAGTATTAAGGGTTCCCCCCAGGTTTTAATAAGAACCAGGTATCATGGTAGTCAATGTGGGGGGTTGCCCGTGGGCGGTCCGAGGGATAGACGGCAGAGTCGAGGCGAAGAAAATGCAACGCCAACAAAGATTACCGTCGTCTCTGATTTGATGGATTCGGGTGTTTGCCATGTGTATGGCCGAGGTAGGAGCGAGAAAAGAAGTTGGGTGGTGTGCTCTGACAGGTCGCCACACTTGCTGCAGGTTGCGTTGTGGTGTGGCTGCGCGGGGAAGGCTGGCTGCGCAGAGCGGGATGCGAGGTAAGATGGATGTCCCCGGTGAAGTCGGGGGTATGATGCAGATAAAAGAAGGTTACACTTTTTCATTCGCATATCGCTCGAGGCGGCATGCGCATATGCGTTATTGCCAGCCTGAAGAACAAGTCATGGACAGATTGTAAGTTGGAAAGATGGACATAGTAGCAGCATCATGTGGGACGGTTATGGCCGGAAAGGACATGAGGAAAGTTGCGTCATAAAATGCAGGCCTTTTTGCGGGGACTGGCAATTTATTCATAATTCTTTTGGATTATCTCGGCACTGGGGAAGTTAACTGGCTGGACGGGCACGAACGGGGAGCCTGGAGCGCCACTGACTGCCTGACTGACTGACTGACTGATTGAAAAGGCGAAAGTGGCGGCGCTGCCAATACTGCGGAGGAAACACACTTGGCTTGATGGTGATTGGGGTGAGCGGGCAGTGTTTGGCCCATAACGAGGCTCGGTTGCTAATCCTCTCCCCACGACAAGAAAGTGTGCGGTACGACGGGCATGGACGGCGTGAGTCGTGATGCGACTGCTGCGAGCTGTATGGCCTTGAGTTGTGGTGACACTGATGAGCTGGCATGCGCTGCACGCCTTTGCCGGCCGGAGGAAAGGCAAGAAACAGGTTGACAAGAATGATAAAAAAAAGGCCAAGAGGAAACAAACAAATGCCGACGACGCCTTCTCGTCGTGGGACCGGAGCGAGAGAGGCAGGTTTCGGCGCCGTTTCTTGCGGCGTTTCGACAACGGCAAATACCGCCATTATTGCCGGCCTGCTTAAAGTCATGGCTCATATATTTAACCCACTGCCGCGAACGCGCATTGCAGCCACAGCAGCAGTAGCTAGCACAATGTGTACCTTGGGGTTAACAACAAGCCAGCTATTGGTACGGATATTTGGGGGAAGTTTTGCTACACAGATGGGTAGTTTTTGAGACACTTCATGCAGCTCTGCGTATAAGCATATTGGACGTTTGAGATGTAATTGGAAACGTCGGCAGAAGAAAGGCAGACCTGAGCTTCCAAGCCTGGCCAATAGCTTGGAAATACTCAGACGCTCTGCTAGTTACCTCGTCGGAACTCCATGAAGGCCAAGCCGCAAGACAAATGAAGAATGTGGGAGCCCCGGGCCGCCTATTAGTGTCCGCTAGCCCGCTACGGGCATCGTCCCAACGCCACGAGCCTGGTTTATTAGTTGGAGTTTAGGTCAATGTGGCCCTGTTCCCCGGGCATTGTGCAGTGAGAGAATGCGAGATTCTTGGCCGACGGTGAGAATTGCGACGCTCCGTGAGAATGATGGATGCGATTTATAGGCATGAGGATATGATTCTCCTACGAGGAAGCCTGATACCCATATCTCCTGCTGCGCGTGAGGCAAGCCAAGGCGCACTAAACTACATGCTTAGTCCGGGCGTGATTATTACGGGAGAAGTAAGAATATCTTCGAGAAAATCCGGCCTATGCTGCCGGTGTAGAAAGAAGGAAGAAGTCATTCGTGGATCGTAGTGGCCTCCGAACTGGGCTTTCCGGAGCACGGCTTGCGCTGGCACGAAGAGGCGTCTCGCGGCCCATCTTACAGTAGACCAGCCAGCCCCTTGATAATAGAACGGCTCGAGTTATTATTCCTGACAGCAGGCGAGTAATTTTATCTGAAGCCCTTTGCGTGACCTCCGTGCCCGCTTGCCTCGCCTTTCCTCACTGGGTGGACCAGCCGACAGCGACCGAATGGGGGAAGTCCTCGCCTTTTGTCTCGGCCTGTCTTGCTTACGGATAGTAGCTGCTGTCCGTCCGAAATCTAGCTCCGATACATTGGCGACACTGGAATTGTAAGCCGGCCTTGAACGACTCACGACGAGATAGCATTATAAGAATACGACGATAATTGTGAGAAAGACACATCATTTTTCTTCTTCTTCTCTTTCTTTACCTTCTAAAAACTCAGACGGTTTGCCATCTTGGACACCATCAGTGGCCGCCTGTTCCACCACAATGTCTCTCTCTCCTTGTCTGCACTTGGTTTGCGTCAGCATCCATTGACCATCCGGGCAGCAAGTTGCAGGCAGCAGTAGTATTGGCTTCCTCCTCGCCACGTTGATTGTCTCTTGGCCGACTAGTTCTTGCGCACTGTCAATCCGCGCTCCCGCCGCAGTTCCTCGTTTCGCTCTTCTTGTTCCAACTTGAATCCTTTTACCGAACGAACGTACCACCACTACCTACCTAATCTCCCCCGGAGGGTCTCTGCTTGGCGACCTGTACCTTTTCAATACAAGGTGGATTAATGACCCAGCGGCTTTTCCCTTGCAATCCCGCGTCCCGCAGCCGGACGTTTGGATCTTCAGCGCTCTCACACGCTATATTCTTTCCGTTCATGCGCTAGAAATTCTTCGGACCCCTGAACTGAAGATTTCAGGTCAGCCAGCCAGCCAGCCAGTAGTTCCTTTTCCTCCCGTAGGCCGCCCAGCGCCGTCAAACAGCCAAGCCACTTCCACTCGCATGCGCAAAAATCAATCTCAGTCTTCATCACCTTCCTTTGCTGGCCGCCTCATCACCCTTTTGGTCCTCGCCTCATCTCATCCCACACACATCATCCATCCCACCTTTTTTTTTTCCCTCTCTTGCTTCCTCTTCACCCTCCTTTCACTTCCTCAACTTCCCTCTCGCCAACCTCTCCGGGTTGTCCGCACATTAGCTCGCCAAGCGAAAACGAGGAAAATCTCGCGCCCCCGCTGACAAATATTTCCCTTCCCACCAGGCCATTTCAGCTCGACGTCACCCACTTGCCCGAGACATTTCCCTGACTTTTCCCGTCCATCGCATCGTCACCAACCTTTTCGCGAACTTGTGCTTCTCTCATCTGCAGACATCATGTCCTATTACGAGAACGCGCAGTGGGCTGCTGGCCAAGCCCAGCATCAACAGAACAACTGGGACCTCCAGAGGACTGCCACTCCCGTCCGCACTGGTACGTTGACTTGACCAGGCTGCCTCATGGATGGCCGACCACGCCGCACCGCATCTGCGCCATATTGACTGACCACTTCTCCAGGTGCCAGCGCTCCCCAGCCTCAGGACGACTATGCCTTTTCTTACCAGTTTGATGGTGTGTTTATTTTCCCGCGGGCTCCCTCTTCTCCTCCCTCCTGCGGCTAGATGCTCGTTTTTCCGCAATACCCCTGAGTTCGAGAATGGGACCCAACTCGCCCTCTTGCCGTCCAGTATTCGCTAACCTGTCCTCAGAGGTTGATCGCGCCCACGAGAACCTTCAAAAGTCTGGCAAGGGCTACGCCATGGGCGGACGCCGTAAGTGTTGCAGCCGATGAAAATCCGGCCTTCCCGCCGCCCGAGTCACCTTCAGCAATATACTCATCTCGTCCCGCAGCAGGTCGTCCTCCCCACGGTCAGGGCTCCCGATCCCACTCCGTCAACAACTTTGACGAACCCCGTGGCCCTCCTGGCCCCAACCTCCAAAACTTTTATGCCTCTCAGAGACACCACCAGCCATCCCGTGGCTCCAACGATGCCGAGCAGGTGATGCAGGCCAAGAGACGCATGGCCGCACAGCGCGAACGAGAACTCCGAAACCTGCACACCGAGCAGCAATACCAACGAAGTAGGCCATCCTCTACAGTTTAGCGATTCTCCCGAGAGAGCAAATGTCCCCAGTAGAACAGCGTCGGCCACAGTGGCAGTCTGTCTCGATACCAATATTTCCCTCCCCTGCGTTGGCCTCGTCGCTTTCTATCACGGCTTGCTTCTCACTCGTACCACCTCAACACAGGGATCGCCGTCTGTGATTGTTTGCTGCTTTGAATGCTGTGTACTAACGCGTCGTCTCCGTAGCTGTCCTCGCCGACACCTCCCACAACTCTGCCGGCAACAACCAGAACAATGCAAACAACGCCAACAACGCCAACAACGCCAACGGCAATGCCAGCAACAACAGCAAGCACATGTCCGAAGAGGAGACACGCGAGCTCATTGCCCGCCAGCGCAGTGCTCTCTACGGCGAAGGCCCTTTCGCTGACAAGACGAGCTATGTCGACGAGAGCGGCAACATTCGCAAGGGCGCCCCCGGCCCCAGCGGCGCGTCCAGCCTCCGTGGCGCCTCTCCTATGAACTTTGATAGCATCGGTCGTCCTCCGACTGATGTGGGCACCCCTACCTCTGCCAAGGAGCATGGCTCTGGCCATAGCGAGCTGAGCCCTCGCCCAAACAGCACCACCAGCCCGCAGAGCGCTGCCCCGACCAACAAGGTCTTTGACAATGCTGTCGGCGCTCAGAACCGTACTAGCACCTCTAGCCCTACCGGTGCATCTCCTCCCCGCGACTTGGCCCCTGGCTCGAAGCCTGGCCAGCAAGGTGCAACAGTCGCCCCTATCGGTACTCGCCCGGCCGGCACGCCTACCACTGCTGCTCAGGCCAAGCGTTCCACCACCCCTCTTGCCACCTCGGGCGGCTGGGGCCGTGGCAACGGTGTCTGGGGCCAGAGCTCTTCTGGTCTCGGTGCTCAGGCCAGCGTCTGGGGCTAAATCATTAGCCCGTTCCTGTCGGGTTGGAGTTTGGGATGCTTCTTGCTTTTGATTCTCTTTCTTTTCTACAGCAAGTTGAAGGCGGCTGGCGCTAACACATTGTTTTGTAATGGAAATTTTGGCGCAGGGAAAATTCGGACGACTGTTGAGTCGTACCAGTATATCAACGGGGCAAGCATCAGTGATCTGAAGAGTTTATACATCTGGCAAAGGGGTTCATACTTACTTAATGGCGGCCTATCGGACCGATGGCACCGTGTGGCATATATGGGGCGATTGGGAGGATACGTGTTGCTATATACCAAGGATCTGGACTTACGGGACGAGGCCAGACAGGGTTTGGCCTCTCGACAGGGCATCCATCTGGGAGTTTGTTACTTTTTGGCACGGCTTTGGGGATTGGCACGGGATGGCAATTCCCACTGATTATGGCGCACTTTTTTTCGTGTTTTTACGGACAGTTTTATTCGGCATACACGATGGAGCGACTATACCAAACGGTTCTTCGTATCAGCGATTTCGGCACGGCACGGCATGGTGCGACTTGCCTTGGAACAGCAAATTGGAATTGGCGTTTTGAATCTTGAGAGTGCACACAAGTTTGCGTGTGCGTATGTGGATTGGCCGAGGGCGGGCAATCATCCTCATACCCCTGCATGATTTACCATCAGCGATGATTATTCATGGTTTCGAAGAGAGAAGCATCGGTGCGCTGCTGCGCGCCTGGGCGTAAAAGCACGGAGCAAGGGGAACGACTGCACATTTGGCAGCAAGACTCGGGGCATGCGTTGGAGGATGCACGGTGAAATGGAGAATTTGGGAGGTGGGAGAAGGCTGTATTTTCAGGTGTTGAGCTATATGGATATTTCTCAACTCATTTCTTTGGTGCTTTGGGACGGTTTGCTTTCTTGTCGCGATAATACGGACGAGGGGGCTCGGGTTGCAGCGGGACGGGATGGACGGTTGGGACTGGAGTTTGACTTGTTTCGTAGGCCTTTATTTCTTTTATTCCCATTTTAATCAGACCGGAACTTAAATACATTGGGAGTTTTGCTTGAATTGTTTTGTCATGGTCGTATTAAGCAAACTGGGTTGGTGATTCGTGAAGTGGTATTTGAAGCGTAAGTGACTATAATCTAATATACAAAATGTACACGGCGTAATGCTCTAGAAAGATGACTAAACAGGAAACTGCAAGACAATTTGCTTAAACGTCGCCGGTGGAAAAGAGCTCGAGGTGAACATTGTCGTGGCTCACATTGTTGGCCTTCAAGTCGTCCCTGACTTGGATCATCCAGTCCTTCGGTCCGCAGAGGAAATACTCGGCGTCGGGCTTTGCCAGCGGCAGGACGCCGTCAGCGACCAGGACGCCGACGTCGAAGCGGCCCTTGTAGTCGTAGTCGACGCCCTGGACGTCCGTCTCGGCGACGTTGCTGAGGAAGACCTTCGCGGTGACGTCGGCGTCGGCGTCCTCGGCGGCCTGGCGGACGTGCTTCCCGTAGCACACCGCGTTGGCGTTGCGCGCCGCGTGCGCCCAGACGACCGGACGAGGAGCCGAGCCGGTGTCGGTGGTGGCGCCGGTGGCGGCGAGGTCGTCGTTGGCGCCGCGGATGGCGTCGAGCATGGACAGCAGCGGGGTGGCGCCGACGCCGGCGGACAGCAGGACGACGGGCGACGACGGGGAGCGCAGCCGGGCGGCGTCGAAGACGAACTCGCCGCGGGGCGAGCTGAGCTGCACGGTGTCGCCGACGTTGTACCGCGCGTGCAGGCGGTTGCCGACGATGCCGGCGATGCTGCCGGCGGCCAGGGCGCGGACGTCGTTGGGGTCGGCGCCGGCGGTGGCCGGCTCCATCTTGATGGTCACGCGGTACGCCTCGAACTCGCCCTCGGCGTTGGGGAAGGCGCTCAGGCTGTACTGGCGGGACTGCAGGAGGCCGCCGAGCTCGGGGATGGGGATCTGCAGGCTGACGTACTGACCGGGGAGGAAGCGCGGGAGCCTCCCGCCGTCCGCCGGCTTCAGGTAGAAGCTGACGACGCCCTCGGAGACCTCCTCCCTCTCGGCGACGGCAAAGTCGCGCCAGTCCTGCCAGGCGCCCGGCTCCTCGTAGAGGGCGCGCTCGCGGCCGATGAAGACGTCAGCGAGCTGGGCGTAGGCCGCGGTCCAGGCGTCGGCGACCTCTGGCGTGAGGGCGTCGCCGAGGACCTCCGCGAAGGCGCCGACGAGGTGCTCGCCGACGATGGCGTACTGCTCGGGCCGCACGAAGAGGGAGGCGTGCTTGTGGGCGATGCGCTCGACGGCGGACTGGAGGCGGGGGAGGTCGTCGATGTAGGCGGCGTAGGCGAGGACGGCGGCGCCGAGGGCGGCCTGCTGGGCGCCGGTGGCCTGGTTGCGCAGGGAGAAGAGGTTGCGCAACTCGGGGTGGGCGGCGAGCATGTTGGCGTAGAAGATGCGGGTGATCTCGCCGCCCTTGTCCTTGAGGACGGCGGCGGTGGACTTGACGATGGTGACTTGGGAGGGCGTGAGGGCCATGGCGGCGGTGGTTGTGTGGAAGGGGGAGAGGAGGCGGGGCGTCTGGCGAGGGAGCAGAGTCGGAACATGTATGTTCCAAGGATGGAGGCTGGTTGCTGGATGGAGAGCAGGTTGCTGCTGCTGCTTTGGTGGTGTAAGTGGTTGGTGGTGAGAAGTGAGGATGATGATGAACACAGGACTGGATGTGCGAAATCAGTCGGGATATAGATTACATTTATATATATACCTGTGGATATGGAGGCACGATAGATGATGCGGAAACCACCTCGGAGAAAGGAAAAAGAGCCAAGGAATGCTTTACAGCCCATCAAAGTACGTAGACACCCTGTCGGCGGCGGCGGCAGCTGGAGAAGTCGTCCATGGCGATGACCAATGAGACGGGCTTCAAAGGAAATGCCCGGCAGCAATAGCCTTGCTACGTGGTAATCAAGGCGGCAAAAAGAACAAGCTTTCAGCAAGGACTCATCGACCCGCCGCAGGACAGTGGAAGTGGACTGATGTTGCTACGTCTTGAAGTCTTTGCGTCTCGGGTGGAGACGGGTCGCGAGTCGGGACTGTGCTGGGTGGTAGGCAGGCAGAGGACTCTTTTTTTTTTTTTCAAGGCATGTCTCAATAGAGGTGAGTTTGAAGACAAATTTGATAGAATAGAATGGAAGTGTCGCGCAGAGAGGATGATGTTGGCATTGGCGCATATGCATGTGTGTGATGTCTCGTAATGGATTGATCTTGCACCTACTGTATGTATGTATGTACAGTACATAGTATAGAGAGGTTACAGTGATGATGTATGTATGTCTATGTACGCCACAGTCACAATTACAGAGGGCGTCTGCCGGCTTTTCGCACCCGTCCGTCCCGCTCCATCCGGGTTGGGGGCCCTTTAAAAGCCAGCAGCTTTTTTTATTGTTCCTGTGCCGTCGATTTAGACTTTTGTTTTAGCCTTGCCGTTGACAGTGTCCAACTACTGTAGGTACATACATAGGTCAGCAGCAAGTCAGGTACTGAGACGGCTTGCACTGTTCCATACAGCGTATATCCAGGTAAAATACAGTGCCCAACTTCAAATACAAACAAGAAAGCCATTTCTGCGGCGAATGCCATGACATGACATGACATGACTCTTGCAACTTTCTGTGCTGCTCCTCCTATGTCTGCACCAACGCGGCTATTCACTAAACCTTTCTAGAAGCCGTCGCGGTCGCCACGCCCAGAAAGTGAGCTGACCTTTTTTTTTTAGCCTTGTTTCAACAGCATCTCCCCGGAGATGCTCGATTGCGCATCGGAGATTTGCGGACGGCAGTCCCTTTGCTTTCTCATGTGCTTGATCGTCCTCGTGATGAACAAAAGTTGACGCATGTGTAATATAACTCAATGCGAAATAGCACCACCTCTCGGCCCCCTTGTTGAGGGTTATTCGCTTAGTATGCCCGGTATCATGTGTATAATTAGGCCAACGGTCGCACATCATCGCGGCCCACGCCGACGGAGACTAAACTTGTTTGGGCTGCGACAAGGGGAATAAGAGGTTTCGACAAACGTCCCCTGGGCATGATTATTTGTCATGGGAGGGTCGACGAGAAAGTTTGTTGATGTGGACAATAGTGTGGGTTGCGAACAACATCTCCGGCTGATGAGAGCAATGCTTCGAAATACGAGCCGTCACAACGCGAGTGAAACTGATGCAGCATCAACAATCAGCAAAAGAAATATCATGAATTAAATACGTGGCGTTCTTGAAACTGTGTACAGGTCCAGTGACGGAACCGACTACGGAAATCCCGAGGCCGACTCCGTCAACGTCAGCGAGTCGACATCGTATACACCAAAGAACTTGACAAATGCCAGCACCTGCGGCGCCGTGCCGCAGCCCGTGCCTGCCGTCGGCACGGTGGCCTGAAAGTCGACCAGCGGGATGCTGTGGCCGCCAAACCGCCGACCACCCGCCGACACCGTATACGTCGTGTTGAGCCTCAAGTTGCGCCCGATGACCTGCACCATGTCCAGCCCCGTCTGCCTCCGCACCGTGACCAACGCCGACGGCACCACCGCCCCCGCCGATCCGTGCTGCTGCTGCTGCTGCTGCTGCTGCTGCTGCTGCTGCTGCTGCTGCTGTTGTTGTACCCGGCCTCCGTGCTGATCCATGCTAGTCCTCCGCGGCTCCGACAGCGTAATCACCTTATTCGCCGGCCGCCGGTCCACAAGCCCCTGCCGTCCCAGGTTCGCCGTGCCGTTGCTGCCCTCCGGCACCGCGCCGGCCACGTACACCAGCGCCTGGCCCTCCTGCCCGACGTTCAGCGTGCGCACCACCCTCGGCGCCGGCCGCGCCGTCAGGTCCACCTCGTCCACCGTGTCGCTGTGCTCGTTGAGCACGTACAGCCGCGTGTTGTCCGGGCTCGGCCACAGCCCGTGCGGCTCCACGCCCGACGACCTGATCGCGCCCACGTACACCGGTGCTGCCTCCGGGTCCGGCTGCGCGTACACGAGCGTCGCGTTGGCCGCCGCCACCGTCACGAACCCGTGCGTCACCCCGCCCACCACGGCGAACTGCGGGTGGTTCGTCTCCGCGCCCGTGTCCAGCACCGCCACCACGCGCCGCGTCGCCGCGGACACCACGGAGACCTTGCCGACCATCTTGTGCGCCACCCACAGCCGCGCGCCGTCCGGCGACAGCATCATGTCCGAGGAGAACTTGTCCGCCAGTCCCGTGATGGTCGCCGTCTCCCGCCGGGCGGCCACGTCAATGACCGACACGTACGACCCGTTGATGTGGTTCGCGTACGCGGTCGCCCCGTCCGGGGAAAACAGCACCTTGCTCGGCCCGCCCGGCGACGGCACCCTCGCCACCACCCCTCCCTGCAGGCCGTCGATGAGGGAGATGCTGTCGGCGCCGCGCGTGGCGACCCAGACGGTGCGGTTGTCCGGGGCGAACATGGCCTCGTGCGGGTTGCGGTCGGTGTGGGTGCGGGAGATGATGGCGTTGTCGGCGCAGCGGATGACGGTGGCGGTGTTGGAGGCGACGCTGAGGGAGACGATGTGGCGGCCGTCGCGGGCGAGGCCGAGGCCGTGCGCGTTGACGGCGCGCAGGTACTGCGGGTTGAGGAGCGCGCCGAGGCGGGAGTCGCCGAGGCTGATGGTGCCGAGCACGGTGCCGGTGGAGGGCTGGATCACGGTGATGGTGTTGGAGGACTGGTCGCCGGTGTAGATGCGGTCCGTGGGGGAGATGGGGCCCGCGACGCCGGCGAGCGCCGGGGCCTGCACCGGGCCGGGGGCCGTGGCGGCGGCGCCGAAGCCGAGGGACGTGAGGAGGAGGGTGGTGAGCGCGGCCTTCATGATGCTTTATGGTCGTCAAGACGAAGGCAAAAAAGAATGATGAGCCAGTTCGAGGGGGTTACATTGGATCATCCGGGGACGGGCATGGCAAAAAGGATGTCGCAATCCTCTTATACGGCCTACTGGCCTGCTCGAGTGTTGATCCTTGCGCCCAGGTCTCACTTTAATCTGGCCCGTTCGATGGTGCCATCGTGACTATGCCCGACTCAGCGCCTCATGCTGCCAGCCGCACTATTGCGCAAACCAAGACCTGCATCGAGCTAAACATTATACAGTATGCATTTTTACAGATAATAATTAACGTGCTGGGAGAATTGGGCGTCAACCGAGGCCTTGTCGCAACCAACCCCACGCAGATGCAACTGCCGACGTTCGGAGCCAACAAGCTCGGCGTCAATCCCCGATTGCCCAAGCCCTGCCTACCGTCAAGAAGCTGCCAGCTTGCGTACCGACATAGCTCAGCAGTCTAGACCAAAGGCCATCCAGTTAATACCTCGGCAGAAGAATAAGGATAGCGACCGTTTTGAATTACACCAATTGTGGTAGCAGCGTGGACTGACGGCCAAGTATGTGGACGATAGAGCCTCGTCCGAACATATTGCGTCAGATATGATCCGCAGTCGGTCGCAACGGTCAGACCTATCAACGAGCAGATACGGAGCACTTCATTTGCGACGGCCCGAGGAGACCCAGGGCTGAATGATCTGCTGAACCCAACATCTGCTACGATGCCTACGACTGGCGAAGTAGTGTCAATACGGACCAACCACAGAACGTGTCATGGGTCATTAAGAATAATAAACTGCCGCTGACAGCTCCTGTCTTGTCCGGAGTCGTACTCCATTTCACCCTCACCCAGCAAGCTCTTCCTTGAATCGCGTGGCTGCAACTTGGTGCGAGTCTTTTGGTCTACTTCGAGTGGTTTTGATGTACAGATACATAATACAACGCCCAAACATCCCGGCGTAAACAAAAGTTTTGTGTGTGTAAAAAGCAACGCTATGCCCCTCGAGGTTCCAGACGGAAAAGCTTCTTCTTCCTCTTCCTTTCTTTGTTTCCCCCGGGCAAATAAAAAAGGTATGTATAGTATGGCGCCGAGATTGTGGTGTGCTTTTTCCCCTTCCTTAGATGTTATCGGCCGTCTTGTCCGTGCGCCTGTGACGGGTGGTGCAGGTCGCTTCCCCTCTCAAAATGTCTATTCAAGTCGTAATTTGATCAAATCAGGTGGTGTGGTGAGTGTCTGTATGCGCCTCGACAGCGCCGTCGTGATGTGGTGTTTCGAGTTATTTTTCGCTCCGTTGCATTTACGCAATCGCAGCGTTTTCAGGAGGAGGAAGAGGAGCCTACATCCCGTTAGTTATTGCCAGTCCTGCCATTCATTTCCCCCCTGTCCCAGAAATTCATACCTCTAGCTTCGTGTTGCCGGCCATCATCTTGCCAAAGGCGATGCCGACGCCTTCGATGACGGCCAGCAGGACCGCGCAGCCGATGGCGCCGTTGCGCGCCGACTTAAAGCCGCCACGCATAGCAAGCGAGCCGCCAGTCAGGAAGCCGGCAGTGATGGCGTTCCAGGGGTCCTCCTTTTGGCGGTAGCCCTTGACGGCGCAGTCGAACGTGCTGAAGAGGCCGCCCCAGACGCCAAAGTTGCCACCCAGGACGGGCGCGCGCATCTTGATGGCCGTGAGCGCGCCGATCCGCCGCTCGCCGTACGGGCTGTTGCGGAAGCCCTTGATGCCGTGCCAGATGGTGCCGCCGACGGCCTGCGCAAAAGTTTGTTAATGTCAGTTACATGTGTCGAACCCGCGTCTCGGGTCGGGTTTTGGCGAGAGCAACGTACACCCATGGAAAAGGCACCGCCGAAATCGTTGAGAATGACCCAGGGGCAAGGGTCTCGTCCGTGGTCCATGGCCATCTTGGGAGGTGTGTGTCGAGGGTATTAGTATTAAGAAGAAATTCGGCGGCAATGAAAAGAAGAGGATCAAGGACAAGAAGAAAGAAGCGAAAGAAAAAGTACAGGACCCAGGTTGCTGGGCTGGTTGAGGCGTGAGCGGATTGACTGCTTTGGAGTTCGAGATGACGGAACAGATTCTTTTCCTTTCCACTTTCCTAGGCGTCTGCAACACGTGACTCGATTTTTCTTTGCTGGCCCCTGGCCACGGGCGCCGGTTTGCAGTGGGGCAAGCCGACTACCCGATTAGGAAGACAGAAGACAGACGGAGAGGAACATCGGCCGCGCTGCAATGGACCTTGCGGTCTTAGGCCGGAAAAGAAATTGCAGTCATAGTTGGATCTAAAGGCGCTGCAGTCAGTCGCTTATTGCGGCAGCCAGGCATGTTAATCTTGTGATGGGAGGTGAGGACAGCTAGCAACTAGAAACATGTGCGCCTACGCTGCATTGACTTACTACTGGATGTACCAGCCTTGTGAATGCTTTTTCAATTTCGATTTTTACTCGTGTTCAATTCCCTTGTGATAATTGGCCATAAATGATGCTCAATCTACAAAGATTGGTCCAAGTGGCAACTACTACCGAGAGGCCCTGATGACAGCGACGTCTTGTCACAGATGTTCGACGTCGTGATGATGTAGGGTACGTAAGAGTGTTGGGAAACCACTTGCGTCACCAGTGAGCTCGTCTACGACGACAACTGCGCGTTGCTGGGCACGGACAATTAAACAAACTAGACGGCCCCGTTCTGATGGCAAGTCTTCAGAATAATGTTGATCGACTAATCAACTAGGTTGCGTGTACACAGACGTTATTGCAGCAAAGGCTCGGGTGTAGCAACCGACTCGGCAGTGGGCCGCCACAGGGCAAGGCATCAGCAAACAGGCGTCACTCCGTTCGCCTCTCTTCTCCCATTCCGGTAGGGGTCAGCAACCACCAGCCGAGGCAGCCCGTCCGTTTGTCGTTTGAATACTTAACCGCCATCAACGCACCTCATCCATCCCGCCAATTCCGCTCTTTTTTCATCACGCATCATCCCTAGCACAATGGCCGACGACTCACCACCACCAGCCCCCAAAACCATCCTCATCACCGGCTGCTCTGAGCACGGCATCGGCGCCGCCCTCGCCCTGCGCCTCGCCGACCAGGGCCACCGCGTCTTCGCCACCGCGCGCGACCTGCGCCGCGTGCCTGCGCGCCTCCGTGAGCACCCCAACGTCACCGCCGTGACGCTCGACGTCACCGACGCCGTTTCCGCGCGGGCCGCCGCGGAGACCGTGCGAGCCGTGACGGCCGGGCGGCGGCGGCCCGCCGGGCTCGACGTGCTGGTCAACAACGCCGGCGCCGGGTGCACGATGCCGCTGCTGGACCTGGACGTCGACCGCGCCAAGCGCTGCCACGACGTCAACCTGTGGGGGCCCGTACGCACCGTGCAGGCCTTTGCCGACCTGCTCATCGCCCGCCGCGGGCGCGTCGTCAACATTGGTGCCGCCTCCGGGTGTCTATACTCGCCCTGGATCGGTACGTGTCCGGCCTGCTGTTTCTCCTGAAACACGGTACTAAATGCTTCCTTAGGCGCCTACAGCTCATCCAAGTCCGCGCTGCACACCGTCTCCGAGACGCTCCGCATGGAGCTGCAGCCGCTGGGCGTCACGGTGGCGTGCCTGGTCACCGGCACGGTGGCGACGCGGTTCCACGCCAACGAGGGCGAGTTCGCGCTGCCGGCCGGGTCGCGCTACGCGGACATCCTGGAGACGATATCGCTGTGGGCGCGCGGCGCGGTCGGCCCCGACCAGGGCACAGTCGACGACTACGTCACGCAGATCCTGCCCGACGTCCTGGGCAGCTCGCGCGGCGGCAAGCTCTGGAGGGGCGCCAACTCGGGCGCGGCGTGGTTTGCGTCCACCTGGCTACCAGACTACATCTTGGTGAGCATTTTCTTTCATATTTCCTTTGCATGCTCGCATGCGGACGCGGTTACTGATGCCGACATAGGATAAGCTGGTCGTACTCAACCACGGGCTTGACAAGTTAACAAGAAGCATACTGGAAAAGAAGTATCAGTAAACGAATGCTTGATGATGTGACCTGAAACGGAACACGAGAAGCGGAGTTGCTGTTGTAATGTTAATAATTGGCGTAATATCCTGAGCGATCACAATATCAGTGTGCGATTTTCCACCCGACTGCAGGGCGATACCATGCCCATGGCCGCCTGGGACACCTTGATGCTGATGCGGCTTGGTTGGCTCGCGGAGAGCGCCGATTTGCCACCGAAAACACCAATTCCTGCGATGCAGGCCTGGGGACGGTGCGGGAAAGAGTGTATTGCTTCGGATCGCCGAGGACGGCTCCGCTCACATTCGGGGTGAAGAGGGCCGACGCTTGCTCGCTCCGCAGTGTCATGTCTGGGTTCTGCGGAGATTGCAGTTTCGGAACTGCCAATTCGGATTTCCGAAATTGTAGAACCAAGCTGTCATTGATTACTCTGCAAGAACTTGCTCGTCGCTTTGCGACGGTTGTCGAGCCAAGCGTCGAGAGAGGAAGGCGATGACAACTTGCCGGCGGACCAACCTTTACAAATTGACCTCGTTTCATCGCGTGAACAGGAATGTCAGCACCTTGATTGGCATTGCTGATGCCATCATGTAATACAGATACACATATCACGTTGCACCGTTCCTTTCCAGTAGTCTCGCCGCGGAATGCATGATCCCCGAGGAGACTATAGAGCAAATCCCGACCGGCAACTCACAACGCTATATCTCCAGTTGGCCCGAGATCTTGGCATTCAAGAACAAGACCCAGGGCTAATGTCGGCACACCTGGCTGCTGCTGTTTTTAGAACTCGGAATGGTACATTGCTTGTGGGCGTGGCATGGACGGAGTGTCTTGGCGGCAGTGAAGCTGTGAATTGTTGCGGCTTATGAGATGCAGCACTAGGCCGAGTCCAGCAAGTGTTAACAGCGCGGGGGCTAAATGAAGTGACTCTTGTTGCCGTTTCAATCTTCTTTTCTTAATCGTTTTTTATTTTATTTTCTGGCTTGTGTATTTTTTTTGCATCGCGCTTGATGTGCAGTCAATGTGCAGTGGATGTGCAGTCGATCCGCGCTTCACTTGATTCGAGACACCCGTATATGGGGCCGTGGATATGTGATAGCTGTCTACGATCTGTCAACTAAGGATCTCAGGCACAATAATGTTAAAAATAACTTAATTTAAGCATAGGAGAATATAGTAGAAATGTACGTAATAGCGTCTTTTAGACTATGGCGGCGGAATCGATCGTCGCTGTTAGTCGTTAGTCGTTGACCAGCGCGGAACATACATAAATATGATAAACCTGGAAAGCCCGACATGGAACTCGGCTGAAGATGACAAGATGGAATGACAAACGCTTGTGCGATTGATTTGAGGAGCTAAACTTCTTTCCGCTTGAATGCCTTCAGCCTCTCTGCCTTGCATGGGAAGTCAAGAATTAGGCCGAGTGGGAAGTAGCTGGTGACACTGTACATGCAACCCGCGCAAGCCACGATGCAACCCAAGCCGTCGATGAGATGGTGTAGGGGCAATCAAGGTTGATTAGGCATGTGCCATGACAAGTCTTGGCGAAGAGGATGATCAATAACTAACTAACAAAGAACCCCAGCTCAATGCAAGCCAAAAGTACCGCCCCCGCATTCAATCAGGCATTCAGCTAGATTCAGGGAAGCCCCGTTCCGTCCTTGTGCTACAGAGATTCTTCCACGGGCTTTGCCCCAGAAACCTGTCCTCGGCGCGCCCCGGTGTTTCTATTTTCATCGCATCGGCATGCCGTGAGGGATTCATTCAGGTGGGCTGGAATCAGCCACGGCGCACCCCGGATTCCCCGGTGCCAGTCAACTGTCTTGGCATGGACCGAGCAGCCCGAATAGGCACAAACGATGGGACGTGATGTCGTGACGGCAGGATCAATGCTGACGGACAAAAAAAAACAAAAAAAAAAAAAACAAGATGTAGTGGCCGAGAAAAGTAAGCTATGTTTATTGACCGAGTCCGTGACCGTCGCACAGACCAGACTGCGGGTTCATCAGTTGAGCCCCCTTCCCTCGCGGACTCGCGGACATTGCCTCGCCTGGACGAAATCTCCGGTGCATTGACGATGCACGTGGTGGATCTGAATACACCAGACGACAAGAGAGGGGACGGACGGCGACAAGTAGAAGAAAGCCTGATATTTTAACCATGAAATAAAAAAGTCAAGGTTAATACAAGGTGTGGCACAGATACTCCCCTCTGCAAATCACTTGCTCGTTTTGGACTCGCCGTCCGCGCTCAGCAACAAGATGTATAGCACTTAGACGAGTCATTTAACATGGAATGGTGGGCATTTAATCAGCAGCCTATCCAATACCACATGTAACCTTTGCCGGACGTCACTCATGCCCGAAGCCTCACGGAAGGACTTTCTGCATGTATGCGTTGGCCTACGCTCCCGCTAGCCCCAAGATTGCAGGACCTCCGGGCCATGCGAGCGTTGTTGCTCTTTATCCGTGAGAAATGTGACCAATTGTAAAAAGAGACCAATGCAGGTAAATGCAACTTGACGCACTCTACACCAGGCTGCCAAGAACACCGGTATGGTCGCAAAGCTTTCCCATTCGCCGCCAACGGAAAGAGCTGCTCTGCAGTCTTGTCCGGAGTCAGCAACAACAACTCACAAGCCAGTTCGCTTTAAGAAGGTAGCATATGCCCCGTCGGTTCTGTTGTGGATAAAGACCCGGGCTGAAAGCTGTCAGAAACGGATGAGATATCTTCAATATTCCGCCAAAGGAGGGTCCCTGCTCCGACAAAAGAACCTTGTGCGACCAAGGACGAGGGATACCACTCTGACCGACTCGCGCCTTCCTTGTCAGGAAGGTATGAAGCGTTGAAAGACGGAAAGTTGAAGGATGGAGAGTCTGGTGATCATGGGTTCAAGACCAAGATGCTGCTGACGAGGACGGACGGGCCACGGGCTTCGAAACCGATAAATAGGTCGAGGTGTCTCCCGGAAGGATGAGACATTCACACTTCAGAAGCACTCGAAAGCAACCACTCCCCGAACCAACTTGAAAAAAAGCTCAACTTTCATACATCTTCTGTACACATCTTCCAAAATGCGTCTGTCTGTTCTCATCGCCATCCTGCCCGCCGTCCTCGCCGCCCCGACGGCCAAGCGCGAGGAGCCCGCGCCGCTGTTCACCGCCAAGGCCGGCACCACCGCGATCCCCGGCAAGTACATCGTCAAGTACCGCGAGGGCGCCGAGGGCCAGATGCACATCATGACCGAGGGCGCCGCCGCCGACCACGTCTACACCGACGTGATCAAGGGCTTCGCCGGCACCCTCGACGACTCTGCCGTGGAGGAGCTCCGCAACCACCCGGACGTAAGCCGGAAAACCCTGACAAGACGCACATGCGCCCTGCGGAAAGCTAACACCCGTGGCAGGTCGAGTACGTTGAGCAGGACAGCATCATCAGCCTCTCCGGCTTCACCACCCAGCCCAACGCCGTCTGGGGCCTCACGCGCATCTCGCACAAGCGCCTCGGCGGCAGCGGCTACACCTACGACACCAGCGGCGGCGCGGGGACCTGCGTGTACGTGCTGGACACGGGCGTCGACGCCAGCCACCCCGACTTTGGCGGGCGCGCCAAGCAGATCAAGTCGTACATTGCCGGCCAGAACACCGACGGCCACGGCCACGGCACCCACTGCGCCGGCACCATCGGCAGCACCACCTACGGCGTCGCCAAGAAGACCAGCGTCTACGGCGTCAAGGTGCTCGACAACCAGGGCTCCGGGTCCATCTCGGGCATCGTCGCGGGCATGGACTTTGTCCGGACGGATGCGGCGGGCAGGAGCTGCGGCAAGGGCGTCCTCGCGAGCATGAGCTTGGGGGGAGGATACTCGGCGAGCCTCAACTCGGCGGCGGCGAACATGGTGCGCAGCGGCGTGTTCCTGGCGGTCGCGGCCGGCAACGAGAACCAGGACGCGGCCAACGTCTCGCCGGCGAGCGAGGCGACCGCCTGCACGGTCGGCGCGACGACGGCGCAGGACGCCCGCGCGAGCTTCTCCAACTACGGCCGTGTCGTCGACATCTTTGCCCCGGGTTCCAACATCCTGTCCCTCGCCCCCGGCGGTGGCACCGTGAGTTTCTTTCCCCCTTTTCCTCCCTTCTTCAGCCGCCTGGCTTGGACTGACTCGAACCCCTCCCCCCTAGGCTTCCATGTCCGGCACCTCCATGGCCACCCCTCACATTGCCGGCCTCGCCGCCTACCTGGCCGGCCTCGAGGGCGTCAAGGGCGGCGCCATCTGCGACCGCATCATCGCCCTGTCCACCCAGGGCGTCCTCAGTGGCATCCCCGCCGGCACCTCGAACCGCCTTGCCTTCAACGGCAACCCCTCTGGCTGAGGTGGGACGGAGAGAGATGCGACAGTTCAAGCCGCAAGGCCACTTGTCAGCCAAGTTTCTCTTCAAGTTGGATTTTTGAGATTTTATGATCAATAGTTTGCCACAGTACATAGTACATATAACCTGTGTTGTCAGAACCATATTGGCACCCATCGCTTGAAATGTTGAAAAATTAGCAGTATACATTATTATGTGCAGAGCAATTAACCGGCCGTCACATCAAGACACCTCACATCATTCGCCTTCTCTCCCACCATTAACGTAGACATCTCACTGCTGAATCTGGCCGAGGACATCATTCGCCATCTCTCCCACCATGAGCGTAGACATCTCACTGCTGAATCTGGCTGAGAATGACATCAGCCGCCTTCTCGCCTACCATGTACGTCGACACTGCCGTAAAGGTGCCCGGGATGCGCGGATACACCGAGGCATCCACCACGCGCAGCCCGTCCACGCCGCGCACGCGGAAGCTCGAGTCTAGCACCGCCATCTTGTCGCCGTCCGCCCCGATCGGGCAGGTGCACGACGCGTGGTGTCCCCAGGCCGTGTCCTTGGCGTACTGCTCAATGTCCGCCTGGCTCGTGACCTCCTTGCCCGGCAGCACCTCGCGCACCCCCACGACCTGGTGGGCGAGCGCCTGGCGCGCCACACCCACCGCCTCGTACAGCGACTGCAGGTCCTTGGCGTGGTCCCCGACGCCCGTGTCGAAGTAGTTGTACGTGATCTCGGGCACGTCCAGCGGGTCGGCGGAGCGTAGCCGCACTGTTCCCGCATTGTTGCGCGGGTGCGCCTTGAGGATCGCCCACGTGAACCAGTCGTGGTCCGCGGTGATGTTGACGCTGTAGCCGGGGAAGTAGCCGCGGAAGTTGACGGGCCCGCCAAAGATGAAGCTGTCGTATTCGCCGTCCTCCGAGGCCGAGCTCTTGTGGAACATGGCCACCGGCAGGCCGTTGGTCGCGAGCGTGCCGCGGTCGCCGAGGAACGGATTCTCCCACTGGTCCAGGCAAGCATCGTGCTGGCCGTTCAGGTTGAATGTGCAGCCCTTGAGGACTGAAAAGTCCTTGGGCGCCTTGCCCTGTACATTGATCTCGTAGTGGTCCTGGAGGTTACCGCCGACGCCGGGCAGGTCGACCACGACGGGGATCTTGAACGACTCGAGCTCCTCACGGGGACCGATACCGCTGAGCTTGAGAATTTGCGGCGAGTTATATGTACCTCCCGCAATGATGACCTCGCGACTGGCCTTGACTTTACCAGGCTTTCCCTTGCCGGCGGTACCGTACCGAGGGCTGGCCTTGTAGAGGTACTGCCCATCAAGGAATTCGACACCTGTAGCGCGTGGCTTGTCGCCGCTCTCATCGATAATGACCTTTGTGACATGGCAGTTTAGGCGCACATCAAGAGGGTACTTCTTGTTGCCATGCGCATCCTTGGCGTCTCGCACAGAGACGACAAAGTCTCTGGAACCAACACGCGCGCCGTTCTTCGAGGAGATGGGCACTAGATAGTACGAGTTGGTCTTGTCGCGAGCTTCCGTATCGGCGTTCGCATCGCCGAGAAGCAGGGACGCCAGGTCACCGACAGACGGGAGGATCTTGCCCGAGGCAAACGCGCCGCCGGTGTAGATGCTCAGCAGCTGGGGATCCTCTAGCGCCAGCGTCAGCTTCGTGGTCTCGGTGCTGAGCCAGCCGTCATGTCCATGGCCCGAGTCGATCGGCAGGCCGTAGTTCTTGTTCTCCATGCGCACAAAGTACTTGCGCATGTTGCTGGCCTGCCACGAGTCGTCACCGGTGAGCTGGGCAATGTAGTCAAAGTCGGAGCGGTGCGGATAGATGGCGACCAGGGCGTTGTGAGCGGTGCACCCTCCGAGGGTCTGGGTACGCGGGTACAGAGTGCCCTTCATCTTGGAGCCGGCAGGCGGGTTGAGGCCCGTGTATAGTCCGCCGTCAGGCGTCTCATAGCTCGTCTTGTAGTCGCGTGCCTGGCGCTGCTCGTCGGCGTAGTGGTGGACAAAGAAGTTCCACGACAGCGCAGGGTCCTCGGAGGCCAACGCAGAGTATGCGGGCACTGAGTAGTTGGTGCTTTGGCCCTGGTCGTCACCGGCCTCGATCAGCAGCGTCTTGTGGCCGGCCATGGCCAGGCGCGCCGCTAGAGGACCGCCGCCGGCGCCGGAGCCGACGACAACATACTCATATCCTGTGAGCTCATTCGCGTCTGCGTCCGCCGACACGACACAAGCCGCAGTGGCGACCAAGCTGAGCACCGCTTTGAAGAGCATGGCGCAGAAGATATGGGGGAACTGCTGGTGATAGTTGTGTTATGGCGAGCAGTCCGTCGTAACAATAAACTGCCTAGATCCGAGGGACACAGCCGTTGGCAAGCCTCCTCTCCTGTGGGGTTGGAAATGGATGTAGAATGCAGAATAGGGAGCACGAGGCCCTCGCCGGCTTTTGTACCAAGTTCTCCCCATCAGTTCCATGGCCCATATAAGAGATCCATCTCGGGGCAACGGAATGGGAGCCCGACCCCAGACTTTTCCGTAAAGACGGGCGTCCTACTCGCAGCTTAGCAAGTTCTGAATATCGGCGCGGCTGCAAGGTGCACAAGCCCCCCTCATCACTCGCCACCCCCGTCTCCTCACCGTCGGGCTTTGTAGATCGACAGGCAATATCAAAGTCGCAGACAGCAACGGGGCCAATCATATTGATGCCCGCCACAAGAGCAACGCTAACGCTGCAAGTGCAAATTGCTCCGAGGAGGGTGGCAAGGTGGTTGACCAACGCCAGGCTGCTGAGTCCCAGTAGAGCTGCCCAACCATGGGGACGAGGATTTTCGGATGAATGAGCTGCCGGGGCTAACTAGCGCAGAAGAGCATCCTCGAGGCCATGTTCAATACGACACTGCCGTGGCGAGACAAGAAGACGAGCCAATCTTTTCCGGTGGCATGATCTCGGCGAGTGGGAACTCGAGAGTCCACCCCCTGGAACCAGGGCTGAGGCTAGTTAGGTAAAGAATCTGTTCCGACCATTCCAGAAAGAAGCAACTGGGTTGTCTCAAACCAACAGTCGCTGCATTATCCAGGAGCGCTTGACTCTTCAATGCTACTCTCAGTCGAACATTAACATATACATGTATTCTCGGCCGGTCGCAAAGCTCATCTCATCGAGCAGCTGTCACAGCCATCAAGAGTGAGAGCACGTACCTGTCATCTGAAGGAGGACGATCGATACTGCCCCATAACATTAGCGCAATCATAATACTAGCCACTCGGGAGTTTGCAGAGTTCCACTTCCAATTTATGCCAACAAACAGCGGAGCGCTGGCCCACAGCGGGCAAGTCAACAAGCCCTGTCAAGTTTCAACCACAAGAGGAGGCGGCGTTTTTGGGATAATTGCATCGTACTGTCGTATTATTAGGCCCTTCTCAATAAAGGGTAGAGCGAGACTCTCTGCAGCCACAAATAAAAAGGTCGGCGAGCCTCGGCAGATGAAAGCCTTACTTCGTACGGGCGCTTGTCCTTCGGCAGCTGGAGGTGCGCTGTTGTTCCGAATGGCGCATGTGAATATGCAATTAGAAGCAGTAGAGTGAATTGACGGGAATCAATAAATGAGAAGCGAAAACGCAAACAAGATCAATCCCCATTACGAGAGCAATAGTAAAATATACAGCCGAAAATCGTCGTTGCCCTTGTTCGGGCGGAACAGGTAAGAAATGAAATATCAGAAAGAACGATGGTAACGACGGAGCAGCAACAGCAACTAACGACCGAGCTCATGACGGCCTGGATACACAAAATTCGCATCGGGATTTCATCCCAAAAGTGAAATATAAAACCAAACAGGAAACGGAACGCTTAGCCAGAGGCCATAGTTTCGACAGAAATGAGCAATCATATTCAGGACTTAAAGCGTCCTAGTTCCAGTGGTTGCCTCCGCCAGGCTGGCCACGGTAGGCCGGCTGGTTGCCGCCGCTGTAGCCGGGGGCGGGGCTTTGTGTCCTTTGCTGGCCGTATTGCATTGGACCGGGGCTCTGCCTGGCGTGGTAGCCGGCCTGCCCCGGCTGGCCCATGGGGGTCTGCATCCTGTTCATGCCGTATGCCTGCTGGGGGTCCGGCGAGCCGAGGCGGTACGGGTCGGCAGTTGCCGAGCGCACGGGCGAGGGCGGGACACCGAAGTCGAAGCCCGCGTGCGCGTTGGGCGAGTTGTAGCCACCGCGAGGCGACGTTGGCGTCCCAGGCGCGGCGTGGCTTGGGGCATGGCCGGCCGCCATGACGCCACCGGCCGCAGCGCCCGCCGCGCCGGCGGACAAGGCCAGAGTAGGCATGCTCGGGTTGCGGGAGCCGGGGCGCGAGTCGTCGGGGTGGTTAAACGGGTTGCCAGATGATGTGCCCGGAGGAGACAGGTTGGCTGCCTTTTCACCGTATTCATGGCCATGCTCTCGGAAGCTGTCAGGGTCAACACCATCCCTGCGGAACTGCGCGAGTTCAAGACGCTCGGCTTTGTCCTTTTCGTCGGCCAGCCGGGCCTCGGCGGCACCCAGTCTACGCTGTCTAAAGTAGTAGTAGAGGAGAGTAGCAAGAGCAAGAGCCGAGACGACTCCGATGGCTGAGTAGATGCCAATCTTGGCGGTGGGTGAGAGGTTCTTCCAGCCATCTACCGGGCTTTTGGGGGGAGGCTTGTTGATGTTGTTATAGGCGGTCGAGTTGCCCCTGCAAATGTGGTCAGTAACAATGTTCAGCGTGCATCATGGGAATGGATAGCATACTCCTTAATCTGTATGCTTTGATAGCTGCCGGTCTTGTCTCCGTAGGAGTACTCCTTCGCTCCCTTGGTGTAGTCCTCCATCTTGATGCTCTTGACAAACATGGTGTATGGGCCCTTGGTATAGTCAGTCTTGCCGCCGGCCCATTCAATGGTGCCCTTTGGGAGCGAGGGATCACCACCAGCCCAGATGCCAATGTTCATTCGCATGGGTGTTTGGGGATACTTGTCACCATTCTTAGCATCGTTGTAGGCGAGCGTGCGGATGACGTTGCCGTCGATAGACCACTCAAGTCTCTCCTTGGTCCAGTCGACAATGTAGGTGTGGTAATCGTCCTGGTTGCCACCAGCCATGACATGCTCCTTGCCGAAGGAGTGGTCGTCCTCATCGCCCTTGGCGAAGATGTTGGTGGTGACTTGCGTGGCGTTGGCGCCCATGAATTCAATATCGATCTCGTCCAGGTCGTCGCTCAGCAGCATGAGGGAGCTGATGATGCCGGTGCCGGGAGCAACCTTGAGGCTGATTTCATAGCGGCCCCAGAAGATGTAGAACTTGGATCGAATGGTGGGCGAGTCGCCCTGCTTCTTGACGGAGAAGCCGGCACCTGTATCGGCATTGTAGTCGACGCTTCCGACGGTGGTTTCCCATAGGTCGTAGGACGGTGTCGCATTAAAGTTGAACAAGTGGCTCGTGCCAAAGGCCGGGTCGGGAGGGCAGTCGGTACGGTTAAGAGGTTGGCAGTCCGTGTGGACCTGGGCGGCAGTTGCGCCAAGCAGTGTGGCGGCCGCGGCGATGCGGGTGAACCGCATGATGAATATTTAGAATTTGCGGCGCTTAGCCTTTGTAACGGGGTATCTTGGATTTTTTAAAGAGTAGAGCACCGAAAGCGTCGCGTGAAATGAGAAAAACCGGATGGAGAGTAACAGCAGCAGGCGTGCCAACAGCCCTCTGGTCCAGCAGAGGAGCACGCGGGGGCGAGTGTCTGAAGAGACGGGAGAGAGCGTATAGAGTTAGTTGATTGTTTGTGCGAATGAGTGAGGTAGGTAATGAGCGATGCAAGAGCAGAAAGTGTCGAGGCCAAAGGAGGGAGTGAACAATGGCGACTACTGAAATATCTGCAAGGAGGGGCACGACGTTTGGGGGAATGAAGGTCTCGAGGATGAGAGGAGACAGACGGTGACTGTGAAGTGATAACTCGATTGTACTGTCAGCAGGTGCGTCACCCCGGTTCTAGCCGAATTCTATCTAGTGCGAATTGCCCCTTCTGATAAACTCGCCATGAACAGATTTTTCCTTGCTTGGGCGCACATTTTCCAGGGGCAAAGATACCAGTAAATGGGCCTTTTGGCGCAGCTATTTCTGCATCGTGCCAGGAATCCAATCAACTGCTCAATTCGCTCAGGGGCTTACCCAGGGGTCTGACGCCGAACAGTGAGGACCTGACCAGTGAGAGGCCGAGCCGTAGTGGGCCTGACCCGCCTGTACCTGGCCCTAGCCTCTAACGGCCCAGCACACGCCAGCGTACGAGCCTTTGTTATCTTGGCAGCGGGCAGTATGGACTTGACCTGGAACGGAGATCTAGGCAAACAATACGGTAATCAAGACATTGAGCGGGAAGTGAGCGGGAGGGAGCAGTCATATTTCGTTTGTCCTACAAAAAGAATGGAATTTGGCATATGATAGCCGAGCCATTGTTACGGTTCGCGCCACGCGACCGCCCCCTCGGCCCACTCGAATGCACTCCTGTTTCGTCAGTCACCCGCCTGCACCAGATCTCACCCACACGGTCACCGATACATTGAGCTTACAATATGAATGTTGCACAGATATAGTGTTAAAGAGAAGGGGAGAGAGGGATATATTGTTCGCATCTCTTTTCTTCACCATGTCTCATTTTTTTCTCATTCACTCTATCTTCTTGATTCTTTGCATTTGTTAGTGTTGTCTATACAACGTCAGGGTATGCACATACCACGACGAGAAGAAAGAGAAACTTTTCCGAAAATCAATAATATTACTGCTCAAAAGACTGATAAACAAAGACCCGCTTATCATGTCGGTATGCGCGAACGGGACAGACACCGTGGGTAGAGGCCGACGAAAGCGACAGGTCAGAGACCATGACCTATCAACAAACATTACGAATTAGCATTTACCAAATACCATCACGGCCTTTGTCCATCAGTCACAGCAACTTACGTCCCAAAACCTTGCCGCGCTTCGAAACCTCGGCCGCGTGGTGCTGCTTGATCCGCGCCCGCCGCGCATCCTCCGCCGTCTCCTCCTCCAGCCGCCGGACGTGCTCCCGCGCCTCGCCCACCCGTCGCCGCGCCGCGTCCAGCGCCCGGTCCGCCTCCTCCTCCGCCGCCTCGGCGCTCATGACGTGCTCCCGCGCGCGGAGGATGCTCGGGTCCAGGTCGCGCTCGTCGTCCCTGCCCACGCCCATCCGGTGGAGGCCCTTGTGCAGCAGGCTTGGGCTGCGCTTCGGCGAGGGGTCGTCGTTGACGGCGGTGGTGGCGTCGTCGTGGCTGCGCCGGAAGAAGCTGCCTCGATTGCTGCCATGGTTGCGGAGATCGTGACCGGTGCCAGAGGACGGCGTCGTGGAGGCGGTTCGCGCTGGGGACGGGTCCCGGCGGCTGTGGAAGAGGCCGTGCTTTTTGGCTACGGGCTCTTCGATGACCGGCTCAACAGGCTCGTCCCGTCGTGAATGGAACAAAGGCATCTCGATAGTTTCTTCAATGACACAGTCGTACCGTAGTTGTGGCTAAATGTAGTCTCTGTAAGTACTTGCGATGAAAATTACTGCGCCTTGCGAATCGCGGTGGAACGTCGCATTATATACTATTCCTACAGGACCTTCTTGTAGAACGTAGGCTTGAATCATAGCCTTGTTTTCTTCGTCTTGTGCGCTGTTTGGGCTCAAGAAACTTGTTTTGCTCTTGGCGGGATGGGTGGTCGATCCTGACGCCAGTGACGTCAATGCCGCCATTTCCTGTCAATCACGAAGGACCCGTTTGGTGCATCACTCATGCCAGATCATCAGCGCCACGGTAGCACAGCAAAAGTACCAAAGAATTAGGGGAATTCAGGGTGGTTGCACATCTTTTCGAGAAACCATGTTCTTATTAGCTTTGCACCGATGACGTGTGAAGGCGTGTTAGGCGCAGTGTCGGGTAACCCTACGCCATCCAGTTTCATGCGAGCTTCATATTCAGGTGCCGACTCGCCCGTCTACCACACACCAAACTTGGTATTAGGTTGCGAGGTCTCGCTGGCTTCTTCCTCGCGACCTAATCCCTGCCCGCATGTACTGGGCTACATAACGCTTTGGGCCAAGACTGGGCAACCTCGTGTAGACGTCTCACCTAGAGGAATACGCAGTCGGAAGTAAAACAGTAAAACAAACTTATGAGTATCTAAATAAACGGTAACAAGACAAACAAAACAGAAACGGGGTAAAGATCAAGGTTCCACATGAATGACATCTAGTATCGGAGATATAAGCCCAGGAATGCTTCCACGTCTCCCAGACTCCCAAGCATCCACAGGCTTGCTATTGTATCGCCCAGACAGAAAGGATATCCGCCACTCTTTCACTTTCTAGCTCCAAGATTTTTTGGCATATTACATTGATAAAGAACAAATGAAAAGAAAAGAAGAAAATAATAAATTCGAAATCGTCAGATTTGTATCCCAGGACCCGATGGTGCGCATAACGGCACGATACCGTGCTTGCGCTGAATATGTACAAGAAACGTAGATGCGGGGCGAATAGATTAGTTCAAAGACGGGGTGTAGGGATGGAGAGAAGAAAAAGAGCGACGAGAAGCAGAAGCAGAGTTGCAAAGCGGAGGCCGGAAGGTTGTGCAGAGCACATCGGTCAAAAAGAGGAAAACGGCGAGTGGTGCGGGAATCGTAACGCGGCAAAGGATAACAATGGGCAGGTACGGTAGATGGTCGAGGAGCATGTCGTCAACAGGCTTTACATGATGACGCACTTGCTCTCCTCGCGCTCCTTCTTGACGCTCAGGGCCACGCGGGCGGCCTCCGTGAAGGCCTCGTTGACGCCGCGGTTCTTCATGGCGGAGCACTCGAGGTAGCGCGAGGCCCCTATGCGGCGGGCGACCTCGAGGCCCTGCTCGTACGTGATGAGGGGTTTCTTCTCGCGCGGCTCGGCCGTCTCGCCGGCGGCGGCGGCGGCGGTGGCCGCGCCCGCTTCTTCGGTTTCCTCGTCTTCGGTCTGCTCGCGGAGGTCGCACTTGAGGGCGACGAGGACCAGCTTGACGCCGGCGCAGTTGTCGGCAATCTCGCCAACCCACTTGGACTCGACGTTTTCGAGCGAGTCTTTGCTATCGACGGAGTAGCAGAGCATGATTAGGTCGGTATCGTCTGCAAAAAAACGTGTTAGCGACAAGGCGGGTGCCGGCTAAGGTAGCTAGGCAGCATGCTGCGTACCATATGAGAGAGACCGCAGGCGGTCGAATTCCTCCTGGCCAGCCGTGTCCCACAAGGACAGCTCAATATGAACGCTGTCGACAAAGATGTCTACTCATGTGCATTAGCCATGTGTCGGTGCCAGAAAATTGTCCTGCATTTCCGTAAATCGTACCGTGAACGTAGTTTTCGAAGACCGTGGGCTCGTAGACGGTGGGAAAGTATCTGCCACGTTGTCAATGGGTGCGACGCTCGCCGCGACACGGTCGTCACATACCCTCTCGTGAAGACATTCAACAGGGACGTTTTACCGCAGGCACCATCGCCACTAGAAGAATACCATTAGTCATGGCCTAGTTGCCGCGGGCGCCCATCGTCGGAGGTGTTGGGCTTGGCTCCGACCAGGAGACGGGCACCTACAGTAGCACCAGCTTGCGCTGGACGTTTTTTGACCCGCCGCAAAGGGGCATGTTGACTGTCGCGGAATATCGATCGAGGAAGGGGGTCGGAAAAATGATCGCACACTACCAGGCAAGACTACTTCGGCTTTGCGTCGAGAGAGCAGCGCTGCGAGGATGCAAAGTCCGAGGGGTGCGGGCGTGGCGTTTCCCGGCAGAAGTCGAATGTCGATGATGCGTCGTCGAGAGGACCAGATGCAATTCAGCGCGCCGCGAAGCCGAGATCAAGGGCTTAAGGAAGGGGACAGGCGAAATGGGATGTTAAAGGGACTGTTGACAGATTGTTCAGTTATGTGCTAGGATGAGAAGGAGGCGAGGAGAGGGCGAGGGAAAATAGTGTGCAAGGTTGAGGCCAAGGACAAATCGAGGCGCGCGTGGCGGAGGACTAGAGTGTGGAGGGAGGGTCTCTCGACAATGATCGCAAAAGGCAACGCTCAAGGTTGTATTGCCTCGAAGTCAGGGGGGGGGGCTTCCATTCCACCAGCTAATAAAATTCGCGGCCGACTCATACCTCAAGTTATTACTGGCATTTAGGTTGTACTCTGTGCCCACTTGGCACTGGGCACTTGGGCGGCGCGAGGCGTCTCAAGCCGGTGTCCACCTCCTAACAGGTATCATCGGACTACAGCTTTGTCGTAATACCCTCACAGGCATACAAGCAGAACTCGTAAACTTCATCTATATGCCTCTGCTTCCTCGGTAGCGTATCGCAGGAAGCCTAGCTACCTTCAATACGAGAGAGCTGCGGTGGCTTGACGAATGTCGTTTGACCCACCAATCACCACTAATTCACCAGACACTTTTGCAGCCCAATGCCAGCACATTGCACAGCAGATCGGATTACGTTGCAGATGCATCGCGGTGGCAGAACGGTCGTACACAATGAGTCCATGCTGTCTGTCAATTTCGGCGTACAAATCTTGTTTTATACAAGCGCTATCCAATCTTCAAATGCCCATACCGTGATGGATGATAGCCTGCCATTAATCATCATCTCTTTGATACCCATGCTTATTGTTGCGCCCCATCCTGGCTCCGAGATCCATATCTCCGGCTCGCCGATGCAGGCCGTTCGTAAATGCTCTCTCGCCATTGCGCTCCCGTGCATTATCATCCGCATCTCGAGCGAGGCGCTCCCTTTCCTCGATCGCTGCTAGTCGGTCGCTGCGATCTTGATCCAGTTCACTCGCAGCGTCTTGCATAGTTGCCAACTTTCGCGCCTTTTCCTCCTCCTTGACCCATTCGTCTTCTCCGTTGCTGTTCTGTCCTCCATTTCGATATCCATCACGCCTGCCTCCATTGCTGTTGAATCTTCTACCGCCATTTTGACCGTGCTGAGGTCGGTCTCCCCTCCTGTGATAAGAGTCGCGATAGCGAGGCCTGTCATTGACAGGAGATTTTCGCCGTGCATGCGTAGCATCAGAGTCACCACGCTTTCGTCGAGGCGACCTTTCATGCCTCCTTGAGTCGTCTCTCGCACTATATCTTCTATCATCCGGGTCGTCCCGGTAGCGTCGAGTGCTTCGTTCTTCCGAATCATCTCGCGGCCGTTTGGCGCCTCTATCGTCGTCGCGAGAATCTGATCGGCGCCGACGTGGACTTCGAGATCGTGAATGAGAGCGAAGTCGGGATCTATGCGAGCGATCATGATCGCGATGGCGATCGCCGTCTCGGTCCCGACTGTGGCGGCGGTGTCGTCTTTTATGTCCATCACCGCGATGTGTGCTTCTGTGCTTCTTGTCGCTATCGTCTGCCTTGCCCATGGAGGCTAATAGCTGCTTGCGTCGAATAGGGTCGTTCATCATGGCTTCGTACGCCGCCTGTTCTTGACGCTTGATCGCGAGTAGCGGGTCGTCGCGAATTTTGGCCGCGGTATCTCTGGCGCTGTTCGCATTCTGCAGGGCCATGAAGGTCTCCTGTCCGGCATTCTTTTCCAGCTTCTCGTGCTCGTTGCCTTTGATCAGGTTATCGATTCGCCGCTTTCCAAGTAGGTATGCTTCCATCTCCTCGGTCGTGCCGGCTTGGCCGTCGGTAGGTCCTTGGTACATCCAGTCGACTCTGTCCACTCTCTTCTTCCCTCCCGCGGCCTCAAGCTGCCGCTGCAGCTCTTCCTTGGCTCGCTCCTCCTTGATTTCATCGATGCGCTGCTGAGTACGTTTGCGCTCGGCCAGAGCCTTCTGTTCTTCATCGTAAACAGCGGCTTGGTTACGCCGCAGCGTTGGGTGGAACGACTTCTTTAGGTTGAGATCGCCACCTCCCATTTTGACAGGTTTCGAGAGCTGTTGTAGAGTACGAAAGGTGAGGATGGAGGTTGCAGATGGAGCACCAGTGGCGATAAATTTGAGGTTGGATCAGGCACCACTACGTGAGTAGCGTTGCCGCCTGCAGGCCCCGCTATATTTTACAGTGAAGGATTATCGCGGATATCGGGCACCGAGTTGACTATCGCACATGCGCGTGATGTTCTTCCACTGTAGGTCATATAAATCCATTCCTTGAGAAAGGCGGAGTGACTCCAAGGTAGTTTTACTGTGGGAGATCTATTGAATATTACCGTCCATCCGAGCATGAAGGCACTGGCTGAAAGTGTGCCTAACACAGCAGTATCGCCAACCAGGCCGAGGTTGATTCAATAGTAATATATTTTTGACGTATTCGTACAAGAGTATGCAACTCAGCGTAATGATCTTGCGAGTTCTAATAGTAATATACAAAGAAGATGGTCGTCCGCGCTCGAAGCTCGAGGTCGAAATTACCAACTTGCACGCTTCACACCAGGAAGGTTTCCAGCAATGGCCTGCACTCTGAATTGGTACTGTATCTTGTTAGGATTTGACTAAAGTCCAAGGGAGCAATTCTTTGCACGTACTCTGCTCATCTTGAAATCGCTCAAAACACCACGGCCCTGGCCGCCCATAATGCAACGGTTGCGAATTTGCGTCGGTCGAGTGTAGCAGTGCATCTGTGCAAGCTGTAATTGAGCTTCCGCACGCACTCTGGGAGAGAGGGTAGTGTTTCGGATCATATATCGAAGCGCTTGTCTATTTGGCCCCCCGTTAGTTTCTATTCCTTTCCAGGTCGCGGGTATGATCATGGTCCCGTGGCTGCTAGGAATCGTGCGTACCGTTCGGGCTCGAATTGCTCGAAAACCTTGCGCTTAGTATGGTCGCGAATTGTTCTGATGTTGTAGAAGCATCCTAAATCGAGCTTCTTCGCGCGAAACATGGACATCTTGGCGGTATTTCGATGTTTGCAGGCAAGACGAGTTGGTGTGCAGGTGCAGGCTGGCGAAGAATATGGCTGAGGGAGAGGCTCCGCAGTTTAGCCGGGTCTGGTAGTTGGTGAGTGCGCCGCAGTATCCGGCAGTCAGCGGAAGTAGCGGCTTATACAGACAAATTGATAGAGACCAAAGTCATGAGTAATATCGGGTACTGGAAAAGGCGTAACTGTAATAGAAGACAACAACGAAAGAATTTTAAAAGAAAATTATAACGAGGGTAAAGACGTAAAATACTTACTTGCAGATAGGTCTTTGAGTGACGAAACTCATCGCCTCTAGACTTCATGCCTGCAGTGGAGAACTCCGTAGCTGACCCGCGCTGTAGTGTATCACTTCCAACTCCCTGATCAATACAACCAATTCTTCAATCTTCTCATCTCGTCAAGGCAATACCCGAAAATAACATATCCTCGTTAACTGGTCATCTCCTATCCGTCAAACATAGCAATCTGTTACATTAGGCAGTTCCAAATCACCTCAGCGCATCTTCAGGGGGCACGACGCCTCAGAGCCTGAACTGGCGCCATGGCCTCTGCTGCGAAGATAGACGACGAGGACACATTGCTTCACAACAAGCCTCAGTATGATATCTCTGATGACTCCGGGGACTCTGATATCGAATTGGATGAGCTGGGGGATGTCGGCACGGATTTGCTCGCCGGCACTCGGGATGAACCGTCCGAACAGAAGCACCGAGGCACGGATGAGCTGGATCACATCTTCGCCCGGGCGCTCGCCTGGCGCGTACGCAAAAGAACCCTCATCGTTATTTCGGTAGTGGCGGTCCTTTTGGTGTTCGGCGCATTGTTCGGCTGGGGAAAATATACACAGAATCCTCCCGAGGGCCGGTCACCTCCATGGTATCCCACTCCCAAAGGAGGGACCGTTTCACAATGGGCGGAAAGCTACGCAAAGGCTGCCAAGATGGTCGGAAGCATGACTTTGGCAGAAAAGGTTAACATTACTACCGGCACCGGATGGGCAATGGGACTCGCGGTCGGGAATACAGGACCAGCCATTCACGCTGGCTTCCCGGCCTTGGCGCTGCAAGATGGTCCCCTGGGCATCAGATTTGCCGACAATTCTACCGCCTTTCCCGCAGGGATAACAGTGGGCGCTACTTGGAACAAGGAACTGATGTATCTGCGTGGCCAGGCGCACGGACAAGAAGCGCGAGAGAAGGGCATCAATGTCCTGCTTGGCCCTTCTGTCGGCCCGCTGGGTCGCATGCCAGCCGGTGGTCGCAATTGGGAAGGCTTTGGACCTGATCCATATCTCCAGGGCATTGCGGCGGCAGAGACGATCCGCGGTATTCAAGGCGAAGGAGTCATGGCCACCATCAAACACTTTGTGGCGAACGAGCAGGAACATTTCCGTCAGCCATGGGCCTGGGGCCTGCCGCATGCTGTGTCGTCCAACGTTGATGATAGAGCAATGCACGAGCTTTACGCGTGGCCCTTTGCCAATGCCGTCAAGGCTGGTGTTGCTAGTGTCATGTGCTCCTACAACATGGTCAATAACTCCTACGCATGCGGCAATTCCAAATTACTGAACGGGATTCTGAAAGACGAGCTTGGCTTCCAAGGGTTCGTCATGTCTGATTGGCTTGCCCAGCAATCTGGCGTGGCCAGCGCACTCGCAGGACTCGACATGTCAATGCCTGGCGATGGATTGGGCTGGACAGATGGCAAGTCACTTTGGGGGCCGCACCTATCGCGCGCCGTCCTGAATGGCTCTCTACCAGTATCTCGGCTAGACGATATGACAATGAGAATTGTCGCCTCGTGGTATCAGCTCGGCCAAGACGACAAGTCCCGGTTTGACGGAAACGGCCCCAACTTCTCGTCTTGGACGAAGCACAAAATGGGCTTCCTCAGCGACGGAAGCTCTTCCCCACAGGAAAGAGTGGAAGTGAATAAATATGTCAATGTACAGCATAACCACTCAACTCTGGCAAAGCAAGTCGCAGTCGAAGGCACGGTGCTCCTGAAGAACTCAGGGATCCTCCCAATGGCCCACTCCGGGCTGCGTTCCGAGACGACGCGCAAGAGAGAGGGCAAGACCAATATTGGTATTTTTGGAGATGATGCCGGCCCAGGGCTCGGCGCGAACTTTTGCGACGATCGAGGTTGTAATGAAGGGACACTCGGCTCTGGATGGGGCAGCGGAGCTGTCGAGTTCCCTTACCTCGTGACGCCTGAGTCTGCGCTCAGGAAGGCGTTTGACTCAAGTGCTGTCAATGTGTCGTCTTGGCTATCGGCCAAGAAGCCAAGCAAAGAACTTCTGCAGGCAATGGAGGTTTGCATTGTGTTTGCCAACGCTGACGGTGGCGAAGGTTATCTCAAGTGGACATCAGTCGCAGGTGATCGAAACGACTTATTTCTGCAGAAGGAGGGAGATGATTTCATCATTGCTGTTGCCGAAGGGTGTGGCGGCGGCAAGGGCAAGACTATTGTGGTTATCCACTCGGTTGGGCCTGTCGTGATGGAGCGCTGGATTGAGCATCCTGGCATTGAAGCCGTTCTCTATGCGAATCTACCAGGGCAGGAAAGTGGCAACGCTTTGTTGGACATCGTATTTGGTCATGTCTCGCCAAGCGGCAAGCTCCCTTACACTATTGGAAAATCTCTGGACGACTATGGACCTGGCGGCAAAATCATGTATACCCCGAATGGTCTGGTGCCACAGCAGGACTTTACGGAAGGGCTCTACATCGACTATCGCCACTTCGACAAGTTTAACATTAAGCCGCGATTCGAATTCGGCTTCGGACTGTCTTACACGAGCTTTAATTACAGCAATTTGCAAATCACGGAAGTGAAGGCCAAGTCAAAGCTGGCAGGAGACCGACCCGCCGACGAAGCGAACCCACCGGATCTCGGCGACAAGATTCCGGATGTCAGCGAAGCCATGTTCCCAGCCGAGATTCGCAAGCTGAAAAAGTACATCTATCCATACATTCAATCCGAAGCGGAGATCGAGCCGGGCGAGTATACCTACCCCAAGGGATACGACGTCAAGCAGCCGCCGTCGGCTGCGGGCGGCGGAGAAGGCGGCCACCCAGAGCTCTGGGAGACGCACGTAACGGTCCGCGCCGACGTTGGCAACGAAGGCGCCGTCAGCGGCAAGACCGTGCTCCAACTATACGTGTCGTTCCCGGACACAAAGGGCGTGAGCTTCCCCGTGCGGGTGCTGCGCGGCTTCGAAAAGGTGCTGCTGGCGCTGGGCGAGTCGCGATCGGTCGAGTTCAACCTGACGCGGAGGGACCTGAGCTACTGGGACACGACACTGCAAAACTGGGTCATGCCCGAGGGCCAGTTTTCCATCTCGGTGGGCGCCAGCTCGAGGGACTTGAAGCTCTCGGGTACTTGGTGATTAGGGGGGAGGGGGGGTTGATGTTGACGAAGAGACGCAGGGCAGGCCAGGGCAGGATCCTTGGGGTGAATGATTATTGATGTAGCGAGTAATGATGAAGGTTTTTTCTCTTCTTCCTCTTTGGATTGTGCCATGACATGGTGAATCTCACGCTATCCGTAAACCAGCGAGGCAGATTGGCGCTTAATCGGTGGCATTGGATGTGGCTGTGTCGCGTTTACAAGGCATAAGCCGGACGGGAGGTGTCTCACCTGGTCGGTTGCTGACCTGGCAGTGCAGGGATTGTCATGCACAGCAGCACAGTTGCCGAGTACTGGTACCGACTATTCCAAAATGGATCTTAGCAGCTATTTACGCTTCACGGACAAGGTGATGGATTTATTACCGACTGTCTGTTTGCTGCATTCTACGCGCCGGGCTGTTGCCGATCTGTAGGCTATGTAACCAGACAAGCTCCGGGGCGAGGGGGCTGAGGAGCCGGAATCGTCCAAACCAAATACTTGGAATCTTTCTTTTGTTGTGCTGCCCCTACGAAATGAGGAACTGAGTCGGTTGAAAATACGGATACTCTCTGATTCTATTTTCATTGTTTCTGCAAGCCACTGCCGTCCCAAGTGGCTGGTCCTCCCCGGCGCTTAAGCAGCCAGCGCCATGCTGCAAGGGTTTCTGGTGGTGGTGGATGGTGGGCGCACACAGACAGACAGGTAGGTACCCTACCTAATAAACCCACCACATACAGTACATACATGCATACAGTACATACATACACACACATACACACACATAACTTTCGGCTGACACACTGCCACGCGAAAATAACTGACAGAGGGGACAGAGGGGACAGAAGGGGGGGGGACAGAAATAGAAACACCATGCATGCATCATCCTGGCTAGCGCCATACATGCCACAAGAAACATGGCTGTTGCCCGCTTTGGAAGAAATCCCAGCCTTGTAAGCCCGCTCGGCGGCCTGCCTGCAGCGCCAATGCAATGCACCCGGAAAGCCAGCATGCCAGGCTGCACGATTGGGAAGCCGCCGGCAAAGAATAGAAAGAGCCGCCGTTGGATGGACAGTGCGCGCCTGCGCTTTTCAGTTTATATATATATATGTCTTGGGTGTCTGGTCTGATGCTCGTATCGCTTGCTAACCTCATCGCATCATTCAGTCAGTGTGCCTGCCTCAGCCAACATACCCCAACGACTTGCTTCGCCATCATCTCATCGTCTGACTGCATCGCGCAGGTCAGCCAACGAGACTCGACAAGAGGTCTAAACGTTGATGCCGGAAACGAGGCCAGGCTTCGACGCGGCTATCCGTCTCACCACCGGCGTAGGACAGGGCTTAGTTCGGCATTCCCATCTCGAGTGATAATTGTTGGTTGTTGCATCCTCGTGGACCAATGAGACGGCCCCGAACCCCAAGATTCCTCGTCTCGGTGAGTTTCTCCTGATACCTCACGCGTCATGTTCCACCGCTCATTGGTCGAATAGCACCTTCGCCGCGGCCTCACCTTGGCCCTCGTCACACGCTGGCCTCTGTGTGCCAGGCTGCGAGGCTCAATGCCATGTTGATGACTATTTTCGGTCATTGACACCGGTGACGCATTTCAGTGCTACCAGTTTATATAAAACAGAGAAGAAACCCCGTCTCCCCGTCTGGAGAGGAAATGTGCCATGAGACATGAAAGTGCAAAAGTCCACTCCAAAACGCTCAATGCCGCATCAACAACTTACACGCATCGCTGAGCATCGACGCGCAATGGTGCTTCAGGGCGCGCGGCCTCTGTTCTTCGGCGATGCAGCTCCAACCTTTCAGGATCCCTCCTCCGCCTACCTCACCGCGGCCTCGCCAGCCATGTCGTCGGGAAGCAGCAGTCACCGCAGCCCCTCCACCTCCAGCGACGCCAACTTCATGCCTCCTCCGCCGCCTCCCCCTCCTCCTCCTCCTCCTCCTGCCTTCACTTTCCAGGAAGACACCGCCGTCGCCGTCCAGCAGCGCCGGCGCCGCCACCGCCCACCACCGCCCAACGTCCAGCAGCTCCTCGACGCGCTCACCCACCACCGCGTCAACACCATCACCGAGCTGTGCCGGATCGAGCGCGCGGCCGCCGCGTGCGCGAGCCCCGACGACGCGCGCGCCTTCCAGGGCCCCATGACGCGCGCCTGGGTGCACTACGTCGTCGACAGCCAGCAGCTGCTCGGCGAGCTGCGCGGTCTCACCCGCGGCTACCCGGCCAGCGCCGAGCTGGTGCGCGAGGCGCACCGCCGCGTGCGTGAGGACCCGCGCAGCAACCGCTCCTGGAACCTGGCCTGGCTCTGCCTCACCCGCATCCGCGACGACGGACTGGTGGCCGCCTATGCAGTCGTCGAGGCGCGCAAGCCCTGCATGTGGGGAGGAAGGGTGCCGACCGATGACGAGGTGCTCCGGCTGAGCGCGTGCTTTGCCCGCGAGTGGACGCTGGCGGTCGCGGTCCTGCTCAAGCATTGGCCCGTGGCGCCGGCGTGGTATTGAATGATTTGGCGTAGGAAAAGGTTTCGGCGTTGGCTTTACGGTGACAAATTGTTCTGGGACGACGGGCGTTGGCTGTGCTTGATCTGGTCTTAGATTTGCTCTTCTTTTACTACTCTGCGACATTATCTCATTGCTTGGCGCGATGCACTCAAGACGGACATTATAGAATTTGCATTTGAGATGTGCTAGATAAAACTGCTCTTTATATACGATAACGATGAACGATAGATTAGAATATATGATCGACATACGCTACAAAGCAACGTCTTGAGATGTGCTGAATGTCCTTGACTGTTGGTAACGACTTAACAGACTGGGATCGCAGATGGACCGTCATGTTGTCTGGTGCCCAGATGAAGAAAAAGTGTATCTTTTCATATCGGAGACTGTTATGGTATTCTAATGCAGCATGATGTCGTAAGTAAACTCCCCCTCCATTCCCATGAAAAGCGCCATGTGTAGATGATGGATCAATCAATAAAGATGCCGCGCTTCTTCCCAACTCAACGGCCCAAGCAACGCTTCAACGAAAAAAAAAATGCCATATGCAATACGCTTCCAAATTTTTCATCCCTCCTCCTCTCTTCATGATGAAATGCAAGCATTACGCCTCCTCCGCCTCTGGCGAGGAGCCGTGCTCCTCCTCCCACTCCTCGCTCTCCAGGCCGTCGCCGCGGACGAAGAGCGCCGCGACGAACCCGAGAAGCGCGAGGCCTCCGAAGACGGTCCACGCGAGCGCCTCGCCCTTGGGTCGGATGCCCACGGAGAGGGTGAACAGCCCGCCGGAGACGACGGGTCCGACGCTGCGCCCGAGCGCCGAGAGGGTCTGCGCGAGGCCGTTGAGCGTGCCGAGGCTGGCATGCGACGGTGCCGAGTTGGTGATCTGCGGTGCACAGCGGGTTAGTCTTCTGCAATGACGCGCCGCCTTGAGAATGGGAAACTGCTCACCAAGAGCATGACGCTGGAGAGGCCGCCGACGGCGCAGATGTTCTTGAAGATGAGCACCGCGCAGAGCTCGGCGTACAGCCACAGCTCGCCGCTACCGACCCCGAAGAGAGGCTCGTCGTCCGCGTAGCCCACCCAGGGCATCAGGATCATGCTCACCGCGAGGCCGAACAGCGCGTACCGGTAGGTGCCCAGGCTGCCCATCCGGCTCCGCAGGTGCCGGTACACGAAGGCCTGGAAGGCGATGGTGGTGACGCCCGCGGCGCTCAGGAAGGCGCCGATCTTGCCGGGCCCGAGCTCGCGGCCGGTGGGGGCCGGTGCGGCCGCGAAGACCGGGTACAGCGAGTTGAAGCTAATGTTGGAGAGCTGGAAGACGAGGTACGTGGCCAGAAGCAGGACGGTAGTGGGGTTGACGATCTCCTTCCAGATGCCCGGCTCGGCCTGCTCGGGCTTGTTGTCATCGTCGTAGCCGTTTGGAACGTCCACCTCAGCCTCGTCCGAGGACGAGGCTGAGTCCACGTCGAGCAGGGGCTGCCGCTGCTGGTCGCGCGTCGGCCATCGCGCGCTCCACGAGTGCCGCCGGTTCGGTTCGTCTTTTTTTCCGAACCAGCTGGCGAGCCGGCGCAGCCACTTGGGCTTACCAGGCCCGCGTGCGTCCTCGTCTAGCGTCTCCTCGAACCACAGCAGCACGGCGAGGAAGCCGGTGACGAGCATGGCGGCGCTGACCAGGTTGGGCGCCAGGTAGGGGAAGGTGTCCGGGGCGAGGCGGCCGACCAGGAAGCCGCCGACGGCGGGGCCGGTGATGCCGCCGAGGGAATAGATGATAGGGAGGTAGGCGAAGGCGCGGCTCTGGTTGGAGCGGTCCGTGACCTCGCCGAGCACCGTCGGCACGCACGCGGCGTTGCCGTTGAGCATCCCCATCAGCACCTGCACCAGGACGACCTGCCAGTACTGCGTGCACAGGCCGAACGCGCCGAAGCAGGCCGCCAGCGCAAGCGTGCCGGCGAGCAGCACGGGCTTGCGCCCGATCAGGTCCGACGAGTAGCCCCAGGCGAAGTTGGTGGAGAGCTGCGCGAGGGCGAAGGCGCTGGCGACAACGCCGATGTAGAAGCCTGTCCGGCCGCTGTCCAGGCCGGGCATCGAGGCGACCATCTCGGGCAGGTACGGCGCGAGCGAGTTGAGCGCCGTCTGCTCGCACAGCGACAGGTAGGCGAGCAGCAGGAGCTGGCGCACGGGCAGCGGCGTGCCGCCACCGCCCTCCTCCTCGCCGGTTTGGCCGCGGTCGTAGTCGTCGTTCTCGGAGGAAGTCGGCGAAGAGGGCAGCGAGGCGACGGAACTGGGGCGTGACGACGACGGTGAGGCGGGCGGGGGGGAGCCCGGGATGGCGGCGATGGGCGTGCCGGGCGGCGGCTCCGTCGGAAACGTCTGATATCTGTGCACGGACGAGCGGCGACCGCCCATGACGCCGGGGATCGGCGCGCCAGCGTGAAACGAGCCGGAGGAGCTCGTGCGACGCTTCAGCACGGCCCGCGACGTGACGGTCATCGTTGCCCTGCCCTTGTTTCCTTTCCTTTCTTTATCTATATGCAGGGCGTCTATCACAGCCCGGGCCAACGGGGCAAGTTTTCGGTATCGCTTTCTTTTTTTTTTGCTACTCAAACAAGAACAAGGCGGGCGTCGAGAGGGGGGGGGGCTGGACGTGAAAGGGCGGGAAGAAAACCGTTCGGTCGGCCGAACGGGGGCACGCGATGAGCCGAGGGCAACCCAAACACAAGGGTGATAAAAAAAAAAGCTCGTGATTGTGGGCGGCGCAAAACGGAGATAAAAGATTAGACGACGCGCATGCTGATGGTAAGGCCAGGAGGGGTGGCAGAGCAAACCTGTCTAATGTTGTTTAAAATATTGAGGGAAAGCTCGGACATGAGGGGAAGCAAAAGAAGGTGAACGACGTCACGTCGTTCTTTCAGTAACAAACGGCACTAATGAAAGCTTCCCATCCCTTGAATTGACCGCTAACCCTAGCCCGGTCTTTGGTGGTGCTAAATAAAATAGTGGTAAATACCAAGGTACCGACATGGGTGAGGAGGCTATTTTGGTCAACAGGCGATGTTTAGCAACTGTGTAACAGAGGGGAGTTTTTATTGGGGGTAGTATTTGAATTGGTTATAATAGTCAGATATTGATACTTATCGATGATGGAAATGCCCCGGAGATAGTGTGGGCGTATTAACTACCTAGCAGTAACTTGTCCCCATGTCAAGAGAACCAACTCCCTTTCTCACAGTTCTCTCGCAACTACGACATGCCGACAGCATGTTAAATTACTCCTGAACCGATTTTCTTCTGAAACCCCATACAGAACTTAGCGAGATGGTTGCAATTGACTTCTCAGCCTCAGGCTCTACATAACTAATGGGGAGCTGGAGAATAACATTGAGTCCATCGCACTAGCAACTTACCCCATACTATCGCATACCCCATACCCCATACTCCCTGCATCAAAGACAACTCCGCCGAGACCGGTGTCTGAGGGACTCGACTTGCTAGGTGTCATGCTTTGGGAAGTCTTGGTCATTGGATGTTATAGATTTGCCATGGAAGGGAGGGATGGTTAGAAGAGGCTTCTGGCGGCATAGGCCTCCGGACCGGAGTGCAGCCCATCACCGTCACAAATCAAAGTAGTCCCCGAAGGCTGTTGTTAACACAATGACCCAGTCTTATCTCATGCCAAGAAGTGATGTGTACACGCACAGATATGAGATCCAACTACAGAGGGCGCATCAACAAAGTCTATATAAGCCGCAACAGGCCGCCCTTCATGCCGTGTTGCCCTCTCCTACAGGCAACCTGGAAACCTTGATCAAAAGGGAAAAGAAACCGAAGAAATATCATCATGGCCCTTGATTTACCTGAACCATTTGCTAGCATCCCCAAGCAAGACTTTCTGTTTGGGCCATCTCCCATCCAGGCGCTGCCCCGCATATCCGCGGCGCTCGGTGGCAAGGTCAGGGTCTACGCCAAGCGGGAAGACTGCAATTCCGGCTTCGCCTACGGCGGCAATAAAACGCGAAAGCTGGAGTATGTGCAAAATCTCCCGCCAATGAACGTGATATCACTGCCACTAACCGACGACATCTAGGTATCTCGCAGCTGAGGCTCTGGCGCAGGGCTGCGACACCTTCGTGTCCATCGGCGGCATCCAGTCCAACCACACCCGGCAGGTCTCCGCGGTGGCCGCCCTGCTGGGGCTCAAGGCCGCCACGGTCCAGGAGCACTGGGTGGACTGGCAGGACCCGGGCTACGAAAAGGTCGGCAACATCCAGCTGTCGCGGCTGATGGGCGCCGATGTGCGGCTCGACGCCTCGGCGTTTGGCATCGAGCACAAGACGACGCTGGCGGACCTACGCCGCGAGATCGAGGCGGCCGGTGGCCGGCCGTACTACATCCCGGCCGGCGCGTCGGACCACCCGCTCGGCGGGCTGGGCTTCGCGCGCTGGGCGTTCGAGGTGGAGGCGCAGGAAAGGGCCATGGGCGTTTTCTTCGACACCGTTGTCGTCTGCGCGGTGACGGGGTCGACCATGGCCGGCATGGTGGCGGGCTTCAAGCTGTGCCAGGTGAAGCGCGGGTCGCCGCCGCGGAGGATCGTCGGCATCGACGCCTCGGGCAAGCCGCGACAGACGTTTGACCAGGTGCTGCGCATTGCAAAGTTTACGGCGGCCAAGATTGGGCTGAGCGAGGACGATATTACGGATGCTGACATTATCCTCGACGAGCGGTACAATGCTGGCATATATGGGATTCCCGACGAGACGACCATTGCGGCTATAAAGTTTGGCGCTCAGACCGAGGCCTTCATCACCGACCCGGTATACGAAGGCAAGAGCCTCGCAGGTATGATGGATTTGATAAGAAAGGGAGAGATTTCGTCCGGTAATGTGTTGTATGCGCATCTGGGAGGGCAGCTGGCCTTGAATGCGTACACTGAGATGTAAGAGTGTCGAGCAACTCAACATGACGGAAATATCATCGGGGTTATTCAGCGATAGTACTTCGTAATATACTATCGCACTACCCCTGCTTTTTGGAGATTACGAGGGGCAGATACTCGTCGTTGATCCAGAGTTATTAGATTTCAGTGCTGCTGCATGTCGCCTGCTGAACAAGCCGCTTCTCCACTCTCCACTGTGTTGCCTTTCTTCCAAACAGAAAAGGAAAAGAGACGGATATTCTGTGGGCGAAGTGCCAGAGCGGCGTGGTTGAGGTGAGTTGCCCCCCGAGAGATTACTGAACTGGCCCGTGCGAGGTATGGGAGCACAGGAAGTTGCGCCAATTTGCAGGAGATGAGCAGATGGCGGGGATTCCTGGTCGCTGCCACATTAGCCTGACTAGCGACATCTGCGACCGGGAGCTTTTCTGCAGATGAGACGGGTGACTGGACGATCGGGGCTTCCTTATAGTGACGTGGTGAGTGTTTTTGGAGCTGCGGGAGCTTACCTAGAATGTAATTTAGAGTCTGGACCAGTCTGTGCCGCTTTGTGCAGGGGACCTCGACAACTTTGCCTTACCTTGCCCTCCCAGTGTTCCACACGAGCAGAATGACCTAGATCGAGGGTCCGAAGAGTGTTGCGAGGAACAATGACGCGCTTTGTGGCCTCTCCTCGCCAGGCTTTCTTTGCCTGCTGGTCGCAACGTCGTTTTAGCTACCGACCGGTTGGATGTTAACCCGCGGTCCGGGCGGGCGCGGCGTTACCAGTGCATACAGATGGGGGGCCTAAAAATAGGCGACTTACCAGTATGCCATGTGCTAATATTGTTCTTGCTTCAAGTACAAGGCGATGTGCAACCACAAGATGGTTTGACAGCGCAGTTGCCATGGTGCTATCAAAGCGAGGCGCCTGTGTGCTTGTGCTCTTCCAGCCAGTTGCCACACTGTGCACTGTCTCTTAGTTATGGAGGAGAACAAGGGGCTGCTCTCCACAGTATGGCCTTTAGCTGGCGACTGTATCCCCACACAGTAGGTACGTGGTGGGCTGCGGGTGAATGAGGGCAACTGGTATATATGGAGGGAGGTGCTCCCGCATACAGGTGGGGCGGAAGGAACAAGGCCGAGAGGTGAAGAAGTTGTCAAGGCGGGCTGACGAGGTGGTCAAGGGGACTGCCACCGTAACTGCTTTTTGATACACTTTGACGGAAGGTGAGGTAGCTCAGGAGAGGATGGCTGCGAGGACCGTCGGGGCGTGGCGCAAATGTTCCGTGCTTCAATAACCTTCGTTTCGGAGCTCGCTGCAATAAGGTTGCTGCTTAGTACTGAGCGGTTTGGGTAGAGGCACTTGTCTTGAGCATGGGCCGGACGTGCGACGCAGAGAAAGCGACTGCAGCTGAAAAGAAGAAGAAGGAGGATAAGAAGACGCACGCAAGGTAAGGAGGTAGTGGCTCGGGTGATGCGCATGAGGACTGTGTTGTCTGCACAACACGGCAGCATAAGCATCAAGGTACTTGCAGGCAGGTGCAGGCAGGTACAAGTTACCATATTTGTCCACGCTTGTCAGCAGGCGGCAAGACAACTTGGCAGCTGGGAGAATTCCCACCAGAGACTGCACCACCCACCGACTGGAAACGCGCAGGAGGCGGCGCACCTCGTATCATTACCTGTGAGCCATTGCAGGACCAGCATCCGTACAGAAAGTATGTATGTACGTGTTTACGGAGTACAGAATATAGCGAATATAGCCTGGCTGAGCCAGCCAACCCGCCAGTGGTAGGCGAGTGGGGGTTTTGGCATTGACGAGCAAACAGTCCAACGTGGCAGGCAGGCGGGCAGGCTGCGAGGGGCTGCAGGCTGTAAGGGCACAAGGCTTCCAGGCACATCTCCCCGTTTTGACTGTAAGAGTCATGCCGACCACAACTTGATGCCATTGCACCACAGGTACTGCCTACCATGCTAGTTACCCATGGTTATGCTGCAATATCTTGGCTGATTATGTACATGATGACCTAACAAGGCAGGTAATTAATTCACGTTCCCTTTCAGACTCCTTGCTACCATACCTGGTACTCCGTACTACTTCCCGGTACTAATACTATTGTGGACTTGGGGCTTCCGTGGCTCATCATTAGTGGATGCATCGTGGCATTGTAGCACTGCTGGTGGTGCATTGCTGAGCCTGTCTCGCCGCCACTGCTCTCCATTCAGGATTCAGGTCTGTCAGTCAATGAATCTGACCTGGCTGGTCCAGACAACCAGTCCCCAGTTTATACCGGCAACAGCACCACACAATCTGGTTGGACTGGACCACAACAACCACCTGCTTCCGCACACTTTAACCACTCCCAGTCCTGACCTCTGCTTTTCGAGACCCTCCATACTGGACCGGCGTCTCTGACGACTCTTCACTCTTCCTCGACAACACCTGCCGTCCGTCTGCCCGTCCGTCCATCCGACATCTTTCACACGGCCATTTTTTTATCTGGCTGCAGCGGTTATCATTTCACCAGGTTAGCGCTCGCCGTTCGACTACAACATCCTGGCGCCGTCTGGCTGGGACCCTCCGGGTGAACCCCCTTTTGACTCGCCCGCCGCGATACCCGTTGGTCCTCGACTCGCCGCCTCCCTCACTCATTCTCTGCCTCCCAGCCGCCCGTCACCAGCCGCTGGTCTCGGCGCCTCCCCGAATTCGATGACCCAGGCCGCTGTGCAGCCCTCGCCTTGTTCACTATAGCCTACAGTTATCCCTTTCGTGGCCGAGTTTCGAGGCGGGACCCCTCGATCACGCCCTGGTCTACCAGCCCTCTGCCCTGCTATTGCCACCTTGCCGCTATTCTCGACGAGACTTCATTCGCCACTCCGACGCCACGTACTGATAAATGCACCACGCCTCGCTCGCCGCCGCACTACTCCATTGGCATCAAGCGATCAATTTGCATCTCGCAGCCTCGTCCGTACCTTCGGACAGCCTTGACGCTTCTCTACTGGTAGCTGCTCGCCACCTGCCGCTGCTCTTTGCGAACGACTCAACCGAGGCCTGCATTCTTCATGGATACCCGGACGTCGGCGTCCGAATCCAAACAGTCTTATCCCACCCAGGTTTGGAGCACCGCGGCCGCTGCGCCATCAACCTCTAGCATCGCAGATCAACCACAGGAATCCTCGGCTGCTCAGACCGTCTCCTTCCCTCACCTCGAGTTCCTACCGCTTTGGATCCCTCAGCAGTCGACTATATACCACGCACAACTTCTCCACTACAACAAGCTCATCTCGCCCACGAGGGGTGGTGGCCTGCAGACGCCGCCACTCCCTCCCGTTGTCACCTCGCCTCCCGTTCAGGCCGCGCCCAGATCGCGTACCTCTAGTAGGGCATCGCTCAAGGAACATACGCCTGCCAAGTTGACCACGACACCGGGAAATGGGAACCGATCAAGCCAGAACGCTGACAAGAACCGTTTGGTTATAACCCCCAAAGACACTCCGGCCAAGATGCCTGCCAGGCCAGTCGCCGACTCGTCCAAAAATTGGGCGCAGCGAGCTGCCGGTCTCTCCACATCGCCTCACGCCCAGGCACATTCGAGTTCCGTCCCGTCCACGCCGCACCAGCATGCGAGACAATTTTCTTTCGAATCCCGCGATCCTTCTCCGAATGCCGGCACAAACCATTCACCCCGTTCTGCATATTCGGAAACGAATAGCACACTACCCTCCCTGCGTCCCCTGCCGCCACGTCTCGGTGGTTGCAAGTATGAGACTGCTCAGATAAACTCCAGAAGGAGAATACCATACTCCGTCGGCGGCGAGCGTCTTGAGAAGCTCGATATGCGCACTGTGGCCCCTAAGCTGGGTGACGATGAGGAAGAAAGGCTGACCAAGGACATGAATGAGATCTATGATAAGCTCCTCCCCACCGAACAAGTCGAAGAGAATCGAAAACGATTGGTTCGGAAGCTCGAGAAGATCTTTAACGATGAATGGCCAGGCCATGATATCAATGTGCACCTGTTTGGCTCTTCTGGCAATCTACTCTGCTCAGATTCCTCCGATGGTACACCTCCCACCAACCTCGTGTTCTACGCAAAACCACTAACGTCAACAGTTGATATTTGCATCACCACACCTTGGCGCGAGCTAGAAGGCGTCTGCATGATTGCTGATCTGCTTGCTCAACGTAAGTGTAATTCCCAACGTTTGGACCAGGCTCCGGTCTAACCTCATGTAGGAGGGATGGAAAAAGTTGTTTGCATCTCTGCCGCCAAGGTACCGATTGTCAAGATTTGGGACCCAGAGCTGGGCCTTGCCTGCGATATGAATGTCAACAATACCGTTGCGCTCGAAAACACTCGAATGGTGCGCACGTATGTTGAGGCAGACCCTCGAGTACGAAAACTGGCCATGATCATCAAATATTGGACACGAAGACGAATAGTCAACGATGCGGGTGAGTCTACATTACTATTGCTACTGGACCGGGAAACCGCTGACCTGCCACAGCATTCGGTGGTACGCTGAGTTCATATACTTGGATATGCTTGATTATTGCCTTCCTACAGCTTCGCAACCCTGCTGTGCTGCCCGCCCTGCACCAGTTACCATACAAGCTAAAAAAGCCCGACGGCTCCGTTGGTGACTTTGCCGACAACATGAAGAAAATCAAGGGGTACGGAAACAAGAACAAATCATCCGAAGCCGAATTACTTTTCCAGTTTTTTCGATTTTATGCACACGAATTTGATTACGATAAACACGTCCTATCCGTGAGACTCGGTCGACTCCTGACGAAATCGGATAAGAAATGGAACTACTCCCTCAACAACCAACTCTGTGTAGAGGAGCCGTTCAATACCTCACGCAATTTGGGTAACACCGCCGATGAGTTTTCATTTCGTGGGCTCCATCTTGAGCTTCGACGAGCATTCGACCTTATTTCTCAAGGAAAGCTGCCTGAAGCATGCGAACAGTTTGTCTTTCCTAAGGAGGAGGAGCGCGTGTGGTCTCGACCTGCTCCCCAGCCTCGCCCTGTACTCCTGCGAAGCTCTTCACAATCGCATTCCGGCCGAGGTGGTCGTGGCAATCATAGAGGAAATCGCCACAATAACAACTTTCGCGGCGGTGGTGGCTCTAACAGACGCGCCTCGTCAAGCATCCCGGCGACGTACGACAACACCATGTTTATCCCCCCTGTCAATATGGCGCAGGATTTGTCATGGTACCAAAACGCACAGTTCCCGTTCCAATATACCCAGCAAGATTTGGTCTCCCAGATGGCATATCATCAGCAGTATCATATTCTGGCCAACTCGCCTGTTTTCTTGCAGCACCAGAATATGGCCCAACAGCAGCAGAGAATGTCTGGTAGCTCAAGTTCCGGCCAACAATCGTCAGATCGCTCGAGGACGAATTCATTCGATACAGCACCCACATCAGCTCCCATTCGACCTGAAATTTATGCCATGTATAACATGGGTCTAGGTCATACATTCTACCAGCCTGTTGCCCAAGGCTATGGCACTTATCCCTCGTCACCGGTGACTACAAGTCATTCCACGCAAGATTTCCGGCGTTCACTGCATAGATCAGCGACTGCAGAGGCTGGCAGTGCTTCTAGCAGCTCACTTAGATCACAATCACAGCCTGCGTCTCGGTCACAAGCCCAAGCCACACCTCAACTACCAGCATCATATAGCATGACAGGGCATCCATCTGCAAGTCCATCATTTTATGCGAAGAGCGCAAACGGAGTAGCGATTCCGAGCTTTATTTCCGACGACACGGATTTTGACGAGACACCCAAGGCTACGACGGAGTCCCCGACATCGGACGATGCGCAATCCGGCGGATTTTTCATGGCTCGAAGTGTTAGCCCAGGCAAGCAGCGTGCAAGCCAGCAGACAGTCCCATCAGGTATTGCCTTTGGCGATATGGCGTCTGCAGGGACTGGTCCGCGCCGACCCTCCACGGACCAACTGCCCCAGACGCTTCTCGATAGAAGGATGAGGAGAGCTTCACGGTCGCCATCTCCTCTCGGTCATGCACGGGCACATTCTATTGGTACATCGTCTGCGCCGCTCCCTTCAGCGCCGTTTCCTGGCAACCAAGACAAGGACAACTCACGACCACTTGTCGTGAACGGTTCAGGTGGCAAGGCTGCGAATTACAATGCCCCTGCGTTTGTGCCGAATCAAGAGTTTGCACCTCCCATTGGGCTAGGCTTTGAAAACGCGCTGCAGATTCAGCCACCCGCCATAAATCTGCACCTTGGAACTCATCCGGCAAGCGCAGGATTGATGGGCACTGTTCCGATGAATCTGCTCCAGGACTTTTCGCCAGTTGTCAATGGATCAGGCAGGTCGTCTACCCTACCCCCAGCAGACGATACCTCCTTTAGAGAGAGAATTGCGTCGATGCATCCGTACTACCCAGGCTTTGCCAGCCTGCCGCAGGACGGTAAGTTGCATGCCTCGGGACCCAACGCGAATTCGGCGGCTGCATCCAAGGTATCAGGGCGACAACGAGTGTCATCAAGAAACACCTCAAGCGGGCTTATTGCCCCCTTGGACTTGGCTATAGGAGACAACCGGCTTAACAAGGCTCCGATGATGGATATGGCACATCTCTCTCCCGTGTACGAGACTCGAACTCCGTCCCCTACCATGCACAGGAAGAGTGACAGTGGCGCTGCGCACGATATGCCACTACGGCCGAGGCATGGTGGGGGAACTGATGCAAAAAAGTCTCCAGTGACGGACAAGCACCCGGCAGGGCAGGAAAGCCAGAAAGGCAAGAGCCTGAAGCCGAACCCAGCGGCTCAGAGATCCAACCCGCCGCGGGAAAATGGACACGTCCGCGGCGCAAAGAGCGAAAACGATGGTGGCTGGCAGAAAGCTGGGAGGCGGAAGAAGGCCCCGAGTGGGCTGAATGTGTCAAGCGAGCAGCCGCCCAAGCATGAATCGGAGCGCAAAGGGGGCTGATTGTGAGGTGGGGGAATGTTGGACTTCACCACGGTCTACGGTAATACATTGTCGTCGTTGTACATGGCATATTTCGATGCCAACAAGTGTTTGATTTTACATTATGAAGCTGACGAGAGGTTGATATGTCATGCGAACTTGGACATTGGTTTTATTTCATTTTTTTTGTTTGTTGAAACGGAGTTGCAAAGACCATGCATTTGACAGGATTAGCACGACATCTTTTGCACATACGAGTGGCAGGGGGGCCCATGAAACCGGAAGGAAGCTGGTAGATTAGGCAAAGGAACTGGCGCTCAGTTATATGGGGGATAGGCGTTTGTTATTGGAACTACATTTTCTGAAGAAAAGATGAGCAAGCGGGGATTCAGGCACATACACATTGGCCGAGACGACTCACGAGTTGTCTGTACGCGCCTTGTGCAAAGCGGCATAGAAGGATATTTGCAGAAGAAGGAGAAGCCTCCAGCAGAGATATGAAGTAGCAGAAACAAGAAACATTGATCCAAAGATCCGCTGGATGCAACTGGAGACGAGAATGCTGTAGGTGTGTGGCACGCTGTAGAGTTTTTTTTTTTTCTTTTCTTTTTTTTTTTTAAAAAAAAGCGGCAGGGGTAATTGAATGACGCGGGCGGCTGGCCGAGAGAGTGTGATGTAGAGTATAGCTGGCATCGTATTGCAGGCTGCAGTATTTTGACAACAGCCCTGTTGGAAGTCATTACTCCATAGGTACAGATGAAGAGGTTAGGCAGCAGGATGTGAGGAGACGTTGAAACTTGGTCGGCATACTAAGGCAGTGCAGCAGCTGACAAGCCGTGCGATGTGCTGCAGGAAGAGCGTCTATTTTTGGAGAATTGCTGCGCCCATTGAGTAATATTGAAAGGCGGACAAAACGTGCCTGGTCTCTCCTTCTTTTTAGCCCCCGTGCTTGAACCCGCCTAGACATTGACGTCCTGATAAGTCACGGAGGCCGTGAGCGGCGCCGTTCCCCCCGCATTCTATCCGTAGCAGTGGCCCATGCAGAGAAGGGCATCGGCCAAATTTGTTGATGGGTTCCTGAGAGCAGCAAAGTAAAAAGAAAAAAAAAAAATAGAATAAATTCACAACGGGCTAATGCAGTAGACTTTAATGGACTGCTCAGTTTTATGACCGGAAGGCCACCATTCTTCTTTTGTCTTCTATCCTTGTCGCTGCTGGCAGTGCTTCCCCCACATTCTGTCGTCCCGATGATCGCTGGGCTGGTCTGGTCTGGTCTCGTTCCTCCACAAAACTCCGATTTCTGACCTTACATCCATCCCATTTCAACAGGCAGGCTTATTTCCCAACTGACTGCACGGTCATCATTTCCCTCCTCTCCCCTTATTTGCGTCGTCTTTGTCGCCTCGCTTGCTCGCCTGTAATTTCTGCCCTTACACGGCGTACGGAGCTTCCTCTCAACCCGTTTGTATAGCGGGACGTTGGGCCTGCCTGCGTCGCACCACCCCGTTGCACCAACTCCGCGCCGTCGATCTCCGTTGTAACCCTTCCCTTTACTAGACATTGCCACTCGCAGTCTTCCCAAGCGCTGAAAAAGCTGTGTTGGACCCCGAAAAAGAAGCGCATAACAAGGCGCTGAACAAGGCAAACGACAAAGCTTCTTGCGTCGAACCACCCGCACAACTCGCAGGCTGCGGCTGTGGCCCAGTCGCCCGCTAAGAACGAGCGAGGCTGACGACCGATCTTTCATCCGCCAAGCTTCGGGTGCCTCTGCAACTTTCCTGTTGAACCCCTTTCCCCTCTCACTTATGGCAACATAGAGGATAGAAAGCCATGCCCTATCGCTGCATGTTGAGCGTCGATGCACACTGCACTTGCTTGAACCCTTGTGGCCACCTGACGCCGACTTCAATACACACTTTCGGCTTCTTTAACGGAGGTGCCACATGCCCCCCATGGCGAAGCCGAGAACAAACAGCGACAGTGGCGATGCTTCCGCGCCGCATTCCTCCAGGCCTTCGCGTCTAGGCTCCCTTTCGGCCCTTGTTAAAATACGGCGCAAGGGCTCTGTCAAGGAGCATCCCTCATCGTCGGTATGTCCTCACGGGCCACCCCGCACACCTCGACGCACTCCGCGAAAGGTTCTCACCTTGGCTCTCCGTCCAGCACTGACATTCTCTAGCACAACAAACCAATCACGACACACAGTGAATACGATCTTGCCGATACTCACACGTTGCAACAAACCGACTCGGCCTCGTTATATGAACCCGACTGCCATGGCCGCGAGCTGCATTCTCTCTGTCAACGCCTGCGCCCCTCACCCATTACTCCGAGCCAAATCGATCACACGTATAACGAGTTCATTAAAGTGAAGGACCGCGGCAACTCGTTGTGCCTCAGCATCATGCAAGAGGAGCTCAAACCTCTTCGTGGCTCCCCCAGCGCTCACGAACCGCTCCAGCGTCAAGATTCATATATCGAGTCACCGCTCAGCCCCGGCCAACGTGACAATCGAAGTTCATTCAGCGGGAGGAGCCTCGTCGATGTTGTTTCCGCAAATGGCGTTAATCGCCTTGGAATACACGGCGCTGAACTGTGGATTGGCCCCATTCGCGACTGGCACGCCTCCGTTGAGTTACTCGTTGACGCCTTTCAAACCAGCCTGGCGGAGACCTATAAGACGTACGAGAAAGATGCATCGCCTGACATGATTGAAGCCCTATTTGACAATAAACGATTTCGACGAGATGCAATCACACGCATGCGCAATGCTTCTGTCACCCGAGTATTGGCCCCGGACCCCCAATTCGTAAGTCTAGTCACTACTGTTCATTCTGACCATTATCTTAATCTTCTTTAGTTTCCAAGATATGAAATTCGATTTAGAAACTTCGAAAAGGCCAAGCAGGAGCTGACTGTCGTTCGACAAATTCTCCAGACAGCTCAATCAGCTATCTCGCCTTCGCGAGAAGTTCGTGAAATCATCATCTCGGAGCGTGGAGACGCAGTTCTAGAATTTGCAAACCACCACGCTGGCTGCTCGCCCAACGATCCGGTTTTGCGATTCCGGGTTTCATCTCACATGCTGGCTGAGACATCGCCTATATTTGCACACATGTTTTCCGGTCACGCGAGCAGCGTACAACTGCACGAAGCTGAAGACATCACCGCACAGCTGCCCCCGCCGCGAACCAAGTATTACTTTGACAGCGGGACAGCGGCCTGGCTATACCGTATGCCCCAAAGAGAAACGAATCACCTGGAATCGCTCTCCACCCTTCTGCACGCGGCCCACATGCATAACGGGGAAGTACCGCGGGATATCAGCTTTGATAAATTTGTGGCGATTGCAGAATGCTCAATACGGTACAAGAGCACCTCGCCTCTTGAGCTGATGGTTGAGCACCGATGGTTGCCGCAGTGGATGCATCGCGGCGCGGATGACATGCCCGACGGCCTCCTGCTCATCAGTTACGCATTCGGCTCCCGTGGCTTATTCAGTAGGATGTCCAAGAGTGCCATCTTCCATCTAGTCGACGAGAAAGATCTGCAAAGCAAACCGTGGCCACAAAAGATAAAGGACAAGATCTGGGCTGTGCGCTCGACTAAGATTGCGCAACTCCATGACTGCTGTACGGCGGCCTTACAAGAATATACAAAACCCCCGACAAGCGAGCCGGCCATAGCTCCGGAGCCGGAAGAGCCGCCCCCGACAATATGGGGAAGTTTAGGCAACGTTGCACCGCAGAACCCCACGTTAGCTCTCACAACGACGCCGAGGTGTCCGAAAGGAAGTCACTGGTGCGACGCGACAAATCTTGGCTGGCTCATGATGCTGTTCAACAATATGAATATGCTGTCTACTGTCATGCAGTCGAAGGCTCTGACTGGCGAGTCAAAGGTACCGTTTGCGTCAAAGAGCTTGGCTCAAACAGTTGACCTACTTCGACTGCTACCGAGTTCTCCTGCCCCCGTACACCGGGGCGGTGTCTGCGACCCGATCCCGGCGTTCCGAACAGCGGTCGCAGATATATACAACAGTGTTAGCGGTCTTACCCTCTTCGACATTAGCCAGAAGAGTCACGGCTGGGCGCTATCTAAGCATGCCATGTTGGAGCCCCAATCACAGGTCGCCACGGGACTCGGGCGCATGGCCGCTCCCCACGACGACTACACCGTCGCGAATGAGTTTCCGGAGACCGTCCTGCTGCAGATTCTCAGCACAGTGACCGACATTGCGGACCTCCATGCCGCAGCCCGCGTCAACCGGGCGTTTTATGAGACGTACAAGACGTACGAGCTGCTTCTGATGCGCAACATTCTGCGTGCGGGCCAGATCCGCAGAGGCTCGGTGACGCACCCGGTGCCGCTGACCACGAACAATGCCGAGGCCAAGATGAAAAAGTCAGAGTCGGACCAGCTCAAGGAGCGCATGATCGATGACAGAACAGACTCCGCAGTGGTGGATAGTGGTGACGATGACCAGACTACGGATTCGGACAGCGATGCGGAAAGCGACGAGATGCCCGTGGCGGCCACCCCGGCGGAGCGCCCCGAGGAGCCCAGTGGCTCAACACGCATGCAAGCTGAAGACGTGGTCAACTCGGTCCTGTCGAGCCTCCAGCCAAGCGAGCGGGCCGACCCCCCCGAGGCCGATGAGGACGTTAGGGACCTGCGCGAAGCGCCCATGACGGAGGAAGAAGCGCGGCGGATCTTGTGGCCCGACGATGTTGACGAGCCGACGACGACATCCACGGGCGCCAACGGCGCGCAAGATGAGATTGATCGCGGCCTGCGTGAGAAGTTCCTCCATGGACTGGTCTCGGAATGCCTCGAGGACAAGACGCTGATGCTCGTCAACGAGAAGCGGCTCTTGCACGAGACGGCCAAGTAACTTATTACACACAGTACACGACTAATAAGGCGTTGCGACGAGGATATACGGACATCGAACAGGAAGCAATACTCCAAAATTTTTCTTGTTTTTGAGGGCGAATTGTTTATTGGAATCAGCGCGCTGCATTTGTTTGCTATTTCCTTTGGGTATTTCGGTTGGCTGGCGCATTTCTGTACAGATAGATACCCTCTCTGCACAAACCTTACTATACATACCATCACGCCATAGGGATGGGTAATGCAACATATTCTGAAATCACATGGCATTGAATGGATGGACTGCGGTGAATGACGTGGTGTACAAAAGCTATCATCTAAATCTAGCTGTGTAGAATATGTGTTTCGTGTATGGATGCTCGTGAAAGCTGCATCAGAGACTCTCCCACACTGCTTGAATTAAGAAACTTTAAACTTCTGAAACACGTGTACTTGTCGCATTCTGCTCTAGACGGCCTCCTCCTTCTTCCACAGCCTCTGCATGTTGGCCCGAGCCCGGGCCGCGAAGCCGGCACCACCGACACCCGCGGCGACGGGCGCCGCCTCATCCACGGGGATGCCGTTCTCGAGCTCACCGCGGGCGACGCGCGCGGCGTTGATGGCGCGCAGCTTCGCCGTGCCGAAGCCGGCGACGCCGCCCTCCTGGTTTTCGCCGAGCCAGGGCTTGCGGGAGTCGCCGAGGAGGCTGCCGGAGAGGAAGTAGGTGACGAGGCCGAGGATGATGCAGACGAAGGCGATGGGATAGAGGAAGTGGATGGTGAGGCCGAAGACGCGGACGCCGATGACGACGCCCCAAAAGTTGGCGGTGAGGAGGGAGATGTCGAAGAAGGCGGCGGAGCCCATGCGGAGGATGAGCGGGGCGAGGGTGTAGAAGAGGAAGAGGCAGAGGGTGTAGCCGACGAGCCAGGCGGCGACGTGGCCCTCGTGCCAGTGGGCGTTCTGGAAGGAGGTGCGGTCGAAGATGGCGGCCTGGATGCCGTTGATGATCATGCCAAAGAACCCGATGGAGGCGAGGACGTGGTGCATGGGGGCCTTGGAGACGAGCCACTCCTCGAAGACGTTGCTGGTGCCGTAGAGCGTGGCGCCGAGGAGGGCGAAGAGGTCGCCCTTGAGGCGGTCCTCGGTGGGGCCGCCGTTGCTGTTTGTGATGTGATCCGAGGCGAGCAGGATGCCCATGCCGCCGCAGCAGACGAGGATGCCGACGACCTGGAACGGCTTGTAGCGGACCTTGAGGAGCGTGAAGGAGATGATGACAACACAGACGATGGACCAAAAGTTGATGAGCTGCGCAGACAGGATGTTGGTGTAGCGGTAGGCGAGGACGGTGAAGTAGTTGCCCTCGACATCGAGGAAGGCCATGATGAGGTAGCGCCAGCCGTCCTTGCGCATGGACTGCCACCAAGCGCCCGGCCCGTCGCGGACGAGGAAGATGGTGGTGTAGACGAGGAAGAGGAGGATGTAGTTGAAGACGGTCTGGAAGGCAGGGATGTTGGTCTGGGCGTTGGCGAGGAAGGTGGTGAAGGTGTTGGTGGCGGTGATGCAGAGGGCGAGGACCTGCCCGATGGCGACGACGATCCAGAAGTCGGGCGTGGTGATGTAGGACCACCAGTGCGAGGACTGGGTCTCAAGGATGTGCAGCCCCTGCGTGACGGAGTCGTCGCTGGCGCTGCTACGGTTCGGGTCGGCGGCATCGGGCGTCGTCGTCGTGGCGGTGACCACCGGTGCGGCCTTGTCGGCGCCGGCGGCACGGGTGCTGTTCGTTTCCTCGCTCATGGCGGGGAGGAGGCTTGCAGTAGAGGAGGGGACGGCAACAGCTGATTCAGGTTCAGCTCGTCGGAGGGGTTGGTACAAGTAGTCGTCGCGGGTGGCAGCGGCTTCGGTGCGCAGGAAGGCGTGTCGGAGGCGGTTCAAAAATGAAGTCGCAGTCGTGGGCATTCGACTAGCACTACCACTGGGGCGGCGGCTTCTTGTTAGCTGGGAATAGGATAACATGGCGGCTATGATTAAGGTTTGCGGTCGAGGAGGAAAAGAAGAAAGAAGAGAAAGCAAGAGATGCATGCGCAAGGAATATGGACCATGCTTACAGGTGTGGGATAACTCAAGCGTGATTCGCTGAGAAGGGGAGGTGGGATTCTTCTTTTGTTGAAATAAGTCTTTATCCGATTACACGGACTGGATTTATCTGCAGCAGAGCGCAAAGACTTTCAAGTCGCCTGCTGGGGTTCCTATTGCCTGATATGGCACATGCGGCGTTGAGACGCCGTGAATGTGCAGAGAGAGTGAGGGCTGGTGTGGAGGGATGCCGACATGAGCCGTCCTGGGGTGGTTATAGATAGGATGGGAGAGTTGCCTCTGTTTGCGGCGATCGAGGCCGTGGAAGATGTTACTGCTTCGTGAGTTGGTGAGAGATGAGCAGGAGCACTACAGCGGCAAGTAGTATGGACGATGCTCAAATGCACGACGGCAGAGAGACAGTGGTGGAAGGAAGAGGGAAGCTACTAAATCGAGAGCCAGATAGGATGAAGAAAATGAAGAAAAAAAATTGGGCGGGCTTGCTTATCGCGGTGGAGGGGACGTTGGGGATAGTGGGGCGGAGAAAAAGAGGCTCGAACTGGGATGAATGAATGAGAAAGGGATTGATTAGCGTGGCGCTCAGCTGAACGCCTCGTTGACTTTCGATTTATTCATTGAGGCTCTCTCTTGACGAGTAAAATACAGTGAAGGTGTTGCTGAATATATATATATATATATATTTTAAAAATTAAAATGCCGTCATCACATTATGCTGTGTACCACCCCGGTCCTTTGTAGGGAGAAACATTTTGTCGCAGTTCTAGACCGATGGATTGCCACGTGCAAGCCTCTCCCGGGTCCGAAGAAAATTTCTGTCTGGGGGTCCCCCGTTTGTTGGAGGCTGCCGAGACACACCACGAGGTGGTGAGGAACGGACGAATTGCACCGAACACAGCCAGGCCAATCTCGCTGACCCGCTCGCTATTCAATTTTTCTGCAGTGATCCAACAAGCCGGACCTGGATGGGGTTGATAACAACTAAAAGACCTCCTCCCTGGACGTTGCCGTGCCCGCCGTCTGCGCTGCCGCAAATGCTCGCAAATGTGGGAATGGGTATCAGAAGAGAAAAGAGAACAAAAAACGTCACGGTCGCCGGATCTCAGCCATGGCCGTACGTATCGTCTTGACAATCATGACATTCGTTGCCGTACTACTGCCGGACGTCGTCGCCTTTGGATCTGTTTTCTCGCCCAGTCTTGTTAGCCACCAGATGCAACTGGACTTGGCAAGCGGGAAAGAAAAAGAACAAACCTGTGAGTATCGAGCTGCTGCTGCTAGCTTCGGCCTCCGTATTCGTCGTCGGCGACGGCGGCGGCGGTTCGCGGTCTGCCACCGATGACAGCTCCTGGGAAAGTAGATGCAGTGCCTCGCCTGCCGGGACGGAGCCAGGCGTAGACGACGACGACGATGCTCTCGAAGACGACGGCGCTATCGATGACGACGAAGGTATTGAGAGATTGCCCGTCGGTCTGTTCGAAGTCATCATCTTATCGTGAATTTCTGCTAGCCTGCCCGTCCGCTGCCGTTCAGCGTCGTCCTCGGAAATGCGATGCGCCCGTTTGTAACTCCTATTCCGGGCTGTGGACGGAGGTGGCCGGGAGTTGTGATTCGTGATTCATCCGAGACGTAAAATCCTTTCCGGCTCTCCGAAGAGCATCCAAAATTCACAGGGAAATGTCAAGCTTGTGCATTCGTGACTTCTTTCCAAAACTAACAAATCTGGGAAGAAAAATCAACCCAGTCATTCAGCCGCATCTTATTATTATGTTCCAAGACGTCGGTTCCGACCCAGTGGACCCCTCACCATCCGGGATCCAACCGCAATTGACTGTTACCACAACGGTAAAAGTCGCCGCCTTGCGTAGTATTTCTACTACTCGGCCTTGTCGTGTTTCGAACCGCATGGCTGAGGACTCCGCTTCAGCCCTTGGATTTAGCGTTCGTGCCGGGCTTGTTGCCGGGGATGGTGGTGGGCTTTACTGACGAGTACAAGTTCTCCAACATGCTAGGAAACTAGACGCTTCAGCTCCTTCAGCTCTGGTGCCTCTGATGGGCCAGTCCCGGATAAGATGAGCTGCCCATCCACCCCTACCCGACCGATACGATGCCGCATCGCTCGCGTCGTCTGCTTGCTCTACGCAAGACAACCCTGGCTGAATCTTGATCCAAACGGTTACGGTGGGTGTCCTGCTTCGTTTTCCTCTTCTAGCTTCCCGCTTACAACTAGTTTCCCCGCGGCTCGCGGCGTGGATCACGACCTTGCTGAGGACCTTTGTGTCCATCCCCGCCCCGACAGTTATTGTGTTGCGCAAGAGCCTTGCTTGTGCTTGGTTCACCGGTCGAGGCTGTAGACACATGCAAGGTGCCTAAACCGGCAAGCTGTGCGATGCAAACGGCGCATTGCCGGAGCTCGAATTCAGAGAGATAGCAAGGAATTTTTCGATGATTGAAAAGCGAGACGGAGTTAATGACACGTTATGTTCTAATTCGTGATGAAGGTTTATTTTCTAGGCGCAGTATCTGGCCGTATGTACTGCTCTGGCGCTATTGTTCTGGACCCTGGCCATTTTGCCTCTGCACTTTTCCGCCTTCCCTGCGGCCCTTTCTCTCCTCTATCTCGGCCCCCGATGCATTAAAGGCAAGAAACACGGACTCAGCGCCATCCACACCAACACAAGCATTGTAAAAGTCCACCCGATTCCCACCGCCTCGATGAGGGCCACCACAGCCGCTGACGATGCCGCTCCAAACGCGCTCTTGGCCAGGTTGCTCGCCGCGCCGACCGTCGCCGCCTTCGCCAGGTACTGAATGTCGATCATCAAGATGCCCGTGGTCTTGTAAGCTGTCACGTTTGTATAGCCGAAAGCGAAGACGACGGCAACCGGGGCGGCGATGTCAGTGTTGAGATGCAGGATCCTGCCGTACGGGACGCCGCCGCGGCGAGCATCAGCGGCCAGGCGATTTCGAGCTGCGCCCTTTCGACGGGAAAGCCGTCTACGTCGTGTTGCCGGTTGCGCGCAAGGGGATGGCCGTGGTGCTTCAGCGCGTGGCGCTTAAAGTTCTAGTTGATAAGCCGGCCGGTGCTAACGGCGGAGAGAAGGGTGCCCAGGTTGAGTGAGATGTACATAGATGAGTGACGTTTGCAGCTCGTTCAACCGGTGCAGACGGTGAAATTGTGATGGAATTCTGGTCGTTACTGCGATGAAGCAGGCAAACGCGAATGAATTGCAGTAGAGGAGCAACCCCGTCTCGATAACCCACATAATGGCGAGAGATGCGAACGGATTGATCGACCGTTTTTGAGACTGCTCTTGTTCAAATTTGCTTGGAGCGCTTGCATCTTTTTGGCGCTCTTCTTCAGACACTTTCTCAACGTCGGTTACTTTCCTCCTCTGCGCCTGTCTATGAAACAGCTGCAAAACCGACTGGTTCAGAACCGGCGCCGGCCGCAACCCGTCCCCGACGATGCGCCGACACGTCTCGGGGAGAAACAACACCAGAGGCATAAACATGACACTTGCCAGCCCCGACAGGAGCGCAAATATGCCGTGCCCGTCCGCGTACCGGCTGATCACGCCGCCCAGGACCGGTCCGACCGCCAGCCCGAGCACAGCCCTGATCTGCGTCCACCCCATGTAGGTGCCGCGCTCCGCGAACGCGACCACGTCGGCGACCACTGCGCCGGACAGCGTCGCCGCGGCACTGCCGCCGACCCCCTGCAGGCAGCGCAGCGCGAGCAGCGCGCCGTAGCCGCCGCCCCCTCCCGTCAGCCCGGCGCTGGCGGAGACGTACACGGGCAGGAACGCCAGGTACACGGGTCGTCGCCCGAAACCATCGGCGAAGGCGGCGACGAAGGATGGCACGGCGCCCTGCGCGACGATGAAGACGGTGACGGTGAGGTTGATATGGGTGCTGCTGACGGCGTAGGCGGCGGCGATCTTGGGCGTGGCGGGGAGGTAGATCTGCGAGGACAGCGGCGAGAGAAAGGCGATGAGGGACGTCGTGACGATTATGGGCTTCTTTTTGCAGTCGCTGAAGACGGAGTACGGCTTGTCGGCCGGGTCGTCTGCCGCCAGGGTGGAAACGGAAAAGTCGTGTCGCTCGCTCCGCACGTCGCCGACTACAGTGGCGTCGCAGCTCGATTCACTGTCGTGTGCTTCCTTGTATAATATCTTTTGAGTTTTACCATTTCCATCATGGCTTACAGTAGGAGGTTCGAGATTCAGCCGTGACGATGAATCGGAATACCACTGGAGTGGTGGCTTGTGGCGTATATACAAACTTCCTTTCGCAATGCACATACGATATGTAGCGCCAACGCAACCCTCAGCAACTACCTCTGAGGTTACGAATACGTAAAGGAAACCAGCGGGAAAAGACCAAATTCATGATCGACTCTTCACCGGCGGTGTCTTGTGGGCCGACTCGCCAGCCATGACTAACAGGATTGTTCCTATCAGGACTGTTCTCGACTGTACCATGGCCGCGAATGCAACTCTCTAACTCCAGATGACAGTTGCACCGAGAATATCAGTGGAGTTTACATCTTCGATGTCTGCACTCCCGTTCGGCCACGGCAATTACAAGAGTAGTAGTGCTAGTGTGTGTCCCACACTACGCCGAAGGCTATCGCCAAAGGCAGCGAGCCGGCGCATAAGAGCCCCCCGCGAGCGCGAGATGCGCCGATCACCCATCGGCTGAGGGGCACGGGCACATCCACCCCTGAAAGGACGCGGGCCAGCCGTGCCGACACCGATGCTTCTATATCCGTCGAATCGTTACTAGCGGGCAAAGGTCTAGGTTTATCTTCCGAACCAATCGCACTTCAAAAAAAAGCTTTTGGAATTCGAAGGCGGGCGTCCAGGTAGCACGTGTATGATTGTCGACTTGTGAGTCGCTCGACAATCTCGATACTCTCTTTGCAAACAGCAACGGGAGGTGACGAATATAGTGCCCTAGGCCCTAATTTTACCCTCTAATCATCTCTATAGGCGGCCTAATAGAGAAGTTAATAGTAAAGACCTATAGAGACCTATAGACCTTAATTCCGGCAGAAGGTTCCATGACATCACAGCAACATGATTCAGTTTGGGCGCAATTTGGAAACGGTTGCTTTACGGAGCATAATGTTTGGATTTATAGCCCTTGTTACGCTGGACTGTCATGGTCTTGAAACAACATGTTGATCTCTTGGGGAATGAACATTACTTCCTGGGACCTACACATGGCGAATAACTTCGGATTGATCATTCCAAAAACTAAGGTGGATAAAGGACGCAAGTCCCTACATGCTGTTTGCAGAAACATCAAAGATCTGCCTGGCGTGGTTCCATCTATTCGTCGTGTCATCTATTCGTCATTCCATCTAGTCGTCAATCCATCTATCCGTCAGCCCCCAGTAGTATATAACTGTAGCTTTAACCTTCTATAAAAAGAAACAGAATAGCTCTATCTTCATCATCTATAAAATGATCAGGCCCTTTTATCTATTTGCCAATTCCCAAGCCGTCTATGCAGCAAAGCTGCACAATCTGCCCAACTCCATGCAACGAAGAAATTTGTCGAGCAGCTCCTCGTCATATTTCTATATGACCATCGACGCCTTGTCTCACAAATCGCGTCGTGTGAGACTTGAACAAAACCGAAGTATCCAAAACCTCCCCCGTCGCCGAGCGAATAAAATCCACGCGCAGGTGCTGAGCGTCCTCAAAGCGCAGCGTCGCATACGCAAAGTCGTCGTTGTACGCGAAGGCGTTGATGTCCGGAATCGCCCCAAACTCCTCCAGGCCCTCTATGTTGCCCGTGCCGCCGGAGATGACGTACATGGGCGCCTCCGGGTCGTCGAGGCCGGCGGGGTCGGCGACGCCGTCGTAGGTCGGCCAGTAGCGCTGCGAGTTGTGGACGTGGCCAAAGACGCCGACGTCGACGCCGTACTTGTAGAAGAGACCCTCGAAGGCGGCCCGGCAGGAGACGCACCCGGGCCCGCTGGCTACGTACCAGGGGCGGTGGCCGGCGACGACGAGCCACGGCGTGACGGCGCGGTCGACGGAGGCGAGGTCGGCCTCGAGGAACTCGAGCTGCTGATTGGGGGCGCCAAAGGGGCCGCTGTCGTAACCCTCACTGCCTCCAACCTCGTCCGGAGCGTTTTTAAAGTCCGTTTCGGTGTCAATCATGACAACGTGTGCCATGCCGTAGTCGAACGAGAACCAGAAAGGAGGCTTGGCGAGCTTCTGGGCCTTGTTGGCGTTGATTTTGGCATAATGATCGTCCGACTTGGACTCAAAGGCCGTCGGCATATTGTCGCCAAAGCGTACCCTAAAGTCTGTAAAGTTCTTCTGTCCCTCGGGGCAGAACTCGCTCTTGTGATGTCCGAGTCCGCAGGCAGCTTCGTGGTTGCCGGGGCTGACCATGTAGGGCTTGCGCTGCGAGATGGGGGCCAGCTGTAGATAGAATCTCTCAAGAATAGCCGCAAAGGCATTCTCGCCGTCTTTCTTGTTGGCTGGGTTCTTGGACCAGGTATCCGCATAGCCGAGGTCACCAGGATGGATAATGAGCTCATAGTCGTCGATGGTGGTAAGGAGTCGACCAATGGTGGTGTGGTTCATGGACATGGGGATGTCGGGGATGTTATCGCGTTTACCATGATTTTTGCTGATTGTGTACCCGTCTTGGCCGTACGCTCCGAGATCGATAATGGCATTCATGCTGAATGGCGTCTCATCGCCGGCGGCGCGTGGGCTGAGGAACTGTTCGACAACGGACTGGCCGCCAACAATCTTATAGTAGTATTTGGTGGCTGGCGTCAGGTTGCGAAGGACGACGGAATGGAACCAAGTACGAGAGCTCGGGTATATAATTGAATCCTTCTCGGCGCAGAGCTTGTTGCTGAGCTCTGTCGCCGTTGTCCCCCACTCGATGCAAGCCTGGTCCAGCGGCTCATATGTGTTCCAGCTGATGGCCATGCCTGGTGGTTTCGGTTTCCACTATTAGCCGCATCTTCAACGGGAGCAGGACTCCAGAGGGTTTAACGAATCAAGATGCAACTCACTGCCCGGGCCGTCAATGGCAATGCGCTGCTGGACTGGCGTCGCCAAGTCGGCGGGCTTGGAAGGGAAGGTCGCGGTCGCAGAGGTGCTGGCAGCAAATGCCAGCCAGGCCGCGAGACTCTCGAAGGGAGCCATCATGACCGGATGTAGATGACGTGATGATGTCTTGGTTACGGTGAGGAGGAGGAGGATCGAGATGTTCCGGGGATCAGTAGGACGGACTAGCAAATACTTGGACGTGATGGAGACAAAGTCAGTCTTATAACCCAAAGGTTCCCACCAGTCTATGTCTAGTTCCAGATGCAAGCCATAGTTTTTTTCTCTTTGAAATAGTCGCGCAAAGAATGCGCAGGATAAAATCTTGATTTCTGGTGACTTGCATCAAAGATTGTGGAACTAGTTAGCATCAGGGACACCCGCAAATGCTATCCTAGCTCCTACATCGAGCCCAGTTCAGTAAAAATCAACCAATAACAATGAATCCTTTGTAACTGGCAGCCCTCATGGTGGAGGGGAGCCCATGGTGCCCATGGGCTCCCTCCCGGTGCTGCTGCTGTAGTTGCTGGCATGGCATCCCACGTTTCCACTTCAGCGCGATGATTGGCGATGCTAGCTTTCGATTCTGTTTTATCTTCCACTCAGTTTCTCTTGGCGCATGTGAGCAATCAGGCATAATGAGGTTTTTATTTGTCTCATGCCGGAGCATAAAGAATCAGTGCAGATTCTTGAATTGTTAGTTCCGGAGCAACATGGGAGGCCTGAGTACCGGGTGCTATCTCCTTGTCCGTCTGATATGGCATTACTCTATATTATCATACATCTAACCCATAGATTTAAACATGTACCTGGCGGGAACAGATTCGGCGTACAGCTTATCATCCCTGCCAAGACTAGGGATTCCCGGCTTGGGAGCCGATGTACTACCTACAGCGTGCCTGCCAGTCATGACTGCCCCCGGTTTTCCCCAGCTTCACTAACACTATTTGGATGATTAATTCAGTATTCGCATCTTCTAATTCTTGTTTTTGCCCTCTAGCTAAACACAGTCCAGGGTGGCTGCTTTGTCTTGTGTCGGCAGTGGCTTGGCTTGGCTACTTCATTAGCTGCGAGTGAGATGTCGGGGGTCACAAGATCCAGTGGGTTGTCAGGTACCTTGACGGCCTGCCTACATATGTATGTACTGTATGTATGTATGTACATACATACATACATAGCCTGGCTGCAGGCACAAACAATCACGGGCAACTAGGCAGCTTCATCAATAGCTCGACTTTTCATCATCAACCATCGTATACTCGCATCATAGCCCGCATTTGCTTCATTCATTCATGTCTTTTTAAATCTGATTTTATCTGCAATGCATCGACACATCCTCCTCGGTGCCGCTCTGGCGCTCGCTACCCGCGCCTCGCAGCCTGGAGCTCTAGAGCCGGTCCCCGCGCCATTACGAGACCTCAACTGGGGTCAGCTCAACTTCCTCCACACGACAGATACACACGGATGGCTTGGCGGACATCTTCTAGAGTATGTACGACGCGTTTTTCTTGGCTGCCGGGTGCGCTAAAACCCTCGATGCCTGCGCTAATCTGCCATCGTTTCCGACAGAGCTCAATACTCGGCCGACTGGGGCGACTACATCTCGTTTTCCAAGCACCTTCGCAAGAATGCCGACGATAAGGGCGTCGACCTTCTCCTTGTCGACACCGGTGACCGCATTGAAGGCAACGGCCTGTTCGATGCCTCCTCACCCAAGGGCCTCTTCCAATACGACATATACCGCGAGCAGGACGTCGACCTCATCTGCATCGGCAACCATGAGCTCTACCAGGCGTACTCGGCCGACCGCGAGTTAAATACCACGGTACCCAATTTCAAAGACAAATACATTGCATCCAACCTTGATGTTATAGACCCCAAAAGCGGCGAGCGGGTACCGCTTGCCCAGCGCTACAAAAAGTTCACGACCAAGAACCAAGGCATTGACATTGTCGCATTTGGCTTCCTCTTCGATTTCACCGGCAACGCAAACAACTCTTTTGTGCAAAAGGCGCAAGATACTGTCAAGGAGCAGTGGTTCCAGGATGCCATAAAAGAAAAGACAGACGCTTTCGTCGTGATTGGGCACGTCGGCCTACGAATGCCCGAATTCGAGACAATATTCAGCGCTATCCGAAAAGAGAACTGGGACACGCCGATTCTCTTCTTCGGCGGCCACGCTCATGTTCGTGATGCTCGGCAGTTTGATTCCAAATCGATTGCCATGGCGTCGGGCCGGTACTTTGAGACTATCGGATGGATGTCTGCCGACGGTATCAAGGCCAACGCCGCCGAGGTCCCCCCTGACGTGACCGCCGCGGCCTCAAGCCCCAAGTTCACACGCAGATACATGGACACGAACCGTTATGGCATGTATTACCACAGCGGCACGAATGCCTCTAGCTTCGACACTGAACAGGGCAAGCGCGTTACACAGATGATTTCCAGGGCTCGCAAAGCTCTGGATCTTGACCACCAGTTTGGATGTGCGCCGAAAACCTTGTGGATGTCACGCGCCAAGTATCCTAGCGAGGATAGCATTTTCTCTTGGCTCGAGAAGGAAGTGCTCCCTGGCGTCGTTCATCACCCCAAGCGCAAGGACAAGGCGCGCTTGGCGATCCTGAACACGGGTGGCATCCGCTTCGATATTTTCAAGGGCCCCTTCACAAGGGATAGCACGTACATTGTGAGCCCTTTTACTAGCAACTTCAACTTCATCCCCGACGTCCCCTACAGCATCGCGAAGAACATCCTCACTCTGCTCAATGGCGCAGATAAAATCTTTGCCGAGGCTGGCCGGGAGACCAAGTTTCTCACCATTCCGGAGCAGATGTTTCCTGTTAAGCAAGAGGAAAAGCCGGATACATCATCGGACTATGAGCACCTTGAGCTTCGCAGCAACCGCGACGACGATGTCGGTCTCCCCCTGACCGAGGGTTACACAACCGTCGACGACATTGGCAAGGACGGTGACGACACCGTCCACAAGGCTGTCGCTTTCCACAACGTCCCCAACTGCATCCAGGCCGAGCTTGGCTTCCCCACAGACGGCAGCGCCCCCGAGACGGTGGACCTCGTGTTCCTCGACTTTGTGCAGCCGTGGGTCGTCCTCGCCCTCAAGTTCGCGGGCGGCACGCAGGGCGCTGACGACGTGCAGAAGTACATCGACGGCACGTTTACGTATAGGCTCTCCGAGTGGATCCGGGAGAACTGGAAGGGTGATTGCTAGAGCTAATATATTTAGTCGGGCTGTTTCGTGGGCCGTGTGATGTGACGATCTTTGAGATTTATTAGCGGATTTACTTCAGAACAAGATGCGAACCGTGCAACCTTTGCACTTGGATACCGGATTAGCACATTTCATGTAGACTTATGACAAGCTTTTTAATATTTATGCATTACATTCAAAACAATTATCTTCTGACTCGTACTAATTCCTGATGGTACTACACAACATACCGTCTATAGCCTTCCTCAACTGCACCTCTTTTATCTTCAAAATTTCCAGCATCATTTTACTTTTTCTAGATGAACGCTTCCCATCTGCGGTTGATTTGATTGCGGCGGACCTAGAGGAAAGAAATTAGCTTTCTAGAAAATTGACTAAGCAAAGAAACGTGCGGCACATACCATGGGAGCCAGGAACAAAACGCCGGCGGTGAGCGCCAACACTGTCGAGACGAGCGTCAGCTTGTTGAAGCCCTTGCCGAGGATGTCGAAGAGGCCGCTGGGCACGACGCGCGTGGCGTAGACGTCGATGCCGTAGGCGACGAGCAGGCTGGTGCTCTCCACAACAGCAGGCGCAGCAGCGAAGCCAGCAACACCGAGCACCTCCCAGTCGTGGGAGAGCACGTTGCGGGCGTCAATCTCGATTGCGGGCGCGTAGCGCGGCAGGCCCTCGGCCTCGATCTCGTTGGCCGTGGGGTCGCGGCCGACCGGGCGGCGGGGGTCGAGCAGCACGCGCGGCAGGGCGACGACGGCGCGCGACTCGGGCAGGTACGCGACGAGGCCGCGGCTGGCGATGCCCTGGCGGGTCTGCGTCACGGCGAGACGCGTTAACGGCTGGGAGACGACCCAGCTCTGGGAGGCGAGGAAGGGCAGGGCTGGGCCGGCGACCGGGTCCTCGACGGGGGCGAGGGCGGAGAAGCGGGCGTCGTCGCCGAGCGGGCCGCGGTCATTGGGCGCCTCGGACTCGTACAGGTCGGAGACGACGACTTGGTAGCCCTGGATGGAGCGGCCCGAGTCGTCGTCAAGGCGGTAGCGCCCGAAGAAGGCGCAGGCGAACCAGTTCTCGGACATGGTGCAGGAGATGGACTTGGTCGCGTCGACGCCGTCGTGGCTCTCGGCGGCAAGCACCTGGCCCGAGATGGTGTCAATGAGCTTGACGGATAGGACGGACGTCTTGTCGTCAATGAGGGCGACGACGGCGGTGTTGGGGTTCAGGTACTTGTACTGGACCTGCCTATCGCCGAGGACGCGGCCGATGGACGCTACGGGGTCGTGGGTGGGCAGCGTGGCAACGTCGACGATGCGCTGGCCGGCGGCAGCCTTTACCTCCCAGATGTCCTGCTTCTTGGTCTTTTTTCCATCCGCGACAATCTTAATCCCCTTAACGGATTCGCCCTCGCCGCGGACGATGAAGGTCTGATCGGCAAGTTGGCCACCGAGGGTCTCGTCGGCAGGATGCCCGTCAGGTCCAAGCGCAAGGAGCCAAGCAGAAGTCTCACCCTCGACAATGGCGGTGCTGGAGATGACCGGCGTGGTAGAGCCGGCCGTCTTGGCCTCGTCAATGTGACCGTCAATGGCTCGGATCAGAACAGACTCGCCACGCGCTCCACGCATGGCAACGACTCCAGTCTCGTCGGTCACGGCGAATCCCTTGACCTTGAGGGACTCGCCGGCAGCCTGCGGTAAAACATTCTTTGTCCAAAGGACTGCACCCTTGTTGCCTGTGTCAAGACCGTAGAAGCGACCACGGCGGGTGGCCAGCACGACTATCTTGTTGAAACCAAAAACGTCTGCGTAGAGACCGCCAGTGGTAGAAGCCGGCTCGTCGCCGGCGATGCTTGCGAGGATGTTACCAGGGATAGATGCCAGGTAGCCTGGAAGATATTGGAGATCGTCGATGTGGCGCAGAACTCGGTTGATGTAGGCGCTGATGGGGTTAGCATCGACCTCTGCAGCGAGGACCTTGGCCAGGTTCTCTTGTTCGGGAATCTCAGCCCAAACCGCAGCCACGCTACCGCTGAGTCCTTCGTGACGGACCCAGTCCCTTTCGCCATTCCGGATCTGGATCCAGTCGTGGTCTTCTGTGAGAATGGCAGTACGCACAGCATACTCGCCGCCAGACTTGTGGATGACTTCGGACACGGAGTGAATTGGCTTCACGGCACCGCCGGATTGAATCTTCCATCGCGCAACACCTTCGTGTGAGTCGGAGGGGAGGACTTGGATTTCGTCATCGGTGATTCTCGTAAAGTAGACGTTGGCCGCTTCGCAGCTGGTGGAAAAGGAGCCGCGACCTGGCAGCTGAGGCAGCTCGTGGGTCTTCTTGATCTGCGCGTTCTTGATGTCAACCCTGTACACTTCGGCTCTGTTTCCGGAGTTGGAGGCCATGTGCACCAAGAAGCGAGCCTGGGATTCCTTTAGGTAGGGCGCCTGGATGTCCACAAACTCGACGTCCGAGGCTAGCGCAATATCGTGCTTCGTTTTGGTGCCGAGGATCTGGATGCTGAGCTTGTCCTTGCTCCTCCACGCGATGATTGGAGCAGCGGAGTTGCCGCCAACAAACATGACGTCCTCGGGCGACGCAACGTCGCCCTTGGTACCGACGGTCCATTGATCCACGCGCTTGCCGTTGCTAGGGTCCACCGAGGTCGTCTTCACGCTGTACGAGGAGGGCGATCCGTGCAGGCTGACAATGTAAATGTTCGCGATGTCGGTCGAAACTTGGAGGGGGACATCCTTGGTCGTCTCGCGAAACTCCCACATGACGGTGCCCTGGCCGCCGTGGAGGCGCCGCAGGACGGTGGTGCCGTCCTCGTCAAACAGCGCCAGCACGTCCTTGCGCGACGTCTCCGTCACCTCGACGACCTCGACGTCCCGGGCCTCGCCCGAAAACTCGGCCGACCAGACGCTCCGGCCCGTCAAGCCATTCCACGCCTGGACGCGGGGGCCCTGGGCGGTCACCACCCACTCCTCGTCCGCGGGGGCGCGCAGGTGCCCGGCGGGGCTGCCGGAGAAGTCGTCGTCGTCGTCGGAGAGTCGATGGCGCCACACCGCCTCGCCGCTGGCCGGGTTGACGGCGCCGACGACGCCTAGGTCGCTAAGCGTGTAGAGGAGGCTGGCCTTGGTGCCGAGCTTCGGGCGGTGGTAGAATGTCGCTTCGCGCTGCGGGAGGCCGACTAGGGAGTGGTGGAAGTCAATGTGGCCGACTTCATCCTTGAAAATGGCTGCCGCCAGCGCCGAGAGGCCTAATAGCAGCGCTGATTGGAATTGGCGCCGCATAGTCGACAAAGATCTGGGGGTTTATGCGACGTTCTGCTTGAGGTGCCTGCCTCGTAATGGAGCTCGTACCTAGAGCTGCGTGTTGGCCAAATCGAGAAAGCTTAGTCATCGAAGTCACTAGCAAGCTTAAGATATTGAAGTAAGGTGGCTTAATATTTAGTACATGTCTTAATAGTAAAGGAAGTATGTAATTTTTAAGTAGATTAGCAAAATATATATTTAGATTCCTAGTAGACTTCTTCCTTTTTCTCGGTGTCCCGTGCTCTGTGAGCTTTGTAGTTCACACCACGTAGGTAACGTAGGTTGTGCAACTCTAGAACGAAGATGAGAAAACAGTTGGGTTTAGTTACACTGAGAAAGCAGACATGTTTAAGATAACTTAATCAAAAGCTCGTGTAGCCTAGCTCTTTGTCAGCAATCCTGATCACAGCCGTTGATCAAATAATTGTAAAATAGCGGCGTGCCTAGGCGATTGCTGTGTCATGGGGGCATGGCTGACTTCTGCCTAATAATCTGCATAGTTGAAAAGATACAATCACGAAATTATTCGACTTTAAACGCGTGATGAGTCATTCAAGGTCCCGGTCACATCTTGAGGTGCAGATGGCCGCTGTAGCATCGCATCGTGTGCGTGCTCCTGTGGTGGAGTTTATCTACTTTACATAGCGCAACCGACTGTGGCGTTCACAACAGCTGAAAGTCATGTTGGGGTTAAAAGAATCAGTGTTGAAGTTTTTAGTGCCAATCTTTATTATATACATCGTTTGAAGGAGCCGCAGGGCTGGTCAGAGTCCTGCCACCGCAGTACCGCTTGTTGGGTACTCGGCCGGGGCGCACTCGCGACGTCATATTCAGCTGTGAAGGGTGCCACCAGATCAACGGAAAATACACTTTTTCAGAGCGGCTGTATTGGGTGCCTAGATTTCAGGCACCGAACCCTGCTCACACATAAGCAGGGCGGTAATGGCGGCCCCGTGGCGGCCTCGGGCCACTCATGCGACTCGGCCGCGAGGCTGACTGACGCCGGGGTCAGTTGACCAGACTTGGAGGTGTATGTGACCTGAGAGCCCAAGGCAACCACACGCTGCGAAAATTCCTATTAAATCGTGTATCTTTAATCAACGGCCCTTTTGTGTCTTGATTCGCCTCCATGTATGTATTTTCCCAAAATGAAGCTTGTTCTCCTTTGCGTAGGTGGCCACTGTTGGTTGCTGGTCACTAACTAGAAGGCTGTGGTATTTTTCGACTTCACGCCCAACGGTTTACACAGCCCAGTGCCGTTTCACTTCCGAACATGACCTAAGGACGTGAACGATCCGTATGACCAATAAAGACGCAAATGGCCCTTGCATGCGCCATCCCGTTTTTTGACATGTGCCTCCGCCGGCTCGCTCACCATGTCCCGCCGACTGTGCCTGAGGTGGCAAAATATGTAAAAACACTCTTCCTCTGGCAACCGGCTTTAAACTTGCGTTGCATATAATCTCAGGCTCATATGCAGATAATCCATCTGAATATGCCAGATCTAAGCGCTTATTATTGGGCAGCGATTCGGTAAGTGCCTGCGCCACCACCCCAAAGTCACGAACGAGCCGTTCCTGCAAAGCATCAATCCTTTGACAACATGGTATTCCTGACTCCAAGTTTACCCCATTCATTTCACTCTCTCATCGACGTTTTTCTGTTTGTCCATCTTCCATCCGGTGCATGCGCCCCAAACCCCGCTTGGGCCGCCGATGATGGCCGCCGATGAGAACTGGCCTCGATGGCCGCGGCCATACCGGCCCATTAGGCAGGCAATTTCGAGGATATCTTGACAAGGGGAACTGGCTTAAATACAGGTTCAATCTTTCATCCTCTATTAGCAATTTAGTTACATCCCCCATCTTCATCACACTTCTGCACTGTTGTGGCATCGCTGCATCACTCCCCTACTCTGTCATACTGTCCGTCGCCCGAAGAATTCGAGTTTGACGTGGTCACCTGCCCATCGCTCATCTTCACCATTCACCTGCACAAACCTGTGAGGCTTTCTCTGTCCCAAATCTGCTGCCTTGACCAGCCCACGCCTTGTCTTGCGCCTGCGCCTGTCCTTGTGAAGGTTCCCAGAGGACGCGACGTCCCTGTCAGCAGCCTCGGTTTGTGCCAGTCAGACCACCACTTCACAGTAGACCAAGTAGTCGGCTGTTCATCCCATCAAGCCTCATTCTCGGACACCTCTGTATCTTCACTACTTATTACGCCTCTCCTCCTTCTTCACCGCCGCCATGAGCTTTCCCTACTACCACAGCTACCCGAGGACTGTCAACTACGACGACCATCGCTACACTACCAAAATTCGCATCAGAACGCCTAGTCTCAGCTTTTCGAGCTCCCAGTACAGCTCGTCTCCAGCATCAAGCGAGCTCCGCTACTACGGCTACAGTCCCCGCGACGGCCACTACTACAACTACCACCACAACTACTGCTACGGCGGCGCCGGCCCTTCATATCCGGCATACTCGCCAAGCTGGGAGCCCAGCAGAGCAACGTCGCCACGGCCGTACAGCCAGCGAATAAGAATTCGAAGCGACGAATGTCTAGACGAATCACCATCGAGACCTCCGCCTCGGGCCAGCAGTACGTATCGATACAGCGGTCGCGATCGGGCAGCCGCCAGACCCATCACCATCACCACCTCCCGCCGAGCCAACCACCGCACCACCACCATCACCATCACGAGTATGTGAGGGTGCTGAGGGAGACGTGGAATCGCATGCTGGAGAGGGAGGCGGTGCTGGACAAGACCAACAAGGGCCTCCTCTGCGAAGTCGCCAACTTGAAGAAGGGCTTGCAGGCTGCCCAGGCAGAGGCGCATCGACTGTGCAGCGTCGTCATACCACAGTTGGAATGTCAGATCAACAATCTTAGCGCCGAGAATGAGGCGCTGAGACGCGAACTGCAAAACGCCACGGGAAGCTGTGGACGACATCACGCGGAGATTGAAGCGCTGCGGATACGCATCTGCCACCAAGACAAGGAGATCAAGGACTTGAAGTACGACAAGGCCTGTCTGGAGCGGAGGGTTGAGGATTTGTTGCGGCAAATCAACCAGCACAGATGCGGCGGCTGCCAAGGAGGCTGCAGCAGGCGAATAGAAGATCTGGTGCGCGACGTAGCGCACTGGAAGGAGAGGTTCTTGGACATGCAGGATCGGCGGAATGCTCTGTCCGATTTGGCGGATGAGCAGACAAGGAAAATACGCGCATATGAAGACATTTTGCGGCGTCATGGAATTACTTGTCCTTGACTTTTGTGGTGTTTGTAACTTTTGTATAGTTTAGCATCGTTGTTGGTTCAGGATTGATTCATGCCCGTTGTAGGTAAAGGGTGGACTAGCCAAGTGGCTAATAGCACTATTATATAGATACCAGCTAGTCGACATTTTAAATTTATGCCTATCAATTGTATCTGGATTCATTATAAGATATCCGCGTGCAATACTGGCTCAACCATGACGACCCTGTAGACGGGACTGCACAGTTAGGGTAAGTAAGCCGTCCTCAGTATTGCAATAATCAAACGGCCATACGTCATGCGGAGATTTGTATTCTTGCCAAGCAAGTACTTAGATGAAATATTTTGTAGCACTGCATAAGTAATCGTGGAGGTTGTGAGGAAACGGTAACCTGCCTGCGTCACCGGATTGCCTCGTATTATGCGCAGCAGGCAGATGTTGTGTAAGTTAACAAACCTGTGCCTCAGCCCAGTCACGTTAATCGAACGCCTCGGTAGCTATTATGACATGGCATTGTATTTGCTTTTTTTACCTCGTGCGTTAATGAGTATGCTGTGCTACTTAATCTTGATGCGCGCACTGCGGATGTCTGGGTTTCCGAGGGCAGTCAAGTCTAAGTCCAGGTCGTAGTAAGTAGGAACCAACCGGCCGGCGACAGATGACAGGCAGCAGTGCCCACGCTTCGATCAATGGCAAAAGAATAATAATAAGCATGTTTACGGCGTGCGTGACAACGTTAAGCATAGAGGACGGGATCTGGGTTCTATTGTCTCTCGTTTGGGTGACGGGTCTGGTTTGACGAGGGCAGCCGTTGCGCATCTTGCAAGCCTAAACGTGACGTAGACAGACAGGATGCCGAATTCGTTTTGACTCTTAAGTTTTGCAGCCCGCTTTCCAGACTAGGCAATCTGAAATTTCTAAGGCGACTGTATGCGTCATGATGCAAGCTCCCGAGGCCCTTCTCGACTCTGCAGCCGCAGCCTCCAATGCGCATCAGCGAGGCAAACTAATGGGTTAACGGTCAGCGATATCGCTGAAGTGTAAAATCCAAGGAAAGTATGGAACGCCTTTTCAACGTGTTCGAGGACCCCTGAATACTCTCATAATTTCACAGTACAGATATACCCGTCTTTGTTTCTTTGTGCTGGATGTAGCCGGCCCGCTCCCGGTCCACCGCCTTATACCGCCCCTTGATGGGCAGGGCAGCTGGTCCGGGATCCCCTCCCCCCCAAAAGGAGCATTAATCTTACTGCTGTTTGCCTTTTCCACGCATTTCGAAAGACTGTCCCGAGCCGACTCACGGGATGACTTGGTGTCACGGGAACTCGTTCACAGCGTAACGCCCATGCGGGGCAAATAGGCATCATCAGACGGTTTGGCACAGATTGTGGAAGAGAGCCCAAGGAGTTGATGTTTGGTTGGTACTGCTTCGAGCGAAGTCGGTCAAAACAAAGACGGTTCCTTGCCTGCTGGCTGGCAACTCGTCGCACGCCTAACGATGGTGCCCCTGCGAGGAGGCGAGGTGACACCGCCGGCCTCGGGCGAGTCGCAAGCTTGGCGCTGGAGCTGGGAAAGCATTTTCAGTTCTTTCCTTTATCCCTGTGTTTTTTTTTTTTTTTTGCACATTTGCCTTTTCCTTGACTTGAAAATGGCGGCGTCGGTTGGGTAAGAATGGGCGCGGGTTTGCTCACGAGGCAGAAAATCGCGGGAGCGAGCTGGGCACACAATGGACAACTCTCTTTTTTTTTGCCGCCGTGTGTGTTGGACAAGTCTAGACAATCTTTCATGCTTCTTGGTCATCGCATTACACTTGTATCACAATAAAGGCAAAATCCACACCCTGTATCTCCAGCTAAATTGGGGACACGACGAGGCAGCGCTTGCGAAGGGGGACTCGTTACACAGGCACATGGACGTTTATACAAGACACAGCCGCCTCCTACCAGAGAAGACGGGAAGACTGTCAGCGCGAAGTGTTTTTCTGCGAATGGTTTTTGAACAATTATAGATCATAAAAGGTATTATTCCAAGCTTCCTAATCCACCACCTCCTCGCTCAATCGTTTGAATCCTGTATGTCAATGTCACCTAAAGCTCATTAGTCGACCACCTACTCACTCCTTTCCCTTCCCTCAGCGACAATAGTTAGAGCCACAGCCAAAATGACATACAACACGGTCGCCGTCTTCGAAATGGTCAAAAAGCTCCAGGATATGCGCTGGGACCATCAGCGCGACCACAATTGGGTAACCCTGGCCAAGGACGCGGAGGAGATCCTTCAGAAACAGGAGCAGGTCATCCAAGACCAGGTCAACAAGCGGCGTGAAGCTTCCTTGGAGCGCGAACAATTGCGGCAAAATGTCAAGAGCCTTCGGCGCCAGCTTCGCGGGATGGGCGTGGAGCCCCGCGGCAGCAGCCCGCGCTCGCGCTCGCGAAGCCGCGGTCACCGCGACAGCAACACGAACATCAACAACAACAACAGCAACCGCCGGGACAGCAGCAGTACAAGGGGTCGGAGCAGCAGCCACATAGGAAACAACGACCGGACCCGGAGCGCCAGCAACAACAGGGGCCGGAGCGGAAGCAACCATATGGGCCGGGGCGGCAGCAACAGTAGGTGCCGGGGCGGCAGCAACAGTAGGTGCCGGGGCGGTAGCAACAGCAACAGCAGGGGCCGGGGCGGCAGCAACAATAGGGGCCGGAGCGGCAGCCGCGGGCGGCGGCACCGCCGGGGAAGTAGCGACGACCCCCGACACGTGCGCTTCGCGGATAGGCCGACGTCGCCGCCGCGAGCCAATATGGCGCGCGAGCGCCAGCGGCGCCAGTACCACATGTCGGGGGACCAGATCCCCGGCGCTCGCGGTCGCAGCCGCAGCCGCAACCGCAGCCGAAACAGAGACGACAGCGGCGGCTTTCGCCCGCATCGCGATAGGATGTTCGACCGGTTCGAGCACCGGCATCCTCCCATGCCTCCCCGCGGCCGCACCCCGCCGTGGGGCAGGGGGGGCGGGTCGCCGCCGATGCACCATCCTATCCCGCCGATGCCCCCGATGCCACCGATGCCCCCAATGCCGGTACCGATGACGCCAATGTCGATGCCGGGTGACTTCATCCCTCCCCCCTTCGTGGATCCTCTCGGCCATCCCCCCATGTTCTCGCCAGAATGGGGGGAGCCATTTGTGCACGGAGGCGGTCCGTTCATGTAAAGAGAGTTGGTTGGTGCCTGAAGCTCATGCAGCATTATTCCTCAGCGTATATAATAAGAAGTGACTTACTGGAATATACAAAACCCGCAATTGGGGCTTTCTTCTCTCCTCGATATGTTTGGGGTTTCCTGGTGTAAGCAAACCTCATTGTTTGTCTCCCATTGTTGTCGCATGACGTAACGGCGTGCATTCGTGGGGAAATGGAACGTCCATGTGTCGTGCTTCCTTGGCAACAGTGCGTTTTGAAGCCCAATCTGGCTTGTTCCCGACACAAGCTGCAGATGCATGTACATCGGTGCGGTTGACCCGATTACGGGCGCGTCCCCACCTGACGGTGACTCGGAGCTCCGATGAGCAATTGCAAGAGTATTTCTTCGTCCTTCTCCTCCAAATCATCTTCGTGGAGAAAGATTCCGTTTCCGCAGCTGAATACTGGTCCGTTTCGTGGTCGACTCAAACGTCACAGGTAGTGCTTTGCGACATTGCATTCCGGCGCCGAGAGCCGTACATTGGAGCTCTCTAGGCGACAGACACCAAAACAAAAACGCCGCCCAGCCCATCCATCCATCCATCCACAAACAGCCGCAACCGCAGCCTGACTCCGGCGAAACCATTTCGTCAACCTTCTTCTCGTCGCCAACCCTTCATCTCATCGACCTCTCACTCTTCATCTCATCGACCGCTCGCTCTTCTCTCATCGACCGCTCACTCTCTTCTCATCAACCGCACACTCACCCTCTCATCGACCGCTCACTTTCTTCTCATCGACCGCACACTCACCCTCTCATCGACCGCACACAGCCCGTAGAGACGAACATGAAGCTCTACGACACCCTCTCTGACGACCTCGCTGACTGGGTCCGGCAGCAGCCCGTCTTCTTCACCGGCTCGGCCTCCACCCACGGGCCGCACGTCAACGTCTCGCCCAAGGGCCTCACCGACTCGCACTTCGCCGTGCTCTCGCCCACCCGCTGCGCGTACATCGACCGCATGGGCTCCGGCTGCGAGACCATCGCCCACAGCTACGAGAACGGCCGCCTGTGCCTCATGTTCATGAGCTTCGGACCCACCCCGCGCATCCTCCGCATCTTCTGCCGCTCCTCCGTCGTCGAGTGGGACAGCCCCCGCTTCCCGGACCTCGTCCGCGCCGTCTCGCGCGGCTCCAAGAACGCCTTTGACGGCGCCCGCGCCGTCATCGTCTGCGACGTCTGGCAGGTCCAGACGAGCTGCGGCTACGGCGTGCCGCGCGTGAAGAAGGGCATCTACGCCGCAGACGACGGTAGCAAAGAGGATGACGAGGCGGATCGTGCCTCGCAAAAGCCTGGCGGCGGCGGCGATGCGACCGTCGATATGGAGAAGCTGCTCCGCGAGGGCCGCGACGAGGGCCAGAAGCTCACGGAGCTGTGCGTCTTTGAGCAGCGCCCGCACCTCGACTACTGGTCCGGCATCATGGTCAGCAGGAACACGGCTCACAAGTATCAGGCCCAGAACAACTCAAGCAGCATGGATGGCCTGCCTGGCCTGAAGGCGGCGCGTCGCGATAACAAGGAAGTGCTCTGGCTCGGCGATGCAGCTGCCTATCTGCGACGCACCTCTGCAGAGAAAGTGTCGGTGATTATTGGCTTCCTGCTCGGGGTATCCTTTTATTTTATACTTGCGGTGCTGAACTTAGTGCCACATTGATCATATGATGACTTGCCACATATTTTTTACTGCAGAGTAACAGATTGTAATGATTACGTATTGTGTTGCGCACTCTAAGGTCTGTCAAGGCTAATTATTTTGTTGACTGTCCGCTGTGAGATTCTCCGCGCCACCATACACCGTCTGTGCTAAACACATTTCCAATAATGAGCCGTGTTTCAAGTTGGGAAATTTCTGTGTTATCGCCATATGATAATGGGAAGTTTCTGGGTGCCTTTGAGGGAAATGTGATGTCGTACGCGCGGTGAATTTCTTCTTGCTCAACATGGCGTACCATGGCCAGCAGAGGGCGACACAAGATGTCCTCAAAGCAGCGGACGTAAATCATGTACCACGGTGCTTGGCCTTCGTCAATTTGTGCTGGCGCCCCGCGCGGGCGCTATGTTGGCCCGTCTGCACGCTGGCAAGCACACGGGACGGGAAAGAAATGGCATGTTTTATGCATGTTGGCCCTTGGCTCATCCTAACGTTACCGGCGCCGCATTCTTTGGTGCAGCCTGACCTGCGGAAGCACTAGTCGCTTGGGCATTGGAGGCACCTCCTCCATTGTTCCCCCGGCCACCTCTACCCCGGCGGCCGCGTCTTGTAGGTCCGCCTTCGGATCCCTTCTCTTTCTCTTTCTCGCCGGTCTTCGACTTGTCCTTGTCCCCTTCCGCGGAGACAGATGCTGTACCTGCGACTGTAGGAGGGCTCGTTGTTGTTGGCTTCTTATCTTTGCGCTCCAGAATCTGCACCGAGCACTGTGCAACAGCCAAGGGGCTTGCATTCACTGCCTTGACAAGTCCGCCATGGTCAGCAAAGTCGACGTAAGCAAATGATTTGCGCTTGTCCATCTCAATGGCCGTGATGGTTCCAAGCGGCTCCAAGGCTTGCCGGAGTGCGACTTCGGTAACTCCTTGAGATTGGATAGCATGCTTTACAAATGCTCTTGTTGCACCTGCCGTGACTGATTGCAGCTTCTTTTGTGACTGGCCAGCCTTGCTATTAGTCGCCGTAGGCTTCAAGTTCTTATCCGTTGCCGGTTTCAGCGCTGTAGTCTGCTGGTTGGTTGATCCCGTGGTGGAACCAGCTGTGCTGCTTGACGCATTTGCTTGCCCTTCCGGTTTCTTCTTGAGAATCACAGGTGGGTTGATTGTTGTGGATTGTAACTGGCCTTCAGGGGCTGTGGTCACCTTCGCTCCATTCTTGGCCTCCCGGCCCCTTCTTCCTGATTGGGGCTTTCCGGTTGTACCATTGACTTTTCCTTTGCCCTCCTCGGTCGTCGCAGGCTCTGCTATTTGACTAGCCTCCTGCACCTCTTCTGCCTGGTTTGCCTGATTTGCCTCTTTGGCTTTGGCTTCAGCCTTAGCTGCGTCATGTCGCGCCTTTCTATGAGCAGATCCCGGGCTAAGACCCAGATCGCGCTGGAGAATACGAGCTGCGGTAGCGATTCCAGCACGTCTGTTTTTCGGTGCGTCTTGGGAAATGGCGGCATTGATTGCTTTCGCCACGTTCTTTGCGGCATCCGCTGCTTGTTCGGTAGCGGCCTTTTTCGTCAGGATCTTGACCGTCGTCTTTGAGCCCTTCTCTACCCTTTCAGGTTTTTCGGTCTTTGGTTCTCGGCCCTTCTTTTTGGCAGATTCGTCCTCCCTAGAGCCCTTACCCTTGCCTTCACCACGCTTCTTGCCGGAAACCGAGTCTTTCAATCTGTTGGCCCTCTTCTCTTTCAAATACTCGACAAGGGGGGTTGTTGTAACTTTAATTTCGCCCTTGTTAGCATCATCTCCATCATCCAGATCGGCACTGTCGCGAAGCGGCACTGGATTGGCGAGCCCCTCGAGAAAGGCCATGAATTCTGGGTCTTGATCTATCGTTCCTTGGCGGGCGTCGGTGCGCTTCTTACTGCTAGGTACCTTCTTGTAAGCTGACAGCTCTAACGAAGGCGGCCCAACAAGTGCTGGACTGGTAAAGCTGTTCTTGGCGTCCTCCCACGTCGAAGTCCTGACAGTCTCACTTAGAGCTAGCATGTCGTCCTTTTTCACAAGATGGATGTATGCTCTTGCAGGGCGTGATGGCTTGGATGGACTTGGATCGGATCAGCGTCTGTTGTCAATAGAGCAATAGAGGTATCGACATACTCGGTGGAGATCTTGCCGGGAACAAACGAAAACCAATCGACTTTGCCTTTGCCAAAAGTCCATGTCTCGCCCAGGATAGCCACACATTCAGCCTCAGTCATTCCGGGGGGAAGCCGGCGGAGGACGAGCTTTCCTCCATCATTCTGTTGCCGTTGGCGTGGTCTAGGGGTCTCAGGTTCTCGCCCCTAGCAGAGCTTGGTTAAACATAGGCAGTTGGGATGGGAGAGAAGCTCATATCACCTTAGAACTATCACTTTTCTTATCTCCTTGGCCACGGCGTCTCTTCGGCCTAGAATTCGCGCCTTCGCGGCCACCTTTGCCCTGCTTCATGTCAGATATAAAACCGAGTCGAGCAGAGATGAGGGAGGAATCCTCATACTCTAGCAGGCTCATTTCCTTGGCTAGCATTATTAGCCGCCCCATTCGTCCTCCGAGACAACACTTGAGGCGCTCTTGTAGACATGGCGCATTTCGGATAAAATGTTCAACAAACAATATTGTTGTTGCGCACGCTGAGCATGAGGTTCTAGCGGACGCTCCACCAAAGTCAAGCTCCTGACTCTAAGCGGAAGTATGCAACTAAAGGGTCCTGATAACAACTCGGTCACGTGTGTCAGGCGGCTGCCGTTGGACATTGGCTAACCAAAATTCAACCGAAAGGACAAAAGGAAAAAAGGGAAAAATATCAAAAAAAAAATGTGAATATTTACTCGGGATTAGTATTGATTTACCAAAATTTCTATTCATGAAACTTTATGTTAATAGCGGCAGCTGCATCTCATGCAGGTCAAGCAGCCCAATTTGTAGCTTCACCCAACTGTCCCAGAATAGGTGGTTACGCTAGTTAGGCCCGCCTACGCAGCACCGAGCAACCCCATAGCCAAGGCGAGGTCATCCCTTTGCCGTTGCAGCATCGCTACCGACTTCTGGCATTCCATCTTCGGAGGGCCGGACCTTCAACCATGACTTCAAGCGTGCCCCGACCAGGCCCGGCGAATTTGAGCCCAAATGCCGGCCTCGATGAGTGGCTCGAGGAGGCCAAACAGTGCCACTATCTGCCCGAGCGGGCCATGAAGGAGCTTTGCGAAAAGGTCAAGGAAATCTTGATGGAAGGTAAGACTGCAACGGCAACGGGTCGTCTTGGCTCTGCAGAGACCCAGTTGCGGTAACAGCCCCCAAAAAGCGCATCTACTGACTTGTCGCCCGTTCCTTGCGTCATTCAGAGTCCAACATCCAACCCGTCTGTACACCGGTAACCGTTTGTGGCGACATCCACGGCCAGTTTTACGATCTGCTAGAGCTATTCCGCGTCGCGGGCGGCATGCCAGGGGAGAACGACGTTCAAGCGCCGACAACATCAACCGCGGTCATCACATCCGAAGATATCGAACCTCCCGAGATCACGAATCCGAAACTCCTGAAGAAACTCAAGTCCTCCGGTGATGACGCGACAGGCAACGACGACAGCGAGAATGCAGATCCGGTGACAGAGGCCGCAGCTGGCTCTGCGGATGCTAACAGCACCATATCTTCCTCGCAGAGCGCGCAAACTCGATTCATATTCCTGGGCGACTTTGTCGACAGAGGTTACTTCAGTCTAGAGACGTTTACTCTATTAATGTGCCTCAAAGCCAAGTCAGTGACGCCCGTATTCGCTCCACCACTTCGTGACTCCTCTTGGCTAATCTCTTTGCGATACAGATATCCCGAACGCATAGTCCTGGTCCGCGGCAACCACGAGTCACGCCAGATCACTCAAGTATACGGTTTTTACGAAGAATGTCAAAAAAAATACGGAAACGCCTCGGTGTGGAAGGCATGTTGCCATGTATTCGACTTTCTCGTTCTCGCCGCCATCGTCGATGGAGAGGTCCTGTGCGTCCACGGCGGCTTGAGTCCCGAAATCAGAACGATAGACCAGATTCGTGTGGTTGCGCGCGCGCAAGAGATTCCCCATGAAGGCGCATTCTGCGACTTGGTGTGGTCCGATCCAGAGGACGTCGAGACATGGGCGATCAGCCCGCGCGGTGCCGGTTGGTTGTTTGGCGACAAGGTGGCAACGGAATTCAATCATGTCAATGGTCTCAAGCTGATTGCGCGCGCCCATCAGCTGGTAAACGAAGGATTTAAAGTATGTCCTACCAGGTACACTTTGTAAGGACGTCATTTACTAACATGTCACTAGTATCACTTTGACGAGAAGTCCGTGGTCACCGTCTGGTCGGCGCCAAACTACTGCTACCGGTGCGGCAACGTCGCCTCCATTATGACCGTTGGCGAAGATCTAGATCCAAAGTTCAGCATCTTCTCGGCAGTGCCCGATGAGCTGAGACACGTGCCCGCTGGGCGGCGAGGTCCAAGCGATTATTTCCTGTAATGAGTATCACGCAGCATAGAGGATTGACGCGCTAAAGGTTATACATGTAAATTAGTATATGGTTTGAGATATCCATCATTTTGGAATGAATTGTGTGCATTGATCATTTCGTCACCTGTCAGGACCCCTCGATTAACGGTTGGCGGGTCCATCTTCGACATCAACGGCCCCCGCCCGCACCAAGAATTTTCAACGCAGCACCAATCTGCATAACGCAATAAACTACGGTAACCTTTGGTTGCCTGATAAAATGTGACCACTACGCAGTCTTCAGCTATAGTATCAAAACGGCAAAGGGTCCAAAAATGCCGAAACGTCAGCCGCAGAACCCAATCCAGGCGGCTGTGAGAACATGGCTGAAAACGCAGCAGCCGCCAGCTGGCCAAGAGGCGAAGACTTGGGAAGAAACCCTTCTATCGTCCGCGCCGAAGCGCTTCGTCATCTACGAGCCACTGGCGCTTCTCCCTTCCGGCAGTTTCAGCAACCGCATGTGGACAGATGTGTTGGAGGCATGCGCAGCAGACTCTCGTGTCGCCCTGTGGACACTACTGCTGAAGGAGCTGTCCTTGGTCGCCAAGAGTCCGCTGACGAACCTTGCAATCAACGAAGGGATACCGCTTCAAAAAGACGGCGAGTCGGGCGAGGAGAATGTGCTGCGCAGCCCTACCGGTCTGCGCATGCTCCACGGCGATTTCGGCCCTCCTCGCACTCAAGGCACGACACCCACCCGGCAGGAATTTGACGACGCCTTTTGGGTATCGACGAAGCAAAACGGCATACGCCAGACGTGGGCGCCCCGGTGGACAATGTTCAGCCGCGGAAACGTCAAGGAAAAGGCCAGGCTGCTGGCATTCAAGAGCGCAAAGTCGGCCACCTCCTTCTCCGCCGCGGACCAGCAGCCCTGGGCCGTGGACCTGTACGGCGGCATCGGCTACTTCGTCTTCTCGTACGCGTCCCTCGGGATGCGCGTGCTATGCTGGGAGATCAATCCCTGGAGCGTCGAGGGCCTGCGCCGCGGCGCGCGGGCCAACGGCTGGGGCGTCAAGGTCGTGTCCGACGCGGCGGAGCTCGCCCGGCCCGTCGAGGAGCTCCTGGAGGGCGGCGAGCAGATTGTCGTCTTCCTGGAGGACAACCAGTGCGCACGGGACAGGATCCTGCGGCTGCAGCGGGACGAGGTCGGGGTCGCCAGAAACGTCGCGCACGTCAACGGCGGCTTCCTGCCCACGAGTGAGCCGACGTGGGAGGCGTCGTGGGAGGTGGCGCGGCGGAGCACGGCTCCGCAGACGTGGCTGCACTTGCATGAGAACGTGGGCGTGCATGACATTGCGGCGCGCAGGGCGGAGATAGAGGGGCGATTCAGGAGGTGGAACGATGTTCGGGAGACGTCGCGAACGGTGACGGTCAGTCATGTGGAACAGGTCAAGACGTTTGCGCCAGGTGTATGGCATTGCGTCTTTGATGTATGCATTGAGGCGCCGCAGATATAACAACCTACAGGCCGGCTGGTGCCTCCATGCCCTCTCTCCAGGGCGTCTATGTAATTATGCAAATATCCAGAGGCATGATTTCTCATAGCCTTTTCTCTACATCTACATCCAAGTCATCTAATCATGTACTGTCCGTACGCCAGCAACCTCCTGACGTGAGCGAACTCGCCAACTCCAACAACGCCACGGCCGCGCAAACACCAGTATGTAAACAAAAAGTATAAATACGGTTGAGTCGAACGTTTTCCCGCCACACACAGTCTAGTGCTGCACGCGCAAAAACTTGGCGGGTATGTTCGCCTCGATGATGGCGATCTTGTCCATGGCCTGCTGCCGCTCCTCGGCGTCCTCGAGCTCCTCGTGCTTCTTGAAGTGCTCAATGTCCTCCGGGTGCGTCAGGTCCTCGAGCTTCGTGTCCTCGTTGTGGTACTTGTTCCAGTGATGCACCTCGTACTCGTACTCATCGTCGCCGTGGTGGCCCGGGCCGAAGCCGAGGTCCGGCAGCGTCCTGCCGTCCGCGACGAACGCGGCGAACTCGTCGCGGGAGACGAGGTTGTCGCCGCTGGTGTCGAGGAGCGCGAGGAGCTCGCGGTAGGCGGCCTCGCGGCGGTCGTGGCTGACGTCGCGGTTGCTGGGGTCCATGAGGCCGTACATGCGCTGCATCTCCTCGCGCTCCCAGACGCCGTCCGAGTCGAAGTCGTGCAGCGTGAAGAAGGACTGCGCGTCAAACGTGCCCATGCCGTGCTCCTCTGGCGCACGAGGCGAGTCAGCATCAGTTCCAGTTCAGAGTGTGCTGCAAGGGGGGGGTTTGCGTACCGGCCATGTGCCGCGTCATCCAATTAGGGTAGTCTGATCGCGCCTCCTCGCCGTAGGTGCCGCCGTGGGCGCCGCTGCCGTGGGAGCCATGCGCTGAGACCATGGTCGCCAAGGCTGCAGCGATGAGTGTGTGGGCGCGCATTCTGGGCAATTGATGGATTGGGGGACACGGCGACAATGGTGGAGGCCAAGAAACTGCGTTGTCGTAAACACGTTAAATGGATGGATGGATAGAATGGAATCTTGATCTACGAATAGTTAGCCTGGCATGTCAGGGGTTGACGCTAGCCATCGCGATAGCGTGGATACCGGCATCTACCAATGAGATCAGCGCCCAGTCTGGTGACAAAAATGGCAAATCGCGAACCGTTAATTTACTTGCATAAGTGGCAAGGCCCCCGGTGCGGGGTGAGAATCTCTCCGATGCTGAAGAGGTCGGATGATTTTCATCGATTTGAGACACGATTGGAATGCCAGTTCGCTTCTTCCCTTCAGCGCTGCTGCACACCAGACCAATGCCAGGGCAGATGGTCGAGGTTCCGGCGATCTTGGCTATTATTCGACTAGGGATTTGCATCCTGGAACCAACTATTCTTCCACTGGGTTGCTGTTTCCTGGGCAATTGATGTTCACGAATGTAGATTGAGGATAAGCATGTTACCCTATGCTTGCACGTGCGCTGCGACCACATGTATTGCCTTGTTGCGAGAAACATGATTTGTGCAATTGCCACGAGGCTAGGAGCTAATTGTAGCTGGATTGCCTGGGTTATTGTCGTGGTGCCTGCTGTTTTGAAGACCATTCTTGAGTTTTGAATGCGGGTTATTTTGCTGCGTAGTGCACTAGCGAGAGTGTTCGGATAGTGATAGGCTATCAGGAAGTTTATCAAGACTATAAAGTAAATGTAGAATATTAAACCAGGAGATGATTATGAAAATGATAGGTTGATCAAACTCCGTAACAATCAATTTATCTGCAAATCGTCCAGTTTGCGTTCTGGATATTGTGAAGAAATTGTGTTATCCGCGCTACCCTGTAGCTCTCCTAGCACATGGCAAGCTGATGCGATTATTCATCTGTTCCGAAGAGCTCTTCCTGTCACCGAGGATGTTTTGACAGCGTGGACAATGGGTTCTCGTGCGGGCTTCCCTGTTGTCGCCTGGCCAGCTCTCCCTGCTCCCTGCGATAACCTGCGATAGCGTGTGCTGTCTCCTCCCTGCGATGGAATCTACGTATACCCACACATGCCACATGGAGGTACATACCTCCGAGCTTGTGGTCTGATGATCAACGAACAGGGATGTACAGAAGCAAGCAGCCATTGCAATATTGCCTGTCTGCTTATTGCCGTATTCACCCGGTGTCAGGCTGTCACTTGCAATCGGTCGTCACGATCTTACCAACAACGATGGGTCTGGGTGACCGGTGACCCCAGGCCCTATGTAGATGTGGGCTCCTCAACCAATATTGGGCAACAAGGAGCGTGCCCTCAGTGCTCTTGTCGCGTCAATTGTTGTCGAGTAAGGATCAACGTGTAGCTCGTGAGCGGAGACTGTAAAGGCTCCCCTGAGTCGCACGGCGAGAGAGGATTACCGTGCGTCGTGCGAGTAGCTCTCAAGCTGACCGCACTCAATCATCAAAAAATATTCCTCTTCTTGGTTGCTCATAGCAACGCCCAAACGAAATTGCCATGAAAAGTTCATTGCTCGTCTAATAATGCGACGTCTCAAGGGAGTGAAAGTTGAAGAGTCTTCGCAAAGCTATTCCGCGGATTCTCGGCAAACTGCATTTTACGTATGGGCCTGCTTTGCTTCGCCTATGAACTGGTGTGGTCGGGCGGACAATGTGCTCAGCTCGTTGTTGCAATGCGACTCCTTGATAACCGTGCTGCTGTGTCAAATCGTCCCATTGTCGTTGGCATTTCAAATTTACTGTCATTTCTCCCAACAAGCACAAGGCTCTACGCAACAACGGGTTAGCCCGCGTACTCCCAGGGCAGGGCGGCCGATAGATTGCATTTCAAGTGTCGGAAGTACAAAATGGCGACTCTTGGCCAGATTGGGTCGTTCCGAGCAGCCTGGAAATGAACGGGGAATTCTGGTACGCCGTAGATTCCCATAATCCTCTACAGACGATAATGGCAGCAATTCGTAGTGATGCAGGAATGCGCATTATCGAAATAAACAGGTCGCTTGAGACTTCATTGTTGTACTTCAACTTGTCTCAGCTGCTAGTGTACTATTCCTACCCAGCTCAGGGCCTTTAGGAATGTACTTGAGTAGCGCGCTCACGCCCTTTCAGATCGCTACTACTCCCGGGATCGGTCTTGTCTCCAGGTTCTCCAGGGCAGCCACTGGGGTTGCGTAGCTTCAATAGCGGCGCTCAATTGGCACACTGGCACGCTACTAGAAGGACTGAGTTATTCATGAACATAGTTGCCCGGTCTTAGAAGTTGTCAACAAAGGACATTGTGCCGTAGGTAGCTCAGCAGGAGGCGGCGTCGGTTATTCTTAGCTGACACAGCGTTGAGTCTTGGACAGTCTGGTTAGCGTCGTGGCTCGCGTGTTGCGCGTTTTGGAGAGAGATCTAGAACTAGAGACGCCAGTCGCGCCAAGACTTTCCGGCCAGCCCAGGGGAGGGAGTGGTCCTGTTCCTGAGGTCTTGTAAGGCAGGTAGGTAATTCGTATACGGGATGGAATGCGGAACATCCACACAGCCGCGTTGGATGCCCTCGGCACTTACACCGAGACACCGAATGACCAAAGACTGCAACGCACACAGCTGCCCAGTAGATAATTGCTATCTCAATGCTGGACAAAGTTGCTGCACTTTCGCGTGCTGGCTAAGATTCTCCATCTATCAGTCTAGTCACCATGTAATAGTTTTTGAACAGCCAAAGGCAAAGACGCGCCAGCAGTTTCAGTAATACCCGTGTAAGTCATTTCCACGGCAGTTCATAATTGCAGGACACCGGGTGCAAAATGAAGGTCTTTTCTATCAGAGTTGAGGTACAAAAAATTGCCATTAGGAAAAAAATAAAATAAAGTTAAGTACATGTCTAGAAGGTAAAGAAGATGGTGGAGAGAGCCAACACCAGGGGCAGTATGTAGATGCCCGTTGGTTGGAAGCGTGCGGCGCTGCCGGTGATGACGGAAGGCGCTCCAGTCGGGCGGGAAGTCGAGGGAGAAGATGAGCCAGCACCGGGTTGAGGGACGCCAGAGGAGCCAGAGCCAGAGCCAGGAGCACCGGCGCTGCCAGAGCCACTGCCAGAGCCACTGCCAGAGCCATTTCCAGAGCCAGAGCTTGAACCGCTGCCAGAGCCAGGTGCAGCAGCGTTGCCCGAACCATTGCCAGAGCCAGAGCCTGAACCATTGTTTGAACCATTGCCTGAGCCCGACCCGGTGTTCGAGCCAGAGCCGGTATTCGAGCCAGGGGCAGAACCCGGGCAGCCGCCGGGGCAGCCTGTTCCTGAGCTGGGAGGGAGACCGGGAGGAGAGCCGTTGCCGGAGGCGTGCTCAGCGGACTGCTTGCACACGTGGCATTCAATAACCACAACAGAAACAATCTTCTCATTCGGCGGGGGCGGAGGCACTCCCGTGTAAGTCTTGGGAGGGAGGGTCTTTGTCGATGTGATGGTTGAATGAGTGACTGTCGTCGTTACCTCGCAGGTCTCAGCTGCAGCGGGGGACGAAAACCCGACACTCAACAGCAGCGAGAAGGCCGCGGTGGTGGTTTGAATGCGCATGGTGGCAGCAGATAGAAACACGAATAAAGAGTGAAGAGGTTGGGAAAAGAGTGAAGAGGTTGGGAAGCAAGTAGTGTGACGGAGGTAAGGTGGTATATGGTGGAATGATGGGTATGGGCTGGCGATAGACTCTTATACGGATCGGGGAGGTTGCAGCCCTTGTGTCGTACTCCTCCATGAGGACTTGGCCAACTCAACCACAGGCAACAGGTGGCAGTGGGCTGACTCTCCTCAACTGCTGTGAACAGCTGACTGAAAACAATCTCGCGTGTTGTCTCGTCTGTGACCTGGTGTTGTTGCCACGGCTCGAGGTCCAGAATCCAGAAGTCCGAGACATTCGACTTGGTGTGAGTGGGTTGTCGAGCCGAATCAAAAGGCGAGGCTCTTTGGTGAATTCGCTCTAAACAATCATGACATTCCTTCATAAATCTGAATCAAACCCTACCGTCCAGCCAACGGAGCTATCAATCGGTGTTGTTCGCGTCGGTCTGGAACAGACCCAGGGGATCCGGAAGGTGGCGATGGGGAGGAGGTTGACTCGCGTTCCTGCCCTGACGATCACCGGAATGAGACAGGTTCTCAGAAATTCAAAAACATTATTATCATCGAAGCGGAAGAAAGAGACGTCAATATACCGCTTTTTAGCCTAGGCTCAATTTACGCCGATGTTGTTGCGACCAACCTCGGAGCAGCCTTGTCTCGCTGCCCGCGTTGCAACCGGGGCTCTGGTGGTCGACTATAAACTCTCGCGGCAGCCAGTGACTACGCTCGTCTAGTTTTTCTGGTCTTTCACTCAAGGAAGAAGCCACTCGTGTTTGCCTGTTACGCACTTTCTTTCTTGTCTTCTATCTTTCCTTCCTTTTTCCGCAATCCTCCATCATGGTCGCCAAGGCATTGGGCGTCTCCCTGCTCGCCGCGCTTCACAAGCGCGGTGACGAAGACCAGTGCAGAGACTACTGCCCTAATGGTACCCTGACTGTCGACCTTGCTCCTACCAAGATCGTTATCCAGCAGCCCTACAAGGTCACTGGTTACTTCTCTGCCGACGGCCCCATCACTCTGGCGCCGAACCTTGTGGCGACAGTATCTGGCGCACCGGGCATTGTTGATACCACTGTCACCTTTTGCGAGAAGGAGTATAGGACTGAACACATGTAAGAATATGCCAACTCGTATTTTGAGGAGTGCCATGCTAACAAGGCGTCCGCCGCACCAGCATTGTCTGTCCTACTAAGACTGAGAGCGGGACCAAGATCACGACCAGGACCAAGAGCGAGAGCACCACTGAGTCTACCACGGAGACCAAGACCAAGACCAAGACCAAGACCAAGACCAAGACAAAGTCTACCTCGAGCACAGAGAGCACCACCACAACTGCGTCAGAATCGTCCACTACTTCCACCACAACTGTATCAACATCGTCCACTACTTCCACCACAACTGCGTCAACATCGTCCACTACTTCCACCACAACTGCGTCGACATCGTCCACTACTTCCACTACTACGCCGTGGACTTGGACAACAAGCAACACGACCACTCCATGCACTACCAGCACCCATTATACCAATTCGACTACGCCATGCACTACCAGCACTACCAGCACTACTACAACTTCCACTTCTTGCAGCACCAGTACGACCAAGTCAACCACTACCTCTTGCACTACCAGCACCACGACTACCACCAGTTGTACAGATACAACTTCTACTAAGCCTCACACCAAGACTACCAAGCACTACACCACCAAGACTCACACCACCAAGCCACCGCCGAAGCCCACTTGCCCCATCGTCCTCCCGCCTGTCTGTCAAGACCTCGACGATATTGGCACCACCTCCCTCCAGATCCAGTCTCCTGTGTGTCTCGATAAGATCGGGATGTACGGCCCCGGCGGCGCGGCCAGGTGCCTGGACGTCAGGGCCATCACAGGTAAAACCACGGGCGAGGACATCATCAACTGCCTCCACCGCGTGTTTGACGGCACCTGTCCGGAGCGGCTGCCCCCGGTCTGCAAGGCGCTCGCGACGGACGACGAGATTACCCAGTACTTTGACACCGCAAAGTGTGGTGTCGCGCTTGGCCCGTATGCTTCGCCTGCGGTTGAGCAGTGTCTGGATGGAAACGGCACTGGCCCCCAGATGGTCGCCTGCTTGAACAGGGCCCTGCATATTTCACCTTGATTTGTTCTCGGGATTTTATATGTGATATCTTTCTTCTTCTCCGTTAATTTAATTTTTCTATTTGACCATCAACGTGGCTGTTTCGCACATCCCTGTGATATGACTCCCGAGCCCTCTTGCATATTGTAATCACAATAGTATTTCTAGATGAATAACCTAGAAGATGTATATCTGGTGAGGTCCGTGCAAGGTACATCTGTCAGTCGTTTTACTTATACGACTTCCTCCTGGTTCATCACCGGCCATCTGACAAGTAACAAGACTGTTTGCAGCTACACCCAGTGCGTGACGCACAGTGAGGGATGATGGGTGTGTACTCGGCAAGAGAGAATACATTAAAAACAAAAAGAAAGTAAACTGCTTCAGACTTCTCTATAGCATGTCATCCTATGAAGAAATCTGGCATGCCGAGAAATGGCTGACGCTAATGACATAAATCCACAGAGTTGTTGATGGATCTACCAGGGAAGCCGTGTCCCGAAGCTAACCGTGACGTTTGGCAGCAAAAGGATCAGAGCTGATCTTACATTTTCTATTCATTTTCTTATACCTGGTCAAGACGTCCCGTCCTTTTTTAGCCTCTTGATACTGGATATTTTACTAACCGATACTTGACGTGAAGGCAGCAAGTGGTAGCTGAAGAGTGGTCCAATCACATCATCATCATGTAGCCCCCAATTGACATTGGCACGCATTCGATTTTTTTGTTAAAAAAAAAGATTTGTAAACAAAACGCCTCTTTTTTTTTTCCCACGGCACAGAAGGCCAGTCAATCACCACACTCCCGAAAGTAGGGCTGTGTTTCTCTTTACACCTTTTGGGGGGGGGGGTTTGCCATGCCCGCCTTCTGCACCGCTAATACGCCTAGACCACAACTACAGCCTTTTTTTTTTTTTCGAATAGAAATAAAAAGCGATGAAAAAGAAATACACGGACGAAAAAAGAAAGCAAGTCGTCTCGTTTTGTCTCCATCTCGGCTGCGTCATTAGCGCAGAGGAGGCGGAGGCGGATACATGCTGCAGCCACCAGGGTAGTAGTCATCTCGCCCGCCAGGTACTGCCGACTGGGCGGATATTGGAATGAGCATCATCGTTATCTACTCCATGCAACTACTATAATCTGTACTACGAACAAAATAGATTAACAAGTCATCCCTGGCCGCTTGTTGCCGCAGAGAGCAGATCACATTGCAGTTGCGGGTCCGGATGGTTCAAGGGGGCGACAACTTGGCAAATATGCCGCTCGTGTTGTTGCCGCAGATGAGACGCTCACATGACAATCCCGTATGCATGAATAGATTTCACTTGTGGGACTTGAGCGGATTCAGGCTGCGCCATCCTCCTACCAGTTACCAGTAGTTGGGTGTGAAGGGGTTGTTCCTGTCCTCGTCTGGCGTGGGAAGGCAGAAGACGTAAACCCCATGTTGCCTCGGCCGGCATTGAAAAGTGCCAATAGCCAGGGTGGAGGCAACTAGGATACTAGGATACCAAGTCCGGAAGAGGGTTTCGTGACGAGACGAGAAACGAGGCTTCCAGGGTTGGCAGGTCACGTCACTTGTTATTACGAGTACTCTGTACATATATATATATATATATAGACATAACTAGATATATGATTATTGAACCGGATGTCTGGGCCACGACTCCCGACTCCATGCATGGCAAGGACCAAACAGCCTGGGACGAATAGCGTTGCCACGCCGTCCAGCCATGGTCCCAGGCGGAGCGCGTTCCGGGGCAGTGCTTGAGCGAATCAGGCAGGTCTGTACTCCGGGGAGCAAGCCAACAACAAGCCACCAAACGCTTATTTACAGACAAAGGACATTTGCCGGGCGGGAATAAGTGCGAGCCTCTTGGGAAAGTGGGCGGAAACTCCCACGTTGGTCTGATGCTGCTGTTTCTTCCTATCCTCGAGGACTAACTAATACATGTTTATCAGTGGGACATTCGCGTACTAGTTAGCAACGTCCATGGAAAGTGACCGACCCTATACTTTGGACTAGGTAAGATTCGTCAAGAGTGCGGTGAGGTATTAATTTATTGCATATGAGGAGTCTTGCTACAAGGCACGGTATTCCGTCCGTATCCTGGGTCTCTCTTTTCTTTTTCTCGGAATGGATGCCCTTGCGAACACCCTCGACATGGGATGGCGGGACGCCTTTATTAGTCCCGTCTTTAGCGCCGCTTCCCAGGTCCCCGGTAAGTCAAGGCATGAACTTGATGCGTTGTATAATAGGAAGGAGGGGCAATGTGCAGGCGGAAAAAGGAAGCATATCATCTGTTCTGGGCTCAGCGCTGACACGAAATCATACACGTCAGTTTCTATTTCGTTGTTTTTAATCTGACCGTTACATGCCCCCCGCTTCATGCTTCAGACAGCTTCTCGCTCTCCATGATCAATGGAGGGGTAACTAATACTGGAGGAGTGACATCTACTACATATCGTGGCCAAGGCGAGCATGGGGGAAATCCAGGATATTTCCCCTGCGCTAGAACGACGAAGCTAATGCTTCTCTAAGCGTGAAAGAGGGCTCTGAACTATCTGGGTCTCTCTCCAGCTATTTTTCTTTTCGCGAGTTTAGTCGCCGAATAGCCTATTGTTTCGCTCAGAATCGTGCCGTAGTTCCAAGCGAGCCACGAGTAAAGTCCAAGGTGGTATGCAAGCGTTCATTTTAGTTACGGCACTTGAAAAATAAGCCATTTTGACGTCTAGCCATAGAAGTAGCTTATTTACACAGACCTCGAGAAGGGTTACTTTTGCTGTCATCCAGAGTTGCAAGCGACCTAATTAATGCACAGCTTTGACTCATTTTCGAATGCGAGCCCCGGACAGTCATGCATCCCCAAGTCACGAAAACCTGCATCTTAGTAAATTAATAGAATCACTCTTTCAGATATGTAAGCCCTCTCCGAATACTCAGTTGGCTATCTTCTATCACAAACGGCCAGATGCCCCTCGTGGCGTGCGTGTTGGTTTCTCAGTGGCACGCGCCAGGCATCTACGTTTCAATGATCCGCATGCAAATCGGAAATCTGGGCGATGAAGGTAAAATCAGAGTCGGATAGTCACTAACTTTTTAAGCGTTTAAAGTGTAAAGGTAAGATAATTCTTCTGGCAGGGGTTGGGCAGGAGATTAGGTTCGTCGCATCGTAGATGCCATCTGTCGGCTGTTACCTTCAGCAACTGGCTCTCTCTAGGTCTAACAGTTATATTGGGCTTTTCAAACTTGGAGTAGTCGCAAATCCGAGAAATTCCATGCCTTAGCAAGTCTACAAGAAGCTACATACCAAGGCGAAGCTGTGTCACGCGACGCATGACAGAGGCTCGCCGGCCAACAGGACAGCCCGTGCCTTGCTATCGCGCCAAAAGGGCAGTTGCAAGAGCCGAGAATAGTCCCGCGGCTCGAATTTCGAATGAGGTATCTCTCCGGAGCGCAGTCCATCGGGTCGAGCCACTCGTGTCGTTTATTCGTAGCACGTATCCGCAGCCGATGCCGAGCCTCCTCCACAGATACCACACCGAGAATGCCGAGAGGCAGCAAACATGCGCCGACGCGAGCCGCTCTTGTCCTTCATTTTTTGCGGTACACTCAGGTAGCAACATTCTATGTCGTTTTCCGGTCATGGTCCAAGAAATCGTTTCCCTGCTACCTGGCTTGGTACGACGAGGAATGACTTGCGCGCTGATCGGAGGCCTCGCGTTGGAACAACTACCTGTAAAATATAACCCGATATATAACGAGCCGAACCGTACCGTGACGGAACGGCTCTTCCGTGCCGGCTTCCTTGATTTCTACCAGATGGCTAATGCAATGATGAAACGACGCTGCGCAGAGGGCGCGGCAAACGGGGTCCGAGGCACAGTTACGCAATATGCGCAGGGACTGCAACCTGCAGCATCTTCACTCCGAATTGAACCTTGTTAAATTATTCTCATTTATTCACTCATTCTTAATTATCTCTATCAGTATGCTTCGGGGGGTGTACCAGCGGAGGAAATTGATAGATCTCGTATCATGCAGGCGAGCAACTCTGTAACCATCGCAATATCTTTCTAGTTGATGTAGCATGCGGCATCTAACTGCCGACTTGCTAAAATATATACACTATTTGTCAATGCTTCAAAGCGATTACTTGTAATTATTAGGCCATATATCAACTCGCTGTTATGTCAAGGAGTGAGCCCTATTAACAGCCCTTGTAGTGCTCAATGATTGTACTTGAGACGGTATTCCATAAATAGCAGCACCAGAATAACAACTAATCACCTCATGATATCGTAATGCGCAGTACGCAACTGAATGTGTAGATATCCTTTAATTCGCAGTCATTACGTAAATCGCTGCGAAGCAAGAGAGTGCATAGGGTCGGCCACGGAGCAGCCTACCCTATACCGCGCCGTCCGGGCCCGAAGACCATGAACGGGCCCCCTCCGAGAGAGGAAGGAGCTGCCGCGGGGACATGCTAACATTCGAGTACATGCTCTCTAGAGTTGATAAAACAGTGTGCATGATACTAGAGGCACAAATTGATGGAGTATCGGTACCACATGCTGAATTCTACAATTTTGAAAGCATATGCGTGAAGGGTTCTCCTCGAGAACGAGGGCGCGCACCGTATCTCTAAACTTGGCTACATCGCAGTGTACACAAGAATGTCCGGGCGGCGTTGTTTCAGTTCCCTGGACGTTTTAAAAGAGATCAGGAAGCAAGCAGGCGCAGCCCCGAATGCCTTCTCCTGCAGCCGCGCCTCTTGGTAATAGGTAGAGCAAATCAATTGCCGCTGTGACTGCGACACGGAGGCTGGCTGCAGGTCGGGTGGCTTCCCCGGGGACCAGGGATACCGCGCCCGCATGTTACAGAGGTCACACCACTTGAAGAAAAATTGATTACTTACCCAGTTACTAGATGTTGATCGAGGAGAGAGGGGGGTATCGGTTATTGTTCGCATAGTTGAAAATGAGGCCAACTTCTCTTGAGTGATAACGGCGCAACACTACTC